TCAGAACATTTTCTGTGTATGCATCTAATCACCTAATATACGAGTTTGTTCAAGTATCAACATAATACCAAGCTCATATATCCAAGTAACACCTTTTATTGGAAGCCATGTAAAACCAAAGCTACTTAAATTGTTAGCGCATAAATATTTGTGGATGTACACATTGAAGTTTTCTTTATGTTAAGAATTTGCAGGTGCAGAGCTAGAGTATATTTATTGGGGTTGCCAAAGAGAGAGAACATCATAAATGAGGGGACTATGTTCAAGAATTTTACCAAATTTTGGGGCTATTTAGATTTGGACATAATCAAACAATCAATTGGGCAGGCATTTATTCCCAATTTATTAGCTATGGGTTAATGTAGTGTAGGTGCATTGTCTTAGCTGTGCTTTTCTATTGAGCAAGTCAACTTAAATAGTGTATTCTCGATGTTCTGGTAACATTCAAATGAGTTTTATTAAACTAAAGACCAAAACATCTACTATCTCAGTTGCTATCAGCGTCATCTCCAGAAACAGAAAGAGGAACTGCTTCATATTTTTCTTACATGTTATTTATGATAAATCCTCCTAGTGATGAAAGCAAAATGGCCGAGGATCAGCCATCTGGTGTTATTTCGTGTCCTATGTCAGGGCTTGGAACAGATTCTTTAAACTTTCTTGGAATTTGGACATCATGAGTCCCTAATTTGTGGCCTTTTCCACGAGGGCTTGGCCCTGAATGCATCATTGCCCACTTTCTCTGAGAAGTGCTGTCTATCTTCCTAACCTCAAGTGGCCGAGCTGCAATCCCAGAAAGCAATTGAAGGTGAAGGCACAAAAGTAAAAGAATAACACTAACATAGAAAGGCTTCACTTTTCTATTCATCACATCTGGAGAGTAACAGAGCTGCATATTACTTTGTATAATCAAAGTATATAATGCTTTGTCTGGACTTAAGACTTTATACTACTAAGTTTGAAGTTATGAGAATCTATTTTTATAGTTTGTATTGGGAGAAAAGGAGGGAAATTAGGAGGAGATCAATTGAAGAAAGGAGAAAAAGCATCACAGTGTGCTTCTGGCTTTGAACATGTTGGAAGGTATGCCAAAGGATGATAATGATTGGCTTTGAAAATTAGATATTGAAACTCATACTGTTATCTTAACCTTGAATCATGCACGTGAAAATTTCTGATTTCTAGCTTAATTTGGCCAGTTAGGCCTTCAGATGGATGAGTTTTGAGCATATTTGTGGGAGTGTGATTTTGGAGGGAAAAGAAGAGAAGATATTAATTTTAATCTCTTTTGACACAGTCTATCAATAAACCTAGGCTTATTCTTGCTGAATTATACTTAACTCAACTCTTGGCTTAATTTTTTATACTTCTTTTATTAGTATCTTGGTTATTACACACTATTTATAGGAACACGTGGCTAGGAACACCTTCATTTGCGACAAAATATTCGGTTTTGGTTTTAGTGTACAAAGTCAAAGAATGGATTTACTGTACTCAAAACTTCAGTGATGGATGAAACTTGGAAGCAATTACTAGGGAATGGCATTGTGCCCATTATCTCAAGTATTGAGAGTCACTTCATGAAGAAAATTTGGGAAGGTTTGATAAGAAGGAATGGCCATTTACCTGATTTAGTATCTACCAGAATTTAAGTGCAAAATTAGGTTCTAGTGATATCTGACATTGATGTTTGTATAAGTAGTTATCATGACATTGACGACCAAATAATAGATTGAGTGTATGAAAATATTTTAATCGAAGTTCAGTTTCAAACGGTTACTTCCCGTGGCAAGATAGAAAATGGGTAAATTCCAATTACCTATCAATATCTTTTTCCTTTTTGAGGTTCAGTAGCTTGGGGATAGTGGAATGAGGAGAAGTGCAGAGCTATATTTAGAATCTAAATATTTCAAGTGTTGATACAGATAGAGTTAGGTAACTCTGCACTTTACAATTCTAAATCCTGTTTATTCTTAATTACTTGATTCACTTTTACATAAGCACACGTTTCAAATCCAGTAAGATGGAATGCATGATTCAGGGAATAGTGCAAGTTACTTTGGGTGGTCAAGCTTTTGAAAGGCCAACATCACCTTGCTTATACATTTTTTTTCACTAGCTAAGGGATTGCACACTCTTCAACTTACTTCTTTTGAGTGGTGAGTTTTTTAAAAATTAAAATAATTTTTAAAATGTGATTAATTTACAAAATGAATGTCTTAACTTTTTAAAAAATAGACTAATTCTCACATTAGCCCTTCTTGAATTCCTAACATCTTGTCTGGTCTTGGCTTAAAAACATGCATAAACGTAGTCTACCTGAGGAATTAATTACTTAATAATACAGCACCTTTTTAAGGCCTTTTCTACGACACATAATTGTTAAATTAAATTAAAACTAGTTCATCACCCCTTTGCAAGAGAACCACAAAAGCATTGCTATTTGGAGGGGGGGAATTGTGGCCAAATATTGAAAACAGGTGTCAAAAAGCTATAAACAGTATAAGAAATTTTTCTTAAAAGATTACAAATTTATTTGTTTGGTGAATGTCGTGAATTACGTATTTACGTACCATAACCTATTTGAATAGTTCACAACAGTATAAGGAAATAAAGTGACACTTGAATTGAAAGTTTGTGAAAGAAACTATTCTGTAGTCCTGCCCTGTGAACACGTTGATTATCAAAGTACCTAACTAACTATGGTTTGCACACCAAATGTCTAGATTGGCAACAAATTTTTGCTTGACATTGTGTCTTAGATTGCGTGGCTCATTCTAGTTTTAGACATTTAGTTGATTGAGGTTTTAGTTTTTGTTTTCCCTCATAGTACAAAGATTTGACCCATAGAAAGGCGAGTACCAGGTGTAATGAACATCAACAACAAATAAGTCGCCACCACATTTTTTGGTGATGTTTCATTACCAAAATGCTCCACCGTCTGTATCTACAAAAGATTCGATTGACAACGATTCGTGTGCAAGTTAGTACCCCTCCTCTAAGTGTAGTAGAAAAATGAACCTCAGTTCACACCTTTTCCCCATTTCAACTTTTCTATTCTACAATTCCTTTACCTTTATTTCCGACAATCACTAAAATCTCCTTATTGAACTTAAGTACTAAGCACTAAATTACAAAATTATTCTTTAATATATAGAACATCAATTTAACTATTGAATATAATCATTATTTTAAAAATAAATATAAATTTATAACAAAATCAAAGTTTAAGGTATGGAATATAAATAGTTTGCAGCGGAAAGGTTAAATTCCAGAAAGATTGACTTTGTAGTGTTCAAAATTGGTAAATACACATTATTTTTGTGGCAAAACACCGATTTAAAAATGATTTGACTTCTTGCGTTTGAATTGTACATTTATGGGGAACTAATTTGTGATGAAAAAAACAGTAAGAGGAACAGTAAAAGGAAGATAAGTATGGAGTTGGAAATGAAACGATTTGAGGCGATGATCTGTCACGAGTCACATTGCATACAGAACACCTAGACTGATGACTGATGACTGATGGCTTATCGCCTTGAGGTCAATTGAGTTACTTGCATCAACTAAATTAATTTCACCATTTTCTGCTCACTCTTTCCTCTTCTGTTCACCTTTGTGCTTGTCACTATCTTCCCTCATCCCACCTCTATATTTAATGAATACAAAATCACATTGTTATAACTATTAATAAAATATTCTTATAACCCATTTACACTTCAAATCTATTATTACATAATCATTTTATCTTCTCTTATATGTTTAATTTATTATTTTTCACATTTTACTTGTATTTAAAATGGGTTTCATAAGTCAATACAATTCACTACAAACCGTTAAAGTTGAACAGAAAATTTAAGAAATAAATTAATTAAAATTTTAAAATTAAATTGTTTTAATATATCAAATTAAATCTTAATTTTAAAATTCTATCCACCGTAAATCAAACATGGATTAATATATAATTTTAAGATTTTCCTCATTTAAACTAAAGATTAATCCATCACTAATTTAAAAATTATAAAATATTTAAGCTTAAATTAATGATGAATAAACTCTCCATCTTTCACTTTACGCATTTTTTCACTTTGGAACAACTAAATTCCTTTTATAAAACACTCAAATTTAAAGATAGTAGTTAAAAAAATTCTAAATAAACAAATTATTAATACAATTTTTTTATGTATTTTCAATTAAAAAATATTATTTGATTTCTCAGTTAATATCCTTCAAGTACACATTAGGTGCAATACTCTTAATAAAAAAATGTATAAATAGGATAAAAGAATACTATTTATTACTTTGAAACTAAACTAAATAAAAACTGAAAACTAATCAAATCCTAATCACTTTAAAATGAATTCGATTGGAACAGTTTTTTATTAAATTATTAATACTTTTATAATTGTTTGAGTTGGAGAAAATAAGTATATATGATAAAAGTTTTCGGTTTAACGTGATTATATATTAGAATTTGAATTCGAAATTAGTAATTAAGTTAAATTTTTTCATTTTGGATGATAAAATATGTCCAAAGTTAATTCAATTGGCCGGTTTTATCACGCAAGACCCATAACAGGCTTTTTGAAGTTAGGTTGAGAGGCATCTCATGGCTCTTTTGGAAAATCTTACATTAGAATCTTCCAAGGTCAAATGAAATATTTCGATGTATGTAAATAGAAATTGAGTTTTTAATTGGAATTCTCTGGCAGGAATTTCAATCTCAGCTGCAGGCTGCATGAGATATTACAAATTAATTTGACTTCTGCTAAAAAAATGTCATCATCAAAGTCGTCCAAACCCGTTTCTTTTTAAGTACAATCACTTTCAAAAAGTTCCATTTTTCAAATTCAGAACCTACCTTGTGGGTTTCCTTGGCAAAGGTATGATTGAACTAGAGATGGCGGCACCTCACTATTTCTCTCGTGTCACATGGCTTAACATAGCAGACATTCTTTCCCTATAAATAGGACCTTCCATGTTGCCACTTCAGCAATACAAATCAAAACTAAGATACACATTTTAGAGTTTCACCTAATTACACCTTGACCTTCCTTCAACATGGATACAAGACTCAAGTCTAGTGTCACTTTACTCACTCTTATTCCTCTGGCTTCTTTGTTTATCTCTTTGCTTCCTCTATCAGAAGCCAGGCCACTTAGTCCTTTACATGCCAAATATGGTACCATTAGAGAGGTAAATCGAGTCTTCAGGACATTGAAGAGTTCTGGGCCAAGCCCTGGTATTGGGCACAGGCTTAAAAAGCTTCAAGATTTAGGAGGGATGAAGGACTCTGGCCCAAGCCCTGGTGTTGGGCACAGGGTTAAAAGGCTTCAAGATCTTGGAGGGATAACGGACTCTGGCCCAAGCTCTGGTGTAGGCCACAAACTCAAAACGGTTCAAGATTTTGGAGTGATAAAGAATTCTGTTCCCAGTCCTGGTCAAGGACACAAGCACATCACCAACAACCATTCATAAAGTGCCCATTCTTTTGCATTTATATGCTGATGTTAAATATTCTTCTTTTAACTTATTATTATTATTATTATGAGAGATGATGTACTGCATATATATGAAATTAGGCAATAATCCTGATGTACTTGTTACCTAGGTGCATGTAATGTTGCCACTAAACTTGTTATTAATTGATGATCAAACTGAAAATAATACACATTGTGGGGTCTGCATTGTAACATGGCTTTGATCTGACCCTTGTGGATTATTTTCTTTTCTGCCTAATGCTATAGCAGATATATTCAGAACATCGTGGAGAAATTTTAATTTTTAGCGTATACTGCTTTGCAACATTTGTTTAATACAGATATGCAGTTTATATATAAGTCGCTCTACCAGTTCATTTTCTTCTCCATTTAAGAGAGATCAGTCCCAAAAAGCTAGGGAAAAAAAAAATGTTGTCTTTGCCAAAATCACGTAATGGCAAGTTTGATATATTTTCTAGAGGTAAACTGCTCGATTTCTGGTTTTTTTTATCAAATTTTACATACAAAATTATTCAACGACGTTGGTGTTGTTCACAAAGTTTTTGTATAAAAACTATCACAAATTATTAATAACTAATCAAGTTTAGAGTGCGAAATAAATATAATACAACCAATGCTGCTCATGTGGACCAATGATTAACATTCATTTGTATATACTTCTATTTAATGCAGAGTAAAAAGGTTACTCTTTTATGAAAGTGTTGAAAACAATTAGAAAAAAGAAGGTTGAAGTTGAAACAGATTAAGTAAAATAAAGAAAAGTCAAGAAAAGAAAATTAATGAATAATCTCGGTGATTCAAAATTCATCATTGATATAAAGATTCCTCCTTTAATATTTTTGTAAATCAGATATGCTCATCAACAAGCTCAAATAACTCATCTCTTCTTGCTTTTCAATAACTAAAACTCTTTAATTACTTTTCTTATGTATTAATGAGCAACCCTAAGCAAACTTTTAAAATTTAATTATTAAGATACAGAGAAATCACCATGATTACAAATATTTTATAATTAAAAATATAGAAAATGGGTATATATTTATGTACTTTATACGAGCTATACAGGTTCTCCTATGAAGCAAATTGAAAAGAAGAGAGAGAATCTTATGTCGGAGTTTGGAGAGCAAATTCGACAGAGAATTTGAAAATTTCCAAAATGACAGCAGACACATGATGTAAAGAGTGAATGTGACAAGACGAGTTAGCACAGTGTCATTCCCCTGACTTTCATGGATGGCAAAGCCTAATAATGGGCTAATAGTAATGCAAGCTTTTTTGTTTTTTGCTAAATGGGCTAATATTAGTTTATATCTCAAAACAATTTACACCCAGGTGGGCCTCCCTTCCTTCTTTTTTTATCCACTCACCACCAAAATGATAAACTAGATTTAGGCCCGTTTGTATAAGTTTTATGAAAAATAATTTTAAAGATTTATTAATAAGTATTTGTGATTTAGAAATTTTGTGAAAAGTAAAAATTATATTTTGTTTTGTTATAATTAAAAAATCAATTTCAAAAAGTCTCTAATATAACTTAATATTAAGTATGAAGTCCTCTGCCAAAATACTGAGTCATTAATTTATTCAATAACTCACCAATATAATTGCCAAGCAAAGGACAAAAATCAACAAAAAAAGGTGAAGATTAGTTAATGTTACTCTCCTTTGTCTTTGAAATTCATGAAGTATAACTGTAGAAAATTATTATTTACTAATAAATAAAAATTATCAAGTATTAATATAATATTTATTACTGTATTTTTATATAATAAAGAATATATTATTATTATTATTATTATTATAGAGTTTAAAAATTTATACTAACAAATAATGCATTATATTAATATTTAAAATATTGATAATATATATATATATATATATAGTCTTGTCATATAAACCTTTAATTAATGTAAAAATAGAATGTATTTAGTTAAGCTTGTGAAAATTGAATTAACTGTCATATAAGTTCTTAGCTTATCCAATAAATTTTACAAACTAAAAAATTATCAAAATAAACTTAAGGTGTGTTAGGTTTTTGGAGGAAAGATAGGGAAAGACTATTTAAAGTATATATAAAAACTTACATTAAATATGTAAAAGTAAATTTAATATTAACATATTATATTTAATTTATTTATTAGAACAGAACAAGGTAGGAAATATTGTTAAAAGCGTACAGTCCAAAATTGCGAATGGGGGACAAGCAGTGCCAAATTGAAGATGGTTTTGATTTTAGAAGGATGAATGTTGCAGTGAAGTTGCATGGGGTTGGTATAGAAGCACATTTATGCCATAAAAGGATATTAGACAAAATAAAATGGGGTCTCCACCTTTCAGCAATGAAATTCATTCTCTTACTTCCAAGCAAAATAAACTCTTTCTCCTTCAAATTTAAACTCATTTGCTTGCGTGTTGTAGTTTCACTCAGAGCCAAGAGTGATAGACTAGTGTCATACGTCTTTGTAATTAGTCAAAGCGCCAAAGGTTGAGGATCGATTGAGAATTGGCTAGTCAATGCATTCCCTTGCTCCACCTCAACCCAACCATGTACAATACAAAGCCAAACTGATATAAACAAATCTATGCTTATCTCATTTGGATTTTATGGAATATGAACAAAAAAACTGATAAAGGGGGAAAAATAATTGTAAACACTTCAGACTATTTTTTCTTTTTTGTTGCGTTGTTCAAATAATTGTTAACAAGTTTTGTTTTATAATATTTTCTTTGTGTAGCATTGCTGTATCATTTTATTATGACTTTGTTATGTCTTTAATGTGCCGTTTGGCTGTTCTTTGAATTTTAATCCTATGATTGTTAACAAAAAAAAATCTGGACTCCGGATATGCCAGGAAAAATATGCATAAATGACTTTAAAAAATGATACTAATTGTTTGAAAAAATATATATATACTCAAAAGTTTAGCTACAGACAAAAGTAATTCATGCAGGTTTGCTGATCTACCAAACTGGTGGCTGATCTCATGTTAACTGAAAAGGTATTCAGTGTTTCTGCGTACAGTGCATTGAACTTTTTTGTGATGATTTATTTACATGCATGAATGTGGTTCGTCCATTTAACTTGCATTTGAAAAATAAAAAGCACAAAAGTATATATTCCAACACACACTCTTTCTGTCTCTATTTTCACAATAAAGAAAAGTGTAAAAATGACTAAAAAATTTAATGTCTAAATAACAAAGTTATATTATAAACCAGTCTGTTCTGAAGACAACAAAGGATTCATATAGCTTTAGGGTACACAGTTTGAGTGTCTATACTAAACACCATGCATAAATTAAAAAGTAATTTTTTTACAGTTGTATTGGGTGACATAAACATCTAAACGGGGTGTTAAAATAATATATGTAATGTCTTAATGATACAGATTTGATATTCACTTTTTGACACAATTAATTACATAATCTGTTTTCATAAGTGGTCTAAAAAATTGGTGTTTGATTTTATATTTTAGACAATGATTTTATTACAGTAATCATGAATAGAAAAAATTATTTTCTATATTTATGATAGTTTTTTAATTTCCGACACGATTTTTCATCGTTGTCATAAAAAAAATATTGTAGTGAATATATTTATCATTTACTTCCTTGAAATATTTTATGGAGTTTAAAACTTGGAGGGGCAAAATATTATGTAAATGGAAGGTGTCAGCGCTGGTAGTTTATGGGCATTATGACATTATGTTATCAATGAACAGTGCCTGGTTGTGATTCGTGACTCAAGTATGTAGGACATGACACACTCCTATACGAACAACACTATAAAAGGAAGCGAACTATGGTGAACTCTTCACAAGTTGCAAACAAGATCATATACAGCCCCTGCAAGCCTAAATTAATATTGCCTTATTCATTTGCAGAATCTAGCTCCCCTACATGGCTGCAAAACTCCAATCCTTTGCCTTCATCGTTATCCTTTCATCGTGCTTATGGCTAAACATCCAAAATGGGATGGCACGGCCACTTAACACTTTAGTGCTGCATAAAGATGCTGATCAAGAACCGAAAAATGCTATTTTGGACTCATCACACACAGTTGTGAGAAGCTTGATTGTGGAAGGTGATCATACACAGAAGACCATCTTTCGGAAACTAGAAATTGACGGCAATGGTCCAAGCCCCGACGGACAAGGGCATAAAGGGACACCAAATTTATCCTCTCAACTCAACAATTAGAGTTTCTTAACGGACAAAGTTACCGTACTCAAATAAAACTTTTCGTTTTTATGTTATTTGAAATACTTTACTTCGTTCTGGTGGGATTGTGTCTTCTGTCGTTGTCATTGTCTTTCTGTGTTTCGTTTTTCTTTTCTTCTATTGTTATTATTGTTGTTATAGTGAATGTCTTTGTCATTGTCGATCGATTGTGATTCTGGGTTGAGATGTTAAGCTTTGCTTGACCCTACTGAACAATATAACGTACAATTAATGCAGTATCTATTTATTTTTATATCTGAAAGTTTAATTCATCAGAATTCTCACGTGTATTTTTTCACCTTCTCAATCTTAATTTTGAGAATTTGATCATGTAAAACTATCTGTATCACTTTATATTATAGTTCTTCCAAAATTTTGATCATTAAGTTAATATTTTTAAAAAATTATGTTGTCATTTTAATTTTTTAAAGATTTCATCGCCAATTTTTTAAAAAACTTAATTTGTCGTCAAAACATTTTTTTTATCATTAATTCAGTCTTCGATAAAGGGTTTTTATGATGATGACATTATAGATATTTAAATGATTAATTTAGAAAAAAAGTTAAATATTTACATAATTAATATGATGATAAAATCTTACAAATTTAATATGATGACAATTTAAATATTTAAAAGACAAATTTGATGACCAATTTTTTAAAAGATAAATACGATGATGCAAATGACTTTGAAGGACCAAACAGATTATTTTTCTTTAATAAATTATCTAATCATCAATAATAATTAATTTTATTGTATTTAAGTTAAAATTTATATTTACAACATAATATTCTGATTACTTAACAATATAAAAATGTTGATATAAACAATGTATCAAAATTAAAGTGATATTTTAAACTCTTCTAATTTTTTACTTCATTTATTTTTAAATTAGATATCCTTCGCAGTATGATGTGAGATTAACTTTGCATGAAATTGGTTCAAAATTATTCTAATCATAGTTTTTCTTTTTGGTACATCTAATACAAAGTTTAAATAATCAAATAAATGTTAGGTTATAGACTCTAGGACCACTGTGCTTTAGTTACCAGGAAAATCATGAATGAATGAATGGGTTCACCAAATTAAAGAGACACAGTGATTCATGCAGGTTGCATATCTACCAAACTAGTGGCTGGTCATATGATGAAAGGAAGAATGACCTTATTCATGTTACTGGAAAGAGTATACACTGTATCTAGTTCAGAATGCATTTGCCTCCCTCGTTAGAGATGGCTAACACCAACGTCGTTCATCCATTTTAGTTTTAACATATGATTTAATAAAGATAAATATATTAAATGTAATAAAATTTATTAATTAAAAATTTTAATATATATTTTAAAAATAATTAAAAGATTATATAAAAGATAAATTTTATACTTAATCGGATGGTATTGTAGTTTTTAAAATTAATAATTTGTTTAACGCAAGAAATATAACAATTGTGACATTATCATATGACGAGATTAGAACTGACAAAATATTTTGCTATATCTAATATAACAGGTAACATCTAATTAAAGATATAAAATTTACATAAACTTATATAATTTGATTTCCAATTTAATTAAAGATATAAAATATTAATTCTTAAAATTTAGATGATTTATTTTCTATTTTTAAAAAAATTATAAAAAATATTATTTTTCATTTGGTTTGAATAAGTTTTTTAATTTGAGTGTGATATTTTAGATACAAATTCACACAATTAGCATATATTTGACTTGTTATAAATCGAAATATTATTAATTTAATTTTTCACAAATTAATATGATAAAAATATCAAAAGAAAAATATTTTCAAATGCAAAAAAATATAATATATGAACGAAACGAAGCATGAGATCCAAATAGAAAAAAAACTTTATTTTATATGTTTTGAGATTGAAATAAAAAAATTAGATAATATGCAGTTAATTATATAGAAACAATTATTGCATTTTAGTACACATTTATTGGATATATAAGACGCAAATAGATTAAAAAAACCATGAGCTTTGAGTAGAGGTTGTAATATGCAAGCAAGTTGCAAATGTCAGATATTTAAAAAATTGTAAACAAAATCTAAAAAATTAAAAGATACAAAGTTATTTTAAAGAAGGAAAATCTAGAAAATAAAAACAATGAAAATATTAGTTAAATAAAAAGGAAAGATGAACTTATTCTGGGAAAGAATATGAAAATAGTTAAAATGAACTTAAAAAATGTCAAAAACATAATAGTAAAAACTAAATATCGTTTTTATATATATATTAAATTTAAAATTGAATAGATTATCTGAAAATTTTAATGACGATTAAATCAAATTTCAATGATGATCAAATTTTAATATTTGAAAATCACAGCGAATGAAAAACAATGTATTTCTTAAATTATTTCAATTTTATGCTTAAAAATATAAAATAGACGCTATTTATTAAAGTCAGACATTAACAATAATATTTTAAAAACTAAAATGCTTATCTATACAATTTCAAGTAAATCAAACAAAACCTCCTCTAAGCAACAGTATAAAAACGAGTGCGCAACAAGCAAAATCATAATACAGCCTCTAAACTCAAATTTAACTGATTGATTTGGTTGAAGCAATTACTTGTAGTCATGGTTGGAAAATTCGAAAGCTTTGCCTTCTTTCTCATGGCTATGCATGCAACAAGGGATGTCTCGGCCACTGAACGCTTTGGTGCTGCATGGAGATGCTAATGAAGAACCAAAGAGCACCTTTCTGAAGTCGTCGCACATGATTGTGAAGCACCATATCATTCCAAAAATAGCACTTCACAACGGTGGTCCTAGCCCTGAAGGACCAGGGCAAAAAAGTATAGGTGGACCACGATGTGTGTTCCCTCAACTTATCAATTAGAGCTTCATAATAGCCAAGAACTTACCATTCTTCTATATATATTTTCTATCATGTTCAGTGTCCTTTTGTGAGTTTGCTTTCTAATAGTGAATGCTTTCTATTCCGTTTTGCCATAATAATTATGGGCCTTGAATACAATTCGCTTAAAAACAAGCACAAATTTGTGTTAAATATGCTCATTAATTAACTTGAAGACATTGACACTTGGTCTTTTATTTCTTAATTTAAACAAGCTTGAGTAATCATTTGCCCAAAAACAATCTATGCTTTCTGATCTTAGACCTAGTCATAAACCCTCTGAAATTCTAATTTCCTTTTCCACGAACAGTGTATTATATTTGATTGATTTTATAATTATATAAAATTATTTATTTTTACGTCTTTTAATGTTTATAATATATCACGATGTTTTGTATTTATAAAGTTTTGTTCTTTAATTATTAAATTATATGTACATTTGTTTTAAAATAAAATATCTGTGTATCAGATTACTCAATTAAATTATTTGATCTTTATAAAAAAAAATGCTTTACTGATAAATGCAAAAAAAAATAAAATTAGTTATTAGTTAATAAAATAATTAATGATTTTTAATTTGACACCAATGCTAGATATTAATATTGAAAAATATATATATATATGCATTTATTAGAATGATGCAAATTAGATAATATTTTCAACAGATATTAGATATGAGAGATGAAAGTTTGGTGAGGCAAATTTTAAAGTGTAAAATAAATAAAGATTAAAAATATTAATAGACAAACGAACTCTGCTGTTAATATAAGTTAAAATGATAAAATTAAAAATTTCATCTTCTAAATATATTAGTTTACTATGTACAGTAATATGTTGTACTTCGTATATTTAATTTATATATTATATCGTCAAATTATTTATATACACGTAACTAATTATTTAAATATTTAAATTCACTCTTAATATACTAAAATTTACAAATTTTAATATTTAATAATGTACGTAAATACTGCACAATTTTATAAGCCGACCTAATAAGAAGGTACGTAAGTCGTCCTACAGCTAATTAATTGATTAGTAAATTATTATATTTTTTATTTTTGATATTTTTATATTCTTTAATTGAGAAGTAAAGATATATTTAAAAAAGTATGATAAAAAATGGGGTTGTAGCATTTTTGAATTGATTATCCTGTTTGGGCACTTTATAAGCCAACCCCTTCCACTCGTCTCATTTCCCTTTCCCACTTTCTTTGTGATAATTGTGAAACCAATCTATCGATGGCAGAGGACAGAAAGGAAGAACTTCATGTTCTGTTGGTGGCATTTTCAGCCCAAGGTCACATCAACCCTTTGCTAAGGCTAGGCAAAAGCCTCCTAACCAGAGGCCTCCACGTCACACTCGCCACCACCGAATTAGTTTACCACCGCGTGTTCAAGTCCGCCAACACCGCCAATACCGGTGACACCACCACCGTCCCCTCTTCTATCACCACTAACGGAATCCAAGTGTTGTTTTTCGCCGATGACTATGGTAGCGGCCAAGACCACAAGTTGACCAACCCTGACCAATACATGGAACTTATAGGACAATTTGGACCTGCCAACCTTTCCAACATCATCAAAGACAACTTCCTTAATGGTTCCAAGAATCTAGCTTGTATTATTAACAACCCCTTTGTTCCATGGGTTGCAGATGTAGCTGCCCATTTCAAAATCCCATGTGCTTGTCTCTGGATTCAACCATGTGCTCTCTATGCCATATACTACCGTTTCTACAACAAGTCCAACAAATTTCCCACTCTCGAGGACCCTGAAATGAGTGTCCACTTACCAGGTCTTCCTTTGTTACAACCACAAGACCTTCCATCTTTTGTTCTTCCATCAAACCCCTTTGGAACATTGCATAAGGTTCTGTCCGAGATGTTCCTAGACATGAAGAAGCTCAAGTGGGTGTTGGGAAATTCATTCCACGAGTTAGAGAAAGAGGTAATAGATTCCATGGCTGAGATATGCCCAATAACAACGGTCGGTCCACTTGTCCCTCCATCGTTACTAGGCCAAGATCAAAGTGAAGACATTGGAATCGAAATGTGGAAGCCACAAGACTCGTGCATGGAGTGGCTCAACCGTCAAGTTCCTTCTTCTGTTATATATATCTCATTTGGAAGCATCGTTGTGTTATCATCCAAGCAATTGGAGAGCATAGCGAAGGCTGTAAAAGACAGTAACCGTCCTTTTCTTTGGGTCATCAAGCGTCGAGAAGGAGAAGAAAGTTTGCCACTGCCAGAGGAGTTCTTGGAAGAGACCAAAGAGCAAGGCATGGTGGTGCCATGGTGCCCACAAACGAAGGTGTTGGTTCACCCTTCAATAGCGTGTTTCTTAACACACTGCGGGTGGAATTCAATGCTGGAAGCCATCACTGCAGGCACGCCCATGATTGCTTATCCTCAATGGACCGATCAACCCACAAACGCTAAATTGATTTCTGATGTATTCCGTTTGGGGATTCGTCTTAAGCAGGACAGTGATGGTTTTGTTGCACCAGAGGAGGTGGAAAGAGCTATTGATGAAATTGTTGTTGGGCCAAGGTCGGAGGAGTTTAAGAAAACTGCGTCGGAGCTTAAACGGGCGGCGGGGGAGGCGGTGGCTGACGGTGGCTCGTCGGAACGGAATATTCAATCATTCGTGGATGAGATTATTGGTGCCAAAGTTGGATGATAGAGACCGTCGGCGAACACTCTTGGAAAGTAACACTGTTCAGTAAATTGTCGTTATTGAATGCTAACGTCATTATGGTTTTGGGTTACGCCATGACTATAATTGGCCACAAAAGAATTCAAAGCTTGTTTCTTTCTTTATTTCTTTCTTACTATGAATATAGTTTGCTGCTTAGGGTCATTTGATAGCAAGTGGGTGGTGGGAAGGTCTATGTGTTTTTGTCTTTTTTTCTTACTTGTCCATTTCTATCCTCTTTCAGATATTTTGGTGAACATTTTTTAAGAACTACATAGTGCCTGGTTGATACAAAGTCTTCATTTCCCACCAAATTTTACTATAATCGTCTTCTTAGTTCGTGATTCAACCATCTTATTAGTAGAATCGTTAAAATGGGTTAATTTACTTACTTCAGTTATATGCATCACCGATCAAGTTACTCGTTTATGAAACACTCGTTTATTAGTATATCTCATTTCACGTTAGGACGTGCATCTACGTTTACTTTAATATTTAAATACTTTTAAACGTGTTTTTTAATACACACTACATCATTTGTTAATATCTTTTAATAACTTATATATTTAGCTGTTTTAAAATTTTTCATAAATCTTTTAACTTAAATAAATAAAATTACTTTTAGGACCGTAAATTACATGATTGATTTTTAATTTAAACCAGTGATTACAACTTTTGTCATCTGCATGAGCCCATTAAAAACACCTTGTTTACTATACACAACTACACAAGTGTAGATGACTTATATTTAGCCTCTCAAGTGAGAATTTCAATTGAGGCCCAAGTTTCCACCCATGATATTTAGTCTCAAGTTGCCTTTACATGCTTAAAAATCAGCGTCTAATTTTGCAATATGATATTGTATTTGTATCCCATTAAAATTATGTTTGTTTTAAAAAAAACATTTGTTAAAAAAAATGTCTCTTTTTTATTCAATTGATGAATTCTTATTAAATTTATAATTTAAAAAAATATAAATCATACTTTAAAACTTCTAACTAAGAAAATAAGTTTACTTAAAATCATCACACAAAGACAAAATTGTTTTGTTTGCAAAGATGTAGGGTAAAAATGAAAAAAATTAATAAAAAAGAAGAGGGAGTGGAAGTTAGCTAGTACTTTCTATATTTTAAATTGGACTCATCTGAATAATAATTGCATTGATTAAGATTTTAAAATAAAAGCATAAAAACTCAACAAAAACACACCATTTATTAAACGAAATAAAACATCCTGTTATACTTTTAATAATCATAATATTTTTCGTTTTAAATGATTTGATGTTTAAAATTTTTTTACTGATTAGAGAGAAAAAGAAAAGGTGAAAAGAGGTCCAATGACTTTTTAAGAAAAATGCATCAAGCTTTATCTTTTGGGCTACAAAGAGAGGAGAATCGAATATCTATTTGTCGACCAAAAAGGCAAAAAGAACGAACAAACAAATCTGTAGTGGATTGAACTCTCGATGGGAAATACGTGATTATGAATGCAAATAGGAAAATACGTGAGAGTTTATTTTTGTTGCATAGATAATGATTTCGGTGTCTATGTATTTCATATTACTATTTATTTAAATGAAATATTTAATGGGTCTTTTATTACAAAAATTCGTAATATGAGAAATGTAATTTTAGTAATAAGATTAATTTAAAATTTTGATAAAATAAAATACAGCAACCAAATTGAAAATTTAACTTAATTAAAAGTATTCTAAAATAAAATTTAAATATAAAATATAGTTAATATATAATACGTAAGTGTATTAAGTAAAACTGATAAAAATGAACTATCCATTCCATTTGAGCTAGTTCACAGTAGACAATGAATTTTGGCGATTCAACTGAAAAATTCACCTCTAATTTAAACTTATAAAATAGTATTTAAGACAAATAAAGTCTAATTAGACAAATTTATTTTAATAGTTCTAATATTAAGTAATAATTATTTGTTAGAAATGATAAACATTATTATATACTCATATATATATATATATATATATATATATATGTGTATATAAATCACACTAATTTTTTTATCATTTATATTTAATTATATATTTAAAATGAACTATTCTTATAAAAAATAACCTAATATGCCCTCGATATATACGTATGTGCTGACGCACTCAAGAGTTAGACATGTTATACATATACTCATTTTAATAATTTTTACAAATAATTTATGCTTTTGTTTGATAAATAGGTGTTTGTTTCAATGGTTTTTTCAAAAAAAATATAATTATTTATTTTAAAAATACTCTTATAAATTTATGAAAGATAAATAGTTATTTCGTTTAATATATATTAATTTAATTTGATTCTAGTTATTAAAATAAAAACAAAATAAAGTCTTAGCACAAGGAGAATTTGTTGCCCACACGTCTCCTCCTCGTACGGATAAACCAAAGCAATACTGTAAGTATAAATTTTTATTATTAATCCAATTTTTACTAAACCAAAGCTATATTAATCAAATTATAATAGTTAATAATTTCATTTAACAGAAAATAATAATTTTTTTCATATACAAAAATTTGAATTTAAAATTTTATTTAAAGTATATCAAATCGCTTATGTCACCTAAATTAATTTTTATTAATTTTTAAACAGTATTTTTAATACATATAGAGCGAGGGAAAAAATAGATAAATATAAATTGGATAAAGATGACGTATATATTATTTATTTAATCTCAGCTTCGATTTTTGAGGACACAAGTACATAAGTGATGAGGTCTCGAGCTTTAATCTTTTATTGGAGCTTGTGGATGGAGTTTCTATTAAGTTACTACAAGAAGATAAATGAGTATAGAGGGCAGATTCTTCAGGTTGTTATTCAGTGCAATCTGCGTATTCATGGCTATTTGAACTTTTTGGTGGTCCTAATAGTGTAAATCAGTGTACGGTAGATGCTTTGCAAAGGCTATGGAGAGGGAAGGTCCCTCTTAAGTGTCTGGTTTTTTCTTGGCAATTGTTGTTAAATGCACTTCCTTGTAAAGGTTTACTGAATGATCGTGGTGTTCAAATTGATGATATAACTTGTTGTTTCTGTCATGGTTTGGAGGAACTTCTAACTCATTTATTTTTAACATGCTCAGTTTCATCTCAAATCTGATATTTTACTGCGCGTTGGCTTGGATTCTCACTGGTTTTGCCTTCAGATTTATCGACTCACTTGCTTTCTTGGGTTAGTGTTGGCTGTAGTAAAAGAGAAGGAATATGCTTATTAATTATTTGGGTAAGTACAATGTGGTCTTTGTGGTTGCATAGAAATAGAATTATATTTTCCAATGGTGTTTTGGATGAGAAGAAAGTCCTAGATTCTATTATTCTGAGATCTTGGAAATGATTATCACTTGTTAGTAAGGGAGAAACTATTATGTTAGCTGATTGGTATTTGAACCCACGAAATTACATCTGTCTTAATTTTGCATAAGTATATTTTTGCTTTTTATTTCTCTGAGTAAGTAATTTTTTGTATATATGAGTTTTGAGTTCCCCTTAAACTCTTTTTAATAAGATTTGTTTTGCCTATAAAAAAAAAAGTGATGAGGTTATAGCTAATAATGTCATTTTCTAATACAAGGTTTAATCTTCCATATTAGTGTATATATGTTTTTATTATCGTTTTCAAATTTGATGCAACTTTAATTTTTAAAATAATGTATTTGAATAAAGCTGTATTTTTAAAAAATATATATTTTTACAATATTTTTAAAACACACTTTTTTGTGTGGGTAAAATGGTGTGCATTGTCACAAGTACTGACAGCTAATGATTGCGACTGAAGTTGGTTTCGTGAATTATTATTGGAAAAGTCGTGGCCGCATGTAATAAAATAACACCCTGCACAAAATATACCTTATTATTGACTTTATAATAATTTTTAACTATAAAATTATAACTATTGCCACTCTGAAATATTTTATTGACCACGAATAACAATAGATAAAGCATTCAGAAAATTTATTTATAATGAGTACAATATTTATATGTTATATAAATATAAATATAAATATAGATAAAACTCACAAATTTTAATAGAATTGAGTGCGGTTATGAGTATATATGTATATATATATATATGCTTAAAATTTATTCTATAGTTATACATTAAATTTATGTATTATTATATTACTTATGTGAAGTTATATAAGATTAATATAAAAATATATTTAATAATAAAGTAAACTAAAAAAATTATTTTTATTTATATTTTTAATAAAAAAATTTATTTATTATTTCATATTATTTAATTATTACATAGTTGATATAAAATTGACTTTTTTTAAAATATTATTTATATATGACACACATAAAATATTTTTCACACAAATATCTTTATTAATAAAATCATATTGATATTTAAATCATAAAGTGAATGATAAATAATAAATATATTGTAAATATTTTATAAATTTTACAATCACTTACTATTACCGTAAACTTATTATTTATTGATAATATTTAAATTTTATTTTTTATATTTTAATTTAAAATAATATTTTTCTATACAACATATGTATTACAAGCACAATTATAATCGATATAATCTAAATAATATTATTTTTATTATTTATTCATATTTAATGAAGTTTTTAAAAAGATATAAAATATAAAAAATTATTGTTAATTTTTATTTGTTAATTTTTTTTAGATAAAAGAATATAATTTTTTAAATATACACATATATTTTTTTATTATAATATTTTATTGTGACTATTTATCTTTTATTCAAATTTTTATTTTAAAATTTATATACATTATAAATATTTAATTCATTAAAATAATTTTTCAAAAATTTATATTTTTGATAAAATACTTTCGTATAGTATATGAGTTAAAAATACTAGTATTAATATATATATGTGTGTGTGTGTGTATTAATTATATTATTTTAATTAAATATATTATTTTTCTTATAATTTTAAATTCAAAAGTTAAAAAAAAAATTATGTATCCACTCTTTGTTGTTAGTACTTGAACTTCTTTATCCTAACTTTATTCTAATTCTCAATTTCTGTCTTATTAAAACCTAATAACTATGAAACATTATTCATTAGAGTTAGTTGTCAATGCCGCCACAAGAGGTCACCAAGTGATCCCATACTAAGGGACACCTATTGTGCAGATATATTTTGTTGTCGCTTTGACATTGCCGATCGATTGAATCTCACATAAGATAGGGTTATCACTGACAAATAACTTGTGTGTTTAGTTTCGCTTATTATTTCTAAAAATTTTAGTTTAGAAAATTATTATATTAAGATATATTTAGCACTTGTGATCTTTAAATATTTATTTTTTTTATCTATATTTGTACCTTATTCGGCAACTACATATTAAATTTTTGTATTATTATATTACTTATGTGAAATTATATAAATATATTTTTTTTTTATAAATATCTTTTCTCAAACAAGCACGGGTAATGGGTACAAGATGAGTATGTCATTAATCCATAAGGATCAGACACCTATATTACAGGACCCTACAATCCATAAATCCCACATGGGGTGTGGAAGGTTTTGATCATTTTGTTCCAGGGGAATAGCTTCTTATCATATTGCAGCAGGAACATTGGGCATATTAGCGGGTCTTTTCCATCTTAGTGTGCGTCCACCGCAACGTCTATACAAAGGATTGCTTATGGGAAATATTGAAACCGTCCTTTTCAACAGTATCGCTGCTGTCTTTTTTTGTAGCTTTTGTTGTTGCTGGAACTATGTGGTATAGTTCAGCAACTACTCTCATTAAATTATTTGATCCCACCCAGAAAATATGGATACAAAAATTAATGTTCATATCCAAATATGAAACTGAGTATGACTATCTTTTTAAAATGCGAGTATAAGAATAGATATTATAATACTCTACTCATACTATATCCATTGCTATCCCTATTATTTACCACTTCAAAGTAACAAAAATCAATAAAACAAGACTAAAGGTGTAAATTACAAAGTAACACTCTTATGCAAACAAAAAAAATTCCTGATTTAATAGTGAATTAAATAATCTCTCCCTTTCTTCCTCTTTTTCACACTCGGTAAACATCATACCAATCAATGTAAAAGTATTTTAAATATACAAAATTTTATTTTATTATATGAAATAAATTTCTTAAACAAATTAGTTAGATGTTGTCATAATGTTATTCTAGAATGAACGAAAAGTCATATCGTACATCGCTGTCGGCAATGCAAGTTGCGATGTTCTCAAATGCGATTGCAGCTGGTATATTTATTAAAGATGTTAAAAAAATACATTATCATTGTGAATTAAGCTAAAATATTTTCACTATTTAATATTTTTTATAAAATATAAAACTCATTAATCTAATTTTCAGTTTGAATATTATTATTAAAAAGTCAAATTTATAAATATGAAATAAATAAATATTTTATTATATTTTGTTTCAATTTATAATATATCTTTAAAATATAAAAAAATATCAACCTACAAACATGTAATTATATATATTTTGATATAACGTATGAAATAATTCATCAATTAAATTAATAAATTTTATAATTTATAAAAATTATTGAGTGTTAAATATCGTAAATACTTGAATTTTAAACCCAATATCAACTTATTTTCAATTAAAATATATTAAAAATACACTTTGGTCTTGTTGTAAATAAATATATATAATTTTAATTTATTATTAATATTCTTCAAAACATTTCAATTTTGATATAAGATAAAAGTTATTTCTTATTTTATAATTTATTTTGGTACTTCTTACAGTACGTTTAAAATTGAAAAACATTATATATTATTTTTAAATTAAAAAATGTGATTTCTTTAATATTTTGAAAATATTTATTTATTAATTCATCATGTAATAGAGCATAAAATATTTCTTATTTCAAAGAATTCAGTAAAATTTATCATTTATCTTTTAATAAATAAATGAATTCATTCAATCTTGTTTTCAACCAAAGTTAAACTTCCAAACCTACCCAATCACCAACTCACTGTGTTTGTCTTGCGTATACGAATCAACTATGATTTTCCAAGCGTATCAACTTTTTGTAGGCTTCTTATTTTTTACTTTCAACTTAAAGTCAAACGATATTATTAAAAACAAATTAAACATAGACGTTCAAAAAAGAGAAGATATAAAATAGGAACAATAAATATTAATAAATAATGTAATATAAGTGTATAAAATAAAAAAAATAAATAGTTGTGAAAACTAGGTATTAACTCTTCAGTAGTTGGATGCTGTCCAGTCTCGAAGCAGAATGATCCCATGATAGCTGAACCGAACGTACAAAATGGATATTAATACTGTTACTAATGTGTTTAAAAATTCAAATTATTATTATAAAACAGTACATGGGTGTGTGAGGAGGAAGGGCATAAAGCAGGAGAGAAAGTATAAGATTTTCTGTGAAGAAACACCTCATTATCCACGAATAATTATATAATCAAAATTGATTTCTTTAACTTGACGTGTCTTCTACAGAAACGGTGGCACAAAATATTATTATAAATTATTAAATTTGAGGTAGAACAATACATCTATTTTGTTTATTAATTATTTTTATCATCTATCAAGTCAGAATGATTAAAAGGTATATAAAGTATATACCCGTGCCACGTTATTTAAGGCTATTCGCAAGAAAAAGCAAAGAAGGAAGAGAATGATCGGGTCCGAAGCTCCCATTAACGTCTTCATGGTGTCCTTTCCAGCACAAGGCCACATAAACCCTTTGCTAAGACTAGGTAAGTTCCTCGCTGCAAAGGGTTTGTTCGTAACCTTTGCCACCTCAGAGACCGCTGGTAAAGACATGCGAACCGCTAACTCCATCAGTGACACATCAGTGACTCCAGTTGGTGATGGTTTTCTCAAGTTCGATTTCTTTGAAGACGGTTTAGCAGATGATGATCCCATTAAGAAAGAACTCAGTGATTACTGTGCTCATCTTGAGCTTGTTGGGAAGCAATACGTTTCCCACATGATCAAGAAGCATGCTGAGGAAAACAACCCAATATCATGTATCATAAACAACCCTTTTCTTCCATGGGTTTGTGGTGTAGCTGCTGAACATGGTATTCCTTCTGCTTTGCTTTGGATTCAGTCTAGTGCTGTTTTCACCGCATATTATAGTTATTTCCACAAACTGGTACGTTTCCCGTCACACGATGAGCCTTATATTGATGTTCATTTGCCTTCTATAGTCCTTAAGTATAATGAAGTCCCAGATTTTCTGCACCCGTCTAGTCCATATCCATTTCTTGGGACACTCATATTGGAACAGTTTAAGAACTTGTCCATACCGTTCTGCGTGTTGGTGGACACCTTTGAGGAACTAGAGCATGATTACATCAACTATATTTCAAAGTTTGTGCTTATGAGACCCATCGGTCCTTTGTTCAAAAACCCAAAAGCAAAAGGATCGAGAGATATACGTGGTGATTTCATGAAGAGTGATGATTGTATGGAGTGGTTGAACTCGAAGGACTCAGCATCTGTGGTGTATATCTCTTTTGGAACTATTGTGTTTCTGCCTCAAGAACAAGTGACTGAGATTGCACATGGACTTCTGGAGTCTAAAGTCTCATTTTTGTGGGTGATAAAGCCACCTCTTTTGGAATTGGGGCTTCAGCCTCATGTTCTGCCAGATGGGTTCTTGGAGGGAACAAGAGACAAAGGAAAAGTGGTGCAGTGGAGCCCACAAGAAGAAGTGCTGGCTCATCCTTCCGTGGCATGTTTTATGACACATTGTGGCTGGAACTCTTCAATGGAAGCACTAACATTGGGAGTGCCGATGTTGACATTTCCAGCATGGGGTGACCAAGTCACAAATGCAAAGTTCTTGGTAGACGTTTATGGGGTAGGGATTAAGTTGGGTTATAGTCAGTCTGAAAAGAAAGTGGTAAGCAGAGAAGAGGTGAAGAAGTGCTTGTTGGAAGCAATTGTCGGGCCAAAAGCAGAGGAGTTGAAGCGAAACGCGTTGAAGTGGAAAAGGGTTGCAGAGGCTGCAGTGGATGACGGTGGGTCCTCTGACGGACATCTTGATGCATTCGTGGAGGATGTGAAAAGACGTGGCGCTTTTGGCATCAACAAGATATAACGACCTTGATGCTATGATGTACAATCATCCGAAAGAAATAAATTCCTTAGTGCCATGTCTTATTTGGGGTGGAATTGCCAAATTAAATGCGGGCTGACCCGTGATGCTAAAATGTCCCGCTTCCAATTTCCATCTAAGACGATTAAATGTTCTGTATTCTTCTGTACTATTTAGGGACCGGAGCATTTAGTGCATTTTTTCAAAAATGAAAACAATGTAGTTAGATCAGAATCTACAAAATCCACTTTTATTTTACTAAAAATAGATTCGTTTAAAATTATGTAATATAGTAGCTGATAGCACCGCCTCAAGAAAGTGAAACTCCCGACAGACAGAGTGCCTTGCTCTCTGTTAGGGTTCCATATCTCCGGACGGTGGTGGCTCCTCAAGCCCTGCAAAGGATATGATATTTTCACAACGTCATCTCTTGAGTTTCCCTCAAAATCCCGCATTCATAGAGCGACCTAAAGCAAAGAAACGCTCAACTGAGTAAACAGATATAATGGTCCAAAGCAAGAAAAAGGTTTGAATGGAACTCTCCCTTCAACATTCCAGCCCTAAAGGGAATATGCAAGACAATAAAGATTTTGGAAACTCAGGAAATAAGGTGTCATCTAACCCTAACCTTAATTCATACTCTAAAGATAAGGTTTTTGCGTCTAAAGACCTAGATCTATTTCTTGATGATAATGAGATAACAAAATCAATCTTAGATGACTTTGATATTCTCTTAGATAATGATAAAAACGATACTCTTGATCTAATAGATAATTTTTTAAATCTTTATTGTGATATTCGTGTTTCTCTAAAAGATTACAAAATATTGTGTTCTTTCTAGAAACAAATATTAATAATAAAACTCTTAGATAAATTTATTAGGTTTAGTTTTTTATTGAGAAACTGAATAATATTTTGGAGAAAAATAGATCTCTCACAATATTAAATTATAATAATGACTTTTTTTTTATAAAATCTGAAAGCTTAAAAGATTACAAATTTGCATTATTCAAAAGACCCTATATCATTCTTGACCATTACCTCCTTATCCAAAGATAGAGGCCCCTATTCAGGCCAAAGACCAATACCTAAGGAAATAGTTATATGAGTTCGCATATCAGACTTACATTTAGAGTTGTATAATAAAAAATTTCTTTGTTAAGTAGGTCGTTGTTTAGGGTCCATGTTCAAAGTGGATCTCCATACCTCTCCTGTCGAAAGGTAGATTCACTAGGATATGTGTCAAATTAGATCTTAAGAAGAAACTCATCCCCTCTTTTAAAGTTTTAAGTCAAGAGTTTCGAGTAAAATATGAGTTACACCATATTTGTTTTAATTATAGGTGATATGGGCATCATGTAGACTTGTGTCCTGAGGCCCCTAGAGTCAACCCTGAACTTAGTGATCCCAATTGTTCCCTAAATACCCCTATGGATGTGGCTGCAGTGAATATGTTTCTACTCCTACTTTAAATCAAGATAGACCCCCAATCCCTACAGATGTTATTCCTCATGAGAATTAAGGATCTTTTGGACTTTGGATGCTGGTTAAAAAACCTTTAAGAAAAAAAAGTATCTCAAATTAGATCTTTAGGAACTTTGAAAGCTATTGATAAAAGTCAACCACATCAATCAAGGTCTAGGTATGATATACTAGGTGCCTCTAACTATGAGCAGGAATTAAATGAGGACTTGGAGAATAGGGAGTGAGACAAAGAAATCTAAGCATGGTAAAATTGGTAACATAGGGCAGCTTGCTTATACTAAATTGAGTCCTCCTAATAAACTTGTTGGAGACCCAAGGCTAGGTACTACCACTAGGAAAATCTAGAAAACTAAATCTAAATCTAGGTCTGATAAACATGTGGATGATAAGGTTGAGCCTCCCATGATGCAGAACCTAAATCTCCTAGTCAATCAACACAGGCTTTCTATTAGAGTGATACTTTTCAATTAATGAGACACATTGAAAATGACCTTATCCATAATAATCCCAAGGGATGTCTATCCATGACCTTTTGGATGTAAACTATGGGGCGAATTGGCTTCACCCTCATATTAAGAAAGGTGACCAAGAGAAAAAAATCCCCTATATTAGACCTCCAAATGGAGGTTGATTACAATAACATACCATTATCCCAGTTTCCTATCTCCTATAATAAGCCCTCTCAGTCAGAGTCTATTTCAATCAGTGACTAGCATCCTCACGATGCACCCCAATAGAGTTGTTATAGGATTTATGAATTGTCTTTTCTGAAATTGTAGGGGAGTTTAGTGTAAAACCTTTCCAAAGATAATAAATGATTTAGTTAATTTGTACAACCTAGACTTTGTGACTTTATTTGACCTATAATTAGTTCTATCAAGGCTGACAGGATTATTCAAAGACTTAACCTAGACAATTCTATCAAAGTAGATGTTGTGAGGTATTCTAAGGGGATTTGGTATCTCTGGAACACTGATAGGGTTAAAATTTCAATCTTATCCAACTCTAAGTACATTGTCTAACTTTTAGTTCATAACATAGAAAGGGAAGATTGGATCCTGTCTTTCATTTATGCCAGCCCTCATATCAGTCAAAGAATAGAATGTTGGCAGGACCTTATAGATTTCAGTTCCTTTGTGCATAGCCCCTAGCTTGCTGGCTAGGGATTTTAATTCTACCCTCTTTGACTCTAAAAATGTTAGGGACAAATCTACTAACCCTTTGTACTTAAAACACTTTGTTGATTATCTTAATAAGTGTGATTTAGTTTACCTTGGCTATAAAAGTAATCCGCATATCTTGAGTAGGGGTAATCTTAAAGAAAGGATTGACAGAGTAGTGGTTAATGAGGCTTGAAATCTAGCTTTCCAGCACAACTCTATTATTCATATTCTCATCCCTAAATTAGACCATGTAGGCCTTTGGTTGAGGATTATGAGTATGGACTTTTTTCTAGAAAGGAATAAACCTTTCAAATTTCTTGCCCTTTGGCTAACTCACCTTGACTTTAATAACCAAGTTAGAAATTCTTGGTTGTCTACTAGTTCTTAGAATGAAAACAGTAATAAGTTTAAGGCTAATATCTCTAGCTGGAATAGAAAATTTTTTTGCAATATTTTCAATAGGAAGAAGCGCCTTTTTAGGAGAATTGAAGAAATCCACAATAAACTTGCCTATGGCCACAATCCTTTCCTCTCTAACCTGTTAAACACTCTTTGGAAAGAGTATCAAATTATCCTAGATCAAGAGGAAGTCTACTAACTTTATCGTTATAGGAGTACCTAGGTCTGTTTAAGTGATAGGAATACCAAGTTTTTTTATAGAGCAACTGTTCAACGTAGTCATAAAAACTTAATTGAATATTTGAAAGATAATAAGGGGAGTTGGATCTATGACCCTGCCAAGTTGAAATTCATGGCCCTTAGTTATTTTAGAGATATTTATCATGACCCTAATCCTGATGACAATAACCTGACCTGTCAGGTTTCTTTCCCTCCCCTTAGAGAGGAGGATAAGGTATCCCTTCTCTTAAGCATATCCCTAGAGGAGGCCAAAGCTGCTCTCTTTAATATAGCTAATCTTAAATCTCTTGGTCCTGATAAGATCCATACCATTTTCTTAAAAAAAAATTAGTGGCAATTCTTTGCCCCTCTTATCTTCAAATTTGTTCTGGATATTTTCAATAATCCTTCTAAGATCGCCTCAATCAATGAAATTGGGATAACTCTTATCCTTAAATCTGATAATCCTGAGCATATTCGTAACTGCAGACCTATTTTCATCTGTAATATCAATTACAAGATTGTGACCAAGCTTATTGCTAACAGACTTAAGAGGTTTCTAAACCATATTGTATCCTCTAACCAATCCAGCTTTATCTTTGGCAGGAAAAAGGTTGATAACTCCCCAATCCTGTAAGAATTAGTCCATTCTTTCCATAGGTTGAAAGGGAAAAAAAGGCTACATGATTATAAAATTAGACATTGAAAAAGCTTATGACAGATTGAGATAGAAATTCATCATTGATACCTTACTAAAATTGGTCCGCATTCTGACTTAGTTTCCTTAGTCCACCACTGTATTACCTCCCCCACCTTCTCTCTCAATTGAAATAATGGTACTACTGATTCTTTCAAACCATCTAGGGGTATTTGCCAAGGAGACCCCCTATCTCCCTACCTCTTTGTCCTATGCATTGAGAGGTGACCCACCTAATTAATGAAAAAGTGTTTAGTAAAACATGAACTCCATTTTCCTTTAGTAACTAAGGGCCTGCCATTTTTCATATTTTCTTCGCCAATGACATTATTCTTGTTGCTGAAGCTAATATTCAGCAAGCCTTAAACATTAAAAATACTTTAGAAATTTTCTGTGCTACCTTAAGGTTAAAAGTTAACCCCAATAAATCTTTCCTCATCTTTTCTAAAAACACTACCCTTGATCTCATTCAAGGTATAAGTGATACTGTAGGTATAAGTCCTTCTAACCAAATTGATTCGCATTTGGGCTTTCCTATTACTCATAGCAGGCCCAACAGAGGTCATTACTCTTACCTTATTGATAAGATTAGAAAAAAAAACTTAGTCTTTGGAATATGAAATCCCTATCCCTTGCCAGAAGGGTCACTTTGGCGAAGAATAATGCTTTAGGATTTAGGACTTAGGAATAATGATTAACTAGCAAAAAATCTTTAGGCCCAAGAAAGATGAGAGCCTTGGATTTAGGAACCTTCAAACTCTAAATAATGCTTACCTTATAAAATTATGGTCGAGGCTAATTACCTCTCCTAAATCTTTGTGGGGTCAAGTCCTACACAGTAAATACAAATTTTGGTTAGGTAAAGGTCTTTAAGCCTCCCACATTTGGAAGGCTCTTTTATCTATTTGGCCCAGTTTCAGTAACGAGCTAAGTTGGAAGCTGGGGGATGACTTTTCTGCCACGTTTTGGGTGGATAATTGAATGCTTGAATTCCCTGTGTTAGCTAAACTAACTAAAACTCGTGTTTGCCCAAGACCTAGACCTCCCTGTTGTTTTCTTTTCATCCAACAATAACTGGAATTGGGAGAAATTTTCTCCTTATCTCTCTATCCAAGTCTGCCAGGCCATATCCCTCATAGAGCCTCCTTCTAAACTGGGTGGTGATGACTCGATGTTCTAGAATAGAACTAGTAATAGGATATTTACAATTAAGTCTGCTTATAATTTATTCTTTAATCTTGACTTGATGACTGAGTATAATGGCAAGGTTTTTAAGCTTATCTGGGACTAGGAAAGTCCCCCTAAACTTAATCTTTTTTTCTGGAAACTGGCCCATGAGAAACTTATAACTAATGAGGAGAGATGTAAACACAATATGACTTATTCTTCTACTTGTCCAAGATGTGGAGAGGTTCTTGAGACTCTTATGCATGTCCTTAGTGATTGTTTTTATGCAAAATCAGTCTGAAACCACTTTATCTTTCCTCAACAATGGGTGGCTTTTTTAATGAAAGTATTTTAGACTAGTTGGTTTTTAATTTATCTTGTCCCAATCATAGTCTCATTACTAATTGGAGAAAATTCTTTGGGATTATTATTTGGAATCTATGAAAGGACAGAAACTCCTTCGTGATAATGAATGTTTTTAACTTCAACCACCCGGCTAATGGCAGGTCCAAATGCTGAAAACATAGAGGAGGCTTTACAAAAACATGGCCATGCGACGCCAATTTTTATAGATCTGTCATCATCTTTACATACAGAAAATCAAGGACTCCACAGTATATTAATATTTTAACTTCACAACAGGGTAATAATTTTTCGACCTATAGACCATTATATTACATCCATCATAGGGGAAGGAAGCAAACTTTACATACTACTGAATTCATCCAATGACTTGAAAAAACTAATCATAGGGTCATAGAGATCTTGCTTTGCTTGCACACTTAAAATGAAGTCCATATGACCATAATTTTCCAGATAAACCAGCTCCGGTGAGGATGGCAAATCCTTGAGTGTGTGCTTGAAATCAGTTACATCTGCTAAAGCATCATTTCCCCCGTAAGCCATCCACAGAGGCAATGATTCAGGTACGTGGCTAAGGTCGAATTTTGGTGGTTTGAACTTCCCGTACTGTATCAGATTTTTGAGCTTTCCATAATCATACTTGGAGAAGGTACCTTTGCGGATCACTGGTGAACAAAGGAGGTCATCACAGACAGGACCATTAAGAAGAATAACATGAAAACTGATTTCTAGATCATCATAAAAAAATGTAAAACCCAGAGTGAATTACACGAACTTTAAATGTCCGTACATAAATTTCCGAATGAAGTTCAAAAGACATTCTCTTGGAAATACTCAGATATTAAAAAATAAAAATAAAAAAATACTTTTTTCTCACTACATGGAATGTGATCGATTTCGTACTTATTTTCCAATATTTCTTTTCCCATCCCTACAAAGGTCAATTTAGCTACTTGACATGCAAATGCTATGATCATTATCAGACACGATCAAAATAATATCTTTGATGAGAATAACAATTAGTAGTATACATAAGAGCAACAACGTTAAATCATGCATGTTAGCCGTAATGCTAATTAAAAAAAGCAGCCGCACATAATCAGGACTGCCACAGTCATCACTAAAGGTTATCAAATGAAGATAATGAAGCATACTCTGGAAAAGGTGGTGCAAGTTTTTGGAGGACGATGGATGAGGTTCTTGTTCAAGATAAAAATCCACACGTGACTCATTGAAGCAACAATTCTTCCCTGTAATTTCATTGAAGTGTCTTGAGTAGAAGCATTTATCAAAAAAGAAAGACACAATAAACACAACCAAAAACTAATGATCACACTACTAAGTTTCAGGTAAAGTCTGTGAACTAACTGCAATGGCAAGAAATATTTTTAAGGGAAGGATAATTTATTGACCTTTTCTCTTTTCTTTTTTGTTTACTTTTAATACTTATTGTTACTCTCTCTTTCAAGCACCTAAAGTCAAGAGGAATGTCAAATTCTGGTCTCATGCAGAAAAAGGGATTTCCATTCCATGAAACCTTGAATTTCTATTCCACATTATAACAAACGCCACAGTTTTGTTGTTTTTAACAAAAACAAAAATCTGACAATTTGTAATACCACACCTACATTATCCACACCATAAATGCCACCCATCTGTATGCCTCTCGAGTAATTCTTAAGCTCTATTCAAGGAATAACTTTATTTCCACCATGGACCAAGTAGCAAGTCTAGAACTGTAGCAAGCTGGTGCAACAATACACCAAAGAAACTTAATAGGAGCATTAATCTACTATCTTATCCTTGACAGCTTTTCCTATCCCGAGGATATGACACTGTGGACCATCTCAATAACAAAGAAAATGTACAAAAGGAAATCCATACAAAATCCAAATTCAATACTCTGAAATAAAAATCCAACTCAATGAGAGAAATAAGTGCATGCATGACAATGACTAAACTATTTCAAGTTTAAATTTGCACACTGATAGTTTGTTGCCTACAAAACATCAGACATGGTTGAAAACTTGCACACACTGACTTATGGGCAGAGCATGTCTCTTGCCGCACATTCTTTTGACTAAAATTAAAATATTTACTGTTAAATTAGAGAGGGAAAGTGAAATGATAAACTGATAGAAACAAACAAATTGATTGAATAGCTGAAAATAGGAGGAAGAATTGTCCTGCAAGCTCTCCCTTCCACAAAGTTTCCCTTTTCATACAAACTTTCTAATTCTCTGAATGAATCCTTCCATCCTCATTCCCCCTATTTATCTGACTGATCCCCTCTAACTAACAGTGCCTAACTATTTGTCCCTTCCCTTCTGTCCTAACAGAGAGGGCTCCCTCCCTCCACACTCCAGAAGATGCAAATTTCACACAACATACAAAATGATACATCCATTTAAATTGAGTGAGCAGTTTGTAAACAGAGAAATTTGCAATCTTTTATTTGGACCAAGTTGATTTCATTTACACACTTGGTCATGTTCTAAATTGTAAGTCCCTGCCACTTACATGGCAGGAAGTGTCATGGTTTCTCCAAATGATGCAACAAATCAACTTATCTTTACCAAATTCTGACATTTCAATGGGGCATGGGAGGAAAAAAGATTGAGAAAGCCTTTCAAGCATGCAAACAGAGGGGAATTGTTCCACCACATGTTATGCACACACTATTTATGATTCAAAGAAACGAGATGCCTAAGCATAACTAATGTATAACTGGACCAACTTACACCAGTATATCCAACAGAAAACAAAGAAACTAATCCATCGCCACTTAATCCTCCCACGGAGAAAGGCAATAGAGAACTCCATGATGTGGAGAATTTTATTTCGATTGGACAGTTTAGCATGTCAAAAACACAACACGTTGGATTTCTTAAAATTGAAGAAGAAAAAAGTAGTCTCAACAAACAGATAAATGAGCAGGAACATTCACAGCCTAGCATGTGAACACATTCAAATACTTCAAAATATTAACACATAGTCAGGTCCAGCGTGACAGACATGAACCTGTTATGGAGGAAATCATGTCATTGCAACTTAGACGGGTGTCACACATGGAAACCAGGAGACTGGCTCCCCATTCGCTGAAAGTGAAACATGAAATTATATAAAGTGAACATTTGCTAAACTAGAAATAAATTGAAGAACATATGCAAAAGAAAAAGAGAAAAACATGACATGACAGAAGAAAAATTGAAATATAGAACCTTTTGAAGTTCAGTTGATGAATACCCATGCCAAGAATCATCTGAACAAAACCGGTAATTTATTTCTCACCTCAAAGTTTCATGTTTACAGTGAAAATTAATAGAACCAAGTAAGAAATACCTGATCAATGTGCATCTTAACCATTCTAAGTACAAGAGGTGCACTGACATGATCCAAGTATGAAATTGGAGATAGAAGAGCTGCAGCTTTAACCTTCTCTACAATCTTGGGTTGAGTGAAGGCAGCAAAAGATATAATTGTCCCCTACGAAATAAATAAAATGCAAGCTATAGCTACCACCAAATAGCAAGTGAAAAGGATGATGTCAAAAATCATAAATACCTGTGAATGCCCAACTACAAAAAGCTTTGAGTTTGTCACTTTATTAATGTAATTGATCATTTCTGCAAGATCATACAGGGCCAAATCCTGCCAACTCCAATCCCAAAAATGCTACAAAGGGACCAAAGTTCAATTAGTCACGTGACTTGCATCACAGACATGGTGATTACAAACTCAGGACTCCAACTGTTCCACCAAATATAGCAAGGCAAATAGAACCAAATTTTCAGTTTAATTGATTTCATAACCAATAGTTTCAGTCCTGAACTTCCAATGCTAAATTTTCAGTTTTATCAAACGCACCCTTAGTGACTCTATAGAGAAAAGGAGAACCTTCCCATTTAACTTATTATTTCTCCCATGTTTTACATTTTAAAAAAGCCATCAGCTTCATTGGTTGAAAATAATAAAACAATGAAAACTATCACAAACAGCTGACAGACACAAAAAATTTTACAACATGAAGGATAAAGCAAGCTCCCCACCTTATTCTTCTCTAATAAAGATATATGCCCATGGCTCCAGCGTGTTCCACGCACATTTCCTACCCAAACATCAAAACCATGATCTGCAAGTATGAAGCCAAGTGATTGATTTGGAGTATTTAGAAACCATGCATCACCTGCCTGATGGTATCAAATGGCATCAATAAATCACTGTTGAGATTCAATCAAACGGTTTAAATCTTTGAAAGGAATTTCACACAAGCAAGAGCAAAAGAACCCTCCTCCTCCTAAAAAGGACAAAAGTTATAAAAATATAATATTTACTAGCCCAAAAACTCTGCAAATATGATAAAGTGGACTTGGTTACAAAATTTGGAAACTTCCTACAATCAAATACAACCACCGAGCCATTTGGATCTTCCCCTGTAAAAGGAAAACAATAGAAACTAATAACACCCAATATCGTCACTGAAAGACCGGAAATCCCTCAGCCAAAGCCAACTGTGCTCAATTGGGAAACAGAATGGTCAAGTTAAAGTTGAATGTCATACACGCATTGCAACATATTGTAATGTCATTTAGGCATTTATAGCATTGGGATGCGAAGGAAGAGTAAAAAGAGAAGAGAAAATGTGATGACCATGAATAAGCCATGCAGAAGCAGAACCGGAGGACCTCGTTCTCCGTCATTCCCAAGACTGAGGGAGGAAGAAGAAGACACGCGCTGAAGGCCCAGCAAGAAACCATCCTTCGTCTGAGTCTGCAAGTAACAAAACAATTAACCATTAGCCACAACACAAAAAGGATTAAAAATCTGTGTGATTCAATTTCCTAATTAACTCTAATCAGAAACAGAAAAACATTAATTTAAAATATTAAATAAACAGAATACGGTGTATTCGGAGCATGGGTAACCGGCGGGGAGAATCAGCTCCTCACACAAACTGTGTTTCTGTTTTGGGCGGTTACCGCCGTCGAAACCGTTAACGGCCTCTCCCAATAGTATGGAGACAGTTATGGCCAACAACAACCTCTCCATCCCCGTCCCCAATTCTCCACTGCTTCCACCTCTGATCCTTTGCCTTCACTTGCAACACTCTAACCATTATATAATGCTTGCGAGTTGGACCCATATTCCGCCACGCGCCTCTCATAGCGCGTGGTTTCCAGAACTGCCAATTAAGAGGGTAATCTAGGTAAGACCACCACAAGACACAGCTGCTCACAAGTCATAACTGTTTACCGTTAGGTGATTGTTATTTTTCATCACTGGTGGGTGCGTGCCTGCTTAAAAGCAGTACAAGTATCGCAATACCTTCTTCTTGTTCCTTATCTTTTACTTTCAGGTTACGTCTGCAATGGCACAAAGCAGCCATGCTAGAAAATAAAACACCATAAAAAGAAAAATAATGAAATTATATTGGTAATTGTTGTTTAAAATAAGATTAAATAAAACTTAATAAAATTTATTGAATATTTTTAAAATTTTAAGAACAATAGTAATATTTTTTTCATAATTTGTCATTTATTTGAATTTTTAAATTTACAAAAATTATAGTTTATTTAACTATACAAAATAGTTCGTATGTTAGTACATTTCTAACACACTCAAATCCTTTTGGTGTTTCATTGCAACCTTTGAAATGGAATGAGTTTCGCGTTGTATGTATTTTTGTTGCAATTTTCGAAGCAGATTGATTGGGGAAGTTTCATGGAACAGCGCATGCTCTCCGTAGAAATTTCATAATCCACGCGCGGCTTCAGGGCAGTGAAGAATTGCTCAAATTATTCATCCAACCCTTTTTTTTATTTCCCACAATCCCGTCTCGTTCGAACGCGACAGTTTACTTCTTATATTATCTTATAGTGTATTATTATTAATATTATACATCAATAATTATAATCTCTATAACAAAAAGAACATTCGGAGTCTATGGTTTTTTTTTTTTCTCCAATTTGATTTATGTGTATATTTATAAAATTGTTTAGGTCCACTATTTTTTGTCCGACCATCTGGATTCATTTCATTTTTGTTGGTCCAGCCTGCAATAGATCTTGGGCCGAATGTATATTTTGTTGAGTAAATAAAAGGGGTGAGCCCAATGAATTATGTTGAATTTATTTGTCTTTATTTCAGTTGACCAACAAGTAGTTTTATTATTTTAGAGTTTAATGTAAAATGTTTTTTTATTGAATTAGTTTTAAATTTTAAAAATGATATGAACATAATATTGAATAATTAGTTCAGTTGTAAAATGTATAATATATGGCGGTGTAAAATAAAATTAATCATTATTATTTGATATTGTGTGCTTAATTAGACATTAGTTGGATGGTTTAATTTAGAAATAATATGATGTTGCAAAGGTACAAGAAATAACAACTATGAATCAAAATACATTTTATATTATTTGAGTTTTAATATAACGGGTGTTTTGTTCTTTTTTCTCTCGTTCTATTTTTTCTTCCCAAACCCTTTTTAAGCCAGAGTCTTTAAACCTATACAAAAATAGAGAAAGTTTAAAATCAACTATATTAATTAATAATGATTTTGTGTAATTTGATGAAATCGGCTTAAAATTGTAAAGTTAAAAGGGATGAGAGTGAGTCTAATGCTATTTGGGTACTCTTGAAAAATACATGTAAGGCATAAGATAATTACACATTTTAATGGGTCTAGGTTCATTTATGAATAAATGCCCTGCAAAGCTTGATGAGTACTATAATATTCAGACTTATTTACCTTCACTAATATATATACAATTAAATTTACTATAATTTTATATGTATAATACGTTGCAATTTAATTAATAATTTATTTGATTTTAGATTATTTTTTTAAATTCTATTTGAAATAGTTTTAAAAAATACAAGTATTTTATAATGATACACATGCTTTATTATTTTATAAAAAAATTTAAAAAATCATATTTCAGTTAACAACTTATAAGTAATATGTATAAAAGTTTAGCTACTTAGCAGGTATAATGATAAAAACAAATTGTTATCCAATAAATAAGAGAAGATACAGAAATATATTTTTTAAAAATTACAAATGTGAAATTAAGTACTATATCTTATCCAAACACTACTTAATAATATAAAATATTAAAAACACTACACGAGTTTTATTAAGATTTTTATTATCTATTACAAATGGTGTTTAATAAGTGGAATTTTTATCTATATTAAACGGTAAAAATACCAATTTGCTTCTTGGTGCCAAGTGTATCGACCGTCATGTGTGAGAAAGGAGTTGATTAACCGTTCAATTAAAATAAAAAATTAATATTAAATTAAAGTAAATTAATTTTAACACACATGCATGCACTCATTTCATAATAAAAAATGTCATTTTTAAAATTTTTTCTAATTGAGCATTTTGCACCCACTGTTATATTATATTTTAAGTTATAAATTTTAATCATTACTGTTTAAAATGAGGTAGTAATAGGTCCTTAACTCATTGAGAATTAAGAACCCATGCCATAATGTAAGTCATGCTTAAACCGCATAAAAGTTTAGTAATTTATTTATATTTTATATTATATTTTTTAGTTTTTGTTACCGAATAATAATACATTTAAAAAGTACTTTTGTTGTTATTAATTTTTTTTTATATTGTATATTTAATTGTATTCTGTGATTTTTATTTCTTCTAAAGATTATTTATTATTTAGTTATAAATTTTAAAATACTGATATTGATTTATCATATCAAACTGAAAAAAATATATTTTTGTAGATAGACTGAAATTTAGATTCAGTGAGTTCATATTCGTGCAGTAAATTATTTGTTAGTTATCTTAAATCAAACATTTTTCTACACTTATGTTAAGGGAAAATTGTTATAAAACATTCCCACTATTCATGTATATAAATAATTTTAATTATTAAATAAATAAATTATTAATTTTGATATTTTAAAATAATAAATATATGTATTTTTATTGATATTGATTTTAAATATTTTTACCTTACAGATCTTTCTAGTTACTAAATGAGAAATATATTAAATGTGTTTTATATTTTGAAGATAACAAATACATGCATTTTTAAAAAAATTAAAATCTACTATATAAAACAGGAGGAGTTGAAGAGAACATAACAAAACTCTTTGACTTCCTTACTTTTCTAATATGTGTTTAGGGTATAGTTTTTAAATTTTTTAAAAATAAATATTAACATAAAATTCAATATCTTATTATATTAAATATTATACTTATTCATATAAATTTAGTATTTATTATTTTCTTATTATATATCCTTAAACACATGTTAAAAAGATTATTCAATGTGAGCTTTTAATATGGATAAAGAGGAAACAACAAACCAATCGTAATTATGTTCAATATCTATTTATAACAAAAACTAGCATATGCACATTATCCGTTGGAAAATATAGTAGTTATTAATTTATTAAAAAAAAAAATATTTGGTGTCTAAAGATATATAATTAAAAATATTAAATATATATTAGCAAAATAAAAATATTAAATATAATAATTTTATTAAAAATATAATATTTAATATTTTAAATATTTTTCATTCTATAATATATTGCGTTTCTAATAAAAATAATAAATATATTTTTATTATATATCATTAAACACACATTAATTGCAAAATTCATGAATTTATTATACATCTCAAAGCCTACCACTGCCATTACTGATAAAGTAATATTTTTTTCCTTCCCAAATCTTTAAACTTACACACAATTAATTATATTTTTATTTGTAACTTTTATTTCTTTTATATTTTTTTATTAAATTAAATTATAAATTTAAATATACTGTAATCATATTCGTGCAGTGAATAATTTGCTAGTCATCAAAAAATTTTAATCATCAAATGTTTTTTATCTATTAAAAATAATAATTATGTTCAATATCTATTTATAATAAATTCAAATATCTGTACCTTTTATCTGTCCAAAACTTTCTAACTACTAAATAAATAATATAATTAAAATTAACAAATGTATATGAACTTTTTTATTTAAAATTTACTTTATACAGAAAAAAAAAAGCTTTTGTTTGAAAACATGTGTTTAAAAAAATATGATAAAAGTTTATACGAGATAAAATTTGTTAAAGTAACAGAAAACGACAAGATTCAATCTAATGATAACATTAAATAATATATTTAAGATATTTTCTGCGAAATATTTTAGATATTTACCAGAAAAAGATAAGTAGAAGATAGATCGAATCAAATTTGGCAGTTATATATATTCACCTCATAATAACCTTTTGGAAGTCACAGCCATAACCCATAATCTCTGATTCTGAGCATCCAAGTTAGCAGCAGCAACCATGCCAACCACTGTAGCACATCGCAGGTACTCGCGAGGTTTGCCTATAGTGACACACGAGGAATTTGACATCGACATGGGTAACGGCAAAATCGTAACATGCACCTTAACAAACTCGGCCGCAGCAGTGGACATGTGGATCTTCCAGACATGTCGTGTCCGTGAAGATGTGGTTGGGCTCGATGTGGAGTGGCGTCCTTTCGGCGAAAACAACCCTGTGGCCACTTTGCAACTGTGTGTGCGTCGTCGTTGTCTGGTTTTCCAACTTCTGCACTCATCGCATATTCCTTTCTCTCTGTTGGAGTTTCTGCGCGATCCCTCTCTGACATTCGTGGGCGTTGGGGTGTATGATGATGGGGTGAAGCTGTTGAATGATTATGGTTTGGAAGTTTATAGAACGGTGGATCTTGGTAAGTTGGCGATGTCGAAATTGAGGTTAACGCATTATCCAGGGCTGAAGTTTTTGGCGCTTCAGGTTCTTTCTGTTGATATTGTGAAGCCCAAGAATGTGACTTTGAGTCGCTGGGATAATCGGTGGCTTACGCCTGCCCAGGTTCAGTATGCCTCTGTTGATGCCATTGCTTCTTACGAGATTGGAAAGACTTTGAGGGCTTGGGAAGTACAATCTGATGCCTGATGCACATTCCTGAATTTCAGATTCATTGCTTTTGCGTCTTAGAATTATGTTAATATATAAACTGTCTAAATTCAAAAAAAAAAAATGATAAAAACCTATACTAAAAATACTGTGTCTTCTGTAGTTCTTTGTTTTAAATGTCAATGATTCATGTCCTATTTCTGTTGGTAAAATTAATGTTCTGAAACCATGTAGAGATAGTTTAAAATCAAGTGTATTTTTTTTTAAAAAATTTGTTTGAAACTTTTTCCGTAAAGAGAACGAAAGAGTCTATGTTTGGAGTAAATTTTTGGAGAAGAGGGTATATTTTTAATTTTTAAATTATTTTTTTATATTATTTATAATAAATATATTATTAATATATTAGTTTATATTTTTTATTTTCAAAAGAGGTTAATTTTAAAAATATTTATTTAAAATATATATTTTATCTTTCTTTCTTTTCTTCTTTAAAATTTTATTTTCAAAACAATTTTTAAAAAGTAAAGAGAGAAACAAAAGGTTAAACTCTTAAATTATTTAAATATTAAATATTAAAAAATAAAGAATTTTTTTTTGTTTATATTTTTTATTCACATTTTGTGACTCTTTATTTTTAAATATAAAAATTATTTTTTTTTAAATTAATATTTTTAATTTTTATCTTTTTTTTAAATTATTTTTTAAAAAGTTTTGTTTCAGAGTTTAAATGGAGAGAAAAGAGAATAATTTGAAGATAGAAAAAAGGGAGATAAAAGGATGCTAAACTCCTCTCTTATCTAGATATTAAATATGAAGAAGAGAAGATGACAGTGGGTTAATAATATAAATTATATCATATATTTTATTTATATTTTTTTTCAAAAAATACAAAAATTAAATATTTTTATTCTTATAAAAATTAATATTTTTAAAAATTAATATATTTTAAAACTATCACTCTAAAAGTTATTATATTTAAAAAAATATTAATTTATTACTATTATTTTTTTAATTGTTTTAATAAATGCATGAATTATATATTTTTCTTCCTCTAAAAATTAATATTTTTAAAATTTATATTTCTATTTTTTATATTTTAAAAAAATTACTCTAAAAATTAACTTTTTTATTTTTTTAAATTAACATCACACTTTTGTAAAAATATTTTTTTTATTTTTTTATTTAATAATTAATATATAGAAAAATATTCTAATAGACCAAAACACCTTAAAAATATAAATTTTATAAAATTAAGTTTAGGAAGATTTTGGAAGTTTAAAAAAATCCTCTTACCATTCTTTTTTAAATTAATTAACTCTCAAACAATAATAAAATCTCTTTAACCCTTTTCTTTTTCTCTTAAATTTAACTTTCAAACAAACTCTAAAGAAATAGTCAAAGAAATATTTATTATAAGATTAAAAGTATTTTGAAGATTAAAAAAAATCCCTTACTTCTTTTATTTATGTAAGTAATAATTAATTTTATTCTTTTTTATTATATCTAATCTTTACTAGATAAATTAAACAAAGTTTAAATATTTATCTATTATCACTATTAAAAGTACATTGTTATTTTTAAAAATATATTTATTTTATTTTTTTTATCTCTCCGTGACTATGTTACTAATAAAAATATTTTATATAAAAAATTAAACTATAGTGGCGTGAAATTATAAAAAAAATATATATCTCTTTATAAAAAGATTATTAAAAAAATGTCGTTATAAATATTTCAAACTCAAATAGGATATTCTCTATAAAAAATATCTATAATTTTAATTAGAAAAACAATGTTTTGAAATAATAATCTCCACTGCGGGACCATGTATCTGATTTATGATAAAGTATATATATAACGAATAATATATGTAGTGAAATACGAATCTTTGAAGTTATTAATATTTAAATAACACTATCTGTATAAAGATAGCAAGCATGAAACATGCTCTATCTTGTTTCATTTATAGATGGCGTGAAATAAACCTGACGAAGATTGAGCTTGTGTTAAGGCTCAGGCCCCTAAGCTGCACGTTATATTTATTTATCTAGAACGAGAAACACAAATAAGTAAGGTGTGTGATGTGATACCTAAATTTTTTTATTATAATAACAAAATGTAATAAATTAAAAAATATATTATTATATATAATTTATTTAAATTATATTATTTGTTACATGATTATCTTATTATTATTATATTGTATATTGAAATTTTTTTATTTTTTTTATAAATTTTTAATTTTAAATAAAATATAATTCATATTTAAAAACTTTTATTTATTATAAATAAAAAATTTATAATACAATATATTAATATAATACTATTATTTTATTTTATAATTTTAATTTATTTAGTTTTTATTAAATAATTAAAATAAAATAAAATAATTATTTAAATACGTAACTTGGTTAAAATTTTTCAGAGTACAATACTCTAAATTTTTTTAAGAGTATTATAGAATTTACTAATAATTAATTAATTTAATTAAAAGAAATATTAAAGACCCCCAGACAATTGTATTATAAAATTCATAAAAACTGACAAATAATCACCTAATCTTAAAGTGCTAACTCTACTTTGTATCATAAATAACAAAGCATATAAATGTATGCGGGCATCGTGTCTGAGGACGAGTTAAATATCATTAACAGTCCTTAATTTGTTTGATGTAAATTGTCTGTCTTTACTCTCTTAAACACAGGAGTTAATTAATGTAATTCACATAAATGAGATTTATATATATATATTTTTATTTTTAAGACAATTACTAAAACGAAGAGTACTTTTACAAAAAAAATTAAAAATTGGACAAAAAAAATATTTTCACCTTTCGATCGTAAAAACTTAAAAATATATTATAAATTAAATAAAAAAACCTTTGTCATCATATATGTCACATTCCTAGGATACCCCTAAAATTAACATAGTCTTTGCCTGAAGTATCCCCATAGTTGAAGAGGTTAATCAAACTTGTGTCCAGGTTCATTGCATTGTCATTTTTCCTTTCAAACCAAAAAGTCTTTCAATCACTCAGGCTTTCTCATTGCTTGACTCTTTAACCAATGAATTATTTTAAAGAAAACAAATTTAAATATTTCAAAAACTATTTTTTTTTACAATTTATTATTATTATTATATGTCAATACGTAATTTTAAAACTTTAATTAAGAAATTAATGAATGTATTTTTTTGTTAAAATATTATAATAAATATATAAGTGATATTTTTGTAAAATATTTTTCTTAGAACTTGTTTAGAATACTTATTAACATTCTTAATATTTTTATCAACATTTAAATTTTTCATAAATATATAATAACCATTATTTTTTTTAAATTTATACTAAAAAAGCTAATAATTCTATTATTTAAATTATTAAAAATTAACATAGTATATAATATTATAAATCATTCATTATATACATGTTTTAAAATTTAAAAAAAAAAAATGTACCTCTTCACGGTACATAAAACATTTTCTAAATATTAGACATTAAGCATCGTTTAATGGATCACACCAATACCCTGAAGAATCCAGTCATGATAGCGTCTCTCGTCCAAAAGGAAAAGTAAAACGCATTTCTACTAGTCCACAGCAAAGGTGCAAAGATTCCATCCAACCGGAACCACCATTGCTCCACTTCACTACCGCCACATCTTCGCTGGCAACGATGGCTTTCTCGGAGTTCCAACCACTCAACGACAAGACTTTGATCGAATACATAAAGTCCGTCCCTGCCCTCTCCTCCAAACTAGCCAACAACTTCGACAACTTATCCATCAAAGAAGTTGGAGATGGCAACCTTAACTTTGTCTACATTGTTTTCAACTCCGCAGGTTCTTTTGTCATCAAACAGGTAACACTTTCACTTACTCCCACCCACCCATGATCCAAAACCCAGAACCCAAACTTTTTATTCCAAAAAATCATGGGCAATTGCAAATTTCGTTTTTTATTTATTTATTAACTTTCAGTTTCCAAGTTCAAACTTTATTTTGGGGGTTTTGGAATTGATCGTAGGCTCTGCCGTACGTTCGTTGCATCGGGGAATCATGGCCTATGACGAAGGAGAGAGCGTACTTTGAGTCGTTGGCGCTGAAAGAAGAGGGTCGCTTGTGCCCTGAACATGTCCCAGAAGTGTATCACTTTGACCGTACCATGTCTTTGATTGGCATGCGTTACTTAGAGCCTCCGCATATAATCCTCAGAAAAGGGTTAATTGCTGGGATTGAGTACCCTTTTTTGGGTGAGCACATGGCTGATTTCATGGCAAAGACTCTCTTCTTTACGTCTCTCCTTTTCCGTTCCACTACTGAGCACAAACGGGACGGTATGTTACTCTCAGAAGTTTTGTTGTCTTTTCACTGATTGATACCATCAGCTTCTTTAATCTAATTCTTTGCCTGAAAGATAATCGAGCTTAAAGTGGTTTTTAAGGTTGTTTTTGTTGAAACGATGATTACCTGATGTTGTCAGCAATTTGCTTCTCCGTCCTTAATAGATTTTGCCTCCGTATTAAGCTTTTGTTTTTAAAATGGATGGAATAAGGGCTGGTTTGGATTAGCTCTAAATGATATTCTCCTGTATTTATTGGTGTTACCATTAGCTTGAATTCATGCTGGCTTCATGCAGTTGCCGAATTTTGTGGGAACGTGGAGTTATGCAGGCTCACTGAGCAGGTCGTTTTCTCTGACCCTTATAAAGTTTCTCAATATAATCGTTGGACTTCCCCTTATCTTGATAGTGATGCTGAGGCTGTTCGCGAAGACAATCTGCTGAAGCTTGAAGTTGCTGAGTTGAAATCTAAGTATGATGAATCTCTTTTTTACCCAATTATATGCAGTTTTTTTTTTTTTTTTGTTAGAATATTTCTTTTTTAAGAATATATTTTCATGTAGGTTCTGTGAGAGGGCCCAGGCATTAATACATGGAGATCTACACACTGGTTCTGTGATGGTTACTCGGGAATCAACTCAGGTTATTGATCCGGAATTTGCATTTTATGGACCAATGGGTTTTGATATTGGAGCATTCTTGGGAAACTTGATTTTGGCTTTCTTTGCTCAAGATGGACATGCTGATCAAGCAAATGATCGAAAAGTAGGTCCAGTTTTTCCATATCTTTGGCACTAACCTGTCCTTTTATTTGTATACTTATTGTTCATACATTTCTAGTTATTCTCCACAATCAAACTTACAAGCTTAAGCTTTCTCTTTTGATGTTGTAATTTTTATTTCACTTTGGTACTTTTTTTCATGCTGAGGCTAGTTATCTTTTAAGCTATCCTACATATCTTTGGAGATATCTAGGGATTTGTACCAGCAATTGTGTCTATGGTTTTTTTTTTTTTTTGCCTCTGTGCTTATTTATAGTGTTGAAGTGCGTTGTATTGTTCTCTTGCTTTGTTGGTGTGGTTCTGATGACTGGTGCCTTGTTATCCTAAGAGAAGTATCCCTTAGTGTACATATTGATGAATAATCAGAAATATACCATGTCAATTCTGAGAATTCATTGTTTCAGAGAACTATAACCTGTTTTTTTTAACCAACTGAAGACTTGGTTTTGCAACAGAATTGTTTTTGTGGTTTCTCTTTGGTGTTCACCGATAGTTTGTTTGAGGGAACCAGCATTTAAGATATACCAATTAATTGGATAGCTCTCTTACACTTGCTAGTTTTAGGAGTTCCCTTTTCTTTCTCTGTTTTTGTTCTTTCTCCTGTTGTTTGATCTTTGTTGAGGATTGTACTTGTATATATTTCTTTTTCTCATAAAATTCCTTCTTTTAGTAAAAATAAAGTGAGGACTTTGGCTGAATTAAGTCTGCTGTTAGCTGAACAAGCATTGTGTTTTCAGTCAAATTACAGCATTGCAGGGTTCATGAAATAATGAGATCTGGCAGTTAAAGTGTAATTTTCAATAATTGCTGAAGACAACAGATTGTAGGGGGAAAAAGTGTTGTTCCTTGTCTAAAACTATATGTTATGTTGCAGGCATATAAGGAGTGGATTCTTAAGACAATTGAAGACAATTGGAATCTTTTCTACCACAAATTCACTTCACTTTGGGACAACCACAGAAATGGTGCTGGTGAAGCATATCTTCCCGCAATCTATAACAACCCTGAGGTTCAACAGCTTGTACAGAAAAAATACATGACAGATTTGTTTCATGATAGTCTTGGATTTGGTGCTGCCAAAATGATAAGGTGAGATTTTTTTCTCTTATAACAAAAAAGATAGGGTGAGATTGAAGATATTCATTTTTACTAGAATGTTACTACATAATTTGTATATTTACAATTTCTGTGATTTCTTTTGTTTATTTTAGCTATATAACCAGTAATGATCTTATAGCTAATGACTTAAACTTTTGGGATGGTCATTGTAATGACTTCTGATATATCCTTGTAAAATAGTTTGATTGATATAGCTGATCCCATGTAATGAGAAAAGGCTTAGTTGTTGTTGTAGATTGATGTGGTGCACCCTTTCTGACCAATGTCTTACGAGTCCAGAGTCATCTAAGAGCTTTCAGTCATGTTCAGTTGACGCTACCTCCTTAGAGCTATCTTCTTTCCTTGACTCGTATTATTGCTTCGTGCATTCATATATAGTAGCGCGAACTTTAATAATTGACCATTGTGCATCCTATGTTCTGATGTTATGCTCACTATGCTATATTTGGCATTATAATGCTCAAAACATCCGGTGATGTTAAGTCCATACTACTAGCTTTGTGCCTTGATCTTAGTTGAGCAAAATGAGTTGGAATTTCATGAGCTGATTGGTGTTACCCACCTTCATAAAAGACCCTGAAAATGTACAATGGCTAACACTTCCATTTTAATCATATGAATGACAGGAGAATTGTTGGTGTGGCACACGTTGAGGATTTCGAATCCATTGCTGATGCTGGCAAACGGGCAACCTGTGAACGGCGGGCACTTGATTTAGCTAAGATGATTCTCAAAGAAAGAAGAAAATTTGAAGGCATTACTGAAATTATTTCAGCAATTCGGCAATTCTAGCCATAACAAGATTTTGATGCATCAATAGTTCAATACCTCCATGATGTATCGTGTTTACCATATATTATCTTTGAGATTTTTGCTGTGTATTACTATATAACTTTCACTGTCAAAATTCTGTGTAGACTTTCCAATTATTTTACACGTACCCCCATATGTGTTGGATGCAGTGGAGAGTAAATGACAAAGGAAAATAGAATGGACGAAAACGAAGAGAAAAGTTTGTATTTAGTCCTTATTGGAAATTCCAGCTGTATATTATAACACCGAAATCGACATGAAGTTATTATAAAATATAAGAATTAAATGGAAAATAAGTGATGTTTATATTTTTGTTGGAATGCTTCATTTTCCATCTAATTTACATTTGATTATGCTGTAATTCTGCTGGATAATATTATAATACTGACACAATTAAATTAAAATTATAAGTAAAAATATTTTCATATTTTGTCATAACTAAAATATATTTGTTACATATATTGAATGTAAGTATATATTTGAACCTTTCCAAGGTGGTTTTGTAAGTGCCCTGAGATAAATGAAAAGGACTTTGGTCTTCACAGGCATTATCATCGTTGTTGGTAAGCTTGTGTTAAAAAAAACCAACAACTCTGGCAGATCCCAAAATGGATTTTCCCAATTAGCAACAGTAAGTTCCACATCACCGAAACTAAAAAAAAGAGAGTTTATTTTAACTGTTAGAAAACGTTTACTTCGTTACTGAGGAGTGTATTTACCTACGATCCAAAACTATATATATTAAGAATATTTACGTCATAATTCTACGATATTAACCTATTTATGATGTAATAAATAATACCAGATTAAATATTCTGTTTTGTTCTAAGTTTATCAAGACAACTGGGAGGCATATTGTTGAATACAAATCAATTTAGTGTTTTTAATATAGGCAAACCCAAATCATACCTACGAGTATGAGCTGACGAATTTCTCAAGCCCAAAAAGATCAATAAACGTCAGGGATATCAGTTGTCTAAATATGTTCCAACATGTAATATGTAAAAAAGGTATTTCTATAATTTTTAATAAAATTTCAACGTGTAAGTCCAAAAAAAAACTATATTAATTTTCAAGGTCAACAAGATCCTTCCTTTTATATTAGCACAACTTTGTGCATTTGTGACAGACGCGTCATCTTATTCTTCTTTCCTATTAGCACAAGATAACGGTTTCTTGTATCCTTAGTTGGTCCCGTACATAGTCTTGTAGTCACTCCACAGCTGGGTAACCGGCTTCCCTAGCAACTCACTAAACAAACTCTCACTGAAACTACTCTTCATCTTGTTGTTTAAGTCGGCCACAAACCCATTTTTGATACCATCACAATAGTTCAAAAACTGAGCTGTGACTTCATATCCTTGGTCCCAACTATACCCTACACCTGGAGGTTTCCAGTAATCTGGTGCATATCCAGCCTTCAACCTCACAAAATCAGCCATGCCTTCAATGAGTCCTGAAGGGGCTTGGCCTTTTCCATCCCACAACAATATATGGGCCATTTCATGATATAGCAACCCAGTAATCTCTTTCTTGATATCTTCTGGGCACCCCTCAATGTATGCTGCACTAACATGGATGATGTTATTGCTAGTAAATGCCACCCCATCAATGTTTTCAACAACCATGCTCACCTTTGGGACACTTTTGATGTCAACATTGTTGTTCTGTTGAAGGAGAATCTGTGTGAATTCCGAGGTATTGATCAATGTTAGCATGGCATATTCTGCTCCTATTTCATTGTCAAAGCGGGCTGCACCAATGCTGGAGCCAGCATTGTTGGACACAACGCTGTCTATTGCCCTAGTGCCATTAACGGATGCTAGAGTTAGTGCTAAGCATAGGACATGTTTAAGGTATTGAGCCATTGTTATTTTAATTGGATCTGTTTTTGCTCAGTATAGTTGGGATTACTCTAGGGCTTTTATAAGAGTTTGGAACTATAAGTATCAAGTTATAACGGCAGGAAGTGAGGAGGTGTAGGGTGCATGGCATATATTAAATCATATTTAATCTAAAAATAATATTTTTTAATGAAAAAAGACAATATTTATTATAAATACTTGTTCATTGGACATGTCTTTAGTTGAGAGATTACGTAATAGAACCCTGTTTTGTTAGAATATTATCTTCTAAGAGTCTGCTTGATGGCCTGCTTTTTAAGTAAATAATGGTAAATTCAGCATGTTTGTTTACACCTCTAATGTGTTTACTTACACGTCAAACCCACTCAGACGTATGTAATGAAGAAGAGAGTTGAAAGAATTCTATTTTACGAATGTAAATATTTTACATTCTCTTTTATATTTTTTATTTATGATAAAAGTCTTTTCGTTAAAAATATTACTAAATAAATAATAATAAAATGATTTATTTTTACTTATTTATTTATGTTTTCATTATTTACTAATTAAAACTAAACAAAAAAGGAATCCTTTTTTATTCAATAATAACAGATAAAGAAGTTATAAAATTTGTATTTCCCTTTTTTAACCTTATTTCTTTTTAATATTTTTGTTACAATATCCTTTTTTTAAGCTATGGTTTTTTGACGCGTTTTCAGCTATGATATTATTTATTTATTTTGGTCAAGGATAAATTTTTTTAATCACCAGGTTTACCAAAAATAAAAGGAGAACCGGGCCTGAGAGCAAACTAACAAGAACACAGGCTGAAGAAAAATAGCCCAAACAAGGCCTTTATGTAGAGCTGTTAATATGGACTATATCCACCTAACCTATCATACAGCCCCTTTTTTTAAAACCTCATACATAGTGGGCTTATTTTGGGCTTCTGGCTCATGGTACTTTAGATTCACACACAGAGGCCCAAGCCACTTAGCCAGCCAACAATTGTATTGACGCCCGTATGACAAAAATGTATGAGGGGAACCATAAAATATTTATTAAAATAGTCAAATTATGAGATTAAAAATTCTAAATGGATATAATAATATCAAAGTTTTGTGAATCCCGAACGTGTGGGTCGTGTAGGAAGTCTACGAAAGAGGTATGAATAAGAGAAACAGTACATTGCAAAATTCAACCCCACACGCTAAAACTGTCTCCATCCAAGGATTGACATATCTAATTAGTAACTCTATATCTTCTTATAAAACTTTTATAATTATTATTTTTTATATCTTACAAAGAAAACATGAAATAAAAAAGTAAATATATTTAACACTTAAAAATATATAAAATAAATAACGCTTTTCTACAGTTAGTAATATAGAGGATAAAAATAAAATTGTATAAAAAATTGATTTTTTTTAAAAAATAAACTTAAATCGAGATAAGTTAAAATAATTCTGTATACTATATATATATATATATATATATATAAAATATAATATAATATAAATTTTAATCCAATGACAATTTATAACAAAATTTATTTAATAAAAATTAAATATAGTGTAAAAAATATAACAGACAGATATGATTATTAAAAAAAATTTAAGTGGATACGTTAATTCTTAAAAGTATACAAATTTTATTTTAATTGCTTAAATCCCAAATGTAAATCATAGTGATTTGGAAAAAATAATAATGTATTTATACTAAATTTATGAAAGACGAATTTAAGTATGCCCTCTTTTAATAACTACTTGAATATGTTTATATGTTAAGAAATGAAACGGTTTGGGAGAGGCTCATCATAAAAAAGATCTGCCACTATTTTCAAAATTACAAGTTATAAAATTATTAAAAACTTGTTAAGGAATAAATTGATCATAAAACATTACATAAATTGAATTTATTATGCACTAAAAAATGTGGTCAGATAAAATGATTATAAATTTTAATTAAAAAAAATTAATCTTGAAAAGTGTAAATAATTTTAATTCTAAATAAAGTGCTGGCATACACAGGCCTTACAAATCAGAATTAGGAACAGCATTTAAAATTTGTATTACAGCATAGCTTAAGAGTTCTAACTCCTAAATATTAATCATTGATACAAACTGACGAAGATATTTGGACACGCTTGCTTATTTCATAAAATACTAAGTTCTTACCTTCATAATTAGGCTGTTTTTTAATGTTTGTTTGTTTCAGCATCCATGTTTGAATCTTCCTTCGATTTGGGGTGTCCTATGACCCACCCAAATTTGCTACTAAGAAATTCATAGAGAAAGGGCGACGCGGTCTATATCATTACTTTATGTTTAATTATACTTCACTCAAACAGAATTATTTTTAGTAAAAAAAAAAAAATACACGTAAGTCTATATTAGTCTTGTTCAGAAATAAAAAAAAAATATTATTAATACAATGAATATAAATACAATTAAAATTTTTAAAGAGTTATACATTTTTGTATTTACAATACTATTTACTATAATAGAAGAACTTGTTTTATTTATGAGTAAATATTTTATAATAACTATACATCTTTTTTAATATGTCCAGATAATAGATAGGAGTATAAAATAAATCGTTCTAGAACTATAAGAATGGTTATTAAATCGTTAATACCATATAAAAATATTTCTCCTGAAGTATGAGAAATTTTGATATAACCATTTTTATATATTTAATGTATTCTGCGAGAATATATAAAGTTAAACATAGTTAAATACAAAATTGAAAGATTTTATTGAAATTATTTTAAGTCTCGTTATTTATTTGAGATATAATAAAAATAATAATATATAATATTACATATAATATTAATTTCAAGTTATTTAACTAATAAAATTAAAAAATATCGAACTGTTTCCATCGTTACAAACTCACCCGGGCATGTGAGGTTGAAATAATAGCTTGTCGACCAGGGAAATAACTTGTTTTTTATTAATTCAAATTTATTGTGACAATAAAATAAGAAAATATATAATTTTGATAGAATATTTTAAGAAACATTAAAGATATAAGATTGTATAAATGTTTTATTTTTATCTCAATCACGCATTGACACCCTACAATTGTTAATATTGCGGTTTTTTTATTAAATAAAACCAATAAGATAAATAAAACTAGCATGCTCTAAGCTGCGCGGCTACAAAATATTGTGATTCAATCAAATAAAGTTCAGGGCTTTACGTAATGATGTCACTAAAAATGTAAAATAACTTAAATCCTCTTACCATTCTTTGCTTTGCTTGTCCATCTTTAGAATGAATTTCTAATTTTGTCTTTCTTGTGGAACAAGTTAGAATTATACTATTTTCAAATCGAACATTGAAATCTCCGTTTGACCATTACTTTATATTGTGACACTTGACCTTCTAATGTTTTCCCCAGATGTTGAACGGATAATTGATCGCTATATGATCCAATCCTCATCAACTTGTTGATTTTGTGTCATAACATAAATTAAACCCATTTCTGAAACTATCAGAGAGTGACAGGGAAATGCCAAATTTCATATCGTTATATGACCGGCCGTGCAATAGAACAAAAAGAAATGCTAAATGATCACTCGTAAAATCTTTAACAAGTGATATTGACCACGTACACACAAAGACGCCACAAAAACCTGTGTTTTATGTCATAATATATACATTTCGGAACATTATTGCATAATTTAAGAAGGGTATGTTAGATTAATTATAATAGATATGATAAGCAATTGATCATAAAAATTTAATTAACATATTTGTATGTTTTTAGGTTTTTGATCGAGAATCTTCACAAAGTTAATAGAGTATTAATCTTTGAATTGAGAGTAGTTAGATAAGTATACTCATCAACAACTAATAAAGCATATAAGATATCTTACATTATCATCTTTAATTTGATTATTTAAACAAACGAAAGGTGGTATGATTGATTTAAGTATGGAACAAGAAAATTAAATAAGAAAGATGAAAGAAAGAAGAGAAGCATTTTAAGATTTCAAGTAATCAGAAGCGAAGACTCAAAATGGAAAATATGTAATTTCGAATATATTACATAATTGATTTATAACTTGTGTTTTGTTCATATTGTAAATTAATTGTTATTAAACTTTTATTATTCATTGGTCATATAATATTTAATTTTTTAATATATTACTCTCGTGGTCATATAAGGCAACATCTAAAAAAAGTATAAAAAGTTAATAAATTTATTGATTTAATAATTAATTAAAAACTAATATTGGTCATTCGATGATACAATCGCTAGTCATTGTGATATTAAGATCGATCAAGTTATAATTAAGTCAAACAACATAAGGAGATAAACTCAATCTTAAGGAAAGCACAAGATTATACTAATGGTGAGAAAACAACAAAAGTTTAAGTCTTAAAATTTACGTAATCCTAAGTATGGGTTTAGCCATTATAATAACCAAAAAAAAAAAATATATAAACAATAGAAGAAAAAAAAAACTTCATAAAAATTAACGTCAAATGCAAAAAAGAAAAAGAAATAATTAGAAAACCCCTTTAACAAAAATGATGTTCAATGCTTTGGTAGGAGTTTCAACACCTCTCAAAATCTCCGGGGAAAAAAAAAGGTAATTTATCTTTAGAAATATAGAGCTATATATATAGTTCATTTGTAACGTCGTTTCTAATTCTGCAATGCTTATGGTTGACAAGTCAGAATTGTTCTATTTTATTACCAAATATAAAAATTTGCATTTCATCATAATATTTAAGCTGATACAATCTTGTAGAAAATATTTGCGATGCACTCGCTTATTCTTTAGATTAACAAGCTCTTAGCGTCTTAGGCTATATTGCCATACTTGGCCTTGTAGTCTCGCCAGAGCTGATCAACACTCTTCCCCAGAAGCTGAACAAAGAATTGATCACTGTAACCAGTCTTCATCAACTTGTTCAATTGTGCCACAAACCCACTTTTGAGACTATCACAATAGTCCAGAAAACGAGCCGTAACATCATAACCTTGGTCCCATCTTTGTCCTTGCCCGGGTTTAACCCAATGACTAGGAGCATAGTTTGCTTTAAGCCTCACAAAATCAGCTATACCTTCAATCAATCCACCAGGAGCTTGACCATTCCCATTCCATTGCCAAACATGGGTCATTTCATGATACAACACCCCTGTAATCTCTGTTTTCACATCCCCATTATAGCTTCCAACGTATCTTGCACTTAAATGAATCTGATTGTTGCTAGTATATGCAACACCATCCATGTCATCCACGAATAAGCTTACCTTTTCCACATTTTTTCTGTCAGCAGGGTTGTTTTGTTGGAAGACCCTCCATATGAACTGGGTGGCTGAGTCAAGTGTTTGCTTCGCGTATTGTGCTCCTATTTTATCACGGAAAGCCACACCACCAGGAGTTGAGAGTGCGTTGTTAGTGACAGTGTATTCAACTGCCTGTGTTCCATGGATAGCAGATAGGAATAAGAGGAAACCAAGGGCATGCATGATCATGGTTGTGTTTAGAGCCTTTGGTTTGTCTTGCATGTATATGGTTGCAATGTAGAGTACTTCCTTTATATAGAACGGGGTCCTTCCCTAATCCACGCCATTAATATTTAACTTAATTTGAATGCTTGTTTGTGTCGGGAACCCAATTTTGAATATTCCAAGCAGCTGAAGTGTCATATATTTGGTCAAGTCAATCTTCTAGTGAAAAATGCCAAGTGGAATGGGCAGGGCAAGTTGATCTCATTTAATAAAAAGTCTATCTTGTTAGGCATCACTAAGACACTCAAAATGGATTCTTTAATATTTATATATGTATTTATTAATAAATAACATGATCTTAGGTAATTAAAATAGTAAACCCCTTCAATGTTTCTAGAGTTATGTGTAATGTCAAAAGAAGTACTTACAAGGGGAGATAGCTTTAATACCATAGTTAGGACTAGTTTGTAAGGTTATTAAAACGGTAAGCAGGCTTCAATGAATCGAGTTTTGTAATATGACAAAAAAAATTTACTTAGAAAGAAAAGAAATAGATACCTCATTCCTATGTTAATAAAAAAAATTATATATTTTTTGGTATGTAACGAACTGAAAAGATAGCTTTTTGGAAATGTTTGTAGATACATTGGTCAAAGAAAAAATTTGTTTTGTTACAAAAGGCATTTTTCAATTACAAATTTTTTATTGTTTAAGATTATATCAAACTCTATTCTGCTAATGACTCAAATCAGTCTTTTGTATCTATCCATATACAAATCCCGTTTGAATCCACTTAGTGCATTAGCGAGCACCGCACTTGCTTTTTGACTTGTGTACTTGCTGATTTTCTCTGCAGCCTGAGAGCAAGAGCCGATTTATTCAGAAAAATAGAAAAAGTTCCATTAAGAAGAAACAAAATAACAGAGGAGGAACTAGAGAGAAAGCAAATATGAAAAAGAAGCGTGTCAATTTGAGAGAATCACGTAACACTTTCCCTTTTTCTTTTATTACGAATTATTCAAAATACATTTTGATCGTGTTATTTTGCTACATGGCCTCACTGTTAGTTTGCTTTTTGGTCGATTGGGCCATATGTTTTTTTTATCTTTTCTTTTGTGAGTATTGGGCCAGCATAGTAGATATAATTTTTTAGGCCTGTAACTGGTTATTATTATCTTTTGTTTTTTTTTTTAATTTATAATCCAATAGATAAACAATTAAATTAAATAAATTATAAAACCCGCGAGATATGATCGTCCGTTAAACAAAATATTACATGAATATTAAACAATATTGCAGAAATTAGGAGTTCATTCATTCTGAAAACATAAATAAGAGTTATTTACAAAGCACCTCTTAAACTTAAAAAAAAAAAAAACACTACAATATTCTAAAACGAGAGAAGTAATGAGAAATATAGAGTACATCAAGGTATATATGTTTATTTGGATCTGGGAATACATCCCAAAACACTATCCCGTTGCCTGCTAAAGTGTTAAACAGAGTTCTCAAAACCACTGCAATGTTGTATGCTTGTGGTGTGTAGAAAAAACAACGTTAAAGAGTGTTCTTCAATGACCGCGTCCTCTGTGACTTGGTCCAGAATAAGCCCGATTGAGTATTAAGCATATGAAGGAAGGAGAACAATTTTGATCTTTGAGAGGTCTCATTCCCTCTACGTTTACGGAGTATGAGAGAGAAAGTACGAAGATGATGAGATAGATTGCGTTAAATGCTACTATAAGAGAGTAACCCTTCATTTTAGTAGCCACTAAAACTATTTTGAAATGGTGTGGTTTGTTTTGAGTTTGAACCACGATGAGTGTTTACTTATATATAAGCGTTTGGGGAAGGGGAGATATTGAAATTATGGAAAAATGAAAAGGCATGTTTTGTCGTTCTTTGACTTAGTTGTTGTGGTGACCGAGGTAGCGGAATGAGAAGGTTGTCAGTTACTACTATTTGGGTGCTTTGAATTGGAGACCAAAATAAAAAACAACTTTCGTCTTTCAAAGAATTTTACTCCAATAAACAACATTTGTGAAGAAGAAAATAAAGTTTTATGCATGTTTGACTTTTAAAGAAGATAAATCTCATAAAAATATAAAATAAATGGATAGTTTCTAAATATACTTTTTTCCCCTTTTTTCTGCATTTATTCACGTAATGTTTTCATTTACAGACACGTCCTTTAAGTTTTAATAATAAATTTTTTTTTTCTCTTACATTAGTTATATAGCCAAGATATAAATTTTCTTTTTTTTTTAATTCTTTAGTCAATACTTAAATATATTTAATTAACATTAGACATAGGTTAAAAAAGTCTTTATAGAAGAAATAAATAAATAAAATTTATCTCATGAATTAGTAGATTAGAAAACATCTAAAAAAATATAGAATCATAATTTATTTATGACTTAGGATAAAAAGTTTATTTTTTTTAATAAAAATTTATCCAAACTGAGCTATAATGGGGTTTGTAAATTGTCTTAAATTTTCTTAGTTTATTATTTTAATAATTTACTTGTATTTTGAGTATAGCTTTACATGCACAATAATTGAAATTAGACATATTTCATAATCAAGTTAATTTTAGTTTTTAGTATTCGCTTTTAAATTCAGAGATTTTTTAAATTAATACAATTGTTTTTCGAAAATCTTAGAAAAATATTATAAAAACTGAGCTAACTATTTATTTTTCCGGTTATATAAAATATGTTCCCCTCTAGAAACAAAGCATGGGAACCGAAGCATTCAAAGCCTTCGTTAGTTAGCTAATATAGTGAGCACGTGTCGTAAAGTTCATGCAAAGAGACTTTAAATTAGTATTGGAAAAGACTGGGCATTGAGTTTGAATTGGTCTGTTCTTACATCTTAGCATTCTGATGGAGAGTGATAATATATATTGTATATACATGTCCAAGTCAGTCATCCAACACTGTTTAGCCTATCAATACTTGGGGTGGGGTCCTTATTCATATATGTAGGTCAACCATGATTAACAATCTTGATATTTGAATAATTTTTTGAAGCAAAAGGATTCTAAGCCCCATTCACAAATCACATCTACATTTACTAGCTCACAATAAATTGGCTAAGAGTAGGTCAAGCAAAATTGAATTAGTAGCTGCTGACTCCCAAGGATGATAAAATTGTTGGGTCAAATATTTTGGCTTCATGACATGATCAAGGAAACCAGTTTTTTGTATTTTTTACTAAAAGTTGTATAAATGGGTGTGACTGTGTCCTACCCTAAAAAGATGTCATATGAAAATACATATTTTATAAATATTGATAATTGTTTATTCACAACTTCCACTTTTTTTTCAAAAATGTTTTTAGTTAAAATCAAAATTCAATTCATTGCATTTGACTATTTATATTCAACTCAGGATAACAAAGGAAAAATAAATAGAAAGTTCGTAGAAAACTATAAATGAAAAATTTGACGTGTAATGAAGACTAATTTTATGATCAAACTGAAATACTTATTGAACAGTTAGATCTGTTCATACTCTGCTAGTCTTTTTGTTTGTCGTACTCTTTCAGTCTTTGGTCAAATGAAAATAGAGAATGAATAAATCTCTATTGTTACTTTTAAACATGTTCAATTAATTAAATTGACAATCAGAGTATTTAAATAAAAAATCAAATAAGAAATGATAGTAAATATATAAAGGGGCAATAAATACCTTTTTTTTCTAGAATACTTCATTGAAAATACTCTCCAAATAGATAGAAAGGAATTTATTTAATGGGACATATTTTGGGCTTTGATGGACCAGTTCGAGAACAAACACACCACCCCGTTTGTCCTATTCAACCAATCCATCTTGAGCCTATGTTGCATATTCTCAATTCCATGGGCTTCTCAAATTAGCCCAATATAGTGTGGTTTTAGTTAGAAATTTTTAAGGTAAAATTCGCTTGGGAGTATCAAAACGAGCTTAATTCTTGAAAATCTTAACCTGAAAATTAGTCGGCCTTCAATGAGTTGGATTAGGCCCAAATGCTGTTAACTTATTGGGATTGCTTTTGACACCCTGTCTTTGTTCCCATTTGTTTTTTCTTAATATATTTTTTTGTTTAAAATTATCCTTTATAAACAATTTAAAAATTTAGACTCCTTTCACACTTTATTTAAAAAAAAAAAAACATTTTTGCACCACGACCACTTTAACAATTTAAAAATAGTTAATAATAATAAATTTTATTGAAAACTAAAGTATTTATTACATTTTTATATCTCCAACATAATAAGTGTTTATTTCTCAATAAAACTAATTACTTTTAGATACTTAAACTGAACTCTTAAAACTAATGTTAACAAAAGTGTTAAAATTTATGAAGAAAGTTGCTTCAACTCGTATAATGACTAATTAATGTTCGGACAAAAGTATGGTAGTCTCGTGGGCTTGTTAGGGTGACCCACTTCCCATGGATTGAGCAGGATTTCAGCCCTTATTTCAGCTCATCATCAATGTGCCTTATCAATGATCCACAAAAGGGTGGCATCTCGAAATTTTAGTCTCTCGAGTTAAATTGATACAGTTTCTCTACCACCTCTATATTTGTTAGTTTAGTTATTGAAAGCTTTGCGTGATCAATTTTTAACGTTGTAATTAAGGTGTGACTTCATAAAACAATACTCTCCACTCTTTTTTTATAAGAAATAAAAGACTAAATTATTAGATCAGGAAAAGCAATTAATTTTATTTTAAAAATATCTATAATATTAAATGATATAGTTAGTAATTTATATATTTAATGATACTAATAAAAAAAGGGTATAAAAGAAATTTAATAATTAATGTATCTTTAATCTATCATTATTTTTTATAATAAAGATCAAGAAAATACTTTATTTTATTTCTTATGAAAAAGACCTGAAGGAGTAATATGCATACTTTCCTATTTCATCACCTTCTTTTAGCCTGTAATAAGCACTAGCTTCAGCACCGATTTTGTAAAACAGACTCAAGCTAAGTTAATGTATATATTACCCTCAAAATAGTTACAGTTTTAATTAGCTTATTTAGCATTTAAAATCACATCTAATTTTCTGGAAAGAGCAATTTTTTCCTCGAAATGAAATATACTTCAAATTTGAGACTACAAAAGAGACAACAACAATGAGGCAACGAAAATTGGCTTCAAGTAAGTTTAACAAAACTTTGTTTTTCGCATTTGTAAACCTCTGCAATTTTTTTTTATTGAGTTGTAAATCATGAGATAAAATTTATATACATGCACTTTAACATACGTTTATATTAATTAAATTGACGTGTACGTTAATAATTAATAAGAGAACCATTAAGTCCACAAGACCACAAAATAAATGTATGGTAGTATTGTACAACGTGAAACAAAAAAAAAATATTGAAAAAGAAAAGGTTTACAACTAATAAAGCGAAATTAGAAACTACGTGACTATCTTTTAATTACAAGCAGACTAAATAATATAAAAACAACAAATTGTTATTTCCCCTTTTAATAATGTGTGAAGCAAATTGCCAAATAACTCCAAACATCATATTCATTTCATTGTTAAGAAAGCTTTCAAAACATCACGCATATTCGGAATGGTGCACCAACAGTAATTGATCTTGCACCACTATTATTTTGCAAAAGACTCCAACGAGGCAACTATAGCTACAGTAAATCCCATCACATGTGACGACACCAGGAATAAAATATCCTAACATGATTCTTTTGCAATATTTTTTATATTCACAGGTGAAATTTTAACATTTTTAATGACTTGATTACTGTATTATTATTCTTTGCTTAAAAGTTGCCACCCTTTCGGAATAACTTCATTTAATTGCCTACAGAAATTTACAGGGACAAAATACTATATATTAAAAATACATGGCATCCTAGACTCCTAGTCTGAGGCCACACATCCCTAAATCCTACATAAAATATTTCCTTCCCCTTCCTTCTTTCTATAGAATATAGATATAGATGTCCTGAGAAAAGGACCCCCCAAAATAGATGTTACATAATTAAGGACAAAATCATGACCTTTCATTTGTACCCTCCATGTGTGAACTTAGAACCACTCTTGTTAATGGTTATCCCTCTTTGCCATTTCTTACACTTTACCTCCTCATACTTCCATCTCCAATTAAGCTGTCATATTGAGTACAAGTCCTATTTGGACAGACATAGGAACCCATTTCCCAAAAGCTACAAATTTTGAAAAAGATTCATTGATCCTGGTTTCACTGCTTGGCTGATGGTGAAACATTGTTCCCTATTGCAGCAGGTGACCAAAAATCAGCACCATTGCTACCTGCCACGTGTATGGTGCATCCCACAGGGATCAAGCAGAGACCCCTACTCCTCAAGTCCTTGTTCACTTCCTCTTCATTGTTATCTCCGTCCCCCTGAAATAACGCATACACAACAAAAATCTTATGTCATCAAGAGTTGCCTTAAAAGGCAAAGTGTCACAGTTTTGACTGTGCTGAGTGACCACAAAAAGTTGCTAACCCGGGTCAACATTTTCAAGTAAGGTAATGTGCAGTATTGTCCCCATCAACCGGGCCCTGCAACTTACCCTCTTAGACCTTTGCTAGTTGTAGGTTTTGTTTATACACAAAGTACTAGTAATGAATCATAAACATAGAAGAATCTGAGAATACTGAGAGATGGGCCTCACATGCTGACGTTGATTGTATGAGGATGGCAAACTTTGCAGGTAAGGAGTGCACAGGACCTGAACTTGGTCATGTAGAAATCTTATATACCCCATGGCCTCGTGAAGCACTGATGCTGTATCTGTCTGCACATCCAGTTTCAGCATTCAATATCTCAATTCGATTTTCACTGATCACAAAAAATTATACACTTTACAAATTATAAGAATGAATACTGTATCTCATTCACCTTGCCAAAGGGAGACACGAGCTGTTGTAATGCTGCAATTCGCTCCCCAAGCTTCTCCTTCCTCTGCCATACCAAATAACATTCATCAAACTCTATGAAACTATGATGCAACATAATAATATTAACATATCCCCACTTATAAAATTATGTCACATTTTTTTTTTATTAGAAAAGGACAGGTCATCATCTGTTTGTGATCCTGAGAGTGTTTTACTTTTAGTTGAAGGGGAAGACAGAAAAAGAAAGGGACATGCAACCCTTCCACAGTTGATTTTCCTAACCTTTGCATGCAGGCTTGAAGTGGGGTTCTCTTCTTTGATCTTCTTAGGCTGTTTCTGGCCTCCCATACCTGGCTTAACCACCGGTTCATGTCCCGACCCGTTTCTTTTTTTCTGCAAATTCTTCAACCAAAAGAAAATAAAAATCAATAATGACAAGATCATTCTCCAATTGCAAACCAATAAAAAAAAAATGCTATCACAGACATTTGACTTAGGTAAGGAAGTAGTGAAGGCTGTGTTGGCATAGTTGCAAGAAGAAGCAGATGAAGAATCACTGGAAGTGATGACAGATTTCTGGGGGGTGACGTTGGTTTCAGGAAGCAAAACGTCGCCTTCATTGGCAAAAGAAAGCATTTTGGGTGCCTTGTGAATGGAGAAAAGAGGGGAATGGGTGAGGTTGTAAGTATGGTCCACACCAAGACCCAATGCATTTTCATCATCGTCATCTCCGAATAGTAACTGAGAAAAACTGGTCCCTGCGGGTGTGGTCAGATGGTCCACTACTGCAAATTCCTCTTTGGTCTCCATTCAAACAAAAAATAATGCTAAGGAGTTGGAATGAGAAGGGTGTCAAACCTGATGAGGAGAAATGTGGGAGGATTTTGAGAGAAAGAGAAATGGAAAGGAAAGAGTTATAAATAGTGTAATTAATTAAAAAGGAGAGGAACAAGTGTCAAGTGGCAAAGAGTGAGGGGGACATATGTAACCATGTTTATTATGTTTATGTCTATGGCAGTGTCAATGTTTGAAAATAAAGAGAAAAAAAGAAAAGAGAGGACTATGTTTATGGCAGCCGTTACAGACTTGGGCTGAGTGAGGGATGACTGGGCTCTTTCCAAGGACGGCTTCGGTTTTCGGCAACCAATGGTCAAACCCACCTGGCCCGAGAAAACCGTGTTTTATCCCTCCAACGCACCATTTCATTTCCCCTCTTAAACCCATTCCATTACACTCATCCATCAACAATTGTTTGCTGCTTGCAAAGTACTAACTAAGCATTCCTTAACATATTTAATACCTTTAATATTATTATTACATTCAATTTTATATAAAAATCTATTATATATCATATTTTCTATGCATAAATTATAAAAGCCGTTATACTTTCTTTTTTAAAATAATTTATCATGTTAAATTATAATCAATAATTTATTAAAACAAGTTTTAAAAAATTATATTTTATATTTATGAATTCTTTTAAATATTATTTAAAAATAATATTAAAAACTGTATTTAAGTTTTGTCTGAATATTTAATATGATTTTATTACACACTTTACATTAATTGTCATAATTGATTTTAATAATTTTATAAAAATAATGTTCTAATTAATTTTATACATCTAAAGGATGAATAATCAAGTGTTCACACGCTAACGTTTTGCATCCCATTTAAGGGATGAGTTTGTGAATGGAAATTGGATGGTGATGTTGTGGCTGTGTGTGAGAAAGTTCAGAAAGGCTCAAAATGTACTTTTCTTTTAGATGATCTCGTGCCAGTCTTGATTAAAAGAAAGTGTACTTAACAATAAAATAGTAATTGATATTTTAAAAACTAATTTTTTATATTATTATGTGACAACAATATAAAATATGTTTATATTTGTGATTTTTAATAAAAAATATTATTTATTTCAAACTTATAACTAGTGTTTAGGACCTAATCAACACATTAATTTTAAAAAATCACATTTTAAATTAAAGATTCCAATTCGCACAATGCTAATGTGGGTGCAGCAACAGCATAGTGATGTCATGAATTCATTAAAGTCAAATATTGCAATAAAAGAACTCTATGAAAGGTAGCATAGTGATGTCATGAAATAAATCCAAGAGTTCAAGACAAATAGTGCCTATACACTAAACATGAAATCTTCTCAATACAAAATAATAACATTTGGACACATCCATTCTCCCTCCTCTGATAACGGAAAACACTCCCACAAATCAAATTGGAATCGGCTCAGGAAAAATATAAAATGCACATGATTTTTGAAGCAGATCCATATTCTTGATAATAGTTTTAATTTTTTCTATCTTTTATATTTATGAATCTTCTTAGTTACTAAACAAACAAATTATTAAATGTTTTATATTTTTAAATAATTAAAAAAATTATTTAATATTTGAGAAAATTTATATAAAAGGAAATACTATTCCTCTATTTGGAAGGAAACTGGAGGCAAAGGAAAATTCATTATTTATACTGTTATAACAATTTATAATTATATTGTTATAAAATAAAACTTTATACTAAAAGAACATTTTAATTAAATTGATTAAACTAAATAAATGGACACAATAATTTGTATGATCAGGTTTTTAATCAAAATTCTTTTTTATTTTGACGCAAATAAAATAGCCCAGTTAAATTAATTTTATATTTTTTAAATAAAAATATAAAATTAACCTATAAAATTAACCTAAGTGGACGTTCAATTACGGGAGAGAATTCAGATATCAAGTTTTGAAAATTTGCTATGCTTGCGAGAACTCCATTATACAACTTTTGGTAGTGTGTAGCTTTCTCATGAGTCTTTGACATCTCTCGATTAAAAAGATATATTTTGTTCGCTTTGAGTTTAACGGATTTGAATTGTTTGTAGTTTTAGAATTTACGGTCTAAATTTACTTAAACGAATTTAATAAAAAATTTGTTTAAGTTAAAATTATAAAAAAAATTGAATTATATATTTTTTAAATTATACAAAATTTGAACAAAATTTATCTTTCATCTATAGTTACTTAATTATTAAATATCCTTTCATATATTATTTAATCAAATATTATAAATATATTGTCTAATGTATTATTTATGCTAAACATTGATAAATTATAATTTAAAATTAAGTTAAATTATTAAAAATAATAATAAAAATTATTAAAATAATAACTTTAAAAAAATAATTAAAAATATTACAATATTACACAATTTAGGACTGTTAAATTTTTGTAATATCACCACAAAATGTGACTATATAATTTCATACAGAAATTTTTAAAATTTTATATGATTTTAAAAAAGAAAAAAAATTATAATTTTAATTTAAGTAAATTTTATTAACTTAAACAAAAATAATTTTTTTTTATCAAATTCACTTATATGAATTTTTTAACTTAAATAAAAATTACGTTTTACTAAATTATTTAAGTGAATCTATTCTCCTTAAGCAAATTTAAATAGAAGACTTTCAAAATTCCAAAAAGATTCGAACTTGAATTCAACACTCGTTGATCTGAATTAATTGCAACCATACTTAAATAACGCGTGTGCAAGAAGCTATAGCTTTTTTTTTTTTTTAGTAATAAATTTAAGAAATGGAATTGTTTCTTTGGCTTTAGGAGCATAGCCAATTCTCCATGGGCAGTGAGATAACACAGTTGTTCAATCTAAACCACACAACCAGAGGGTGACAGCCAAAACTCAATTACAACGTCAATTAGTAATATATATATATATATGATTACGTATTATTGGATCCTTCTTCAGATTGATTGAGAGAAATCGGGATTTTGTCATTATATATAGGTAATGTGCGGTTAGAATCTCTCGCGGGATTTGTCATTATATAACATATTAACATTTAATTTTTTTAAATATAAAATCACAAAAATATATTTATTTTAAAGTAAAATTTTATATTGTTTTTGTTATATATTGGATGGATAAAATGAATATTGAGTAACTGTTATAATAATTATATAATTATTTTAGTTTTCTTTAACAGTATATTAATACATTGTTTAGTAATTATACAGCAATTAGTAAATATGCTTATATAAATATATAATTAAGTTAATTTTATTTAATCATAATATGTTTTAAATATAGAGTACCGAAGTTTATTGAAACAAATTTGCTTAATTATTTAATCAATACAAAATTTTCATGACAACAATTTTTTTATTTTATATACTTTTAATATAAAATAATATATAATAGATCTGACTTATTATTATAATAATAAATTAAAATTTTTTATGTACTTAACACAAAAATATATTAATTTCTCAAAAGTGTGTTAATTATGAATGTTTCATTAAATTTCTGAATAATAAAAAATATCAATTAAATTTACAGGTCTTACCACTAAATAGTATTTATAATACTAGATCTGAGAAAGTTTTGACATGTAATAATTTCTAAATAAACTTTATTAAAATATTTGAAATTCATGTATATATAAAGAAATTGAGTCTTTGTTTTAAGAATAAAATTTTATATATAATTTAATGATAATAATTTTCTTTAATTCATTAGAAATAATAAATAGTGAAAATTTAATATACACGTATTTATTGTCTGTACAATATTGAATCTATAATATAACTGTCAAATATTGGATGTACGCACGCAGAAAGAATTTTTTTAATGTTTTTTTAATAATCTTTTTACTACTCTATAATAAGTATTAAATAAAGATATTTATTTATTATTATGCTGAAAATATAAAATATATTAAATACTTTCTGTATTTGTAAAAATATATAAAGGATAAAAGAATTTTAAATTATTCACGTAAGAAAACTTCTTACTGTATAATTAATCATTGTTTACCCAGTTAATTGCCACAAGTCCCCGATCCTTAGTTATCAAACATATAATTTTTAACATAATAAATAGTACTTTTAGACTTAAATACAATTTTTTTCAGAAAAAGATGTTGTGTTTTTTTTTCTAAAATTGACAAGTTTTTGCGTACATAAATTATTTTTTATAAAAATATTTTAAATGAAGATAAAACAATTATTTAGATAAACAAGTCCAGATGTTCCAGTATATTTAACAATAATTTAAAAAGTATAACCTGAAATATTAATAATATTTAATTTTATCTTTTATGAAATCATTAAACAAATATTATATTTAGAACTACATGTAATTGTCAGTAAGAATGAACACCATTGTTTAAATATACTATTTTTGTGATTCCCACTGCACTACACGTGTAAGGCGGCAGGCCGCGGAAACTAGAACGAAATCTGAGGCTACGTATGCAGTTATCACATGAACACGAGACAAGAAATTCCTTTCAATTCTACAACCATAGAAGAAGAAGAAGAAGATGAAGATATAGAAAGTGAAAGAAAACTGACGCTATCAATGAGTCCAACTTCAAACCTCAAACAAGACAGAAACAGCCCCTCAGAACCACCAGTTCCTCATCCTTCCGTGGCTTTAAAAGCTTCCAAGTTGGCAATCCCATTATCATCCATTCCCTCTTTAAAACCCCCTTCTCCCTCCCATTCAACACAAACCAAACACAATGGACATTTGGTCCTGGATATGTGACCTCCCCAACTCGGTCGAGTGGGACCAGTCTGACTCACCGCCCAAGTTCGAACTCGCCAGTGAGGACAACTCAAATCGCTCTATTCACCTGAAAGCGGAGCGAACCTCAGGCTCAGACTCAGAAGCTGTGGTGACTTTCACAGTGTGCTTGCAGGGCTTTCATCCATTCAACGCCCAAAAGCCATTATGGGTCTCCGAAAAATGCCACTTGTCTTCACAGAACCCTTTCCTTCCTCTCCTTCTCCAACTCCTCCAAGAAATAATAACCCACTCACCCACGGCGCATGATACCACCTGCCCCAGGTCCCAGCTCCAGAAATTAAAGCCCGACCCCATCGCATGGATCATGGACTCTCACACACCCCAATCCCTCTCCACCTTTTTCAACCTCGTCTTCACCGTACGCCTCTTCTGGCTATGTGTCTGCGACGCCCCCACCGAAGCAGGCTCCCTCTACTTCCACTCACTCCTCGCTCCCACCCTCGAAACGGCGTCGTCCAAGCTCGCCACCGTTTTCCGAACCTTCTTCATAACCGTTGGCGTCGACACGGAACTCTGCTTCATGCGCATGCTCGGTTACATAATAGCAAAATGGTGCATCATAAGAGAATTGGGAGAAGGAGTGGGGTTGAAAACACTATTGCCTTCTTCGCCGCGCCGGAATGGGAACCCTAGGTTGTCTTACGCGACGGAGGCGCACGGTCTTTGGGTTCTGAAAGGTTTCGCGCCGGTGATGACGATGAAATTGGCTCGAAGCAATAGTCAAAAAAGTCAATTATCCGGTATCGATGCCAAAGAGTCAATACTCCGCTACACTCTAGCACACCAACAACTGGAGGCACACGTACAATTAGAATACACCGTTGGGTTCTGCGATGGCTTCATTAAGGTTCGTGCACGTGTAGACAATATACGCCTCCACGTGGCAAGGCTGGGTTTCAACCAAAACGACGACGTGGATTTCGTTGAGGAGAAACACTTTCCGTCCAGGGTTCGGGTTTGGGTGGGCCCAGAGATCGGAGCGACGTACGTGGCTGGGCTGAGCTTGGGCCGGTCCACGGAGAACAGAGAAAGCGAAGTGGGTATTCAGAAGATCGTGAAGGGCAACTTCGAGAAGTCGCAGGTTTCGAAGGTGAAGGCGTCGGCGAGGTCGTCGAGGAAGACGCAAAACAGGAGTTGGAGAATGGATCAAGACGCGGAAGGGAACGCGGTGATATTCGACGTCGTTTTGTATGATAACATGACGGGCCACGAAGTGGGCTCGTGGAAGCCCATGAGTCAAACGGGTGATGAGCCGGCTCATGGGCTCAGAGGGCGATATGCCCGGGCAAATAGACCCTTTACAAAAAACGGGTCGGTGGTTTTTGCGGGTGATGAGTATGGAGAGGAAGTAGGGTGGAGGCTTAGCAAAGAGATGGAAGGGAGTGTGTTGAAGTGGAGGATAGGTGGAGAATTTTGGGTTACTTATTTGCCCAACCAAACCAAAGGCCCTTATTTTGAAACTAGGTATGTCGAGTGGTGCGATGAAGTTGACTTGCCTCTAATTCATGCAAAAATACCCTAATAAGTGACCATAATCAAATCAAACCCTTCTCACCAAATTAAGCACCAAAATAAGTTTTTGTAAATACGTATAGATGCAAGCTTAGTGACTAGTTTACAGTACTGCTGTAGTTTAAGTGCTATGTACAACAGCCATTAGTGCACTCTTAAAATAGTGCTCTGTCTATCATGTAATTCGTGATTTAAATTATTACAAATTAATATTATATATTTTATTTGTTTTTAAATTTTCACCGTATATACTTTCCAATAATACAATTTAAATATAAAAGAAAATGTCAAAATATTCGTACTAATGGTACAGCAAACATTTTCCTAATAATAGCAAGTCTAGTGCTCAGCAGCTCAGTTCTTAAGTTGACGGCAACTCTCACGTTTGCAAAGGATTTTTTTATAACACTAACACTTCTTCATGGTTAGTGGCTTAACAAACAATTCTGATATATATATATATATATATATATATATATATATATATATATTGTGAATATAATGTAAGAACAACTATTTGTGTGGAATAAATAAACCAGGATATAAGAGTGTTATATTTTATTAATAATAATATTAAAATTTATGTTGAGTAAAAATGTATCCATTATAGATTAATTAAAGAATAAAACTTAAAATATTATTATATGTATTTTTTTTGTTGTTTTTCAAGTCTTTCAATTTATATTTAAATTTTGTACTTGATTAATTTAACACAACTTGTACATATAAATAAGGTATGTGGGCGTTAGCTTAACTTTGATGTGATAACAAGAGGTACCCTCACATGCTCTATTTAATAAGAGTTTGACACGATTTTGTCATTTTAACAAACATGTCTTCTCCTATGATTGACCCTTGTTCAAATGTTATGGAGTAATCATGTTTTTATCTCTATAATTATAAAAGAGTTTGTATTAAAAAAATAATAATCTCTCACTGCAGGCACACGCAACAATAAATATAAAATCAATGTTAATTTATGTTATGATAATATTTAGGAAAATACAATGCAAATGATGCGCGCATACAATCAACTGATGATAATAATAATAGCACGAAATAACATAATCCAAAGTTTATTTATTATCTGTGTTATAAAACAAAACACTAATAAATAAATGAAATATACAATTAATAGTACAATTATATTTAAAACAAAATAAGAAGAGTAAATTTAATAATATAATGTTAAAACAACATAAAGTAAATAAATAAAGCTCTACAAAAGTAATACTAAATAATAATAAAATAGTATAAAAGCTCAAAATAGCATAAAATAATATTATAAAATGAAAAACAAATATAATGAAGAACAAAAAAATAGTAAACTATTAGTATAACAGTAAAAAATAATAGTAAAATAAAACTATAAAAGTTAACATTAATTTAAAATATAATATAGAATAAATATTTATGAAATTAAATAAAAAATAGTAAATAAAAATAGCATTCCACTTTTTAAATATGTAACAAATTAAATCATACTAACTTAATTAATATTATAATTAATATACAGTAAATAATTAACATTATAAAATAAAAAGAACTTGCAGGGATACATTGTTGGGATACAGACTTCAGTGTTTGAATGTGTTTTATCGATACAAATTGACGAGAGTTGAAGAGCTAAGGTTATAAAATTGGGGTGAAGAAACAGGTCTAAGGAATCAGAATCCAATGGGGTTAGGCATATGAAAAAGGCAAGTTTCTAAGGTAGTTTCGGCTCTGAACTGACCAGTGTCCACGCGTTTTGCTTTTGATTTCAACTGATGCGAATTGCTCCGTGCTTAATGACGATGAAAATCTCTCGTACATTTTCTCAATTGCTTCACTACATGTGAGGTCCTCTCAAGAAGACCAATGTTAGTTCATTTTTCCATTTTTTTTGTGTTTCCTCTTTCCCATGAAAGGAAAACTGAGGATGAATTCAGAAAATTATACTAAAATATCTGGACCTATTATAATTATTATTCTTGTTCTCAGTTCTGTTCTTTGGACTGGTTTTTGTATTGTTATTGGTCTTGGCCTAGTTTTGTTCTTGGTCTTTTTCTTGGAATTGATCATAGTCTTGTTCTTGTTGTTGGTCTTCGTCTTGGTTTTGGCCTTCGTTTTGTTTTTGTTCTTAGTCTTTGGTTCTGTTCTTGTTCTTACTTCTTAGTACTGTTCTTGTTCTTGTTCTTGGTCTTGTTCCTGTCCTTATGTCTTGGTTTTGTTCTTGTTCTTAGTTGTGCTCTTGGTCTTGGTCATGGTCATGGTCTTGTTCATGTTCTTGGTCTTGGTCTTGGTTTTGTTCTTGTTCCTATTCTTGGTATTGTTCTTGTTCTGAGTCTTGTTCTTGGCCTTGTTCTTAGTCTTGCTCTTGTTCCTATTCTTGGTATTGTTCTTGTGTCTTGATTTTTTCCTTGTTCTTAGTCTGGTTTTGTTCTTGTTATTGGTCTTGGTCATGTTCTTGATCTTGGGTTTGTTCTTGATCTTGTTTTTGGTCTTGTTCCTGTTCTTGATTTTGTTTCTTGGTCTTGTTCCTGTTCATGGTCTTGGTTTTGTTTCTTGGTCTTGTTCCTGTTCTTGGTCTCGTTCCTGTTCTGATCCTTGTTCTTGGTCTTGGTTTTGTTTCTTGGTCATGTTCCTGTTCTTGGTATTGTTCACTCTTGGTCTTGTTCCTGTTTTTGTTCTTGTATCTTGGTTTTGCCCTTGTTCCGAGTCTTGGTCTTGTTCTTGGTATCGTTCTTGTTCTTACTCTAGCTCTTGGTTTATTTTTCTGCTTTAAGGATGCATCTTAATACATTAATCTCCTAGGTCTGCTTCTCCAGATGACTCGACTTCTCTGACTAGAGACTTTCGATCAAGATCATTTATCAAGGTCCAGGAGAATTCCTTCCGGGTGTAACTTGATAAAAATGCATTTCTAATTTGCTAAGTTACCATACGTCAGACATGCACACACGTAAAAGCTAAGTTGTGATATAAATTGCCAAGCACGTTCTTTCTAATTATGGTTTTGTTCCGGTAGTCAAGATGCTGCTGATGCAGAGAATCCTGGAAATATTTTGTTACATTTAAAATCATATGCTTTTTGTGTGTATAAAATCATTAGGTCAGTGTTAATTAGGTTGGTGGTATACTATGTATGTCTCTGCAAAGGCTTGGTTGATTTTCCTTGCTGTTAACTGGGTTCTTTGTTGACGGTGAATGAATATTCAATGATCGTATAAAAAGTTATAATGTATGCAAAATATTAAATGAGGAAATATATTTGCACATATTGGGAGTATAAATACTGTATTTCTTTTAAAATTGTTTAATCTGCTAAGTGAATCGAGGAAATTGTTGAAGTAGTTGTATAAATTGAAATGAACTAATTTTAGCCTGTATTAGATTGATGCGAATGAAATCTGTGTGTTTTCTTTTGTATTTTTGGTCCAGTAGATGTGAGTCAATTTAACATTACATTGAGTAGTTTCTGAATCTTGAACATTCCTCAATAGCCGCATTAACGAGAATTCAGACACATACATCATCTTAATAACTTGTGCGGTGGAATTTAATAGCATTGATTATAATTCTTACCCTTTATGTCTACGTGTTAGACAGGCACGTAACCTTAGTTTGCATCATAGATGCGTACAGTTTTGTGCTTTGTACCTTGCCACGTTGATATTGTCCAAATTCAATTCAGTTTCCCATTTCGGAAGCATAGGTTTGCTGAGTGGCTGGTTGGCTTGTCGCTTGCACATTGTTGATTAGAATGGACTCAGTTCCATTCTAATTTTTTTTATATATTACGGAATGCCTTTAAAGTGAAAATTTAGTTATTCATAAAAAATTAAAACATAATCCACATCTTTTATTTAGCAATCAAATTTGTGTACGACTCGCATTGTTATTAATGTTTAAGTAACCTTTTAATAAAATTGTTATGATTAAAAAACAGTATATAACTATTTAATACGAAAATTATGCAAATTGTACATGGCATTGATAAAACCCAACTAAAGCGAAAATCGCGGCGGATTAAAGTATATAATAAAAATCAGTTTATTTACATCTTATTCAAGAATTCCTTTCGTAACATTAATCATTTTTGCATGATTAATATGTAACTCGGGCAGTATTTATATCAATTTTTTGGTATAAAATATGTGTATATTAATATAATTATGAAAATATTTTAAAAAAAACATTACTTAAATAAAAATAGTAATATCCATATAAAAAAATATAATACACTACGAACTATCCGTGTACAATTGGCAAAGCAACCCGCAAAATACGAAATTAACTTATCTTAATAACTGCACTTTTCGCGTGCCTCCAACAGATAAACAAAAATATTTGATATACGAGTGTCCCCAAAGATTGAGAATCTTGGTCTTCGTTCTTCCATGTCTCGAGTCCAGATTATGTTGCCTGCTCTGCAATTCTCACCGCACCTGCACAATCTTCACGTGCAAATTATTATATTTTATTCACCGTTTTTTAACCCTAACTAAGATAGAAACACGCTGCTGAATCCAATACGAGGTTGATGCCATATATTATATGATTACACTGGAATTCTCTATTATGATTTTAAGATCGAGAGTTGGATTTTTTAAAAGCAATAATTATTTTTTAACAATTTTTTATATAGTTTAATACACATTTAGTTTTTTTAAAATAATAATTTCTTTCATCAAATTTTTAATTTTTCAAAAATAAGTCCTGACTAGTAGGTCGTAATCTCTTACTATATTACAGCAGTTAAACATTATTAGGTGTTGCATTGTCCTGTACCCAGAGAAAATGCCAGCAATGTGGGCCTCAATGACTTGAATGCGTGTCCAAAAATCAAAGCAAATCTCTGCAACATCAATCGCTAACAGTTATCAGCTCCACCGACTATTCACTTTCTAGTGTATTTCTCATTTTATTGTGCAATGGAAGATGGAGAATGGGTTCTGGTACGCAACCCCCCACAGGAGTGGTGGAACCCAAGCTTAACGAATGCAGAGAATGTGGCTCCTCCTAGGCCCTTGAAGATTACTTTTTCTGGGCCTGCAACCCACTGGACTGATGCCATCCCCATCGGCAATGGCCGTCTTGGGGCCATGGTTTGGGGTGGCGTGCCGTCAGAACTTCTCCAGCTCAATGGTAACCAACACTTGTTGCTTTCACTTCCAATAGGGAGATAATTTTGCCCTCAAACTTCAATTTTATTTTATTTTTTTGCATTTTAGGCACAGTAATTATAGGCATTTCTAGTTGTAAATTTATGTAATTGAGAAGTTAAGGACATTGTTCATACTGCATTGTGCATAGCGAAACCAATCAGCTAATGTCACGATTTAAATTTGTTTCGCAGAGGACACACTTTGGACTGGAATTCCTGGCAACTACACCAACCAAAATGCTCCACAAGCACTGGCTGAAGTTCGAAAACTTGTTGATAATAGAAAATTCTCTGAAGCTACGGCAGCAGCTGTCAAGTTGTCAGGAGATCCTTCTGATGTATGTAATATATCACTATTAATATAACCATTATTTTTCTTTAGATGTGTGTTGATAGAAGACATGATATATGAACATAGGAATCTGAGTAGGTGCATTTTTTTACACTATAAGTCACACGATGTTATTCAACTAGTATTCTCATTCATGGTGCCCCCGCCTCCCCCTTTAAATGTGTGCTTATTGTGTTCATTTGGATTATGGAGTTGGTGCATGAGTTAAGGAAGTGTTATACAATGTTGGCAGTTATCCCTAACTATTATTTCTTGATATGAAGGTATACCAACTTCTCGGTGATGTCAAGATAGAATTTGATGATTCTCATCTTACATATTCAAAAGAATCTTATCATAGGGAGCTGGATTTGGATAATGCAACAGTGAAAACAAAATACTCTCTGGGTGATGTTGAATTTACCAGAGAACATTTTGCCTCTAATCGGGACCAAGTGATGGTGACAAGGATTTCTACAAGCAAGCCAGGGTCATTATCGTTTATAGTTTATGTGGATAGCAAAATGCAACACGATTCACGGGTAAGTGGCCAAAATCAGATAATAATGAAAGGAAGCTGTCCTGGCAGTAGGATACGACCAAAAGTGAACTCAAGTGACATTCCAAAGGGAATTCAGTTTTGTGCTGTTCTTGATATACAGATTAGTAAAGATAGAGGGGTTATACATGTTTTGGACAATAAGCTAAGAGTTGAAGGTTCAGATTGGGCTATTTTGCTTTTGACAGCTGCTTCTTCTTTTGATGGTCCATTTACTAAGCCTGACGACTCTAAGAAGGATCCTACTTCCGAGTCCCTCAATAAAATGAAGTCTGTGAAAAAATTTTCATATGCTGATCTTTATGCACGTCACTTAGATGACTATCAGAATTTATTTCACCGTGTCTCATTGCAACTCTCTAAAAGCTCTAGAAATGTTTTTGGAAAATCTATTTCGGATGAAAGGCAATCGATTTCCTCTCTAACTAACATCTCTGGAATGGGAAGTGATGATATGGTTCCAACTTCAGCAAGAGTCAAATCTTTTCAAACTGATGAAGATCCTTCCCTCGTGGAGCTTTTGTTTCAATATGGTCGGTATCTGCTGATTTCTTGTTCACGTCCTGGAACTCAGGCGGCAAATCTACAGGGTATCTGGAACAAAGATGTTGAGCCTGCATGGGAGTATGTTTTCCCTTCTATTTTCATCCCTCTTCTTGCAATAAATAAATAAAAAAGAAATTGTGCCGTATAGTTTCTAGTTACAAGGAGGTGGCTTAAAGCTTTTTAGATGGATATGGAGTGTCAAATATATCTCTAGAGTCGGTTCATTAAGAATTAACGAGAGTTTGTAATTTGTCTTTCTTTTTTGTCACCCAGTTGTGCTCCTCACCTGAACATTAATCTTCAAATGAATTATTGGCCGTCCCTTTCTTGCAACCTACATGAGTGTCAAGAGCCATTATTTGATTATATTTCCTCTTTGTCAGTCAGTGGTAGTAAAACTGCAAAGGTACTTTGTTCTTTTCACTCTTTCTTTCATATTATTCTTGGCATTCTTTTTAAGAAAGGAATCATTTATGCTTGTGAGTTATCAGTAACTTTGTAACCTGCCTCCCATGCCAGAAAATCTATAACAAGGCCAAAAGCAAAAGATTGGGTTGCGCATCTGCCATGTTGTCATGAATTTTATATGTTCTATCCAGAATTTCCTTTGATCTTGTGTACAGGTGAACTATGAAACAAATGGTTGGGTTGCACATCAAGTTTCTGACATATGGGCTAAAACATCCCCAGATCGAGGTGATGCTGTTTGGGCTTTATGGCCAATGGGCGGAGCTTGGCTTTGTACCCATCTGTGGGAGCATTATATGTATACGATGGACAAAGTAAGTTATAGTTTTTCAGTAAATTATCTAAGCCTTGATTTAAAGTATTGAGTCAACCAATCTTGTGAATAGGGCTGTTCCCAAGTTATGGAGCTTACTGATGATGCACTGTCATTCCTTGTAGAGTTGCATATTCCATGCATACTTATCTGCTTCTATTTTCATGGCATAACTGTAAGTTGAACTGGAAATATGGAAAGATGCTGTTCATCTTTATGTTGTAATGGGGTCTATAGATCTATTTTTGGTTATTATGTTTTATGCCACTATGAGATTTAGAAATTGATACTAATCCAAACAATACCTTGTTTAGCTATGATGGTTAATAATTCAAGGGAGCAACATGCTGTATAACTATTACGAGCTTCAAATGGACTTACAAACTGCAAGGAAAAAGATTCAATTATAGGCTTCAAGTTTCATTTAAGGATGCAACTTATTACTGCCATTGCTACTGATGAACCTTTGAGGTTGTAAACATAGACTAGTTATTAAATACAGACTACTGAGGGATGAAGAACTTAAAATATTATGATGGCACATATATCATGTTTTTTATTTGTAAATACTTTATCATAAATTATATTTGCTGTGTACTAATTATGCACATACACATATATAATAAGTATGTATGTTATCAGTTACTAGGTAAATGATGGTTGGATTTTCTTTTATATTAGGATTTTCTTAAAAATAAAGCATATCCTTTGTTGGAAGGATGTACATCCTTTTTGTTGGATTGGTTGATTGAAGGCCGTGGTGGATTATTGGAAACTAACCCATCAACTTCACCAGAGCACATGTTCACTGCACCAGACCAAAAGCCTGCTAGTGTGAGCTACTCATCAACCATGGACATTTCAATCATAAGAGAAGTTTTCTCCATAATCATTTCTGCTGCTGAGGTAAAACTGATCCTAGTAGCTAACCAATAATAGTTTCATATTATCCTAGTTTTATCTCGGTTATTGATTTTCTCAAAAACAGGCTTTGGGAAGACATGATGATGTTATTATCAAGAGAGTCACCGAGTCTCAGTCTAAGCTCCCTCCAACAAAAATTGCTAGAGATGGTTCCATTATGGAATGGGTACACACGAGCTAATGTCCACTTGGCCAATTTTTGTCGTCTGATATCTTGTTCTGTTGCAATGACCAAGTTCTACTGTGGAGTGTGGACTAGCTATTCCATGTTGACTTTAACACCTTATGTATTTTTCAGGCTGAAGATTTCCAGGACCCAGATGTACATCATCGACATGTTTCACATCTGTTTGGACTGTTTCCAGGGCACACAATAAGTCTTGAGAAAACTCCAGACCTCTGTAAAGCTGTGGATTTTAGTCTAATTAAAAGAGGTTTTTTATGAGAACTTTAAATGCTTCTTTTCAGAGATAATAGTTATTTTTTCTTGCAATATGTATCGCACTATGGCTATTAATTATTATTCTGAAAGTCCATATCTTAGAAGAACAGGACCAGCCATATGTAATTATTGATATTTCATTAGAAGACGGTTATACAAGATGCAGTCTGATGGTACCTTGTGTTTGTTGCTTATGTGTAGCTGTAGGATTTTATGTGTTGAGACTTGAGAATACTTTCGAAATAGATAAACTATGTGCTATCCTAAAGCCTCTAGTTACTTTAGCAGACAATTAGAATGGTGGGGGAATTATATGCCATTATTGGATCAGGGATTACCGTGTTATATTCAACGTTGTATATACAATGAAAATACATAAATCTGTTTTTTTTTTTATCCTGAATAATAGAAGTAAATAATATAATAAACAATAGTTGACATTCTTGCACTGTGTTGCAGGGGACGATGGTCCAGGATGGTCAACAACTTGGAAAGCTTCCCTGTGGGCACATCTTCGCAATAGTGAGCATGCATATCGCATGATAAAACACCTGATTATCCTGGTGGACCCTGATCATGAAAGTGATTATGAAGGAGGACTTTACAGTAACCTGTTCACAACACATCCCCCTTTCCAGATTGATGCTAACTTTGGGTAAGCTCCTACTTTAAGTAATAACTGTAACATCTGGGTATCTTGAACTGAAGTATTTTTAATTGTTTATTCTCCCACATTTCTGGAAGAGGGGGTATTTCTGTTGCAGAAACAATTAAGTTTCAATATCATGAGAGTCTTGGTAAAATTTCAATTTCTCTACGTCATTTTATGGCTTCAATTTTTGTTTCATGAATTTCTTTTTTTCTCTGATAGATCTATGTCCTCATGCAGGAAATTTTCTTTTTCCTGATTTTGATCATTTGTGCAATTATCATATCCTGTCAAATCTGTTTATCTTATCCACAGTCTAATCCTGGACTTTAGTTGTTAATTTCTTCAATCATGCGTCGAACCGAATCAATCTAATTAAAAGGCAATTCCAAAAAGGTGGAGATATTCATTTCATTGTAAACTTTTAATTGGAACTTTGACATAGTTTATTTCTTTATTTAGAAGTTCACCTGTTTGGAAGATGTAAAACTTCAAAGTTATGTATAGAAACCTGCCTTGATGAAACTGTTACTTTAGAATTAACAACTTGGTGACATAATTATAGTTATGAATTAGTTTGGCTGAAAAAGAACATTGTTTGGTGTCAGTTTTTCAGCAGCAATTGCAGAAATGCTTGTTCAAAGCTCAATGAAGGACCTCTATTTGCTTCCTGCATTGCCCCGGGATAAATGGGCCAGTGGTTGTGTGAAAGGATTAAAAGCGCGGGGTGGGGTGACAGTCAACATTTGCTGGAAAGAAGGAGATCTGCATGAAGTTGGCCTTTGGTCAGAAAACCATAACTCCCAAGTGAGACTACATTATAGAGGATCCATGGTTTTGACAAATTTATCACCCGGCAGAGTTTACTCATATAATAACCGGTTGAAATGTGTGAAGACATACTCCCTTAGCGAAGTGAATCCTTGAATTTCCCCCCCAAACTTTTCTGATAAATCTTCTGAGGAAAATGCATTGCTATTTGCAGTTTGTCTCTGGCTTAATTTCGGATGTAGTTTGCTGGGTCACGATCCCTTTATCCAAGAGTCAACTAGCCACAGAAGAAGTAGTTCAACGGAGAAGTTTTTCATGAATGCATCCGTTGTACGTTTTACGGCGTAAAACCTGTTGATATTACTGTCATTCTGTTATTCAATTTTACACGAATGGATTGTTGATGTTCTGTCGAACATCAGCATTTATGTTTCTGGGTCATGATACTTTTTGGCACTCCTTTTCATGGGCCTTTGATTGGGTATAAGTAAGAGAGAGATAAAAAGGTGATAAAAGTTAATTAATAGAAGAAAGAATCGAAATGAATATAGAACCTAAAGTAGGTTTGGGACAAAACATTATTTTTATTGAATATATAACGTAAGGGTGAGAGTGGGTTAATTAATACTCGCAGTATTTATTTTTATTATTTCTCAGGCTCCTCTTATAATTATTGGATAAAAATGGGTCATAACATATATTCTCAATGTTCTTAGTTAAAGAAAATGTATTTTTTAAATGGCGAAGGTCTAATAAAAACAACTCTACACTTCAGTAACACTACTCTTCTTTTGTTTAAACATTTGTACATTCATTTTTTTATTCTCTTTTAATATTTTAACACTTTTATTTCTTCAAGAAATTACACACATCTCATTTTTTATGAATGACTTCAACACATTTATCATTGAAAACAACGAAAAATATCTCAAAAAGATCAGCCTAATTTGCATTGCGTTAATTACAATGGAAGTTAATTTTCAATCATCCAAATTTTTTTGGGGAAAAAAAGGAAAAGAGAGAAAACGAACAAGGTTAAAAAGTGAAATCAAATGAAAAACGACATCGTTTCGTGTGCTTCATCAGGCAAAACCTATGAACACGACTATCACTCTATGAGTACAACCAGCCCCCACTAAACCCTCGCAAAGCCCTAAAACAGCGTTTCTCATATCTAAGATTTGATTCCAATCGACACAAACATGGCTTGGCGTTCGGGTTCTCTCTCTCGCTCCTTAATCTCTACAGCTAGGTCTTCACTCCGACCGGCGGCGCCCTCACCCCTCACCCGCCTCCGACCGCCGCCCCTCGCCGCCCCTCGCATCCAGTCCCGCCGTTTTTCCATGCCGGCTTCCAGGTATCATCACTTTCGTTTTTCCTCATTTTCATTTTCTTATATTCAGAAATGTATAATTTTTGTTTTTTGGTGACAGGAATTTGGGGCAATTAGGTTGCACACAATCACTTTTACCTCTGCATAGTACGATGGCGATAACCTGTCTGACGTCACACCTTGCTGTCAGCGCACGTGCTTGTTGCGAGCTGTCTCATGGTACCTTCCGTCGTTCTTGTCAAGATCGCTAGTAGTCTCTTTGTGAGTCTTGCCGGTTCTAGGGCGCATGAAAATAATGTTCAAATCGTTTATTATGCTGTTTTAATATACTCATTTTCATGCTCCTCCCCAAAAATTATTTTAATAAAAAATGATTGCAAATGTTGTGGATTCTAGAAAACCTTAAATTGTAGGCCTGATAGATGTTGAAATTAGCTGGTCCTGTGTTGCTCAATGTGAAGAGATGAGATGGGTAGAGTTTTTGGTTGATAAGAAGGTATATTAAGATTGGAATTTATAGGGAGGAATGGAAAAGATGGGTGATGCACAAGGACTTCGATCATCCAATGGCAAGAGAAGAATGCTGCATAGTAGGTTCCCTTTTATTCCTTTTTTGAAGATTATAAATTCAATAATGTTTTCGATTAAACCGTATACTAGTGAGTAGTTGATGATTCTTGGAGATGAACTGAAGCTGTAGTCAGATTTTCTTGGACCTCTAATTGTTTTTTTTTTCAAATTCTTCTAAGTCATTTTTGTTTGCCTTGGGCATCGACTTCTACAGCCCATTGCATGTGATACTTTCATGTTATGTTTAATGTTGAAATGTCTATGCTTTGAGCGAGCTGTTATTGATGTGGTCGAAACTTCATGAAAAGCTAAGATTGTAACCCTGCTCATTTTGTTTTTGCTGGCTTTTCATTTTAATTCATCTATACTTAGTTTTTGTTTTTTTTATGTTTCAACACCATTCTGGAAATTCTGTTACCAAATATAAAATGTTTTATGGTTTCCAACAAGAAATATGGAGGCTTCCCACAAAAAACATGTGGATGGGACAATTTGGGCGTTTGTTGTCAATTTTTTCCATGTGTATATTTGCTTATTTTAACAGAAATAAAATCCATGCCAGAGTCGTCCTTGAAATGGCTGTACGTCCAGCCCTTTCATCAATTTTCTAATACTACTAATGGGTAAACTCCATTCCTTTCACAGGTGATCCTGATTCCTGAGGTGAGGTTCTAAATCCCCATTCATTATTATGGGTAAACTTAAATGATCTCCTAGACCCAACTCTAAATCCTTTGCTCTGAAAGATGTGAGATTTTTATGCTGAAGAAGTTGCTCCCTTGAAATTCTTCCTACGAAGACAATTTGAAATATTCAGGCAGCTAGGCATGGTAGTCAAAAACTACAATCTGTCCTTTCATGTGAAGGACAGTTACAACCTTTGCCTATGCTTCTTTATGTTAAGTCTTCCGCACAATTTTTTATCATAAAAGGGAATATATCAACATTGCTTACTACTTTTTCTTAATAGTTACATTCTTACACAGTTTAAGTATTTGGTGGGTATGGTTGTTAAGTTATGACAACTTGGTGCTATTTAGATATTTCTGTTCTTTTGACGGTTTCAAATTTCAATGTAACTGATGCAATGCATCGCTTGAGGATAAAACATCTATGAAAATTCCTTGATGCTGGGTCTAGCAATATTGTCTAAAGTCTTAAATGCCATGTAATCTCTCATACTTCTGCTGTTTTTGTGATTCCTTTGCTGTTGCAGGTACGTGATGAAGCTGTTGGATTGCATAAGTTGCCTATGAGAGTATGGGTGACCAATAATTATGGATAGTGCTGTCTGCGAAGTAACCATTGTAGGAAATCTTGAATGAGACTCTCATCTATTATGCTATTTTTAATTTGGCTATTCCTTTATTCAAGGGGGAAGAACCTTTTCTTTTCTTTCCAAATCGAAACAGCATTCAGGCTTAGTTCTTGATTCTTCTTGTATCTGGTTTTTTATTAAACTCTGTACATTTGTCGTGTTTTTTCCTACTATTTTGGAATAATATTAATGGGTTGATCACTTATCGAGTAATGCTCTAAATCAGACCTTGAAATAATGAGTGTTGGACAATTTGGTTTTGAAATTTTAAAAACATTTTAGTCCCTAATAAAATTATCAAATGCCGGTTATTTTTATTCATATTTTTGTAATTTAATGAATTAAAATTACTATTGTTTGGGAGTGAACTATTTCTGCCTTTTCTTTTCCATGGGAATGAATTGATGAGAGTAATGTTCAAAATATATGTCTGGGAATAATTTTGGGTGGGAATGTTTTTTCCAAGCTAAAACATAAAAACACTATTAAGTCTATCTCAACATTTTCAGGAATATAAATATAAACTTTGAAACAAATGTAACTTTCGAATATGTTTGGAAGTGACATTTTAAAAGGAAAAAGAAGGGAATGTACGACGTTGGTAAAAGTAAATAAATAATTAAAATATTAATTTTATAATATATTTTTCTAATATCACTTGAAGCATCCCCTTAAAAGTTTTACATTGTTTCATCTAGCTTGCAGGGTATATATTCATTACAAGCTGAGTTAGTTTTGCATTTTATAATTTGAGGACGATGTTAATCAGATGAAGTATTGTTTTCAGCAATGCTTTATGTATGAAAGGTGATAAGTACGAAGAAGTCACGAATGTAGATGGATTTGATCGCGGTTTCATATATCAGGATACTGCAACAATATTCATGGTCGCATTTTGTGGCCGTGTATATCACCCTGATCAAGTATGCCCCAGCTAGGGTAGGATCAAGCCCCTTATCTTCTTTCCTTGGAACATTTTTACTAGCAAATATGTATGCTGCATACGCCCATTTCTAATCCCGTTGTCTTATCCCTTTATAGCTCAAAGATGGTTTCTTCCACTCCTTTCTATTACAAATTTACAGAACATATTTTGCTAGTATGAAGGGCAGGTCAATGCCTTTCCCTCTTCCACAGACTTTATCACATTTCACAATCCTTATTATATGACTTCAATTCCTAGCAGCAATGCACGTTGCAGTATATAATGAATAAAGATTAGTAGAATTTGAAACACCAGTGAACCATGGTCTACACGATTGAATAATACTATGCAATGAAATGTTGAGAGTAAAATGAGTAAATTTGAGTCGTATACATAGAATCATAACTGATTAAGATTAAAAATTTTAAAAATTATATAATCACTTAAATTAGTCTTTGTAATTCTTAAAAACTTAAAAAACTCGTATGCTTCAATCTTGATTATTTAAGGTATCTAATAATTACTATTTGCTTCCCTCAATTTTAAAGCCTTCTCATATTATATAATGTTAATATAATATTCTTATGGTCTTTATTTTCTATACTTTTTAAAAATCATAAATAACTGCAAATATCTATACGTACCCACTAGCTTTTGGGTATCACTACTATTATAATTAAAGACAAAAACGGGTACCCACACTTACCTCGTCCTATTGACATCGGAAGTGCATCATCGTAGTTTGCGGTTTGATTGTTACAAAATTTGTGAAACATAAAATATGATTTGGCTCAAGGTTAACCCTCCAATTCAATATGATTGATTATCTGAACGAAAGTGGAGCAGGAACATTCCCTAATTTTGGTCTAACATAGCCAGAAAGAATATGCGGTTCTATCTCTCGGCACTTGGAGTAACTATTCCATAGAAATGGAGATAAAAATGTGTTTTTTTCTTTGATCACATCATGATTCATGGGCAGACCAAAAAAGCACTTGTTTACTTGTTAACGGCCTTCTTTTTACCCTTATCTATTCGGTGTAGATTTACGTAGACACATCTATGATCTGTCTCAACTTTATTCTTTATACATCATTTGTATTTGGATCTTTGTTGGACCTCGATTACTGGATAAACTAATCTTGGTTAATCAATTTAAGTTGGATTCATTGTTATTCATCTCTCAATTATTATCCAACGGAAAATCCAAAGATATTCACTAGTAAAACTAGAAATTGCTGTGCCAAAGAAAAAACTAGAAATATCTCTTGCTCCCCCCCTAGTTGTTCTCAAAAGTGGCCACGAGACACAAGCAATGACACTGTTTATTGAATTCGGTGTTATGCAATGAACGACCAAACACTTCCTATCTCCAATCTACATACACTCCACAAAGCTGAGCTGTGATTGGTTGGTGGGGTGTCTTTTTCGGTGGTCTGTTTAGGAGAGAAAGTGTGTGGAGAACCACCTTTGCACAATTTTCCCTTTATGACCAAGTTTAATAAGTGAAAGACTCAGGACAAGTGACTTTGTTTAGGACCATTGAAAAAGATAAACCAAGTGCAAGTGCAACTGGGTCCTTGATGCATTTCTTCCACTGTACTTATACACATTCCAATTCTAAAAACGAAGTTTGGAGAGGAACACCAAAATACCCCAACAAGAAAACACCCACGCAGATGCCCTGGCTCGACAGGGAAAACTGTTCTAAAATAGCTACACGCCATGCTATCTTGTTTCCTACTTTTTACCACCATTATTGGAAATAAGAAGGGTATCATTCTCCCCCACAAAACATCAAATCAAAAAGCAATGAAAAGCCAAGCCAACCCTACCCTACCTTATATATGCTTAAGCTCAGAAGTCAGATCCTACTTTCACTATCAATAGGAATATAAAAGATGGAAATAAACAAATCAATTTCACATAGCAGTGACCAAAGTGGATAAACATGAAGACTCCATCTTAGAAACCCACCATATCTAATATCTATCCTACTCAAGGAAAAAAAGTATAGCAGATAGATTGTTACATGATGGGGTAAGATGCACACATGGCAGGCAGTTCAAATAAATTTTGAGATTTGATTTTGACAAAGGATGGAATGATTTAGTATTGTCAACCTTATATTTCTATAGCTATTCCTAGGATAGCCAATAAAGGATGGAACTTTGTAAGGAGAAAAGAGGAAAAAGGAGAAAAGATGATAGTGGGGAATCCTAAGCTTGAAGGGGCGCAACAGTGACGATGACATAAGCATTGTTCCCTACAGAACCTAGCATCAACAAGTGGGGTTACTGATTGGGATGTCATATACTAAAAAACACCCATCTCACTTGCATTGCACTTCGATACCCCCGTCCATTAGTTACCTCTGCTTTTGATCTAACCTTAAAAGGATTCCAATAAGCTTTTTCTCGTCTATTCAACTTCCCTTGATCACCACAACTCATCTGAGAATTAAGGGAGAAATGATGATCAAGGAAGATGAAACAACTCTTACAACAGCCCAAGAACAACCAGGTGAAGTGATGAATGAAGACAAGAACAATTATGGAAGCGAGGATGACAATCCCCAAGAGTGGTTGAACCTGAGCTTAGGAGGAACTTCACTCTCAACAGCAGGAGACCCTGATTCACAATCAAGACCAGCCACTGCTAAAGTTTTTTCATGCAACTTCTGCATGAGGAAATTCTTCAGTTCGCAGGCATTAGGGGGTCATCAGAACGCCCACAAAAGGGAAAGAGGTGCTGCCAGAAGATACCAATCTCAGAGGTCCATGGCAATAATGGGCTTCTCCATGAACACACCTATGCTTCGATCGCTAAGTGTACAGCCCCATTCACTTGTGCACAAGCCATGCAGAGGTGGTGGTACTATGGTGGCACCCAGCTTTCATGATGCACATGCAAGGCTTGGAATGGCATGGACACCTTTCTTGTCTGAGGATCAAACGGATCTGGTGTGGCCAGGAAGCTTTCGCTTGGTTCCACAACAGCCCCAGCCACCACAGGAGTCACTCAAGCTTGATTTAGACCTCAGACTCTAATAGAGTTTTTGTCTTGAGCTTGAAACTTCATCCTTCTTTTCAGCCAGAATAGCTTGCTCATTAATATAAGCAGGAGAAAAACACGGGTAGGAGACCCTTGACCTGGAAGAGTCAATAACTCAGGTGATAGTACTGCATGGTGAATGGTAGGAGATCTGTAGTTTCCACTGTTTATATAACTAAGTGTTTAGCACAAGAAAACCCAATTTATAACACCCTGGCTATCTATTTTAGTTCCTTAATGCTTGAAATAATTGTCCATGTGTAATGCTCACTTGATATGTTGCTGACATAGGGAGATTTTGCTTCTCGACCTTATTCTGATTTTCTTCCGGCATGTACTTTCAAACAACATCTTACTCGATTGACAGAAGATTGAAAAAGTTATGAGCAAGGACTAAACGCACACACTTTTTGGATACACTAGTTCGTTCAAGATGGGATGCTTCCAACATATGTATATCTTCCGATTCTAAAATCACCGTACTGAGATGGATTATAATTGAAGTTGACCAATTCGAATTGAAAAACTTTATCATTAGACAGTTGATTCCCTGTTCGGAGAAAAAATTCCTGATTTACTACAGTCCAGTGAAGTCACAATGATTTCTATTCAAAATTCACCAATTTAACAGGCGATCATAGTCGTCTTGACAGACAAAATTAGGAAGTGACTCTGGTCAAAATACGCTTACGTTTTTCAACATTAGAGTACGAGATATTCCTGTGTTGCTGAACCTGCGTGGTTATTTGTTATCCATTGCCATGCCTTTTTTCGAAATTAAAAAGTGATATCTCCCAGAGACATTTCACTTGCTTGCTTGGTAAACGAAATGCACGAACGATACTACAAGACAACCCTTATAAACCTTCCCAAATTTCTAGATTGTTCCATTCATTTTCTTTTTCCCAAGTCCTCTAAAAGTGACATTTTATGCCTAAGAGGTAAAAGTATTGGAAAATCATAGGTTGAAATTGTGATAAAATGCGTGTGTATATATATAGAAACAAATTATTTAACGGTTTAAACCCAACCATTGATTTTATAAATAACAACTATAACTCCTCACTTTTTCATGTAAAATAGATTCCTCGCATCCCTTTCGTACAAAACAAAACATGATTGCACGCATCTTGAGCTTATCTCGTAAGAAGCAATTGATGGTTTCACAGTCATGGCAAAAGATGAATAAAAATATGAACAAGAATTTATCAGAATCCCTTATGCATTATGGGAATTTACAACCTTATAACTTAAGAGGAAATTACAAGCTTTTGGGTCGTATGCATTATGACGGGGAGCCTCTCGCTGATGATGCTTGGATCACTATACGCAGCAGAATCAAAAGGGTACCCTTTCTGCACCATCAATCATAGAAAGGCGCTCACCATTAAACCGTAACTTTAATTGCAAATGACAGCCTAGCCAAAGCAACTAGACAGAGAGAAATAAAAGCAGTAAAAAGGATAAAAGGAAAACATGGCAAATAAAAACTAAAGCAAAGGATATAAAACACAGAATATCACTCGCTACCACCAGTCACTTGGCTGGCTATCTTGAAAACACAGACATTTGAGAGGGACATATTTTAAAGATAAGAATGAGAAATATTTGGAATTGCATGTTTTCGCAAGGAAAAAATCTTCTCCAAAGTAAATAAGTAAACATGTATTCATCCTAAAATTTTGGTAGATTAAAATCATGTTGTACTTTAAATTAAATTAATGATAGATACACTCCTACTTCCTCACTTCAGAGGAGCCTCATTCTTCCTTTTGTTCAATAGCAAAAAATACCAGATAAATAAAGAGATTAGAAGGAAATACATTAAAAGAAGACCTCATTTTCCAATCCGTCCATGTGAACAAGACTGGGCAGAGAATAAACAACAAAAAATGACAGTTTGTGTGAGACCTGTATTTTTCATTTTATTTTATTGTTTTCTACAATGGATAAAATGATGATTGTATAAGCTTCTTGTTTCCCTTCTGTTATTTACAAATACACAGCTAACAGAACTTACAAATCACTTCTGATTTTCAGACTTAAACCAATAATAAGAAACAAATCAATTTTGCATCTCCGTTCCATTCCCTTCTCAATTCAAAGTAGCTTGTCCTTGATTCAGTAGGTCCACAGGACTGCTTTCTCTTTCATACTCAAATAGTTTTATATTGCATTCTACCCAGTTACTTCATTAGCAAAATCTTGGTAATCAAAAGTGCGATGTTAAACATATATGTCTCTGAATTAATTGTCCATGTGTATTCTTCTAGTTACTACTCCAACAAGATCTCCCAAGTCCCAACCAAAAGAAGCCCAGTGAAAACTAGTGGTTCTCTTGCAAAAATAAGTTTTACTAACTATTCCAGTTACCTAAGATATATGTGTAATTAGTTTTTCAGAGATAGTAGGTTCAGTAGAATTACTCCTGAAACTACTATAGCACTTCAAACATGATCTCATACAACAAATGAATAAACATACATAGAGAAGTAGAGAGAGAAATAGAAAGCAATCCCTAAAATCCTTATGATCAACTAGCTCGGCATAGACATCAGTTGACAAGCATCAACCCACTTTCTTTCTCTCTTCACTTGGGTCCATAACAGAAAAAGAGATTATCATTCAGAATTAATGTAAAGAGCCATAGCATGTGATGTATAGAACAAACTTACAGCAGACAGAGCCTGAAATGTAGATTCTCGCCAGCAACTCTCTCGAAGTATAATGGGAGTTGTACTTTCACCAAATAGACAATGCATACGAGTTTCTCTCAGTCTAATCAACACTCCATCAACTCTAAGCTGTATTAGTACCAGATCAATCAGTTAAAATTACATGTTTAGAGAAACTGGTGTGAAGCAAATTTGCTGACAGTGACACTAATCTCCAATATTGTCAGGAACATTATAGATCCATAGCAATAACTTCAGAACATTATATGACCGAAATGATTTACAAAATCAGCCATAAGAGTAATAATAATCAAATAACTACTTTGCTAGGCCAACTAATTTAGTATATGAACAGGGAGTATCTCACCCAGAATCGCAATAGAAGAAACCAAGAGCTAGGCATGACTCTCTGTAAAACCAAAAGGTTATATACTTATATCATCAGTCATCTGTAAACATATTAATTTGCATGACAAAAATTGAACCCCCTATCACAAAAGAAACCAAATTAGTGCTTACCACTTTTACAGTAAGAAGTGATATTCCATTATCAGCAAGTTCATCCTCGTATAACACCACCTGTTCATGATGAGGATTCATTTATGATGAAAAGTAAATGTCATCAAGGAAGAGAATATGGATAATGTATTACAGGTAAGATTCTCATACAGGTAAACTTGAACACATCTATTTTGGATTTTTGGTTCTTGATTACCATTAATATACATCAGATTTCACTTGAGCATTTTAACAGTACAATTAATTTCTGAAAAAAGAAGCACAACAGTAGAGAATTGAAGGGGACATTACTTAGTATATACAAAAGAGAAATAGTTTTACTGACAAAAAGATCCGCATGCAAAAAAAGTTTTGTGCAGAGGTTTGCAAATTCAAGGTACTCACTACCCACCTCATCATAGAAAAGTATGGGCTCTTTGGATGCAAGTGCAACCACATCAATTTGTTCTTTGCAATCTTCCCAATTGATATTGCTGGTTTCCTCAGATATTGCTGTCCCATTCTACCATACAAAACTTAAATATCTTGAAATAACAGCATAAATAATAACATTAATGCAAATTCTCAGGTTTTCTTATAACAATAGCATCAGAAACTTGTATGACCAAATTGTACACGTTTTAAATAAATGAAAAATGGTATTCAGGATTAGGTCATGAAGAAAAAAGAAGGGTCACATACCAGATCTTTATCAATCGCAACAGTGCCACTTCCACAATAAGGTGTTGTAAACGTATAGTCGTAATCTAGTATTACTTGCTGAGAGGGCTTGCTGCAAATTTTTTCCAAAAGAATGTGAGACTGTCAGCATGGTAAATTTACACATCCTATTCAATAGGAAGGGTAGACAGTGCAACTTGGGTGGAAATGGGCTTAGCAAAGCATGAGCCTCAGTCTTTAAGTCAAGGCGCCTAAATTTATATGTAAATCAGCAAGCTTAAGTCTTTAAATATATAAAAAATTACTACTACCACTATTATTATTATTGTTATTTAAATAAGCCGGTCCAAAGCCTGACTTTTTTAACTAAGCTTTAAAAAACCCCACGACCTTCCCTATTTAGTAAATCTGGCTTAGGCTATAGGCCTCAGAGGCAATTACTAAGAAGTTTCATAGTAGATAAAAACTTCCTAAAAAGAAAAGATAGCAAATGAATCTAAGTAAATTCATCTGAATACAATAATAATAGGATTTTGAGCTAAACATATTTGTAAGCGGGCATAAAAGCATGAAAGTGTATTGTATATAAATTCCCCTAGCTTACCTTCTAAACTTCCATTTAGCAGCTGCAGGAACTTCAACCGGTGGCAAGGCTTCCTGCTTCCACCCACGTAGAGCATCAAATGCATTAAAATGAATTTTGGTGCCACTACTCAAGTGTTTTAGAATTAAAGTGTTTTCTCCGAAAACCATTTCTGGCAAGTGAGATGTCTCAAGTTTCTGTTCCCACCTGCAAGGTACACTCATCATCAAAACAAAATGCTCTGACTACAACAAAGCAATAACCAAAAACACATTGAAAGCGTTGAAACTTCAAAAGCAACGTTAAAGAGCAGTCCTTTCTTCCAGCAAATCAATGATATCTATTTGTTTTACTCACAAATTTAGAAACAACAGGAACTAGGGTTAAGTGTGATGTGAGAATTACTCACTCTTGGAGGGTAGAAGAATTCAGTATGGAGTGTCTCCGAGACTCGATAAGCCATCCATGAATACGAATGCCTCTCCGGCCACCGTCGTCGAAGAGTTCGGCGCCGGCGGCTTTCAGGTCTTTCTCGTCGACTTCCAATTCCATCATCACCTGCTTTGGGTTTCGACTCAGTGATTCCCGAGTTAGAGACAGTCAGTCTTAACAATTGGGTATTTCATATGGCCCTTCAGTTCAATGTGTGGGTCGGGCCGATCATTTCGTAATTCACGTAGTTCGGACCTGTGCTTTCCAAAACCGCTATGTTGCGGACCCGTTAGCCCAAAATACCTACTTTCTAATTTTCTCTTTTTCAAATATGAAGATAATAATCGACCAAAAAGAGATATTAACAATATGGGCTCATTTTAGATATTACCTTATTACCTTTTACGAATGTCAATGATGGTCAAGTTTATTGTTTAGGTTAATCAATTATTAACTGAACCTTATTTTATGTGGATTAGAAATTATTTGATACAATTTAAAAGTTCATTTTCTTTATCTATATAGTTAGATCTAAAAAAATTATTTAATTAACCTAAAAGGACAAAAATTGATTTATATTCACAGGTTAAATAGAATCATTGCTTAAAATGAAAAAAATACTTACTTTCGAATGATATTAACTTGAAAATAAGTTTGGAAATTAATTTTAAGTTTAAAGCTTGGGGAGAAGTTTACATTTGGCCCATTCAAGTTTTATCTTAAACTTTATACTGCTAAATTAGTTCGTATATTCTTTTTTTTTTTCAACAATTAAGATTGATTTTTAGTTGTATCGTTAAGATTGAACACTACTAAATACATTCAATTCTTTCGGAAGCTTGTGACAAGTTCTGTCCTTGAAAGGGGAAATTTAGATATCTACTATGAATGGCTTTAAAAAGAAGAGGTTTGATGTGTGTAAATCACTTAAATTCCAAAAAAAATTTATAATCAATCGCAGTATAACGAAATTTACAACCAGTCATGCAAAATGTATAGTTAATTTCTCCACTTTATTTTCAAACTAGAGAACATTTTCAAGTCCTTATGGTGCACATTATAAAAGGAAGTTACCTCTAAAAGGGGTTTAAACAATGACAATGGCTTATGTAGAACAGTCATAGTGAAAATTCTTTTTTTTTTTTTTCTCTTTCTGGCAAAGAATAAAAGCTCAAATTAATATATAATTAAACTTTATAAATAGGGATGCGTATTATACCATCTCTCCTGTAGGTATGACACGATTTTTATTTTATTTTTTGAAATGAAATAATATGTATGTGTCTTTGTAAATATATACACACACAATAATATGTATGTGTGATTATGTAAAATTAATTGTTGCAAAGATATGCGATTGAAGTTAAAAGTTATTTGAAATGTTTAACTTATAAAAAATAAACAAAATTGTGTATGTAACATTAAAGTGTATTTATTGTTTTTTATAACGTTTTACGTCCTATTCAGATTTTCAAATATCTACAATAAACACCTGTCTAGAATATATCACAAGCCACACCTCAGCACGCGACTTTTTTCCTCCTCTTAATGTTGCCTCATTTCCCATTTATAATAATAGAATATACATCACTAGCCTCGATCTCAGCACTACTTACAAACGGGCTTACCAAATTGACCAAAAAAATTAAAACAGCTTACCAACAAAGATTTCTGGTTCAAAATCTTTGAAATTGAATCACTGCAATTCATGTGAAAATGACAACTTAAAAAGGGTCATAAAGTTAATCAACATGCATGCTAGCTCTGGGAAAGCCCAAGACAGGAAAATAACTTCATAACAGCATGCGGCAATTGAGAATAATACATATGCTCCCATCCCATTGTCTCAAACCACAGATCCATAATAAAAAAAAAGCTTATCTTCTAAAGAAAAGGGAGAGCCGAAAAACACCCAAAGTGACAGCGATATGATTTCGGAAGACAACCACCCTGAATGTCAAACTATATCTTATCAATGCAAGAAGGGCGCTATATGTTGTGAAGCAAATCAGACACATTAGCTGGTACATTTACTAGGATTGCCAGCAGATTAATACAATAATGACATTGAATCCTGAGGTACAAAAATAAACAGCTCCCCTATTTTCATCAGTATTTTGCTTTTTTTTATTGTTAGTAACCCCCTTAAAAGGAGGAGGAAAAAAACATCATTTGGAGTAAGAAAAGGGGTCTCTGTAAAGGGGTCTCTGTAAATTTTTAAAAAAAATTCTAAAACTAGTTACTGAACTATTTTAAGTGTTTGCGCGAGGGGCTATGCTAAAACAAACTCTCACCAGAGAGATGCATACCTGCAAAGCTATTTGAAAAAAAAAAAAAAAATACAAACAATGGCACGCATTTAATGATTACCTTCCTCAATGTAAACAAATCTGTCGAGATTAAAGCTGATTGTCTCATGGGATCTCAACTCATAAAAGGATAGATACTTTAATTTGCAGCCTCAGGTAAAAGATTAAGCCTGACTTGTAAATGAAGTGTCATTTCCTCTTCCTCGTCTTCATTTTATTGCCTATTTGTATTTCATGAGCATTTGGTGTGCTTGTCGCTGAGCCATCAATATCCAGCTGTGTTTCAGATGCTTGGGATTCAGACAAATGCTTCCTTTTTCTATAACTCGAGGATTTTGAATTTTCTCCACTGACCTCTGGGGACATTAATTCACATTTCCTCTCCCCCTCATTTTTGGCTTTGCCTTCATTGCCCAGCCACAAAATATTTTTTCCAGGATCGCTTTCCATTTGTGATGAATGCCGGAAGCTCCAGCGTGTATTGTCAAACCATTTGGCAACCTGAAAGTGAAAAAGAAAGGTAAATTCAGAAAGTCATGAAAAAGCCAAAATGTGTCCAAAGCTAAGAGATACGACCTGCTGAAAAGTAATTCCTAGTTCTTGTGCCAAGCTTTCTTTTGTAGTTCGATCTGGATACTGATTTTCTTTAAAAGATTTGTGAAGCCTCTGAAAAGACAAGATTAGTCACTCTAGGGTAAACCCCTACCATAATATGCATGCAAATTTGTGCATGTTAGTTTCCTCTAGAATGGCAAGATAGAAAGGTATTAATAAATCAGTGGTACAAGATAAACTGCTAGTTGCTACGCAAGCTGCAGGTCAATTGATACCGAGACAACCAGATTATTTAAATAAAGAGATGCAGGCTGTAAAGCATCCAACAAATATCAGATGACAGCTTGCTGAAGCATAATGGTTGGACTTGGAATGACATATATTTGCATGCAAAAGCATTTCATATGACCAAACCAATTAGGTTATCTACACTCACATACAACAATCAAGCCTTATTCCAGTAGGAAGGTCCAACTACAGCATTTAATTAATACCATTATTGAACTCTATTAAAAATTAATTTTTCAGTAAAACCATATAGCAAGAATTTTTCAATGGTTTCTCCCAATGTTTTACTAGATCTTCCTCTACCATTTTAATTAGGTTATCTTCCATTTGATCCATTTTTCTCACTAAAATATCTATTGGTCACCTCACATGACCAAACCACCCTAGGCTAGTTATCTTCTCTTCAACAGGTTCTACTCCAATTTCTCTAACATAGGTTTGTTCCATATCTTAATGGCTCTTATAGGTTCACTCATCCACCTCAGCATTCGTATCTTTGTCACAACTATTTTTTTCTCTTGTCAGCACATCACTGCCCAGCGTTAACTACCATAGAGCATAGTAGTTGAATAGTTCAGTAAAATTTTCCTTGAGTTTGATAGGCTAATGTGATAAGAAATTACACCTGAATCACTTGTTCATTTCATCCATCCAACCTCAATCTCATGTGAGTGTGCTATCACTTTATAAGACAAAATACCTAAACCATGCTACTTATGCAACATTTATAGCTTGTGTTACTAGATTTGCATTCCACTTACTCCTAATCAACCAAAAATCCTTTGATTATAAAATCTCTCCATAACTGAAGTTTAGTTTTAAATTCACTCCTGTAAACTCATCAAATTGGACTATATCATCAGCAAATGGCACTTTAAATTATCGATTGATATTCAATTTCTACATGTAATTAGTCAAATACGAAAATATGCTAACATTTAACATTAATGAGAACTTCAGATAAGGTATAATTTTTTTTAACACTAAGTTGAATTTATTTATTTATTTATGCGGTATGTTTTTCTAAGTAAATTAAATAAAACGTTACTTGGTTAAAAATATCATATGATCTAAATAAAACTTCAAAATATAATAGTAGGTTTGAATAATGAAGAAATAATTGTGAGAATGAATAATAAATAACTAGTGCAATCAAAGTAGACAACTTATTTAAAAGATCGACTTCGTTGATGGTATTATACAAAAATACTAGTAGTTAGACATTACCAAGTGATGTCATGTGACTAGACAATGGGGAGTAAAAATAGTCCAACATTGATATTTTATAATTTTACAGCAACTTTTCAAGGATTATTTTCTAAGTTTTATTTGAGGTACTTAACTAATTATGGTGAAGAATCAAAGTCTTAGTGGGATGCTACATATATGATTCAGAAGTGTTCTAGAAGAGTGTTTACTTTGTAGTCAGAATCTGATCAATAGATATAATTTTTACGTAGCTAAAAATTTAAGATTTTAGTATTTTCATCTTATGATTTTAAGATAAGTACATTGAACAACTCAATTCAGATGAAATTCTTATTCAACTGATGTCAGTAGTGACTATATAATCTCTAAGTACTTCAAATTCTCCCTCATTATTTCAAATCAGGTGCACTAAGCAATAACCCAACCATGATAAAACTACTATTTCTGTAACCTAACTTCTCTTTTTCTTAACAAATAAATGATTTTTTATAAACTTATATGATATTGAAAAATATGTAAAACTACTAATGCAACTATCATACAATTAACAGGATTTAATGAAATTATAACTTGTTAAAACTTTTTTTTTAAAAGAAAATTTCAACACTTTCTTTTTTTAAAAAAAAAAAAATGATCCTTTTTATTTATTGATATGTATCACGATTTAGATATTATAAATAAATCTAATATTATTTTTTTATGAAGAGTAAGTGACTAATAATAGAAATATAAAACAACAAATGAATCACTGTCCTGGGTACTGCACGAGGAATGAGAAGCATTTCCATATAAGTACCAGGTATGCGTAGTGCAGTAAAACAAAATATTTTTCATTAATATATCCCACTATATTTTCTGTACTTGAAGCAAATTAATAATTTTTTAGCCAGTAAACTAAATTCTATGTTGTCTAATAAAACTAAAACAGTACTACTCCAAGGGACCAACCACATCACAAATGAAAAAGTTCCTTTTGCACTTCAATTTTGCATGGGGATATTATGAATGTATCTAGAGGACACAATTGAAAGACAATGAGGAGGTAAGTATGCAAATTATAAACTGGATGGAAAGATTCTCTGAATGGAAAATAAATTTTAAAACCAAATTTGAAGGCAATTTACCATTACCTGCAGTGCAACTTCTCCAAGTCTTTTCACTCTTTTGTATGCTGAAGATCCAGACTTATTATCCCTGGAATCATATTTCACACAGCTGTCAACTGATTTGGCGGGTGAATTATCTGTATTTTCAGCTCTATTCTGATGGGTATTCCTCATAGGAGTATGTCTAGGATTATTTGAAGCATTTCCATTTGGTGACACCAAAGTCACATTGGCAGTGAGTTTCTTTTTACTACTTGGAGTAGCAGTGGCAGTCCAATCTTCATCCTCACTAGTATCACTCCGGTACGTCTCCTACAAAAGAAATGTGTGTGTATGATACAAGCAATCGTTATATATCATGTGTCATGTAATGCATATCATACCTCAAATAATAAAGGCAGACCGTGCACATGGAATCAGAGTATTATTTTAAACCTTATGCCATTAAATTAACTTACATCATACAGCCTTTTGTAGTCCAACCTTTCCACATGTCTTTTCCCAGAAACAGGAGTGGAACCCTCTTGGCCAGGATCTGGCTCTAGTAAAGATGACAGTTCATCAGCCATTGATGGCTTTTTATCAACTTTACCCTTTTGTTTGCCAGAACCTTTCAAATTCTTAACATCATCCAAAGATACAGATACAATGTCTTCGTCCTGTCCAGGAGATCTCTTATCCTGAATTGCAGCAAGATCCTCGGAGTCAGATGTGAAATCAGAGCTTGAACTTTCTTCAGCAATTTTACAGTCAACATCTGCACGATTAGGATCATAATCATCATCCTCAGAGTCTTCAGAAGGAAGGCCCAAGTATTGATCCTCATGTGAACTCTGCAATTTCTCAGAAGCAGAAGCATACTCAGATTCATCGGAACTTGACTCATCTCCTTCAACTTCCACATCCTCTGGACCATTAGGATTATAATCATCATCATCCGAATCGTCAGAAGGAAGTCCCAAGTTGCTATCCATATTATTTCCAGCAGCTGTAGCTGCTTCAGGAAAAACCCTCTGAACAAGAATCAGACACGCAATCAGAAGAGGAAAGCTCCAAAAAGTTAACAATTGACAGAGAAGAGACTAAATTTGCCTGCTAACCTCCCAGGTGTCACTAAGAGAGAGACTTGATCCTAATGAGTCATTAACAAGTTCGATGCAGTCATCTTTGCACTCACATCCTGGGCATAACCAACCCTCATCACCAGGTGGAACTGTAAGCCACAGAAGTAAACACATAAATGATAATAACTTCGAAGAAGAAAGTGACCAAAAAATAAATTAGGTAGACCAGGGATTACTGTCTTCAGTTAACAATGGAGGATCCAAACAGAACTGGTGAAATCCACGGTCACAAACACCATCACATAGAATTATATCATTATTAGTGCTCAACTCTTTGGACTGGCATTTTGCACAGAATATCTGCAACATAAAATTTAGAGTATGTATTCATATCACCAAAATCCTATAGTTTTGGAAACTTCATTTAGGAATGTAATATAAAGGATTAACCTACATCCTCACTGTCAATCTCTCCCTTAGAATCAAACAGAGATTCTGGAAGCTTTCCTTCAGCACACAATGAATCCAAATTTCGAAATAGATCCCTAATTTTCAATTTACGTCGAAGAATTTCAGACTTAGCCCGCTGAAGCTCCTTCTCAGGCTTTAATTTTTCCATACTGCAAATTTATCACAATTAAACAAAAGGACACAAATTATGTACCTCAAAAAAAAAGCTCGGGCATTTGAAGGTTTATAAATCTATGACCATGATAAGACTTTTGTAATAGTGCAACTACCAATTATACTCAGTTTCACAAGAAAACAAGATCAAACAAACTCCTAGCAAAGACTATAACAAAAATTACTGAATTATCTAATAAAATACCATCAGCTCTAATAAAGGGACAGTACTCATAGTGACAATAAAACAAAAGAAATTATAGGAATAAGGATCATGGTAAAAATAATAAGAGGACTCCCAATTACAAATGCTTAAATGAAGCATAAGAACTGCAAGTGGATCAAAGTGCGTTCTATAGTATAGATAATTTCCAAAATATCAGAGCAAAAAGATTTTGTTCAATGACACAAATAAAGATATAGCACAAGGAGGATAAGCTTGAACAATTGATTTAATAGCTTAGTTGCTTAATCATGTAGTAGAATTGTGATACTACAGAATAACTTTTGTTTTAATCCAAATTGGTTAGTGGTAGAAAGGAAAGAGAGGAAAACAGCAAGGGACCAAATTGAATGAATCTCAAAACACGTGGACCATTAAAGATAAACTTCAATATTTGCATACAGTGATAGACATTAGTAATTGGATTTGCATAAATAAGATAAAATTCAAGTGGTATAATTCTGTCAATCACCACAAACTCATGCAAGGGTTGATGCATTCTTTAACTGGAAATTCTAGTACAGGGAAATTAAGGTATTTATAAAATTAATTTTCTAACATTTAATTTTGGAAAGGATTTAATGATCACAATAACATATGATATAATATTTGAATACAATGTCAAAGTCAAATCTAAATATCTAAGATCCCATTAAACTGTTTTATCCAAAAATCCAAATGTGACAGAATGGAGTTCTAGCTATGTTCAGTACATAGCATCTCTTAAGATAATAAAACTCCAAGTGCAATAATAATCATGGTACTTAAACACATAGGGCATCTTATCCTGAAATTTTGAAGCAAGGCCTCTGAAGGACTAATGGCCAGAATATTCCAGATGTAGTTCCTTTTAAGTTTCCCATCAATTAACTAATAGAGATGATATTAATAAATATAAGCTAGGATCTACCATAGAACATCATGATGCAAATCCAAATATAGACTACAAGTTAAACAAAGCAAGTGGTGATGATAGAATCTACATACCTGTATCCTTTCCAGCCCTCACCAGAATAAGCATCAATCAAGCTTTTCTCATAGCTTATTCGGTTCAATAAATATCTTAAGTGAGTTCTGATTCTAGAAAACTGATCAGTAATTCCATCCTCTCTTCTCTTTTTCTTCCTCCTCCCACTTTTCCTCTTCACTCCATCATTATTACCATCAACCAAATTACTATTTGGTTCAGGTGCTTTAGGTTTTTCTCTTGTTCTTGACCGCAAAGCTCTGTCACTGCTTCCTAATGACCTTAGCATATACTTCTTCTTCAATAATTTTGAGTTTCTTTTACCCCTGTGCCTCAGTCTTGAATGAGTTGTGCTATTGGGTTTTCTTTCTGAACAATTGAAACTAATATTTTTTGCAACATTTCCAGAAGGAGGACCCAACAATTCATTCACAGAACTCGTGTTCACTTGAGCAGAAAAGAATTGTGTTTGGTCCTTAACAACAAGGGAAGTTACTGCATTATTTATTTCTACAGGTTCAGTTTGAACATTTTCAGACAATGGTTGGCACTCGTTTTCTGGTTTATCATTAAATAATTGAACAGAGATTTGTTCAATGGTATTTTGTGGAAGGCATGAACCTTCTACAGGAATGGATTGTGTTTGATCCTCAACAACAAAGGCTGCATCGTTTATTTCTACAGGCTCAGTTTGAACATTTTCAGACAATGGTTGGCACTCGTTTTCTGGTTTATCATTAAATAATTGAACAGAGACTTGTTCAATGGTATTTTGTGGAAGGCATGAACCTTCTACAGGAATGGATTGTGTTTGATCCTCAACAACAAAGGCTGCATCGTTTATTTCTACAGGCTCAGTTTGAACATTTTCCGACAATGCTTGGCATTCATTTTCTGGCTTATCATTATCTAAATGAACAGAGACTTGTTCAATGGTACTTTGTTGAAGGCATGAACCTTCGGCTGCAATGGATTGCATTTGGTCTTCAACAACAAAGGCATTTACTGCATCATTTATTTCTACAGGCTGAGTTTGAATATTTTCACACAATGGTTGGCATTTGTTTTCTGGTTTATCATTAGATAAATTAATAGAGACTTGTTCAATGGTACTTCGTTGAAGGCATGGACCTTCTACAATCTGACGACTCTTATCTAAGTCATGCTGAGGTGGAGCAAGCAGTTGAATAACAGAATTCTCAGTCACATTGGCAGAAATGTGATTTGATTTTTCGTCAATTACTGAATTGTTTAACACTGTACCAAGCTCCCTCTGTTTGCTGTCTAAGCATCCAGAGCTTATCTGAGGTTTTTTTTCAGACAAATCACACTGTTCACTTCCCATCTGTTCAGTCGTACTGTTATTATGGCTCGAACTAGTCATTGGTACGAGGAAACACACATGGCCACAGCATCCACCACCATCATCAGAATGCAAAGCTAATAACTACAAACAAAACATCCAATCGTCTTTTGAGCTTTCCACGGTGTATGTGAGCACTAAACACCAACATATGATGCAGAACTGGGAAACAAATACAGTAAGCTAAAAGTACGGCCAAAACACTCACTTACACAACTAATATCAAACAAACAATGAGCTGCCCAAGCAAAATGACAATGCAAAGCTCATCAGGTGCAACTAGCTATAATGGTGATGGAAAACGCGTTCTCTCAGTCTACAGAAGACATGCACCAGTTAAACTAAACAACATCGAACAAAGCAACAACCAACAACATTCGCACATTTTTATTGCACCAAGCTAAGTGTGAAGTTATTTTCATTGCCCAATCTTGTTCACAAACTTCCTTTACAACACGAAATATTCAAGCACGTGCTCCACCACACCAAAAAAAAAAAAAAAAACAAAGGCCTGCCTCGACTAAAAAGAAATAAAGTGTGTAAAAAATTGAGTTAAGCTGGGACAAGTTCAAAGAAGAACATTAAACAACAATCAACAGCAAGAGAAAAAAAAAGTAGCAGAAGCCGCAGAAGGAGAGAGAAAAAAGGAGACGGAAGAGAGTGGTGTGAAAAAGGAGCTTACGTTGTGGGTGTGAGTAGCACAGTCATATCCGCAGCGAATGGGAAGGGCGGTGCGAGGAGGAAGAAGGGTTCGATCTAAAATGGGGTGAGGGAGAGAGAAAGAGTTAAGTTTTCGTGAGAGTCCCCTTTTCTTAATCTCAGCGCCAAAGAGAGGAAAAAACGGTGCTTCGTTTACGCTCTCCTCCAAATCTGGGCCACCGTTCGAACTCACCAAACTATAAACACCGTAGATCCGTCCTTGTCTCATTCCATACTGGGTTTCAATATTCAACTTCTAACCTTCCCACCATTCTCACTAAATTTCCCTTTATGGGCCTCTCCGCATTTTTGGAAATGGCCCAGTCTCGTGCTTCTGTCTCACCACCCCAAAAATTACTCCTCACCCAATTCCATTCTTTACAAAAAATTTTGATTTCTGAAATTAATTAATTAATCAAGTGATCCATATTTCAACCAAATAAATCGTTTTCAAAATACAGTCTACTAAAAGATACAAAAATGAACATTTGTTTTTAGATTAGTTATTCGTTGTTTATGATCATTTATATACACTTCAGAACTTATAATATTTTTCCAAGAATTCATGATTGCTAATTATGTATTATACTACTGATAATAAATTCTCATTTAAAAATTTTGAAATTTAAAAAAATGCACTAAATTTATATTAAAATATGTATAGTCGTGTTTAAAATGATTGATATTTTATTATATTGTTAGTTTCCAATATTTTATTCACTAACCCATGATAACGTAATATTTTGTGATGAAATATTCATGTGAAATAGATTGTCATTTTTTTATATTTAAACTCATAATTTAAATTTAGACTTTTTTTATGTGTGCATTAGAATAGGTTTTTTATTTAAATATTATATTTTAAAAATAAATTATTTATTTGTTATTTTTTAAAACTCTTTTTTGTTTGGTGAAACTATCAGTGGCAAAAGTTTTGCTAATACAGTTGGAAAAATTGTTGAATTTTTTTAAAATAAAATTTGTTACTTAAAGTATAAAATAAACATGATGTTGTTATTTGTCATCATCTTTACTAAATAAACATGATATTATTATTTGTTATCATCTTTACAATTTTGTCATATGTTAAGTAAAGTTAGAATGAAACTTTGTTATTAAAAGTGAGCAACTTTCTTACGATAACATGTGTTTTGTATAAGTTTTTCTATGAAAAAAGTATAATTTTTGTACTCATAAACTCAAAAGAAAACATACATAAATAAATTTTAATATCTTAAAACTGATAAGGAATTAACGTCAGAATTATTCCATATGTATGAGGGAATATCAAACCCTCTCAATTACTCAGAGTATCATAACTTTTGTTTATTCGTCAAAATTTATACTATGTATGAATGAGGTACTATTTTATGTTTTGCACTAGATGAATTTACAAAATTTCTTCATTATATTTTATGATAATTTTTTTATGAACTTTAATTCATATAATTAAAATTAAACATTTAAAACATTTTTAAATATAATTATTATATTAAATATATAAAAATATAATAATCTTTTAAATTAATTGATATTATTAATTTTATATTTAAATTTTTATTGTATTATTTGATATTATTAATATAAATTTTAATTTAAACATTCATAATCAACACTATTATTAACAATAAGTGAAAAAATTAATATATATTTTATAATTTTTTTTGTAAAATATAAACTAATTAATAAATATTATAATTTAAAAAAATTACACCAATTTAATACAACTATGCAATATAATAAATTAATTTAACCTTAAAAATTAAATTTACAAATGTTTTGAAAATTAATTTGACCTTAAAAATTAAATTTAAAATTAATTTAACATAAAATTGGATTGTTAATACCCTCTGAAGTTAAAAAATTATATTGTTAATACTTAAAAATAAGTAAAATTAACAATCTATACTAATAAACTACCTACAGTGGTACTTGCTATAGTACTCGTAAATTTAAAAATATATTTTATATTTTATTTATATTAATAGTTATAATTTATTTAATATCTTAAAGATAAAAAAGTATAAACATTTTTTTAGATTGATAAATAATAGAAGTATTTATCTAGTTTAAAAAAATGTTAATACTCTCTTATTTTGAAAATATTAAAAAAATAACATCAATTAATTTTAAAAAATTATAGATATCTTTCAAGTTTAAAATAACAACAAACACTAACTCCATTATTTATGAATATAAAATTAATTGTTTTAAATATAAAAAAAAATATTAAATCATGTACTAGATTTTATTAATTTTAAATTAATTTTAAATTTAATTCAAAATTTAAAACTAATTTAAAATATTTAAAAATAAGATTAATTTAAAATTTAATCACTATAATAAATTATTGTGGTGGATAAATAATATAATGTAAAATATATGTATATATATATTTATTAATTTAATTAATATGAATATAAAAAAAATTATTATTAACTCATTAAAATATATAAAAGTATATTTTTATATTAATTATTATAAAATTTAATAATTAATAATAATAGAAAAAAGTTATAATATATTTAATCAAAATTTCAACAAAATGTAAATTTTTAAACCAAATTTTTTTAAAAAAAATAGATAGTTTAAAATCTAATCTTTTAAATGAATCTGGATCAGTTAAGTGAAAATCTAATCTATTTTTACATTTTTTGAATGAAAATAAAACTGACCCTGCAACTTAATTTTATCCAGAAGAAAACAGACGTTACGAGGAAAAAACATATAATATATAAAGAAGAAAAGCCATGATGTTGTGTGCGTTGTTTTGACCCGTTTCTAAGTATTTTTATCACCCACAAACAATTACTCATTTTGTGTGTTAAATTGTGGCTGTAAGTCACTCCCAGAGAGAGAGAGGAAGGAAGAACGGGTGTTGTTGGTGGTTGTTGTCATCCTCATGGCAGCCCTTTCCTCCATCCTCTCCTCTTCTCTTCCTCTCTTCCATCGCCACTCTTCACCCACTTCCTTTCGCCCCTCCCTCTCCCTATCTTTCTCTCCCTTACGCCATTCCTCAAACCCTACAAAATCTCCAGCCCCTTTTCTTGTTCTTGCTTCCTCAATCCACTCCTTCGACGATTTCACCTCCAAGTCCAAGGTACCCTTTCCTCTCTAAATTAGACTCACTTGTCGGGTTTTGAATTCATTTTTATTATAAAAAAAAAACTCTCTTATTATTGCTGTTAGAAATGCTTTAATTTCTCTGTGCACTTTAATTCAGTTTTAGTATTTAAGGACTATTGTGCACTGTAATTTCATCTCAACAATATGTTTGCTCAGTAGTGTCTGTCAAATGTAATTCTGAATTTGACTATTAAGTGTTATAATTCTAGAAATCGGTGCTTACGGAGTTGATACAAGAGATAGAACCTCTCGATGTGAGCCACATCCAGAAAGATGTTCCACCAACTACTGCAGATGCCATGAAAAGGACCATCTCTGGTATGCTGGGCTTGCTTCCATCTGATCAATTTCACGTTGTCATCGAGGCCATGTGGGAACCGCTCTCCAAGTTGCTGATTTCTTCAATGATGACTGGGTAAGTTCAATTTCTATGATTATGCCAAAACACTTAAGTACTGTTTGTATATTCTCTGTATGGAGTCTACAGGACTGTTATTTTGTGGTTGTGACAGTCTAGCTGTATTGTTTGATTTAAATTTAAAATCTCATGAATTTGCTCTCTTGAAACCCATAATTAGTTTCTCTAATTCAATGAGTCGTTTAAAGGAATGGACAAATCATCTGGAGAAGGGAGAGAATTTTGTTGTCCCAACTATTTACTTGAATGAATCTACATTGATAAATGTCCCAAACTTTCTGAAACTTCTAAAGAATGTTCCTCTTTTCAGTTTTCATGTATGACCAAGTAATGTTTATCCGGAACATGAAAAACATTCTTCTTGATTGCAGGTATACACTGCGCAATGCTGAATATAGGCTTTGTCTTGAGAAAAACCTTGATATGTGTGAACGAGATACAGAGAAGGCAAAGGCAGAAAGTCCGAATGTTGACTTACAAGGGTTGCTGCATGACAGTGTAAATGTCATTGACTTTGGTAGAAAGAAGAATTTGTTTACCAAATTTGAAAAGCTTCATGAGAATGTCGACATTCAAGATCTTGGTGAAATATCTGCAGAAGCTCAAGAATATATTTTTAATTTGCAATCTCAATTGTCTTCCATGAAGAAGGTATTTTGTAAAATCAGGGGTCTTTTCTTGATATTAGCAAGAGTATAAGCATGTTATTCACGATGCAGTGAAATGCATTTTGCATTGGACTTGGTCAATTCTTGTTTGTCAAATAGCTCATTGTATGTTTCATCTTTTGATTTTGTACATGCTCTCTAATTTGTGTGTTTGTTGATGATATTGATCTGTATTTTATTTGCACATAGACCAGGCTACAATAAACTTGTTTTTCTCATGTTGCTTTCTTTTCCACTTTTTTGGGACATTTCTAAAGGAACTGCACGAAGTGAAGAGGAAAAGCGCTGCTCTTCAAATGCAACAGTTTGTTGGGGAGGAAAAGAATGATTTATTGGATTATTTGAGATCTCTTCAACCTGAACAGGTTTTGCCCTTTTGAGTTAATTCTCAAGTTGTCTTTGCATTTAGACTCTTTTTTTTTAACTTGCATATACTGTTTAATGGCTACGTATCAGCATAGTGCAATTCTTCCTGGTTTTGGTTTTCCATTTCAGTATTTGTCTTCATATATTACTAACAACATAACAGAAGTAGCCAATTTATCTTTACTGTACTATGTATAGAGAAGAAAAATATCTGAATTTTGTGAAAATTAATTTTAGTGTTTTCTGCTTTCAGTGCTTTGATACATCTTTGTTCATTCTCTGCAACCATAGGCAAGGAATATTTTCTGATATAAAATTTTCATGTTTAATTTTTTTTTTTAAATACAATTGTTTGTACTTTGTATGATATCTGGAAGTCATTTGATTCATGTAACAAATCCTAAGTGGTGGGAAAAGGCTTTTGGTTGTTGTTCTACCCTTTAATACTTGAATTCTTTCATTGTTACGGTGGAAATTTCAAGGATGTGATAAATCCAACTGTTCATTCAAGCATTTAAAGAAGCACTTTTGACATTATTAATCAGTTGACTCCTATTTCATTTAACTATATTCACAGTGCATTCATTTTTCAATTTATATTAATAATTTTGTTGGGTGAATGTGGCTAATGAGCAGGTAGCTCAACTATCAGAATTTACTTGCCCCGAGCTTAAGGAGATCATCCTTTCTGTTGTCCATGGTCTCCTTGCTACCCTTTCTCCTAAGATGCATTCTAAACCTTCAACTATGTCAGAGAATGCAACAGTTGGAGCAGCAAATCTTGACGGTGAGGATTGTGCTGAGGTGATCGAGAACTCTTCTCTTCAATTTCAGCCTGTCATTTCATTAACTCGGGACTATCTTGCTCGCCTGCTCTTTTGGTCAGTTTCTTTTTCTACTTTTGAATTACATTACTTCCTTTCCATGTGTATTTTATTTATTTATATATTTGTTTATTTATTATGCAAGAATGAGTGTCTGGGGGTTAGGATTGGTTAAAAGAGGTGGGGGTTAAAGAATTACTATGATGTTTGAAAGATGATTTGGAATGTTTAGTTATTTATCAGTGCCGTGCTTGTTGATGCTGATGTTCTGAACAAACAAAACTAACTTTTCTTACTGAATCCTCCTTGTGAAGGTGCATGCTGTTGGGACACTATCTTAGAGGCCTTGAGTGCCGAATGGAGTTGACAGAATTGCTATCCTTGACAAGTGATACTGAGAATGATGCCTCTGGCAGTCAACAAATTGCTTGAATGATGTTCAAATTTTGATTGTTCAATCTGTATATAGAGGCACGGTTTCAACAAATTTATTTTCAACATGAAGAGATCATAAAACAGATTCAAGTACTAGTCAACTTCTGCTGAGAAGATATATTTGCTTATGGAAGAATCTTGCGTTCCTGGCGCTTACCAGTTTTCATTATGTCAGACCATTGGAAGGATCGAAGATGGTTGGCATGTGGCATTTTTGTTACTGGGTGATTAAATAGTATAGAATATGGAAATGTTGTGAAGAACTATGCACCATGAGATGCAAAACGTAGTTTATTAGTTACCAGCTTTATTTGAATAAAACAATTTAGTTAGATGTAGATTTTATAGATCTTCTTATCTCATTTGATTTCTTGCCCCGGTAATAAAGAGCTGATAAGTTTGTTAAAACAACACATTTTATTATTACTTTTAGAAAGATGTTAAAATTCTCTGTAGTTATTGATTTTAGTTAAAGAAAAAACACTTCACAGTGAAGAGCAAAATAGCTACGGGTACTTTATCATTTATCGACCTCTTTGTACTCCATTTCTCCTCCCCTTTGCAGTTTAGAGAGCCGATGTAGCTAAAACGTAAAGATTACATTTGGAGGAGAAATGCTTGTAATACATATTTTTTAACAAAAAGAAAAAGAAGTATGAGAGAGAAATATTAATTTAAAAGTGAGATTTATAAAGTTTTTGTAATTTTTAATAAATTTTAATTAATAATAAAGAATATGTTAGAAAGGATCGTTAATTTAGTGCAGTTAAGCCTTAGTTTAATTACAATTTCGTTAAACATGCTATTTGCAGAAAAAAATTCAGTTTAACTTGGATTCTGGAAAGTGTTTTTGTTAACTGCAACAGTTGAGTAAAGCTGCAAATAGCATATCATTAACTTTGGCGGGAAACTCCACTACCACTTCCGCCATCACATGAAAATGCTACAACCTGCGAATGATTGATCAGGATTCAGGCCTCAAACAGTGAAACATGCAACGTTTTTTATGAAAAGTGAACCAAATTAAACAGGCATGCATTCACTGTCTAATCAGCTTGTCGTTCCAACCACCCAAAAGTTAAAATATTGTTCTTCCTCCGTTGTTGCGCTTCTTCACTCACCGTCGTGTTGTTCCGTATCAGAACACCCCAACAGCTTGACAAACCTCGCAGCCCTACTACAGGGCCACATTCCACGTTCTTCTCTTCTCCAAATCCATGCACGCATTTTCCAACTTGGTGCACACCAAGACAACCTCATAGCCACGCGCCTCATTGGCCACTACCCATCTCGCATTGCTCTTCGGGTCTTTCACCTCGTCCAAAACCCAAACATATTCCCTTTCAACGCCATCATCAGAGTCCTCGCTCAAGAGGGTCACTTTTTTCATGTCGTTTCCATGTTCAACGATTTGAAACGACGTCTACTTTTGCCCAATGACTTAACCTTCTCTTTCCTCTTTAAGGCTTGCTTTCGCTCCAAACAGGCCCGTTACGTTGAACAGATTCATGCCTACATTCAGAAGATGGGTTTTCTCTCTGACTCTCTTGTTTGTAATGGGTTGGTTGCTGTGTATGCTAAAGGCTTTAATAATTTGGTTTATGCCCGTAGAGTGTTTGATGAAATTCCTGAAAAAAGTGTAGTTAGCTGTTGGACTTCTTTGATCACTGGTTTTGCTCAGTCTGGTCAGAGTGAGGAGGTTTTGCAGCTTTTCCATGTGATGATTGGGCAGAAATTGTTTCCTCAAAGTGATACTATGGTCAGTGTTTTATCAGCTTGTTCTAGCCTTAAGATGTCAAAAATTGAGAAATGGGTTAACGTTCTTTCAGAATTGGTTGGTGATAGCACGAGTCCTGAAGAAACTTGCCAAGATTCAGTTAACACGGTCCTGATTTACTTGTTTGGTAAATGGGGGAAGATTGAGAAGAGTAGAGAAAGGTTTGACCAAATTTCTGCAACAGGAAGAAGAGGTGTGGTTCCATGGAATGCTATGATAAGTGCATACATTCAAAATGGCAGCCCTGTGGAGGGTTTAAGTCTTTTCCACAAGATGGTAGAAGAACAAACCACTAGACCTAACCACATTACAATGGTTAGTGTGCTTTCAGCTTGTGCTCAAATTGGTGATTTGAGTCTTGGTTCTTGGGTACACCAGTACCTAATATCTGTTGGATATAAAGGTACAATTGGGTCTAACCAAATTCTTGCTACATCTTTAATTGACATGTATTCTAAATGTGGCAGTTTGGATAGGGCAAAGGAAGTTTTTGAGCATACAGTCTCCAAAGATGTTGTCTTATTCAATGCAATGATAATGGGTCTTGCAGTAAATGGTGAAGGAGAGGATGCATTGAGACTCTTCTACAAAATGCCAGAATTTGGCTTACAACCCAATGATGGAACATATCTTGGTGCTTTAAGTGCATGTAGTCACTCTGGGTTGTTGGCAAGAGGACGCCAGATATTTAGGGACCTGACCTTTTCCTCTTCTCTTACATTGGAACATTATGCTTGTTATGTTGATCTTCTTGCAAGAGTAGGATTCATAGAAGAAGCAATTGAGGTTGTGACTTCCATGCCCTTCAAGCCTAACAATTTTGTCTGGGGTGCTTTGCTTGGAGGCTGCCTTCTCCATTCTAGAGTTGAGTTGGCCCAAGAGGTTTCCAGGAGGCTTGTTGAAGTAGACCCAAATAATTCTGCAGGCTATGTGATGTTGGCTAATACACTTGCCTCTGACAATCAATGGAGTGATGTCTCAGAGCTGCGGCTGGAAATGAGAGAGAAGGGGATCATGAAGCAGCCAGGAAGTAGTTGGATTATTGTGGATGGAGTTGTACATGAATTTCTTGTTGGCTATTTGTCACATCCTAAAATTGAGGTCATATATCATACATTGGCTGGATTGGTGAAGCATATGAAAGTAGCAAGCCAATATCAGTTTGTGTGCTGTTATTAGATATGCTCTGATTACAGGAAGAGGAAATCAAACCTGTTATTTTTTGTCATAGATTGCAAGTTGGATTGTCTGTGTGAAGATCTAGTTGGTGGGAATTAGATTAGATATTTTGGTCTTTGAACATGTATCTCATGAGCATAATAGTGAGATCAATCCCTTAGGTTGAGACATTAACTAGGTAAACTCCCTTGGGTTGGGGTATATCTTCTACTAACACGGGGAGGATCCATGTTATGGTCTAATTTTAAAAGTAATCCTCAATAATTTATCATACAGAGTGAATCTTTTTTCACTAAAGATGAGTTGATGTATTTATCAATTCTTATGTATTAAATGAATTCTCCCTCTTGAGAGTGAGGATTTCTTTCAATCTACTGTTCCTCCTAATGTGCTACATGACCTTTCTTAAATCAAACATCTCATTATATATATATATAGACACACACACAATTAAAGTTCATAAAATAAATTTTGACACATTATACCAAATTAATATTATTTACATTTTTATATAATTTAATTTTGAAAGTATTATGTTTTAAAATATATTTATATATAACAACTTTGAAAGTTTTATCTTTTAATTTAGTCTTACAGAATGGTTTTTTTAATCTTATAATGAAGACACTTTTTATCATAGTAGTTATTTTCTTTATATATATTCATCTTTAGATCTATATTGGTTTGGTGAAACTTTGATGGGCTCGAAAGTACACGAACCTAACTGAGGCGACGAATGGTTATGCTGGGATATACGTTGTTGGAGACGAAGTGGATGGTGAACTTAACACTCAAATAATTAGTGTTTGCACTATTAGAGCAATAACCATAAAACAATGTGTATACGTATTTATATAATACTCATATGCTAGCAATCATAGCCAAGTTATTGCAGATAGATAGTTTCGCGTCATTCAACTGGGCATAATGTCAACCTTACAATCAACTCAAGTGGTGAGAGCATTATGCAAGATGATTAGGATTCCAACTCTGGATCTTACAAGTATCAAGGATTTTTGTTTTTGGTCGATCAATACAAGTATCAAATTTAAGTGAGTTTTTTTTTTCGTATTCAAGATATCAGTCTAACGGGCCGTTGACTGTTCAAGATGATTAGGTTTGAGTTTCGGAGAAGTTGATCAATCTTAAAATATTCTAAAAATGCGAGAGAGAGAGAGAGAGAGAGAGAGATTAACTTATGAACATGGATATCTTCATATCGTCAACATTAACATATGTTTAGCTTATCTAATTTTTAAATGACACTATTAATTTTTTCTCGTTACAGTTTATGACTCATTTTCAAACTAGTATCGTTCAAATAAAACTCATATTTAAGTCTTAAAAATCTTACTCTATGTACTTTAGCTTTAGCTTATGTCATATCACTACAAGTAATTGTATTTGTTGTCAAAATAACATTTGACATAATAAATATTAAAAGTTATCATTGTAATGAGTTTGTAGCACTATTTTAAATATTGGCATCGCTCAATACTCAGGTTATCGTTTAAATATGATAATAATGATTATTTATTTATTATTGTTTAATTTTTTATTTTTAAAAATAACATAAAAATTTAATTTTAAGTGTGAAATGATTTAGTACTTGTCTTGTTTATTTAAATAACTTGTTGCTTGACTAAAAATCTGAATCATGAGCATGTTGTCTTCAGAACAAGAGACTCACCCGTACACCATTTGTAATATTTGATTTAAGTATAAAATTATCTTTTATATAATATTTCATATAAATATATGTTTGAAGTATTTTTATTGTGTTAAATTCATGTTTATAAACTTAATTTGTAATCTTCACATATTATAAAAAAAAACTGGATCTAAAATAAGTTTTGAAAAAAAAAAGTCAACAGATATATCCACAAAAGAATTAAGAAATATTTATATTTTAAATTTAGAATTTGTCATTATCAACATAATTGGAATTTTTAATATATATTACTAATCTCGTACAATTTATTTAAATAATCTATCTCTTGAATATTGATAAATTTGATTAAATCACTGAGTGACACTATTTAATCGATCGATGAAGAGACTTATCAAATTATATCAAAACTAGAAAATAAAGGATTGTCTAGTTAGATTGTGATAACCTTTGAGTTTAATTTTAAGTTGAACACTACCACTCAATTATTATTATCTCAAAAAATTATCAGAAACAACATAGTTATAATTTCAACATTAAGTATTATGCTAAAGTTTTGTTTGACAACTTTAAAGCTAAATTAATTTTCATAATATATATCAATAGTTAAACTTTTCGTATTTAAAAACTTAATAGTGTATAAATATTAATAAGAAAAAATACAATGACTTTAAAATATGACAGAAGATAGTCATCATTAAAAAAAATTGAAAAACAAGTTTAGTGCAACCCTTAATAATAAATTAAAATGTACGAAAGCAATTTATCATTCAAATATTCAAATTTTAAAGAGGTGGCAAAACAGAGAAACATAATAGATATCGTCAACATGAGATTAGTTTATCTTCTCAACATCTTATCTTAGCTTCTCAACATTAGATTAAAATTCGAATAAGCCTTAGACATATCACTAAATAAATTCCCTTCCTTCAGTGTTTTTAGTACGTTCTCGATCTACTCTAGCCTTTTATTTCTGTTTCTGAACAACAGTCATTCTAAACTCAACCCTTTCGTACAGATTTAAATCATGAAGGACCAGCATGCTGAGAACACCAGTACTAGTCTACTGGAAAGCCTTGAATCTGTTTTGGAAAGGCTTGGTTTGCCTAATGATCCTAACAACACAACTAATGATCATGGAGGCAACAGTAATTGTTCTACCTTGAATCAGACTATGAATGGGACGACCTCAACTTCGAATAATAATATTCCTGTTGGGAATAGATTAAGTTCACAAGGCTACGATGGTCCCTCCAACGGGTTCGAGATGCTGAGTGGTGAACAATTGGATACTAGGTTGATACCGTGTTATAGCATTCAATCAATTATACCACATAAGGGACAGTTGCTTTGGAGGGCAATGTGTCCATGTGGATGTCGTTTATTACAGACGAGGATTGATGAAGGGGATCTACAGGAAATCCAAATGATCATCTCAGAACTCAAGGATCATTTACACTATCTAATGAAACACCGCTATGGCAGTTACGTAGTTCAGAAGTTTTTTCAATCAAGCAACATCCAAGAGCACTACGTGGACACTATATTTTCCTTGATTATTCAAGATGTCAATAAGCTGAAAGACGTCTGCATGGAAAATTATGGGTACTATATAACCATTGAATTTCATATTTCTCTAAAAATTTCAATTTCGATTTTTTTGTAATGCCTGGTTGCTTTTACTTTCTAATTTTGTTGCTACAGAACTCGGGTTGTTCAAATTATGCTGGAGAATATCATGACCGCACGCAATATACGTGCAATTACACATGCAATGATGACGATCACAGTCCCGTTGACAAAAAAATTTAATGGTGGTTATGTGATTGAACAGTGCGTGAAGGTCTTCCCACCTATATGTAAAAAAGTAATGCACAATTTCTTTTATCAATGCAAGATATGATGAAGTAATTTCTTTAATATATTTTTAAACCTTGCCGTTATCTGGCCGCACTACCGTACTGCAATTAATTAATTAACTATAGTAATTGACACTATTTGTGCTACACAAGTGAACATGAATAAGATAGTTTTTCTCCCATAATAAGTCTTCAATTGAAAACCTTGCAGATTATTTTGAATGAAATAGCATGGAATTGCGTTGATATTGCAAGAGATAAAAACGGATGTTGTGTTATTCAAAATTGTCTGGACCATGCTGAAGGAGAAGGTACACAACATCTGGTCGATGAAATAATGTTAAATGCTGCTGTCTTAGCAGACGATCCATATGGGTTTGACCTCTTCTGAAATCCCCTTATATTTTATGTTTATTTGTAATTTATGTGAATACCATATTTGAAAAGAAAATGATATTCTCATATGCTTTTACACCCGTTTACGATTATAGTCACGTTTGGATTTTGTGTTCACAACTATTCGTAGGTGTGCATAATTTTTTTTGTTACGAACGTATAGTTTTTGCTGTTTACTAATAAAAAACATGTCTTACTAATAAGATATAAATAAGTTATGATATAGTGTACGAAGAATAAGGCTATCCCTTGTATACAAGCGCATGAAGTATCTTAGGAATGCTTTACATCGTCTTTTTGAAAAGAATGATAGTTGTGGTTAACTATAATATACTTCATTCTTTAAAATTATTTTACTTTAAAACTTAAATATACTTCTTTTAAATTTGTATGATCCTTCATTTTATAACTAAAAATTTGTTTCATTTTGTTCATAGAAATTATGTGGTACAATATATAGTTAAAATGAAGCAAAAGTCAGTAAATGCAAAAATAATATTAGTGCTTCGCGGAAGATATGTTGAGTTGTCGATGAACAAGTACGGCAGCAACGTGGTAGAGGATCTCATACAATTTTCTGAAAAAAGTGATGTTGAAATTATGGTTCTCGAGTTCCTCCAGAGTCCTGAGTTTCTGCATTTAGTCCAGAATCCTTTTGGAAATTTTGTTGTTCAGAGAGCAATAGAATATACTGAGGTATGACTCTCTTTCTCTCTATAATCTTTTGAAATAAGAAACTTTTTACGAGAGAATTCCTGAAATGCTACAATACTTGTCATTTTTTATTTTTTTTGTCTACATCGAAGTATGCTTTGAATTAGAAAATATCATATATTTTGATTATTTGATTTAAACCTTGTTTATGTAGAAATTGTTCTTGCTTAATCTTTTTATATACATATATTGCAGGGTCCTTTACTTCATCATCTTTGTAGAATCATATTAAAAAATGATAAGGATCTGTACCGCCATCCTTATGGGAAAAAAGTGTTTGACAAAGCACGTAGCTCCTATAAGATCACAAAATAGCTTTTGATCTTGGTTCTTATTGTTTAATGTGTCGGGATTGTTAGTTTTTCGTGAATGATAAAACTTTGATTACTAATCTCTTAGTATTTTTTAGATTTTTATGTTTGATATTTTTTTGTTTGTTGAAATCAAGTATATGTTGCTGTAATTTATTTTTTACCCCCATTGTATAACAATAGAACATTTTAGGTGATGATTTCATGTTAAATTTGATGTATTTTTTTATTATTTAAAGATTAACCAATGTCAAAAATCATAGTCCAGCGTCGTTACTAGTGTATTGTATTACCTTTAACAACTTATATTCTTATAATCAATTTATTTCGAAAATTTATATGAAATAAAATATACTTTATATAAACTGAAATAAATGTACAACTACTTTTGAATAACTTATGTTCCGAATGAGAACGTTTGTCTTAATTTGACTACACTGTGTTTTGTTTTCCGCTGAATATGATTCTACTAAAAAAGAAAACATATTTCAAGATTTTACAAAAAAAAAAAATTTAAATTATATTTATTTTATTTCATAAACAAACCTTAAAAGTAATGAGTGATAATAGTGCAAGAAGGAGGCATTGGTAATATTATTTTGGAACGGCTGATGAATTATAAAATGAATATAAAGAATAAAAGAATTTAAGTGAAAGGGTGAATTAAAAAGAAGCAGGTGGAAGATACAAGTGTGAATAACATGAGCAAATTTAAAATAGAACAAATAGACGAAATTTATATATTTTTAGAAGAAAAATTAATGAATGAATTATCACACAAAATTCCAAAGGAACAGAATATACTTTTTTTTATAAGATAAGGAATTGTCACATACGACTAAATTTTAAGATATTGATTATATTTTTTTAAAAATTACTTTTTAATCTTGTAATCAAGTTAGTCAAATTTTAATAAAAAAATAACATATGGATTTTTTTTATCTACTATAAATAAATTATTTTACACTCCTTATCACTTAAATCACGTGGTAATAAATTATATTTTTTTTATTCTTAATTTTTTTAACGTTTTTAAATTTTATGTCTATATACATATAAGTGAGAATTTATCGATATCAAATGTCAATAATTATAGTATTTAATAATTGTTTATAGAATATAAAGAATATTTTATATTATTTTCTTATTATAAATATCAAATTTTATATAATTTTAATATTTATATGTATATTATTTAAAAATGAGAAATCTAAAAAAATTTATACCTAATCTGAACTTTTCATTTAACTTAAATTTAATAATCAGTAAAGTAATAAACTATAACCCATCATATTTAAATTAAATGAAAGACTCAGATTAAATATAAAATTTTTAAATTTATACCAGTAAAAATACTGTCCTTTTAAAAATTATTTATATTTTATAAAAATATTATTTATTAAAATAAAGCATTACAAAAAAGTACTTAAAATTTAATTTTTTATAAAGTTACTGTATATTAAAACTTTCATATCAACATTAAAAATATGTTGTTTGAAAAATTTATGTCAAAAACACCATATTATAATACTTTATGCATTCAAATGTCATATTTAAATTATTAATTTTTTCAGGTAAATTTTATTATTTATTTTCCTATGATTCTGCCATCCATCAAATCAAAGTGCTCCAACTGTTGCATTTTTTTTGAAAAATGATGTTTGGTTGGTTCTATACTGCAGAATGCGTTTAAAATATAGTGGTTTTTGCTTGTATCGAAGTAAGTGTTCCAATCTTGATCAATTTCCCTGAAGTTTGTGCTTTCTTGTTTATTAGTACAGTATTTAAAAAAAAAAAAAAAACACGTTGTAGTAAAGCTAATACCATGTTTTCTTGTTGAATGTGTCATTAAATAATTTGCTTGTAATAGGATGAAAATCTCAGCGTTAAGAATCTAGATCAAACTTTTCTGAACCTTAAATTATGAGAAGACCCAAGAATAATTTTGTTTAATATCTGTTACGTGTTCAATAACTAAAAAAATTAATAAGCCTTTGGGATTGTAGTGTAGAAAACCAACTACGCAAAACTTTAAATCTAATTAGAATGGGAGCGGGAATTGAATTAGATGAATTCTTCTTATTGCGTGTAAGAACGTTATGCTCTAGTCACACTGGTCAGGTCCAATTAAATGATGCACACTAAAAGGGAAAGTAAAACAGAAAATACTTAAGGAAATACATGGTGGTGTATAACAGTATTCCACAAGATATAACAGTCCTAGGCCTTTTTTCCCCATATAGACTCCAATATCGTGTAAGTTTCAATTTTACTATTTTGTGTAAATTTCAACACATGCAAGTGTCAATAAACTAATTTTAAAACTTTAATCTCATTATTAGTGACAAAAAATGATTGCTTCTTTTTTTTTTTTGTCAACAAAAAAAACACCTGGAAAATGACTGTTTCCAATTCATAAAAGTGCATGGCAACTAAGTCCAAGACTCCAAGGACATGAATCTGGTGATTTTATTGGCCCAACCATCTTATAGATATCCCTGACAACATGGAGTGCTACAAGGCATTACTAAAAGAATTCCCACAAAATTGATACATGAGGTAGTCTATAACATGCAGGAGGCAATTTTTGGCCCAGATCTGGCTTTCATTCTTGTGCCTGTTTATTTCATCCTAGGCAGCAATTTTATAAGAAAGTCATAATAAAATATTTCCTGATTAGAAACAATTCCATCATTCAGCTTTTTACTGATATTCAGAAAGTCAATGACGAGCAACCACTTAGAGAATTAATATACAGATATGCCGGAACAGACTTTAGTATTACTTTATAAGACAAAAACAAGCATTACTTCATGTCTTGTAAACCCTCTCCTATAATTTGAGAATCTGAGGAAAAATAGGTTTGGTTTGCTCAACATTTCTTGAATTTCCCTGTGCCCATTTAAGAATAATCTGTAATCCCTTTTGAATGATTCAATATGCACAATATATAGCCATACATGTTTTCCATTTAGAAACTATGTTCTGGCGATAGAGATGAATAGTTATCATCAGCTAGCATATTTACTTTATAGTAGACTACAGAACGCATGAGACCGACTTGCAGTAGTACCTATTACCAATACATTAGCACATTTGCAAAACACAATAATAAAGGACTGCATCTATCTCAAAACTCGTAAAATTACTAACAAAGATTAATAAAGTTAGTATAATCCGAGGATTATCTCAAAAATATCACAGAAAAAAGGATGATCTCAACATGATCTACTCATGATAAACTCTTACAGAAGACACACCAAGGCAATCAATGAGATTGAGTTTAGAGTGTAACCCAGGTGCTCAGTTTCTCAGGAGAGCAGGGTTAATAATGCTCATCAGGAAATGCAAGTTACTCAGAATCTGACGAGTCTGCTGTGGTGCTCTGTCGAACACTTCTTTTCGTTTGCGCATTGGACCTTGCTTGATTGAATGATGACTCTCCCTCAGAAAATAGGACTTGAGCTTTAGCCAACCTTTCTTCGAGATCCTCTGTGCTGAACTCATCAGTCCCACCAAGTTCATCAAAGCCCACCTAAAACACATACCATTGTCATAATGATGGTGCTTAAAATTGAACCAAAAACCACAAATAGAGGAAACCCTGTCCAACATAACATTCTCGACAAACGTACATAAACTCTTAATAACTAGTCTCCTTAGAGTCATGGTTAGGAAATTAATAGATAAGAAAAATTATTAAAAATCATGTCATTGAAATTTATGACAGAAGATTATTAATAACACTTTTTAATTAAAACCTTTTCTATTCCTTGACAAAGTCCCCATAGCATTTTCCATAAATTTGATCAGCAAGTAAGTGCCTTCATATACAAATCACATACCACGTAATCATCAACTTTGGCATTCTTTATGAGGGCAAGAGTTGGAAGAACCATGATCCTGAGCTTCTCAGCCAAAAAGGGACTTTTTTCAGCATTAATTTTCACAATCCGAGTCTCGATATGCTGCTTCGCTAACAAACTCAAATGCTTGTCCACAACCTGGAAATTAACGGTGAACGTGAACGTTTCCTCGATGTTTAATTATTAGAAAGAAGAGAATAACAACAACAAACTTAACCGTGAGCTATGATCATATTTAAATTCTTTTCAGGTATTCCCTCCCACACTCACCAGAGAGCAGTAATAATATATATATATATAATCACAATTAGCATTCAATTTCACATCGATTGTCCAAGTTATCGTGATCTGGAAACGAAAGGTAACGTCAATGGTGAAATTGGTAGGTACCTTGCAGGGCCAGTTATCGCGGTAGAAATGGCAAACGACGCGTTCGCTGACCTTGACGATGGAGAAGAAGTCCTTCTCGGAGGGAATCTCGGAATATTCTCCGTGACCAAGGGAGATCCAACGGGAGCGCTTTTCTGCCATCTTCTTCATCTGCTGAAGGCGGCGTTCGCGGAGAGCCTCGAGATCGTCGGCATCGAGGCGTTCAAGGGCGGCGATCTGCTCGTCGATCTTGTCCTCGACGGCTTGCGCCACCGTGAGGACTTGCTTCTCGATCACCTCTTCGATCTTCCCCTTCTCCATCTTCCTCTCCTACTCTCAGATCTCTCTCCCTCTGTATCTCTGCACCACAAGGAATGGAACAATGGATGAATGTCAAGCACGATACGACGCCGTTTGAGTTCGTTCGGCGGTCCCTCTCGTATCGATTTGAATTGATTCAGGATATAAGGTTTGCCGACTGTAAAAGAGATATTGACGGTGTAGATAATTTTACATTTAATTAAATAAAAACAATTATTATTTATTTTTTTAAGAATATGTTTGAAAGTTAGATTTTTTTAAAAAAGTAGTTCTTTTATTTCAGTTAATATTTTTTAACTTCATAATTTTTTAAATTTAACATATTAATAATATTTTTTTTTATAGAAACTGTATAATTTTTAAATTTTTAAAAAATATTTATCATATTTTCATTTTCTTTATAATTTAACTCTCAAAAATACTTTAAGATAAACAACAGAAAAGTTGTGTTTGTTCGAGAGAATGATTTATTGGATATGAGAAGTTTAGAAATCAGAATTTAATTTTTTTTTTTCCATAAAAACTATTTAACCAGATAATATAATCTGAAACCTAGTTATTCAAATAAGTGTATTTAAATAAGTTTAAAAAATATTATGTATAATACTGTCATTTTTTAATGTGTGACTCGTATTAAAACAATATCGCACGTTAAAGAGTGTTAAGCACTACATTTTTTTCTTGGTATTTTTTATATCTTAGAGTGAATTTGAATTTTAGGTTCTCTTTTACTCTTATGTAGTGTTTGAAATCAAATATTTTAATTATAAGGTTTAGTTAAAGTAAGGGAAAATTAAAATTTTATATTTTAAATTCAGACTTAAATCAATGTAAGAGAACAAATAATAATTCGAATTATAAGTTCAAATTTTTGTTAAAATTTAAAGAAAAAGTAATTTTTAAATTCAAAACTTGAATGAGCATAAGAAGTAAACAAAATTTTAATTTCATTTTTATTTTTTTGTCAAATTTTCAAAAAAATATTAAATCTTTTAAATTCTAACGTTAAGAAATAATACATGCTTAATTTGCGTATATATATTTTTTTATTAAGAGAGTTAGATTCACTACCTTATAAATATTTTCTACTCAAATATATACACATAAAAACACATTATTTTAAAATAAAAAAAATATAATTTTATATAGAGGTATTTTAATTTTACTGATAATTTCAAATTTTAATTTCTAAAAATAAAGTTAGGTTTATAGAAGAAAACTTTTGAAATTTAAATTTTCGCTATTTGTGGTGTGAAATGGACATCTAATTTTATTTTTATTTAAGTAAAAACTAAAAAATAAAAAAAATTATATACAAAATTAGATTAAACAATTTTTTTTTGTTTAAGTAAAATTTTGCAGATTCACTTAAGCAAATTATTTTAATTTAAGTAAGTAAATTTTGTGCATAGAGCTGGATATGAAAGAATGAGAGGACTTAAGATAGATGAAGATAAAAAAAATGTTATATAAATAATAGTGTTGAAAGAGAAGGACTTAGAGTTAGATATGAAAAAAAGAGTAAAAAATAAGTATAAGACAGGATAAAAGTAAAAAGAAAAAAAAAAGTTTAGCATAAAGTGAAGAGAGAGTGATGAAAAAAAGTGAATAGTTAAACATAAATAAAGAAAGAAGGTTAAATATAAAAATTAAAAAAAATTAAATATAAAAGTTGAGGAAGTAGTATTAGATATGGAAAAAAAATTAAAAGAAAAAATATAAAATTCGCTTAAGTTAGTATAATTCGTTTAATTTAAAAATAATTACTTAAATTAATTTTAGAAAAAAAATATTATTTTTTTATTTTTACTTAAACAAAAATTAGGCTTCCCTTCTCACCAGAATTAGAGAAAATTCGAATCCTAACTTTTGATAAAACCTTACTTAATTCAAATTAGATTAGTTAGATGTGATATAGTAAGTCTTGACGTTGGGGCTGCAAGCTTTAATTCATCTCTCTACGTCTGTTTGTCGAAGCAGCCTCATCAACGCCCAAAACAACTGATCAATGAAATTAATTTAACAAATGTTTTTTATATTGCATGAACAGTGTTAGATTAAACTATAAATATAAATTAAGAAATATATAAAATTTAAATAAATAAATAAATGTAAAATATTTTACAATTAAATAACCCCCCAGTCCCATACACACACATGCTATCGTGGCAGCTCATTCCCATAGTGACACTGACACGTCACATGCGTAAAAGTGCGATGTGACATATCATAGTCCTTTAGCACTGGCAACTAAGGGACAGGAATCATACGGGAGCATCCTAGGCCTTATCTTATTCAAAATGTTTTTTTTAATGAATAGTTCTTACTTTTCTATATTTTAATTTTCATAAAATAATTATTAAAAATAAGAAAATATAAAAAGTTATTTAATACGTCAAAAATAAGCAAAAAATGAGTAGATAAAATAAAAATATACAATTTAATTTTAATATACTATTAATATTGTTGAATGAGTTTAAGTCTACCTCAAACTTGAAAAGTTAGTCGTATTCTTATTTACCTGATTACTTCAACAATATAGTATTTGTTATATTAATGACGAATTAAAATACCTATTAAATATAACTTTAAAATTTATCATACAAAAATTGGAAATGATATTCCAATTAATATAAAGTGAGATTCATAAATTTTTATTTGATTTGTTTATAAGTTGGAGAAGGCAGGGTGAGGAGTCCAAACACAGAAATGCTGTCTAATTTATTCCTATTAAGATCTAACATCTGACAGACATTGGAAACTGGAATGATAACAAGAATCCAACATACTACAGTACTTAGGAGCCGCAGACACTGATAACACTAATTAACCAACTCGGTTAACGCCAAATAAAACCACATTCTCTTCCTCTGGAGCACAAACGTGAGTTCAAGGGCATTTGGGTTTGCCCTTCTTGTTGACCTTGTCCCTGTAGCAAGGACATTCGTGCTTGTTCCCGTAAGTCCCAGAAGGAACACATTTGCAGTCTGCACAGCATATTCCACAGTACTTCATACACCTGTCCTTAACCCCTGCCGCTGAGCATCTGTCCGAGCACTTATTGCTGCAATATGCTGCCATCAACACACAAACCATATGTTTTTATGTATGTCACTTCTTCACAAAACAAAATAACATAGATCTCATTTTATACAATAGTAAGAGAATATCTTACATGAATCTTCATAGGCAACGGCTGGCTCCATGAAAGAGGAGCTTAGGAGCAGGGAACAAAATAGAAGGCTGACTAGGAGAAGCTTCATTTTGGTTGAGATGGAGAAGGAAGGAGTTTAGCAAATATGTCGGACGAAGTTTGTGATAGCATTTGCCAGAGCTAGCATGTATTTATATTGATTGATGAGTGGTCTTAATAATTAATAAAGTTGGTGACATGAATAAAGCAGACGGATGAGTAAGTGGGACACATAAAATAGTGGCAGAGTCGGTGATTATGTTTCAGGAATAAGGATGCGGGTGTTAAGTATATTTTTTTTTTAAATATATTTAAAAAAAAAATTAAAATACATGTACGATGACGATAATAATAATAAAATTAACTCATGCAACATTATTTATAATAAAAATTTACATACTACTTTTTCTTATCATTTATAAGGAATTTTATAAATGAAACTAATAGAAACTTAAATTTAAAACTAAAAAAGTATATGTTAAGTGTTAAAAGTGTATTAAGTTCAACAATATTACATGAAGATAAATTATCAGATTCTAAATTTTTTTTTAAAAAACTAAAAAATTAACTAATTAATGATTAAAGATATTTCATAGAAAATATAAAAATTATTTTTTATTAAAATATATAAAATTTAATATATTAATATTATTAAATGTTATAATTTTTAATACAAGTATATTATATATAAAATTTTTATCAAAATAAATTGTAACACTAATCACATATTAGTTAAAAAAATTTCTAAAAATAAAAGTAGTACAATAAATTTAATAAAAATATAAAACATAATAATTAATAATTAAATAATGACGTATGCAACAGATACAATAGACAGACGTATCAATATTTGGGTTTTTTTATTTAAATATTGTAAACTTAAAAACACATTCTTAATATATGATTTTTTAAAACTATTTTTCTATCTGGGGTGTGTTAGTCCACATGGCATTAGTTTTGCCAATGCGACTGGCAAAAATATTAAATTTTTATTTTTTAAAAAATAAATTTTGCAAAAAAAAATGCGAAATAATCAGATTGTGACATGCGTCAACATCTGCAAAATTTTGCAATATGATTAGCGAAATTAAATATCAGTTTTGCCATACAGAATACGAAACTCTCAGATTGTGACACGTGTCATGATCTGAGTGAATTTCACCATGAAAATTGCACAACTTGCAGAAATCTGACACGTGGCACAATTTTAAGTTATTACACAAATTTACCTTTATTAATTTTAATAACATAATTAAACCAAATCTAATTTAGATTTAGATGCAAATCATTACCACATTTAAAATAAAAATTAAATTACTAACCTTTCACTAAAAAATATTTTTTTTATTTACATATAAATTTAAATTACATATTAATTAAATAAATAAAATTACTAACATAATTAAAATTATTACATTATATAGTAAAAACTAGTATTATAGTTTTATAAATGTTACCGATCTCATATAATAATAATAATAGATTTATAAAATATCATGATTATATTATAATATAACATGTTATTGTACTATTGTAAAATATTATACTATTTTTAAAAAATAAGATTTCTCAATACAACATAATATAACAATTATTATTGATCATATCAAATAATATATATTTTTTATGTTATATAATTTTTTTTTGTAATATATAAAAAATAATGTTAATCTAAAAATTAAAAATATTTATGCCCATACATTTCAGTGTTTAAATTTTATTTAAAGTAAAAAAAAATTATTTGTAATCTCATTTTAAAATTGATTTAAAATGTTAAAATTATTTTTTAGCAATATTAATATTTATCATATATTTTATATAATTTGTAAATACTAATTTTTAAATAGAAATGCTTTTTAAAATAATATTAAATGTGAATGTTTGTAGAAATATTTTTGAACAAGCGTAATTTTAAGTATTTATTTTTTATTATCATGTTAAATATTTTTTACACATGAAATACTTTTTTATTTTATATTGATTTTAATCTTATTTTTTATAATTTAATTAAGATAATAAAATATTTATGGTTAATAATTGTAATATTTGTTTTTTAAAATTTTTAAAATATATTAAATTTAAAAATAAATATGTAATATATTTTTAATTATTCATTTAAAATAATTTAATTTAATTTAAAGATATTAATGTAATATACGAAAAATTTAATAGTAATTTGTATGTAAATATAAAAAATATTTTCTTGTATTATGTTACTATTTTTTTAAAATTTTAATGTAATCATAATTGGTATCTAATTATAAAAATTGTAATTATGTTAGTAATTTAAATTTATTTAATTAATATGTAATTTGAATTTATATGTAAATAAAAAAATATTTTCTAGTAGAATGTTAGTAATTTGATTTTTATTTTAAATGTGGTAATGATTTGCATCTAAATTTTAATCAAATTTGGTTTGATTATGTTATTAAAATTAATAAAGATAAATTTGCGTAATAGCTTAAAATTGTGTCACGTGTCAGATTTCTGCAAGTTGTGCAATTTTTATGACAAAACTCACTCAGATCATGACACGTGTCACAATCTAAGAGTTTCGCACTCTGTATGGCGAAACTGATATTTAATTTCGCTAATCATATTGCAAAATTTTGTAGATGTTGACGCATGTCACAATCTGGTTATTTCGCATTTTTGTGGCAAAATTTTTTTTAAAAAAAATAAAAATTCAATATTTTCGCCAACCGTATTGATAAAACTAATAACACGACTGACACACCCCAAACAAAAAAATAGTTTCAAAAAAACCATATATTAAGAATTTATTTTTAAGTTTACAATATTTAAATAAAAAAGTCCAATATTTGACACATATATAACACATACGTCAATAGTTTTGGCATATCCATACCTCAGAGTCGGTGGATTGTATGAGTCAGGAAGAGACAGACAGCCTGCAATGGTTCAGGCTCTTAGCCCACGCGTATACGAAGCACTCCAGTTCCTTCCTTTCCCTTTGTCTCATTCCGTTCCTCTCTTCTTCTACTTGACCAAAAAAAAAATTGTCAACTAATGTATCATAAGTATTTTTGGCTTTTTATTTTATAATGAAAGCTATATTTTTATTATTTCCATGCCCAACTAGAGATTTTCACGAAGCATGTGGATATTATATAATTTTAAGGTGAACTGCACCATATGCAGTTCTCAAATCCACCGTTCATTTATTTTATAGTGAAAAAAATGATAAGTAGAATAAAATATTAATGACTGGATTTGAAACCGCACCTTTTTCAGTTTAACAACATGAGTTCCCTCCCGAGCTAAGCTGACGGGTTATTCAAGTTAGCATCAGTAAACAACAGCCGCTGCAAAAGATGGAGCATCGGTACTTCAAAACAAAATACGATGAATCCCCAAGACTTGCCAATTGAGCATTAATTTTAGCAAATCTTATTCATATAGCCCGCAGTTGGCACATTTGGCTTCAATTTACCATGGGGAAAAACATCGCTTTATTCATCCAGGAGTTATAGAACGGTCAATTCAGCTCCTTTTCTTTATGTTGAAAAGGGTATTCCTAACTAGGACCTTGGTTCAAAAGGAATTTCAACGACCACATGAAAGTTAGTTTTCATCATATCTTATCTTATCATTATACTTTTACACACACGGATGTCTGATCGATGCAGCTCATTTAAGATGCTTCTTACTTTACACTCGTTGGATTTTCATCACAGGTAAGCAAAGTTGAGCATGCCAAACATTTGTAACCTCTATACACAAAACATACAAATTGTACATCAAGCTCCCATACTGTGGGACGGGCAGGGACGCAGATCATCAGAGTCATCCTTGGTATGGCCACTGGACGCTAATAAGTTGACCTACACAAATAAACAAAAATCAAATTTTTAGAAAACTGATTTCCCGCTTAGTAAAGTTCAAGTCGAATCTTTCATCCCTATCGTTTAGAATCCTCCAATGTGAGAAGAGGCATGATAAACAGAAACACAATATTTGTCTCGTTTTTGGACGTAATGGAAGTGAGTGAAAATAGAAAAATGAATTGCAAAAGAATAACATTTTACTATATACCTGCGAAAGAAAATGAAGGGCAAAATCTTAATAGTTGAATTATTCATATTTCTCTCTACTACAACTGTAAATCATACATTTTAGTTTTAAATATAGTAGAAATGTTTTTTACTAATTAATATTAAAGATAGTAAATGGAAACAAAAAATTTCTTAGAGAATCCTTTTAATTATATAACAAAAATATTGTTGACATAATTAAAATAAAAGATAAAAGCAATAAGATTGCAAATATTTAGTTCTTGAAAATGAAACTCGGTGGGATAAATTCGTAAAAGTAGTCTTTTCTTCCTCTATCAGCGGTATCTGGATGCCTCAATTTCTTGCATATAAGAATATATGGTACAAACCTTAACAATTTCAGACTTGGAGCCTGGCCGCATGTAAGCTGCTAACACGCTCATGTTGAAATCCTGTATACAACATTTAAAAGAAATAAGGAAAACTCAAATTAAAGTACCATGTACTAAATCTATTTCATAATAACAAAGGAAAAATAATAGAAATGCATTGTACAGAAGAAATGAATATAAAATAACTATTCCCTGCCTTTCAGCTAAGTATTTGAAACATACATATAAGTAATCCACCTAGACAATCACTTTTAATCATGTCAAGCTCACAGCAGGAAGGCAGGAAATTATTGGGGTTGTCACCGAGGAGAAAGAATCCAACCACAACTTCCTCCACATATTTTTGCATCAAAAGTAATTGCCATGTATAAATTAATCAAATCAGCAATTTCAAATCTTATGCTATGTATGGATCTTCTAGGAAAAGAAAACTCAAAAGGCATTTTTTCTCGTGTAGAAGGGTGACAAATATAGGTGACTGTTGCTATATTAGATATGTCATAAAATGTCCAAAAATGATAGTGAAAGACATCTAACTATAATAAGGGTCCACATTGTTCATAATCACAATAAGCCTGCTAGCTAGTGCTGCCTTTTCTTTTTACCAAGAAAAAGATGGAAAAAGCTGAAAAGAACTTACTCGGAAAGGATCACCCCTCAATGACTGAACAAACATGGAACTTCCTAAGCTTCTTCCCTGCATAAAAGTGCAATGGAACATAGATTTAACGAAGTGAAAGCAAAATAACCAGACATTAGTTCTCTGTGTTCCTTTTTAAGATGTCTTTTGAAATGTCACTTCTTCGATTGAAAACTACGGGAGGGAAATATACAGCTACGGTAGAATAGTGCAGACTAGCTTATGGTGCAGTTCTATCATGGTGCATTTCTTGCAATAACTGAATTTCAGATTTTTCTTTTATTTTTCTACAGATTTCTAAGAGATCTTTTCAAAAAAAGCAATCACTCCCCCCCCCCAACAAAAAAAAAAAGAAAAAACTAAAAAAGTGTTGTATCCATTATGTAGATTTATTACACAAATCTGGCCAGTAGTAAAGCACATCAAATAGATGATTGATTTACCTCCAGGGATATATCTCTCAGGCGCCTCCCTGTTTGAGCACAGCAAATACGGACAACATGTTCATCACAACTACCACTTATGATGTAGTCCCTCCCGTTCATGTAATAAGAACGGGTGTAATTTTGAGAACTTTCAGTGGGAGCTATATCAAAAACTAAGTGAAGCCTACCATCAACAGCGAGAAATTGTCTAACCTGTAAAAACTTACATGTCACTCTGGACTCTGGACACCAAAAGTATGTTCTCAAGATCAAATTTACCAAACAAGAAGAAAGACAGGCATGTATTGAATCAATTGAAGTTACTGTACTACGTAGATAACAAAAATCTGATGGAGACTGTTAATAGCTTTAAAAATGAACTAGATTTTGCATGGTGTGCGAGGCTTACTCCAGCAATTGCACTTCGCATGAAGTAACCAGTAACTAATAAACTACTGAGTGAAAATTACCTCATTATCAACTGCTGATGCAAGAATATATTGGTCGTCTGGAGAAAAGCAAACCATCACATTTCCTTTAGAGCTGGTTGCAGTAAAGCAAGGGTGTATTGGTTTTTGTCTCAGGTCCCACATCTTGACATCTTGATCAAATGATGAAGTGGCAAAAATTGATGGGGAATGATTAGCAAATTTGACTACATTAATATGCCCACGATGCATATCTGTGAACACTTGTAAGCGCTTCCCATTATTGATATCATACAAAGCAACATTTCTTGAGTAACCACTTGCAAGAAATAGTTCATCCGTAGAGTTAACATGAACAGATGTCAACTGGTCAAATTCATCGAAGGTAACACAACCAGAATTACCATATATGCCAGTAACTTTTCTTGGTATATGGTGGATGTCATACAATTTCAAGGAACCATTGTCAGAACCTGCTATAAGCTGATATGCAGCATGAAGAAAAGAATCAGAATTCTCCATCCAAACAAAATTCACTGAAGAATTATCTAAGGAACAGTAACTAAATACTAATTATTCTTAAAGCTGACAAGGCTGTACTAGCATTCTTGCAGAAAATCACAGTACACCACATCTCTCATTAAAAATAATTTGGCTTCTACAACGTTATGCATGACAAACAATATATCCTGCAAAGACTGATGTAGCATTTTGGAACTATCACTTCAATAATTGCTGATAAAATATATGCTTCCACTAGCATTCATCAGATAAGTTGCTAACCATAGTAAATATAATTTACCAAATTGCTTTTTATGCAATAATCACATACCTTTGAGGGATATTTTTTAAGCCAACAGAGACCCAAAACACTATTCATTGCTCCAAGTGATGGGATATAACTCACAATATGCTCATTCTCATGGTTTATGACAACCACCTCTCCATCCAAAGTTCCAAAGACCATCAAGCTGGAGTCAGATGGATGGTACTCAAACTGCCTTGGACGAAATCCCTTATCCAATTCACATCCTAATAGAGAAAGAGGATGCAAGAAAGGCCAAGTTGAAGACCCCAATTTAGCAGCAGAAAGTGACCTGGAATAAAAATATTGGGACTTTCCGGAAGGATATGATGACCTATGCTTAGGAGGTTGCCCCTTAATGTGGCCTGATTTTATTTCTCTCTTCTGTAAAATACTTACAACACTCTCTTTGTGCTTCCATCTGTACGGAAGATATTCAAAATGTTGAGAAAATATTCCAGTAGCTCTTTCCTTGTCCGTCTTTCTGATGGGCAAATTATCTAAAATTTTCAGATTTGGTAAGGAAGCTATCATGAATTCTCTGTAATGTTTCTCATAGCATATTGGTGATGCATGACGAGACATATACTTCATAGAAACATCAGCAATATGCCCAGTAAAAGCACCTCGCGATGACTCTTCTCCATCTTCATTCAGTGATGTAAACCACTAACATTAAAGATCAAAAAGGGTTTTGAAATTAGTCAAATTACAGCTTGGCTAATATGGACATAAGAATTTTTTTTAATTAGATGAATTATGTAATTGAATATTAGGCTTTTCACTATGTTTCTAAGTTCCCACACATTGAGTCATTCACTAAAGTTCCAAAATAAAATATGACCTCAAAAACAAAGTGGAAATGGGCAGAACAGAAAAATGTTAAACTTGTAACTGATGCGACAACTTCCGCATCCAAGCTATAATCATTACCACAAATTAATAGAATTCTATAAAACAACTGGAAAGGTATAAGATGCAAGCTGATGCCATAACCTTACAAGTCTAAACTTACTATAACTGTGATTGTTTTAGAACCCAAACTATTATCTTTTCACAAATTAATAGCATATTATATACAATAATTTACAACCATGAACAACATTTTTGCAAGCAAGAGGGAATTAGCCATTATTGTTCAATTATTGAGACCACTCTAAGGGAAATCAACTTGCAAGGTAAAAATGGCCAAGTTGACTACCTCATTCTGAAGAGGCACTAGTGAATTCCACACAGGAAAAACATCTGCCAACCAATATCTATTATGATGATTAGTAAAGTCAACTTCACTATCATCTGATGAATCCTCAACCATGCTTTGAACATCATGAGTTATAACCTCTTCATCAAAGGAATAAAAGTTTCTCAGGGGATCTTCAGCACTAAAGTTGGGATCTGTCAGTTCTGTTGTGTCCATGCAGGATCCACCAATAAAAGGAACTCTATCAAGTAGGCTAAATTCGGCAGTGCCATCTGACTTCCCACTGGATGAGACAAGAGATGGCCCAGCATCATTGCAATACTGCCAATATTGAAACCTTAGTTCAATCAAAGAAGGAAGTTTAGAGAGAGCTGCAACAGTTGTCCAAAGATTTGTAATCCGTGTTTCACACATTGAGATGCGCATTAGATTGGGCATGCAATTAAAACAGTCCTCCTGGAAACTAGTAAGGGAAGAACTGAAATCAAGATTAAGGGTGTGCATATGCATGAACTTGCCCATCAAGTTCAGCTTCCGGAAACGTGAACACCTCAATGTCAAAACTTGGCATGCCAAACCTCTTTGTGAGATATCCCTAATGATAAAATCCAACATTAGTTATGAACAGCAAAATATGCAACAAAAAACTAACGCACCAGAAAATGCATCCACAAAGGCGAGTTCTCCCAATAATGAATGAGCCACCTATGTTTTAGACTTCTAGGTAAATAAAAACCAATTTGGTATATATCATCAATACGAATGAATGACTTCAGGCAATTTATGTTAATTTGCCACTGTAAATGCAAAGTTAATCCTTAGTGACAAAAGAATCAGCATCAAGATAATAATGCCATGCTGCGCCCATTGATAAAAAAACCTTACACGGATTTTCATCTAATCACTTAAAATCCCAATCACATATCCAGTAAAATGAAGATTTTTTATTGTTCTGCATTTCCAGAATTCCAAATGCTAGAAATTCCATATTACCATATCGAATTTGCTTAGAAGGTGAAAATAAGGGTGACTAAACAACCAGAAATTATGTCATTCATATAAAGATAATCCATGACAAACACCATAATATACCGTAAGAAGTCTTTTCCAAATGACAGATCCTGTAGATCGACTACTCGAAGCTTTTGATTAATAGCACGCATCAATGATAATGCATATTCTCCATTTAACACACATGATGATTCATTACGTACATCAACAGCTTCTATTTCAGAAGTGTCAAGGTTCATGCACATGTCAAGAAGTGGAGCAATATCAATATCCTTTAGGTCATCAATTAAAATCTCCAGGTTGCACAGCTCTTGGCAAGACTTTTTGACCTCAGCCTGCACAATCATGGTCAGGTTTAGATTCTTACTCCAATGAATAGGATAAAGTAGAAAATGGAATACATTCACTGCCCTCTGAACTTGAGAGTCAATACATGAAAAAATGGAGTAAAAGGAAAAAGTATTTATGCTGTAGAATACAATTAAAAATTGGTTGACACCAATGTTTGATGTCAGCATGCATACCTTGTCCTTATATACTACATTAACCAGGACAAGCAAGGGAGCATTATTAGAAGGAAAACGCTAACTAGTACCCAAGGGGTAGGACATTGGTTAAGGAATCAAAAGTATTTTTTTTAATTCGAAAATGTAAGTACATCAATGCACTCAGCCCTGTAATTTCGAATGCATTCCAATTTGTTCTCCAAAAAAAACTTACTATTTGTTGATTCGTTGGTAAGACCCTTATTTTAACATAACAAATATGATGAAATAGCTTCCAGTGCTCTATCAGTAAATTTTGTGGCGGAAAAAAACAAACAGACCTTGAAAAGGCTTGACAAAATAGTAGAACTAGGCAAAACACCATGTCTCCTGCAAGAATCAACATACCTATAACCAAAACCAATATTAGATAATTAGAATGGAGACGAGAATACAGCGAAACGACAATAAGAGCCAAATAATGATTTCATTAGCCACTGCGGAAGCTATCAATTACGACGGCAATGAATTTAATCAAACAGCGTGTGCATAAACTAGCTCGTTTCCCATTGTTCATATTTTTCTTTCCAACACAAAATCCTGATTCAACAAGACAATGCCGAGGGAACAGGTGTGACAATTCAGTAGATTGTGCAAACAAATTTACATAATTTCCACGAGAAGGGCGATTTCGGTTGCGCACATCAAGTTCCCGATTCCAACAAGCAGCGTCCAATTCAATGGAAATTAAGAGCAAACAACCGAAACTAACCACCGGCCACATTTTACACAACCGAACGCAAGCCGGAAATAACAAAATATAAAAAAGATAAACACAAGCGCATTTTGATTTTGAGTTGATGAAGTGTACCTGTCTTCCAAGGTTTGGATGTCGACGACCATGGCGATAATCAACAGTTTCAGAAACCGCAGCGAAACCCGCAAATTTACACACCAAAATGGATAAGTGTACGTCACGATGCAAAGCACGGTATGATTCAAACAGTTTGCTACTTTTCTCTGCGTAATTTCGTTGATAAGTTTCTCTTTCGGTCTTAATGATTACTGTTCCTTTTTTTTTTCTTGGTCAAGACTCTTCCTGACTCCTCCATGGGTTTCAGTTTTTTTTACTTTGGGCCCATTCAATAATGTCTTTTGGGACTTGTCTAAGCCCAAAATGATAGAAGAGTACCACAGTGGGATGAGTCCATGTAAGCCCAAGTTGAAGCCCAATTGAGAAGGAAGTCAAGTTGCAAACGTCCGTATCATTCAGCATTGATTAAAAAATGTACCATTCAGTATTTCGTGGCCCAAAATATTAACAGATTGTGTTTCTTTTATAAACAGTTTAATGTGTGTTTAAAGATATATAATAAAAAATAATAAAATTTTAAAAATACAATATTTAACATTATTAATGTATTCAATTCTTTAATTTTTAATTAAAATTTATCGTCTATAAATTTTTACTATATGTTATTGGACACGTATAAAAAAAGAAGCAGAAAAAATATGATATCTGATGAAAACAGAATCTGGGACAATTGCAATTGGATTTGTGAGTCAAATGGCGTCATATTTTTTAATTTAAATTTTGATGGAATTATTAGTGAGAAAGTAAAAGTTTCCAAGGGGAAAAATGACTGATTAGGGTTTGGGAGTGTTTCATGAGTCATTTTAATCAATTTTAAATTTAATTAGTAATTTTATTAATTTGTTTAAAGGTATTGAATAGATAAATTTATTTCTTTAGCTTGTAGTATTCCTTTTTATACGCTACCTGAAACAGTATTTAAACTTATAACTTGTTATTATTTTCTCTACTTTTATCTTTAAAAAAACATTTATTTGTTTAAACCAACTAATTTAACTATTAATATTATTTAACATTTCTTATTCAATAAGCTGACTTCACAGTAATTTTCAACTAAAATTATTTTTCAAAATTTAAGCAATTTATCATTTAGTTTTGCAAGATATGACATTTTTAAACTATAATTGACTCTTCTTTTTCTTTCTTTCAAAAGAAAAACAAAAACAAAACCTAGTACATTTTTATATAGTGTTATTTTATATTTAGAGCACATTCTGCTGTTCAATGTTGTAGGTTCAAAGGAAAGACAAAGATCACCCTAAGTCAACAACTGAATACGAGAAACTATGTGAAAATGGTTTCAAAATGCCAACTAAAGCAGCAGATGTAGCCGTTGGTGGTTTTTTTTTTTTTTTTTTTTTTATCTTCAGTAAGTCTTCTGAACAATTATTATATAGTAACCTCCTTACAAGATAATATTATTAATTAAAAATGAATTTTTGATATCGGGTACCCTTCTCTAATTAGTTAATTGTGCTCCGGGCCATGGTGATCAGTTACTGATAAAAGAAGAACAGATTTACTAATATCAATTTTTAAAATTGATTTTAAATATTTAATATATAATAATATCTTTATTATTTTAAATTACATAAACTTAACCCCCCAAAAAATCATATGAAATAAGTAAATTAAGGTGCAAAAATATTTGGTCATGAAGAACACTAAAAAAACATAATCTTTTAACAAGTGTTTTTTTAATATATTTTTAATTATTAGATAAATTTTATTTTAAAAAATAAAAATATGAAGAAACATATTAAATTAAAAGTAAAAATATTTTTTAAAAAACTTTGCCCTTACAGTAATCTTACCTGATAACCTGAAAGATACATGTGGTGTAAAAAAAATTAGGAATGGAAAAAATTGAAATTTATGTAAATTTTGTAAAAACTCTAATTAATAATTAAAAAACTGCATTAAGAGAGTTTCTTGCTATCCTTTCTCATTTAGGCATTATTAAGTGCGAGATTAAAACTTTCAAATCTAAATGCCCAAATATGTCCCTGAAGAACCCAACCACGTTGGCCCCATATTTTGGTCATTATCAGACTTGACAGCTACACAACTTGAAAAAATAAGAGAAAAGAAAGAAGAAAAAGTTGACCACCTCTTACTTTTTAATGAGATCTTTTCTCCTTCCTCATCTTCATACTCTTCTTCGAAGATTAGTTGTAAAGCTGAGCCCACCACTGATCACACACACCCATCAACAACACCAGCCATTTTAACTACGTTCTTACATGAAGGTGCTTATCTCTGATCCCTCCATGTCATTATATTTTTCTTTATGACCCAAAACCTCTGCTGCACGTGCTGTGGCTCTTAAAGAGGAAGATTGCTGGCAAGACCAAAGAAAGTAGCTTACGGTTTGGGACCCAAAGAGAATAGAACCTGCTTTATTGTATCGGCTAATTCATAAATTATTACGTTACACTGCTACATAGCACAATATAAGCAGAACATGGTCTTTCTTTTTTGCTATTCTAGTCAAAACATGAAACATAGTAGCAACAAATGGGAAAGAATATTTTAACAGGGCAGTTTGAAGAACTAAGTAGCACCCATCTTACCAACTGGGAGAGTGTGACAACCACCATTTTAAAAATAAAATAAAAAAAAAAGAGTGTAATGAGTGAGACTAGTAGCATGTGAAATCTCCTGAAAGAACATTTTGTAATAGTAACTATACTTGTGAGAACCCTCCTTCACAAGATATCTTGAGAAAATCCCCATTAGCCAGTTTAGATCCTTTTGTGAGGATATAGCCATACTTGTTGAATTCACAATTGACAATTGATATGCACTTTTTCAACATGATTTGTGTCCATTTGTTTTAAACCTTGATAAATTTGATTTTGGATGGCGGTTATATATAATTTCATTAATCTTAATCACATATTTTACATTAGAGCGTATGTAATGATGTAGAAGATTATTTTTGGTATAGTAGATTACTAAACCGGCACTAACTAAGATAAATGATTGTTGGATGTATAATATGATCATACGATGAGATGTGTGGATAATTTAAACCGTTGAAAAAGAATCACAATACAATAACTGATCATCAGTACAATATAAACATAAATATTAGTAACTTGCATAGTACGAGTCATGCATATATTCTACAAATATTGTGGTTAGTGAGAAGTCAATTAATGGCCAACAATGGTTGGTACAAGCTAGCCTAATTGTCCTAATTCCAAGTATTCAACGACTATAATTAGGCCTTGAACCTGTGTGATGTTGTCACAAAACTCACAGGAGTAAAGTTTCAATTGATTATTAAACTATAAGATCTTGCGGTAGATAATTATTTAAGTCAGCAGTTGAAGAGGTCTTCGAAAAGAGTACAGAAAGTTAATCAACTTATGCACACCCATCAAATTATAGTTAATAATTATATGCCTAAGCTGGACTCAATTGGATCACTTATGGTTCATATACATTCTAACTGATAGTGACAATGTTTGAGGGGTTTAATTAAGTTTATGAGAAAAGTGGAAACTATTAATGCAACTTTGCAAGTAGGAGGGTGCAACATCAAATCCAATTGAATGGGAACTGGAAATAAAAAAAAAAAACATTACGTCGATCTTCTACTTTTCGAAAGTAATAAACAAAAATATATATAGAAGATGAAGAAGGGAAAGGTTGATGGGAAGAGAATGCCTTTGTCGATAAGGAACAACAATTTTGTCTACTGCATACAGAAAAATAGGATTGGCCCACTAATCAGTAATCATTTCATTTAGTTGAAATTCTGGAGGCCCACACCTTTATGATAGTCTGAGTTTGAATATGATGCAAACGCCAGTGATAGTGAATTAATATATATAGTAGCACTTTTTAATTGGGGTCAGTATGGCACTTGGGTGCTTGTTAGCAAAATAGGGGTTCGGAGACTTTTTTTGTTTTTGGATGATGGGGCAACATTCTGAATCATAACTGATATTTAATTTAACTCACTGGCCCTACTACTGAAGTGTATAGTAGAGACTCGAGAGCAGCAATTAAAATCCAAAAGTGCTTCTCAGGAACCACAATAGATGCCAGTTGATACACAACAGAATCTCATCATGAATTCCTTATATATGTTTAATCATTGCTTTTTTTTGTTTGCATGTTTTTAGTTATATTCAATTTCCATGATGATTTCGAGTCCAGTTTAAAAAATAAAACCTTGTAGAATATAATACATGTTGAAGAAGTGCATATTTGAATCCATATCTGAATATGATTTGAGTCAATATGATTAATTTATAATAATATAAACACATTATATAAAACTTCAAACTCTTTTTCAAGGAAAAATTAATTCTACAAAACTAAATTTATAAACACCCATCAAACAGTGTCATAGCCTTGTCCGTCAAATCTGTTAGTTAATTAAATCAAATCACACTCCATCTAAAAATTGTATCTTTTTGGAATAAAGAGCAGGCGAAGAACCAAGATAGATCGAGTTGTATGCAGAGCCTTTGGTTTGGAGAATCTTAAGATTTTGGTTGGGAGATTTTCTGAGTCTCTTATTGGTTGGATGCACCGAAAAGGATAAAGTTAAAACGCGTTGATTTGGGCCCCAACGGCACAAAGAACAAAAGCTCAACTGTTCACTGTTCTTCTTTTCAATGGTATGAAACCAATTCTTCTGGTTAAACTAGTCTTAAATGTGGAGAATTGTCGACTTAAACCTATAAATAAACTAATGAATAAATAATTGAATATTTTATATCGTAAATATAGCTTAATAACTGAGATAATATAAAGAAATTCAGAAAAAGCCAACTTTAATTTTTCACTTTTTTTTCATTTTTATTTAAAACTTGTTTGTAGTGTATTGAGGATAGTTTACTAAAATAACCAGGAAAGTGGAAAAATACTATTTTGATAAAATAATTATTCTAGGAAAGCGGCGAGCATAAAAAGAGTGACGCTGTAATGGAAGGTGAAGAGGTAATAATAGAAGCGACAGAAAATATTAAGTGCACGTGGATGAGTGTTAATTCCTTCAAATGCAAGTTTACAAGCATATGATTTACAAAACAATTTGATTGCAGAAAATTAAAATTAAATTATTTTGATTTCAATTTAATTTTAATCAATATTACATTTGCCAAAACTCAGCAAACGCACGCTAAAACTTAATGAAATTTGACTGAATTTTATAATTTATTTCTTAAATTTTATTGGCAATGCGTTGTCGGAGTTAAATTAGGTGGTACGGATGTTGATAATACAGATTTAGAATGGGAGTTCCATCCAATAAGAAAAAGGTGAAGAGGAGCGAGTATGTTGGAAATAAAAGGTGTTAAGGTACTAGAAAAGAATAACATGTACATGTTCTCATAATTTAAAGAAAGAAAGAGAAATTGACTATTATGGAAGGTAAAAAGGTTAAGCCATAAAATAAGGGAATGTAACTGTCAGAGAACTTCAGAAAATTAGAAAACTGAAAATTTACTTAGATAAAGTAAAAAAGGCGATTGAGTAAATGTTTAATTGAAGGAAATAGAAAATAATATTTTATATAAAATGTTTTTATCCGAATAGTATAACTCAAATAGAAAAGACTAAGAATTTTATTTTTTTTACATAATCATAAATTGTTATAATCGCAACCAATAACAATACAACACATGCATCTTTGTAAAAATAAAATAAGTACATAACAAAGGTACAAGTGGTCGGAATCACATAATCCATCTCATCTCATGTCACCTAAAAATTTCTCTTTATGTAAACAAGAACAATCACAAAGAGTTTCACAATTTTAACCCTAAACAGGTAATAAATAATCAACTCTCGTAAAAAAAATGGTAATTTTCTAGGAAATTCTGGGATCCTCCGTCCGGTGTCTTTATCAAATTTCAACAATTGAACAATTCAAGGAAAGAATCGAAGGTGCAATCCTCTTTGTTGCGTGAATCACTAAGAGCTTGTTTGGTCTTAGTGTAGTTGATCATGGCGACCTTCCTTGGGCATGGGGACCATTGCTATACGTCAATTACTATATATATTAAAACAACAACGAGTCGATGTTAGAAAGTGGACATGAGGAAGGAGTATGAGTTTTATTTGGCGGATAAGAGACAAAAACTCGCAGAAATTGCAGGTTTGCCAGAGACAGTGATGATGATGGAAAATGGTGGGCAAATTCCACCTAATGATCGGGTGAAAAACATTGTTCTCTTAGAATCAGCTGTAAAAATGTCTTCAGAATTGGAGTTAGCATCCATGGTTTGATGGGTGTTGTTTAGTTTACACACAAAAAGTAGAGGCCATTAAACCGCCATGACAAGCAACAAGTTTTGAAGCGGATTTGTCATTTGAATAGTGGTGGGAGGACCTTTGGAAAATCCAAGTTTGTTTTATTTTTATTTGTAAAGAACGATAGATCATTAAATTAGTCATCATGATTACAAGTATTAAATTTTAATCCTCAAAGTTTTTTAATTTTTTGTTAACCCATAAATTTACAAAAAAGTTATTAAATTTAGTGTTTTTTTAAATTTTTTAATCGTTATTTTATCCAGAAATAAAATAAATTTTTAAAAGCTAAAACATCTTACTTATGCAAATTCAAAGACAATAGAGGGGTTGACTTAAAATCAAGGAAAAAACAACCATACAAAAACAAATGTTATAGCTACTATGAGAAAAATATGTACTACAAGAAGATTGAACTTCTGTGTACCATGTGTTTTTTTTTTCCAGCCTTGACTTGTTTTTGGATTTTAATTTTTCTATAATTTTATGATTAATTTATTTTTTTATCTCTTTAATTTAGTCATGTTTAATAATTATTTATTATTGATATTTTTTAAATTTTTTAAAAAACCAAAAGTCTTGTAATGCGCTTTTATTCACTTATTCATAAATTTAACTTTAATTTAATACTACATGTAACATACAAAAAAGACTATTATAAATTTATCTTTAAATATATATATTAAATTATTAAAAAAAAATAAAATATATTTTATGTATAATTATTTTATACATAGATTCTATAAGAAACACCTTGTTTTAAAAAATAGTGAATTGTTTTTTATGGAAAAATAAAAAATATATAATAAATAAATATTTTAAATATAATAATTATTAATTATTAATATTTTTATATACTGTGATTTTTAAATATAATTACTTATTTAATGTATGAACAAGAAATTGGTTTATTTATTATTGTAGATATTTAAAAACATATTAAAATTTGTTGAAACAAAAATATTTTTATTTATTTTAATGAATTAATTTTTTATTTATCATAAAAAACACAGTATTTGTATGCTTGTTTCCGTCAATAAAATATAATTGATTAAGATGAGTTCGACCATGGACTCTGCATCCCCATGCTCTCAATTCTCAAGTCTCAAAGCACTTGAATTTTCGTACCTGTTTTTATTTAAAGTAATCAGTTAATTGAAATATGATTGTTTAATGTCTCATGAGTTAATAAAATATAGATATTATTTTATAAAGTTATCAAAAATATATTAGTTAAAGTATAAAACAATATAGTCATTTAATGTCAAATATAACACAATAAACTATTTTACAGTCCCTGTTGCGGAACTTCATAGCATTCTCACAGCTTTACGGAGCCATGTCTTGTTATAAAAGTATAAATTAGCATTTCTTTTATAGAAATTTATCACTAAAAACTGGCTAAAATAAACTGTACACTTAAACAAGTAAGTTTAAATAATTTTATTATTATTTGTAAATAAATTTAAGGTAATTTAGTGTATAATAAAAGAATGTTTCTCCTAAAGAAAATTGATGGGAAAATTTAATATAAAATTTATAAATCCTTATAAAAGCTATAAGGATGACTTTCTTTCGGTCAAATATGAATTTAGAAACAAAATAAAATTACAATTTAAATAAACTATACAGGTGGGACTATAATTAAACTAGATTTAAATTAATTTATTATAATTCTAAAAATGCAAACGTATTTTTAAATAGGCGCTTAGTTTCCTCTTATAAGGATGATTGTTTTTGCGATATTTTCAATTATGAGCTTTTGGCAATTATTTTTAAAACTTTAGATAATAACATGGTATGATTTAGATGAAATTGTATAAAAGAGCTTAATGTAATAAATATTAATCCTACATGGGTATCAAATTAAAAAGAAAAGAAACAAAATATTCGGCAGTAGCAACTTGCAACTAACCAAAAAGAGCTACTTGTATATAATATTATCACACCCTTTCAGCCTTCCCATAAAGCAGCAAAATACCATTCTCTCTCTCTCAACAGAAACCGTACGCCCACAAACCCACTCACTGCTCAAAACTAAAGTCACCCCATCGCCTTCACTCACTGCCTCCCACTCTTCCAAAGCCGTTTTTTCCACTCACACACTCTCTCTCTCATTCAATCTATATGCATCTATGAACCTCTCTGCCTTTGTTTCTCCACTCGCTCCCTCTCCCTCTTCTATCCCCTCGTTGTAGCATTTCCTCACTGCTAGTGCTTCTAGAATTTCATTCTTCACCTTTTTCCCTTTCGATTCTCTCTCTTACTCTCTTTCCCAAATGGAAGAGAAACGGGGTTTCTTCTCCGCTCTCAAGGAGGAAGTGGTTCGGGGCCTCTCTCCCTCTCGTTCTCGCTCCAAAAGCCCAGCCCGAACCGTCTCACCCTTTTCGGGTCTCCTCAGGAGGAAGAAGCATCACAACACCCCTAACCATGACTCCTCCGTCGCAAGATCCGCTAGTTTGAGGCCGTTGGGGGAGACACTAACGCCTCTCATCGAGGGACCCGACCCGGACGGAGCAGAAAACGGGGATCCGAAGAGAATCAGGTCGGGTCTCGGGCACTGGATGAAGGGACAGCTTTCACGTGCCCCCTCTGTGTCTTACAAGAGGTCTGATCTGAGGCTTCTTCTGGGTGTAATGGGTGCGCCACTCGCTCCTCTTCACGTCTGCGCCACCGACCCTCTCCCTCATCTCAGCATAAAGGACACTCCCATTGTGAGTTCTCAGTTCTCACACATACAAACCCCAAATTTCCCCTTCTTTGAAACATCCTTTGGTATTTTGCTGTTTCTTCTGTACTTTAGAGTGAATGAAGTTTTTCCCCTTTTCTCTCACTCGGGGTTGTGTTTTTCTTTCTTTGGATGCATGTGGTTTGGATTTTTGGACATTTTCTTCTCACTGTCTTGTTACGAAGTAGCAGGTGATGAGTGTCTTTCTCTTGGGTTAACTTATCTGGTGTTTTATGCAGCTTGTCGTTTTTCGATTCTGTGTAAGATTCAGTTTGTTTCGGATGTTGCAATTTCTGGTTTTATCTCCTGTTCTACGTGTTAGGCTGAAATGGTTAATCAGGGAAATACTGAATCACGCGCCTCCTTTCTATAATTTCAGTTTTAAGAGTGGCTACTGAGAAATAACGCTTTAGAACAGAGTTCAAAAGCTTCTTTAACCCGATTCAATTAGATGTGATAATCTTATCTTAGTGGCTAAAATAATCTATAACTGTGTTTGTTAAGGGGGACCATCTTATTTTTTAAAAAATGAAAAAAATAAAACGTCATTTTCTTTAATTTTGTAAAATTCTATTAGCTAATGTTTTTTTTTTTGTTCGTGGGTACCCTTGCAGGAAACTTCATCTGCCCAATACATATTGCAACAGTACACAGCAGCGTCTGGTGGGCTGAGATTGCAGAACTCTATACGAAATGCATACGCAATGGGAAAGGTCAGAATGGTAGCCTCTGAATTCGAGACTGCAACTAGGGTAGTGAAGAACCGGAATGCCTCTAGGTGTGCAGAGTCTGGTGGATTTGTGCTCTGGCAAATGAATCCTGACATGTGGTATGTAGAGCTTGCTGTTGGGGGAAGCAAGGTTCATGCTGGCTGCAATGGCAAACTTGTTTGGAGGCACACGCCTTGGCTTGGTGCTCACACGGCAAAGGGACCTGTGAGGCCTTTGCGGCGTGCACTTCAGGTTGGCCTCGCCATTTATTTTCATTTGGTGTTATGTTTCCTTTTTGTCTCCAATTTCTAAAAGTGTGTATATTCATTTAATTAGGGTCTTGATCCTAGAACCACTGCCAGTATGTTTGCTGATGCCAGATGCATAGGAGAGAAGAATATCAATGGTGAGGACTGCTTCATCCTTAAGCTCTGTACTGACCCAGAAACATTGAAGGCTCGAAGTGAGGGACCTGCCGAGATCATAAGGCATGTCTTGTTTGGCTACTTTAGCCAGAAGACTGGACTTCTTGTTCACATTGAGGATTCCCATCTGACTCGCATCCAATCCAATGGGGGTGATGCAGTTTATTGGGAAACCACAATCAATTCATTCCTTGATGATTATAGGCCTGTGGAAGGGATCATGATTGCCCACTCAGGGCATTCGGTGGTAACTCTTTTCAGGTTTGGGGAGATGGCAATGAGCCATACTAAAACAAAAATGGAAGAGGCCTGGACAATCGAAGAGGTGGCGTTCAATGTTCCAGGTCTTTCAGTAGACTGCTTCATTCCCCCTGCAGATTTGAGAACAAGTTCTGTCAGTGAAGCTTGTGAACTTCCTCATGATGAAAGAGGAAAGAACTCATTAGCAGTACATAGGGCCAAAGTTATTGCACTGGAGAAATCGCATAATTGCAGCATTGATAACATGATATGGAAGATGGAAGTCTAAGGACGGTGGTAGGATCAATTCGTGGCAATTGTTAATAGCAGTCACTAGTTTTTGACTACTAACGTTTAGATGTTAGAGTAGGTTCGTTGTGAAAGTTTGTTATATGCCTCTATATACTCTGTAAATAGAGCATAAAAATTCACGGGTATTATGCGGACCCGAGTGAATGTTTATACTCGATGCAGAATCCAACTATGGAGTTGGAGCTCGTTTTTCCACTTCGGAATAGAGCAAATGGAGGTTAAAATTTTAGTTTACCTTCCATAAATGAGGGCGGGCGGTGAAGCTTTGGTATAGTGGACCCTTTAAACTTTTGTTAATTAGTAACTTTATGTAAGTGTCGATGGTGGTAATATTAAAGAGTCTACCATCGACCACAGCCAGTTTGGCGCTAACAGCTTCTACATGGTGTGGAAGTTGTGTTTGAAAAGGTGACGAGGGTGTTTTTGATAGCCTAGATAACGGAGTAGGGTTACAGAGACAACACTCAGTCTTAATTGATGTACCCAACATCTCATGTTTCTGTTTTGTGTTATGATGCTATTTTGTCAGTGCTCCTGATAATTAAACTGTCAGATAATGAATGCTCTTGATAGATATTTCATTGTTTCTTTTAGAGTAGGTTGGTTGTAAATAGTAATCGCAATTTAGCGTGTTTAGATTTCCGTTTAACTAGAAATTTAATGCACGTTTGGGCTGTAAAAAATCTTCCTTTCACGACATGCTTAATGGATTTCCAACGAGTAACTGGACTTCAGAGCATAATGGTATATTAGATATATTCTCCAAATATCAAATGATAAGAGTTTTAACGCAGTTTCATTTCAAATGATTTATGTGTTCTGTTTTTATTATTAAATAACTTTTTACCTTTTTTTCCTCTCTGATTATACTTGTTAATTAAAATGTTCATATCGAAAATGTTCAGTCAATGAAAATAGCGAAACTCCCGGGAAGTTGTGTTCTCGACGCAATTTAATCGAGTTTTATCTTGATATATTAAAAGTGTAAACGAATGAGGATCTTGGAACTCTCAAATTATTATATTGTGAAAATAACTTGTCTCTGCAATGTATCGGTAACATTTTTCTGTCTACTAATAGATACTGCATGTGTAGAAGCTTCCCTCTTTTCTCGACGGTCTTGGTCAAATGGGCATGGGAAAGGAAATAGAAACGTAGTGGGGAATATAACTATTTTTTTAATAAACAGAATGGAAAGCAGAGTGAATTCAGAATAAATAAAGTAAATTTGGTTATTTTTCTGTTCCAAGGCCCGCGCGTGTCTGCGTGTGAATGTGAGTGTGAACGTGATTATGGAACGACCACGAGGTTCGGTTCTTCCACGGGCCTAAGCCCTAGTGATGTTACCAGCTTCCTTTCGCTTTCTTGCTCAACATCAGGCAGTCTTTATGTTTTTTTTATCTTTTGCTTTTTCAGGGATTGTCTTTCACTTCTTTATTCACTCGAACTATATTCCTGGAGTAAGTTATTAAAGCAATCAAGAAGGTTATAAGACTTGTTCTTTATTTTTAATTATTCCGTTTGTTGTCCTCTTTTTCTCTTTGGCAATGTCTGGTTGAATCTTGATGTCTAACGTGCATATATTGCATTATTATGATTGTTTGTCCATTTTCAATAGTATATGATTTGTGTTTATGGTTGCATAGAGTAATATACTAACCAGGAAACCTATCTTCTGAATGAAACTCCCTGAGCTTTCATTTTCTTTTTTGTTATCCAATTTCTGCACAACCTTTTACTTTTAAGAAAAAGTTCCTTCTGTAAGTTAGGTTTAGGTGGGAGGGATTAAGAGAGAATTAATCTTGTTTTGAAAGTTGTTTAATTAAGAGGAGAAGGTTGTGAGATTTTTTCTAAACCTTTCAAAATACTTCAAAAGTTTATTTTTTAAGTTTCTCCATTTTAGAGGTTTTTTTTCTCCCACTCTTTTATATTATTTTACAAATAAATTTTTTTAAATATTAATTTTTTAAATAATAATTTTTTTAAAAATTAAAAAATAAAAATATTAATTTTAAAACTATTTATATAAATAAATCTCATAATAATTTTTCTTTCTTAATATTAAACATCAAAATAAGAAAAGTATTTCCTCCTCCCTTCTCTTCCCTTTCTTCTTTCTTCAAATTCTTATCTTTTCTCACTTTCCAAACCCTCAGACGAAGCCTTAAAGAGTGTATCTTTCATTCAATTTGAGCGAATTAAAGATTACATTATAATTTATACCATAAATTACACACGGGTATATATCCACTCACTTCTGTACTTTATAGAAAAACTCGCTTTAAAATAATATTATCCATGTTTTTACTGGCATTGTGCCACATTCTTACATCTTTGTGGGGGCGTAATCAAATGCGTACTCATTTATGGCCATCCCCACCCCATGCTTGCTAAATTAATTGATTATACGAGGGTAGAAAAATATGTATGGGACTCTTGGTTGATTGCGTGATTTCTAAATTCTAAGAAACTGCTTCACAACAACTTCAATTACACAAGTTCAGAGAAGAAAAACCTTGTTTAGCGTGCTGGTTAAAAAATAAACAAATAAATTTACTTAATTAAAAATTACGATGAAGAAATTATATTAAAAACAAATTTACAAGATTCATCTAAAAAAATTCAATCTCTTATGTTCAACTTTTAAAAAAACCGAAAACAAAAACACTCATTTGACATAATTCTATGATAGACAAAAATTGTTAGAAATGATAAAAAAAAAAAAAAACAAAAAACTTGACGAGTCTTCTAATTCAGATTCAGATTCAGTGCAGTAAAAATGGTATTTTAACAAAAACAAAAAAAACGCTGTCCATCTTAATCGCCTCTAGTGCGGTCCAGGTAGCTATGCTTTTTCTCTATTTTACCATTTAAAGATGTGAATGTAATTAACTCGTTGACGTAGACAATGCAACCAAATTTCTTTTAGCTGGACCTTATAACTAAATGTCATTCCCTAGACAGAGGGGGTTTAAAATGGTAAATTTGGAAAAGAAATGACCAATCCTAAGCGTAGGGTAAACAAACAAATGAATTTCAATAGGTACTTGTAATGAACAGTGATAGCTATGTACACATGTGCATAATTAGCTCCTTACCATAACGCAATAAAAGAAATTTAAAATTCTACAGTAGCTAAGGGTCAATGGTTGAAGGTTCGATTCAGCTGTCTCGAAATAGAGTTTCTATAGGTCTTGCAACCTTGGACCAAACAAGTTTGTACCATGCACAACAACTACACCTACTCTAACTCGTTATTGGGAGTAGGACATCCAAATATTATTCAGTTTTTAGTTGATGCTCACCTTATTGCAATTTACTAGAAAATGGGCCTGGCTTTTTTAACTTTACATTATTTTTGTTGATTATCATATAAGTTCCATTTCTTTTAAAATTTATAGAACAACAAAAATCTAGATATTAGCGTCTGATTAATATTCGCTTGACTTCCTTGAATGAACAGGTTAGATTCCAAGGTTGACTTATATTATGTGGCTTTTAATTTAACCTCGTGCTTGCCTTCCTAGCAAAACCCATAAGCTCTTCCTATTCTTGAAGTGAGTATTTTAATATCAAGAAAATATGATTATCCTTGTCAATTGCAAAGGGAGAGAGGGGGATAATAATAAAGTTAATTTTAAGCATATAAATGAAATCATTTTTATTAAAAATATATTTTATATAAAAATGTAATAAATATTTGTTTATGAAAAAATTATCACTGTCAAATGTTTAAAACAAAAAATATAATGATTGTTATTTATTGTTTTAAAGGCGATGATTAAAAAATCAACAAATAAAGATATTTGTATTTAATATCATTAAATATTGCACTTTTTAGTAAAAGAAAATATATTATTGCTTTTACATATTCAATTATTACTTTAGGGTAATGTTTGGCAAATTAGACTATAATAATAATAATACAACATTTAACTGTAGAAAGCATCGACTTTGTGACACTCATTTCTCTGACAGACTTAGGATAATCCTGCCTAATAATAACGGAAGGGTTTTGGGAGTTGTACTTAATTTTATTGACATGGTAAGCACTTCAAAGAGATCCATGCTTAACATAAGTGTGCAACTTAAAACATTTAGTTTGATAAATACTTGAGAGATAAGTGTTTTTTTTTTCCCACTAATTTGGTTAACAACTTTTTATAGCAAAATTGAACAGAGTATTTAGTATTTTAAAGTTCACAACAATATTTCTTATTTTTATTTTTTAGCAATTTTTTTAATTATAAAAAATATTAATTGCTAATATATATATTTATAAAGAGTACTATCCTAGTTAAATTGTCCAAAAAAAAAAAATGTAGTGTCGGCAGAGGAAGCTTCCCATTCTTGGAGATGGAGACAAATTTATTGTGGTGCTGCAGAGACCTGCAATTGATGCATATTTATGACACTGACCAGGTGGTACAATTGCTTACCTCTCTACAGAAATTGAGTATCCCACTCTAACCCCAAATCATGATATTTTAATTTCACTCTCCCCATGTCAATTTCCAGTACCAGGTGAGAGAACAGCATACTGTTAAGTAATTGGTTATTTCTTGCAACATTGTTACCATATTCTTTTAAGGTTAATTCGTCATGCTAGATAGAAAATTCAGCATGGAATGGACATTTACACGTGCACGGTGTGAGACTCTATATGCGTTTTCATGGCACAAATGCACCAGGTTTTGGTTTTAACCTTCCCTTCATCCATGCAACTTTTAACGTGTCCAATGAATCAGCTTTAGTTATTTCCATCATTCATCATGCTTTGTCAATTTATCTAACAGATCAATACAATTTTATTATTAAAAAATATTACAGTTTTATTGATCTTATCTTTTAGAAATGATTTTAAGTATTGAGAATAATAATTTTTCATTAAAAAAAGTTTACTTTGCTGCTTTTTTCTTAAGACTTTAGTATTTTTTTTATTTTATAAAATTAATGAATAATCAATATTTGTTTGGTGGAGATGATATATAAGTGAGACAATAATGAATGTAGTAATTGATAAAGAATAGACGTGAAAGTTAGTAATAATTTTTTATAAAATTTTATTATTAATTGTTTAAAGTTAATTTCAAGTGTTAACATTAGCTCACTTCAAAATATAATTTTAATTTAAAAATATTACATGGTACATTGATTTTTTAATAAAAAATATTTTTTAACAAATATTTTGAAGAACCTCCCTAATAATTTTAAAAATTGTTGATTAATAAAATCTTATTATTTAACCAATCATTTAAAAACAAAAAATCTATCCCTCAGGTTGATCTAATTGGAAAAACTCAGTTTAATTGTTCTGCAATAGACAATTGAAAATAGTTTTTCAAAAAACAAAATAACTGTTAAAATGAAAATATAAATGATTTACAAGACATGATGAACATTAAATAATTATTTTTAGATTTTGTGATATTGATTATGAACCTTTTCCAAAAGGTAGCCTTAGATCCAGCAACCTTCGGGTGGATCTTATATTAGACGCACCTCACGCAGGTAAATCCGGCAGCAGACAGTTCCAGTGAGGACTGGTCAAACGGAGCTTCTCAAGGTCATGTTTTTCAACGTTTTTTTCATGTCATTCATTATTTAAAAAAACCCATTTTTATAAGCAGCAACTCAAGCCGTCATGGCCACCCCCACCCAGCCCAGCCCAAGTAGATCACAAATTCTCCTTGTCCATGACCCTCTTGATAGGACTTATTCAAACTATATCATATAACTGTACAATAGAAATTAAAACAGTTTTTATTTTTTTATTTTTTATAAATAAAGTTTAATGTCCAAAAACAAAGACGAAAGTAATTACAATATTTTAAAAAGTTAATATTTAAATAATCCTGCCTAATATTGTTAACTAAAGAAAAAAAACATTACGAAAGTAATTTTCATGAGTCAACCGTTAATTCGCACGATAATTAACTTCATAATATACATAAAAATAATAAATAAAAAATAAATTTTGTAACAATGTATGAATAATCTGAACTAAACAAAGATACTAACATAGCTATGGTTATTCTGATATAATTGATGAAAAGTAAATTTTGTAACAGTGTATGAAAAGTGTTTTTTTGTTTTTTGTTTTTTCTATGAACCGTTCTTACTATGGGCTACATCAAAAGGCTTTCCTCTGATGGAAGGGCCACCTTTTAGGCCTTAAGTTCTTCCTTCACTAATGAGCCCAACCTTCAATTTGGTCCACCTAGTTAGGCCCACTTAAAATGACAATGTCAAAATCCTTTCATCCGTAGTTTTTTTTCACTCACTAAAACTATATATATATAAAAGAAATTTTTATTTAAATTAAAAAAATTATATTTTCGTATGACTGATATTTTGAGAATTATTTATATAAAATTTGAGACCATGACCTCACCGAAAGAGAATTATATTTATATATATCACTTAAATCATATTTATATATATTTTACGAATTTTTTAAATTTAAATTGATAACATTAAATTTTATGATTGATAAAAATACAACAAAGATGTGACATGATAACAATTTGTGTGTATTAAATAAAAATGAATGCCCTAAATTAACACTGAGTATTTTTTGCAATTATATAAGTAATAAAATTTTCTCAACAAATGTATAAGTAAAATTATATTTAGAATATATTTTTAAAATTAGCCAACTAAAACCAGCAAAAGAGTATTGAGAAACTGTCTCTGGGCTTCTTCCAAATCCAAACCCAGCAGCTGAAGATGTAGGCAGATGCATAAACAGCCACAAAATCCAAAGATGAAACTTGTTCTCTCTTAACAAACAAAACACCTTTGTGATTGTGAAATGTGAATTAAACGCTCTCTCTCTCTCTCTCTCTCTCTCTCTCTCTTTCATGGCTGAAAAACTGGCTCTCCCTCTTCTCCTCCCAACGCCACCGCCACCCGCAAAGCCCCTCTTTCCTAATCCCAACACTCTACAACACATCATTTTCAATGAAAATTCATCTTCTTCTCCGCCCTCCAACCACCGCCTCTCTTCACAAGGCCACCAAATTCTCCAAACCCTAATCGACCCTTCCTTCGATTCCAACCGCTTCGACGAGGTTTTACCCCACCTATTCGAACAACACACTTCTTCTCCCCTTTCCTGGGACATTCTCGCTATCATTAAGGGTTTAGGGTTTAACAACAAATTCGACCTCGCTCTATCCGTCTTCGACTGGGTTCGAAGTCGCCACGACTGCGTTTCGCTTCTCCATGGTTCTGTTATCGCCGTCATTGTTAGCATTCTCGGTAGAATGGGTAGGGTTTCGCATGCGGCTTCGTTGCTGCACAATTTAGAGTCCGAAGGGGTAGAGATAGACGTGTATGGCTACACTTCTCTGATAACTGCTTATGCTAATAATAAGAGGTACAAGGAAGCTTTGAAGGTTTTTAGCAAGATGAAGGAAGTGGGGTGTGAACCTAACTTAATTACTTTTAATGCTGTTTTGAACGTTTATGGTAAAATGGGCATGCCTTGGACTAAGATTATTGCTCTTGTTCAGGACATGAAAAGCCATGGGCTTGCCCCGGATTTATGCACTTATAATACGCTTATAAGTTGTTGTAGGGCAGGTTCTCTGTATGAAGAAGCTCTTGATATTTTTGAGGAAATCAAGTTGGCGGGGCTTACGCCTGATATGGTTACGTATAATGCGTTGTTGGATGTTTATGGTAAGTCTAGAAGGCCGAAGGAGGCCATGGAGGTGCTGAAACAGATGGAGAGTAATGGTTTTTGTCCTAGCATTGTTACTTACAACTCGTTGATATCGGCTTATGTTAGGGGTGGTTTGTTGGAGGAAGCGATGGAGCTTAAAACCCAAATGGGGGAGAAAGGGATTCGGCCCGATGTTTACACCTACACCACCCTTTTGTCTGGGTTTGTGAATGCTAGAAAACAAGAGTTTGCGATGGAGGCTTTTGAAGAAATGAGAGCAGCAGGCTGCAAACCTAATATATGCACCTTTAATGCACTTATCAAGATGTATGGTGATCGAGGAAAGTTTGAGGAAATGCAGAAAGTTTTTAAGGAAATCAAGGTATGCAAGTGCTCCCCTGATATTGTCACTTGGAATACGCTTTTGGCAGTATTTGGACAAAATGGATTGAACTCTGAAGTATCTGGAGTATTTGAGGAAATGAAGAGAGCTGGGTTCGTGCCCGAGAGGGACACCTTCAACACTCTAATAAGCGCGTATGGCAGGTGTGGTTCATTTGACCAAGCCATGGCTGCTTATAAGAGAATGCTGGAGGCTGGAGTGGCTCCTGGTCTTTCTACCTACAATGCTGTTTTAGCAGTGTTGGCTCGAGGAGGGCTTTGGGAACAATGTGAGAAAGTCCTTGCTGAGATGAAGGATGGTGGATGTAAACCTAATGAAGTAACATACTCTTGTTTGCTCCATGCTTATGTCAATGGTAAAGAGGTTGAAAGGATGAATGCTCTTGCAGAGGAAATATACTCTGGCGCGATTAAAGCCCATGCTGTTCTTTTGAAGACACTTGTTCTAGTAAATAGCAAGGCTTATCTCCTAGCAGAAACAGAACGAGCATTTTTGGAGATTAGGAAGAGGGGAATATCAGCGGACATAACTATTTTGAATGCAATGCTTTCAATTTATGGGAAGAAGAAGATGGTATCCAAAATCAATGAGATTTTGAGCTTTATATACAAGAGTGGATTGACTGTGAGTTTGGCAACTTATAATAGCTTGATGTATATGTACAGCCGCTCCGAAAATTTCCAGAAATCAGAACGAATCTTGAGGGAAATTTTGGAGAAAGGTGTCGATCCTGATATAGTCTCATACAATATAGTTATTTATGCATATTGCAGAAATGGCATGATGGAGGAAGCTAAAAGGATATTTAAAGAAATGAAATATCCTGCTCCTTTTCCTGATGTTGTAACTTACAATACATTTGTAGCAACTTATGCTTCTAACTCAATGTTTGTGGAGGCTATTGATGTAGTTCAGTACATGATCAAACAAGGATGTAAGCCAAATAAGAGTACTTACAACTCCATAGTTGACTGGTACTGTAAGCTCAATTTGCGAGATGAGGCATTCAATTTTGTTCAAACCCTTGGCAACCTTGATCCGCGTGTTTCTGAGGAGGAAAAAAGCAGGTTACTAGAGCGCATAGCAAAGAAATGGTCACAAGTTGACTCATGAATCTCTGGTGGCTTTATTGGAAAGCTTCTTGGATCTCTGGTCACTACCCTTTCATCCATGCTTACCCATGTCGTGTAAAGTTCGGCTAAGGAGGTTGGAATAACCCCAGTGAAGCTAGAACTGGATGTTTTATTCAAAGAAAAAGTCAGCAAAATATTTGCTGAGAGAGATGCATTGAGGTGTGATATTACACAGGATGGCGGGAAATTACAAAGAAGGGGAAGGCGTGTATAGTGAAGTGAAGGGATAAAATGAAGGGGAGAATAAAAAAACACTGTGTATAGTGAAGGCTCTTGGCGCATCAGCCTTCACAGCTGTATGCTCTTGTTTTCTGGATCACCATTAATTGAGGATTTTTCCTGCAGGCACGAGAGCTGTTTTTCTAAAGTTCTTTTTTTTTTTTTTGGTTAATTCGAATTTATTTATTTGTTTGTTTGAAGGCAAAATACGCTAATTTTGTGGTCTAAGACTAAGGAAAGTTGCCCCCGATGAGACCCTAGATATTTGGTAAACATTAATTTCCAAAGTTTTTCTTGACTAGTTTAGTTTAAAGTTAAAAATATTAATTCTTACACTTTTTAGTAAAAAAAATGTGATTTAGATTAATTCATATATATTTTAATGTAATTAATAATTTAACATTAATTTATTAAAATTAATTGTACTCGTTTTCATTTTCCAACGCCGATTTCCATACCGGGGAAGATTGATATGGAAGTCGTGAAACAAAATTCCCAGATGTTGAAAAAAAAAAAAAGCGTAGTTGAGGCTAGAAGCACATTGACTATTGTGCAGAAGATGACGGTTGACTTCTTTTTCACAATTATTTTCAAGAAACCAAAATTTTATATATTATTAAGGTTACACCCCCAATTATACAAATATAAAAAAAGTTGGACACGTTCATACTTTTAAATATGATTTAACTCATTTTAGGAAATAACTATTATTATATTAACTTTCAGGAAAAATTAAAAAAGCGATTATTTCTTTGAAATGCATGCAGATTAGTTTGTTAAGAAATACAAAATTTAACCATACATATCAAGGTATCTCGCTATATCCATTTTTTGGTCAAAATTGCCAGTTTATTCAAGTCATCGTTAAGGCACCCTCATTTCCTAATTTATTTCAATTATTCCAATTTTGGCGTCAATCATGCTTATCAATTCTTATTCATTTTTTTGATAAGGATAACAAAACTGCCAACTCAACGCCCTGTAGGAGGTTGCAGTTTTGACCATTATCCCAAATGGTTATGCTAATAAACGAGTTCCAGCAGAAGAAATGCTATATCTTCCAATAAAATACTCTTATTTATTTCTCTATTACTTAAAAAATAAATGTCTTGAAAATATAAAAGCATTTGAAACATTTTCATCTAGTATTTAGGAGTATTAGGGATTTTAAATTGTTACCTTTTAGCTAGTAAAATATCACCATAACCATCTGGTTCACCTGGTACTAATTATTCATGACGGACATTATTGGGAGACAAATACCATGGCTAACCAATCAATACAAATTTTATTTATCTTTCCAAAGAAAACAAAATTGATATCATCAAACGCCAAAAAAAAAAAAAAAAAAAACAGAGAGGCTTCACAACTATACATATGCATATCTGCACCAGAAAGAATCTGTCAGCAACTCCCAGCTACCATATACCTACGCAGTAATTTGTATGCTTTCTCGAGAATCCCCTTCATTTACCAACAGTATTAATCTTCACCTATAAATAATTTTCACCCCAAATAATGTCAGTGTATGATTCTTTGAAGCAATTTCACTCTTTAGGCAACTGTACCAAGCATACTCTTTTCTGCTTCATCCACATTTAGAGAAAAAATATCAACAGGGGCAGTTGTATAGCCAACAGCAGTTTGCTTAAATCTATTATTAGAGGAGGCCACCTGGTGATCAAGATAGATAACAATTACAGTGATATCATCATGGAAGTGTCGTCTTATTCCTTTGTCAATTTTCTTTATGTCATCGTATCTCATCTCTCTCTTCTTTGCAGCTTCCTGAAGAGCAGCTCTCACTAGTCTCTTGGCAATTCCCTGCAAAGTACCAGAAACATAAATCAAAATTATTGTAAGAATCTACAAGCTCATAATTATATGCAGCAACCAAGTAAAAGAATACACACAGCTCTTGGATATTTGAAAACTATCTGAACGGCTGCTTCATCACTTAGTTGTTCCCAGAGGCCATCTGATGCAAATATCAAGAATAAATCCTCTGACTCAAGCTCCCTAATAATGATTGATGGTTCAGCAGTCATTACAGGACGCTTCAAAGGAACAGGATTTCCAAGTTGCTGAAAAACTGGGTCTCGGTAAAAATCAGGTTTCTTCAAATACACATCACCAATAGATCTTGACACCTGCAGAACCAACACTCTTTAGATCAGCTATCATGTATCTGAAGTGAGACAAACCAGGAGTAACCTCCCTGCACCATTCTGTTACAAGGGAGGCAGGCACATATGGAAGGAAAAAGCAGAAGATCTCTGGTCAGAGGTTTTAACTCCTTAGTTTACGTTTTAACCAATTACAGGAAACCTCAAATTGAATATCACCTTCATGTAAAATGCTAGAAATACATTAAATTTACAATAACCACAGAAGAAGATCAAGAAACATTGGAAGAAGAAACACAAAAAATAGATAAACTGGTTCTACTCAGAGGTGGTGGTAATTGTAAATAACAGCACTAACACGTGAAGAGATTGCCACGACCAGACCCATTTAGCTAGGATGATCATAATAGACACTACTACATCATGGATATATAAACCTTGTATTTATCTATATTCAACATGATGGTTAAAATTAAGCAAAAATTTGTCAAAATGAAAATGATAAATTTGAAATCAGGAAGATAGCAAAGGGCAAAGGTACAGAAAATAACTTTATTATACCTGTATGATGCCCTTAATCCTCCAGACTCCGCGGCTATAAACCACAATGTGTGAATCATCAGGATGGAGAGCTTCAACTTCTCTCCTTACCTCCTCATCAGCTACATTATGATCGGTGGACAAGCGCTCTGCCACCACCGGACAATTTTTGCTCTCTGTATCCCTCCTGCCAAGAACAGCTCTCGAGTCTCCAAGATTGGCTACATACAACACATTATTAGAAATTGCACCAAGAAGGCAACAGGATCCCACGGAAGCAATCTGAGGACTAATAGGCAACGATAGCTTCACCAAATGCAAGAATTCCTCCTCTGTGGCACTAAACGCCTTCTTTATCACCTCCACCGATAACCCCCCTTGTTCGGTGGCAAATTCTGTATCAAAAATCAAGTGAGCACAGTGCTATTCAGTTCGATTTTTTTTTTTTATGTTCCAAAATTGATGCAGCTTGTGTAATTATCCAATCAATTTTAAATGTTTCTTTGTTACAATCCATCTTCCTACTAACGAGTATTATCCGAACAATAAACGAGTAAATCAACGCAAAATATCAATATCTTAATTTCCAAAAATATTCTTAATACTTGGCAAAGAAAGATTATACACACGCGTACTCTTATCTTAAAAACATAAAGGCGTTGAATGTATAACAACAATAATTAAAAAAAAAAAAGTCAAATGAGAAACGATTGAAGTTGATTTGGATCTTAAAGCGATGTTTCCATTCAAAAGAAACAAAGAAATCGCAGCCTAGGCATTCGGCAAACAAGTATAAGGGAAGAGAGAGGGAAATATCATACTCTGCAAATAAGGGAAGAGACGCTTGTTGACGAATCTAGAAGCTTCGGGGCCGCCGTGGCCGTCGTAGACTCCGACGTAAGTGGCGGAGGGGGAGGTGAAGACTTGGCTCTGATCTTCGAGGCTGTAATTGGCTTGAGCGACGGCGATGGAGAAGTCGCCGGAAGCGTGAGGCTTCAAGTCGGTATGCCAGAGAAGGGCGTCGGCGGCGGCCCTTGGTCGTCGGAAGCAACAATCGAAAGGGGCGTAGCACAGACGCAGCATGGTGTAGGAGAGAGCGAGTGTGAGCGCGTGTGATATAAGATGAAACTGAGTTTGGTTTGGGTTTAGGATTAGGTTAGGTACGTATGTATCCGCCGAATGAGAGACAGAAGAAGGAATGGCGCGTTTGGAGGAAGAAAGAGTCTGAATCAACCAAATATTTGTTGGTTCAGTTGACGCGTACCCTTTACTGCTATAATATTAATACATACATTGCATTACCACTTTCTGTTCTGCGCTTTCTTTTCTTTCTTTCTTTCTTTCAAATTGCCCTTTTATTTTCTCCACTCTTTCCCTACTGTTAGTCTTATCATTTACTTTTTCTTGGTGGAGCCAACCCCCTTTCAGATTTCCCAGAGCCACTAATTTAATAGCTTTTCACTTTCTTCTACCATTAATTACTTTGCACTTTTACTCAAACTCGCTTTCTCTCCGCCTAATCATTCATCTCTCATATTTACAGGACATTAATAATAATTTTTATATTAAAATAAAATATTTATATTTAATGTTGCTATTACATTGTATATTTCTGTTTTTCTTTTGTGAATAATCATTATTAATACTTTTTACTTTTTATTTAAAATGTTTATATATATTTTTTAATACAAAATATCCTATATAATTTAAGCTTTTTACATGAAGATACATCATTTTTATTATATGAATCGTTATCTTATAATTTACTCAACATTAAACTTACATTGGATTATATTTTTTTTATTAAATAACTTAATACTTTTTAAGAAATGCTTTTAAAGCTCTGATTTTAGATTATCGAACAATATTTTGAAGTTAAATATTAAAAAAATCATATACTATTATCTTAATTTTTTTATCATAATAGATTGAACTGTAAACTTATTTATTTGTTAAAATATTTAAATTTGTTAGGTTAGACAAAACTTTAGAGTCTTTAATTTGATTAGAGGTGGATTTGTCAGATTATTTAAAAATACGTATGTAATCTTAATTTTTTTTAAAAACTAAACTTGAACTTTATAAATTAATTTATTTTAACTTAATTATTTCCTAATTTTTGGAGCACATGAGTAACGTGTGTAATTAATTAAGTTGTTTATATATATAAATAACACCGATTTAATACTTTTCGTATCATTGGCTAGAAACTATATTTCTTTTGCCAGGTCGTTTAAATTTTCACGTGACATTAAATAATTTGCTTTTTTTTAATTTAATTTAGACAAAACTACATTTTATATTTGAACGTGTTTATTAATAATGACGGTAAAAAGCTACGAGAATTAAAAAATTATAGTATGTAGGGGTAAAAAAATTGCCAAATTATTAAGTAGAATTAAATTAAACCAACTAAAAAGATGGAAGGCTAAATTTGTTTAACATTTTAAATTTACACGTGATTTGGAAAAAATAAAGCCAAAAAAGTAAAAATAAAAGTTAAGGTTTATTTTTTTAAATTATCTGAATAAATGATACTTAAATTTTCTTATGATATAATAAAGTATACATGATATTTAAACAAGGCACAAATACTAGGTTATATTCATCCACCTAGCTGCATCAGAAATGACCAGAGACTGGATTTTTGGGGTTTTTTTTTATATAAACATTACTTATTTTAGATATAAAAAGTAATCATAATTTGTTTTTTTGGAAAATAACGGATATAATCAAAATAAAAATGTAATAGTTTTTAACATTTATTTTAAGTGTATTCAAAGATATAAAATAAAAATCTAGATATAATAATCAGTATCAAAAATAAATTATTTAATGTACTAATAATATTAAATATATTATTTTTAATAAAAATTAATGTTTATTATTATATACACAAGAACACATAAAAAAACATAATAATTTAAAATGATGGAAGTATGTGACAACAAGTGTGGGAAATTCTCTTGTTTGCAATGCAACTCATCATCTACCTTAAAGTACAAGAAATATTTGTTTGCTTTGTTTGTGCAATGAGTGATTAGTGTGACACCATAATGTTAATGCGATTAGCCACTAATTAATGAATTAGGTGTTGACTCGTAGGGTTTTTGGGACCAATCTTCAAGTTCTCGTCTTCGTCCTTAACGCGGAATCAACGTTTGCGTGTGTGATCGAAAATTCCAAAAGACAACCCCGCGTTGAATAAAATGCCTATTTTCCCAAGCCAACATTTTTCCTGTTGAAGATTTTATATAAAAATTAAGATCTTAATGAATATTTAATCAAATTTCTCATTGACTCTATTTTTATTTACTTTTCTTGTAAATTTTTTAAGTAGTAAATAATTTAAAATGAAGTAACGAGACTAAAATGATATAGTTTTGAAACAAAGGGTACTTTTTTCTCTTTGAAAATAATTACAATTTAGAAATTTATCACAGTGTATTTGTTATTTTATTTTTTTAATGTATATTCTTATCTTTTAGTATCTTCATTAAACAAAGCAAGAATAAATAGTGAAATGAAAGTATGATTTACTCAGATACAGTTATATACTTAAAATTAAAAATAATGAATCACTCTTTTCTTATAAAAAAGTTTAACAAATTATTTTAAAATAGAAAGAGGTAGAGAATAGTTTATTTAAAGAAAGATAGGGTAGTCCATATAATAATAATTGGTTAATGCTGAAAGTGAAGTTAAGAAGAGATATTTCCGTAAAAAGGAAAAAGGAGGGACATTTGAACTAAGGAGCTAGTGGATTTCATTTTCCTTTGGTTTAGGCTTAGGGGATTAGGACAAATGGACAATAACAAAAGACCTAACATTCAAGTTTATTTGCCGACAACATTGCATAGGTGTGACACCCAAACATGGGTTTGTAGTTGTTGAGCATGTTACTAATATTTGCTTGTTACCAATTTGAGAATCATAACGATGACTGTGAAGGACAACACAGCATGAAGTACGTGACGCAAGAAGAAAACAAGAAGAATGTGTGGGCAAATTAGATGTGGCCAAATTAACATTCAATAAATTAGATTGCAGTCTTATTCTGCCACATGAATATCAAATTAACATTCAATAAACTAGAGTGCAGATCTGCAAATGGATCCTCTCACTGTGTTTGACATGTGTTTGTGTAAATATGATAACAAACTCCCTCTATCTTTTTTTTTTTTATGTTTAAAACTTTATAAAAAAAAATTAAAAAACTATTGATGTTTTAGATTTTATAAAAATTGATTAGTTCAAATTCTATTGTGTTTTTTTATTAGATTAATTATTTTATCTATTCATCGTCTGTTATTAGATAAGTATTAATTAATCATTAATTTTATGGAATGTCAATAAAAAGTAAATAAAATAAAATTATTAAAGTGTCAAAGAAAAAAAGCAGGAGTAATTTTAAAAAACAGGTGCTAGCAAATACTTCTAGAATTTTTTTTGTTAAAAAAATATTATTAATTCATTTCACTCGTGATTTCTAATGCGTTTTGTGATTCTAAAGTGATTTTAATGTTATTTTTATTTGCAGTTATTTAACTAGTGTCTTATCGGTAGTAATTAGCAAGGCTCTTTTAAAAATAAAAATTTCAAACGTCTCTTACTCTAACGACCAAATAAAAAATTTACTAAAAATTTTATTTATCATTAATTGAATAAATAAATAAATAAATTTTGGAATTTTAAGACAATAAATACTTATATTTTTTATTTATAATTTTGTTAATGTGTGTCTAATAACACACAATAAATAAATAATAACTAATATTTTTTTATGACAAATTATAGTATTTAGCATAATTAATATATTAAATTATGTGATGCTCTTTAATTTTTAACAAAAAATATATTAGTTTATTAAAAACATATTATTAATTATTATTACATACTTTTGAACAGACGTCAACATTTTTTTCTTCCCAATTTTACCATTCACAGGTTCAGTCCACTGGGGGAGCAAGCTGCAGGCCGAAAGCCGCAAGGCACATATTGGGCCTTCGCTCATTTTCTTTACAAAATCTTCATTACAGATAAGAGAGAAAGATACGACCTATAAGAGAGAGAGAGAGAGAGAGAGAGAGAATTGTTGTCGATTTATTTGAAAAAGATAAGAGAGAGAATCGGACGCAGACCCAAAAAATATTCATAATGCTTACTTACAATTTGTAGATTTTTACTCATAAAATGAATTTATAAAATTTTATGATTTTATAACATTTATTCTATTTTATAATTAAAATTTAAATTATTTTCTAAATCTTTTCAGTTAAGTTATATATTAATTTTTCATTGTTAATACTTAGCAATATTATAATAACGTTAATATTTTACTAATCTGTCAAAAACAACACGAGTAAATATTCAAGTTAAACTAAAGTGTGAGTGAGGAATTTGAATTAAGATATATAGGTAGCTACAAAGTAACAGTACAATTATTAAAGTTACTGTACATGCGGATGTGAGTTCAAATCTGAATGCATTCCTTTAAAAAAGATACAGATACGAAGACAAATACTATACTATACTATTCTAACTATGCCTAATTAGTAATTACAAATAGGGATGTGAAACTGACAGCAAGGAGAAAAACTACGTTAAGTTTAAGATAAAACACTAGATTACAAAAAGCCAGCTCCATTACATGATTCACATCCTTCCATACAACCACAGAATAAAAGAAAATCAATCTAGAAACTATTCATCGTCGTTTTGGGGTAAGTTACTATTTACAACTATACATCTTCGACAGTATGGACAGTCTCCACAACAGCGAACCCAGGGATCCAAACATGCAGAGTGAAATTTATGCCCACAAGCCAAACGTATCAGCTCATCTCCATCTATGAAAGATTCCAAGCATATACTACAATCATGCAATACCCCGGACTCCAATTCTATCTCCATGCTGCTAAAAACTTCCTGATGCAAACATTTCAATGCCTCCTGAGTAAGTCCAGGTGGCTTTTTGTTTAGTTCTTGCAACAGCTGGGACCTTCCCATTTGAGAAGCCAAGTCGGTAACTAGAGAGTCCTCGGTTGGAGCTTCATTTGACGATTCGCTTTCTCGATCCTCGCCCATTGAATCTCTACCATAATGCCTGGAGAAACAAAACAAACAAATTTCAAATGGAATGAAAGGGCAATGGCAGGTCATTTTGACAATAATCAAGGATACAACTTTGACTATAACATTAGTTGATGTATTATGATACATCAAACTATGGAAGAAGACCAAAAATATGATATTTAAGAGGCCACTAGAGCAGCATCCCCTTGAGGAGTAAACAAGTTCTATATAATACAAGTATATGCTATGAGAAACTCAACAAAATAAGTACTGCAAAACCACGAGAATTTAAAATTACAAAAAAGACAATACCATGTAATATAGATCATTTGAACGGTACATCAAATGAAATATATTAATCTTTGCTTAAGTGTTGTTTATACTCGATAAAACAATGAAGTAACAAGTTAATGAAAGAATTATCATATTCATAGCTTAGTCATGCATATCAAAAGTTTAGATAATTACTAATCTCACAAAGGATGTAAAGAAGTCATGAATCAATATTAGATAATCAGCTAACGTACTTTAAAGACTTGGGCATCTTAACATAGAGTTTACCATGATCTTAGTGACACAAAGATAATAGATCTTAATTAACGGACAAGTTAACAACTAAGATCATGACTAAGAACAATGGAGACAGGGTAATACAATGCCATCCAATATCCATATGAGTATTTTTAGATGGAGAACTTTGGAGTGAAACGTAAGAAAGGTAAAATGCCTATCCAAGCTATAAAAAGGGTGATAAGAAGGTTATATGATAATGTCTCATTTTAAAAATCTTCATATGCAAAAAAAGTTTACTAAAATGAAAATTAATGCAATATTTTTCTATCATTATACAATAATAACTAACGTACATGATGATAGCTTGCCACGTAATTAAAGAAACATTTGCCAGCTTTGGAGACTAAATGAATCGGATTTGGCCACCATGCCATAAATAAACCAGTTCATATCTTAGCATTTGCATTTCCAACTCAAACTCACCTAAAACACCCACGCTAATATTTAATATAGTCCAAGGCTATCTTTTGTACAAATATAGCAATACTATACATTAAATTAAAGGCATTTAAATGTTTTAAAACAAACCTGTTTCTAGAGATAGGTTCCCCTCTCAACCTCTGAAGGAGTCTTGCCCGTGCAAGAACCACACCTACGGGTAATCTGTCATCGGCATTCACTCCAAGTGTGCCTCTTACGCTTTCTACTGAATCCACACTGTCATTATTTAAGAACGACCGTCGATACCTAACATCAATTCTATCAGACGCACGCTCCTAACAAACACAACACACTCATCAATTTTCACACTGTAATAATTTAACAAGTATTATGAGTAAAATCTTCGAAACTTTCAAGAGCTTCAAGTACAGTGCTTCATCAAATACAGCACTGATAAAAAAAGGGATCCAAAAATAGAAAGAAATAGAATTGGTACCTGGTGGTGACGGAGGCGACGCAAGAGGTAGTGGCGGGGAAGAGAGTCGCCGGCGTGGAGTTCGGGAGCGGGGGAGGAGTGCAACCCTAGATCGAGAGCATTTCGTCCTAATCGATGCCTCCTGATGTGGAATAACTCCGAAGCGCTCGTCATAATCAGCCAAACACGATTCGATGATCCTCTTTCTTTCTGCGTATGAATGCGATGAGAGAGAGAGAGAGGTCAGAGGCAATTGGCAACTTGCAAGTTCAATGAAGAGTAACAGTATCTGCGATTCTTCCCAAATCTATTTCCTTTTTTTCCAAGAAAGTTCGGAGAGGCTAAGAAAAATTGTCCTTAACAAAAAAATGGCCGATTAAAACGAGATATTTTTTTAAAATCGTAATTTGTGACCTTTATGTTTGATTAATTATATTTAAATTATATATATATATATATATAATGATTTTTGTTTTGTTAAATTGAAGGATAAATAAAAGAAAAGAAAAGAAAAATATATCAATTTCTAAATCTAAAAAAAATATTTTCCTTCAAATTATATTATATTATATAAATATTTATAAATTTAACAAGAGTAAATATTTCTATTAGTATCGTGTTGAATTAAATAAAATTTTAAAAAATATTTAATGTAAGAAAAATCAAATAAAATAAAAGAATAATTCTTAAAAATAATTTTAATTTAAAATAAAACTTACATTTAATTTATAAAAATGAATAGTTTGTTTCAGATGCAAAAATGAAAATTAAGGGTTGATAATTACCACGTGATTATCTAAAAATATTTAAATTCATTATTACTTGTGATTATAAATATATAATAACTACTTTTTATTTTTTGCATTGTATTTGTTAAGTAAAAAAATATATTTTATAATTATTAATAAAAGCATAAGACAAGCATTTAAGCTTTACTTATCTTGTTAAGCTGTTTTTGAATCATTTGAGTTAATTTGGAAATTTTTAAAACAAATGTTTGTGTTGGGAGTGTTATATACAAACTTACTTTGAAACATTTCAATTAATTTGGAATCATTTCAATCAATAATCAACCTTATTTTGAATATTGATTTAATTTTACACTTTTATTTTAAAAATTATTTATTTATTTTCTTCAAAACTTAAAATTCATTTTAATAAATTAATTATTCAATATAATATATACATTTAAACTAAAAAAAAACACATTTTTCTTTGAGAAATCACTCGGAAACATATCAAATCCAATTGGGAACATGGTCTCACCTTAGACTAGAGCACTAGGATGAGATTCTGGATTTGTGCGATAATTTTATGATATTAGGATAGGGTGCCTTAGTTTATCACTCTTAATTACTTTGGGCAGTTCAATCAATCTTTCTCGCTGTTTAAGTCAAACCAGAAGAAATTATTCTCTATCTGCACGCCGCGAAAATTAATCTGACACCACTTCATGAATTTGACAATTTTCGAATATTTTACAATGCTTTTAACCACACACAAATAATTCCCACCATTCCTCGTCTATATTTCCTCAACTTTTTATTTCGAGGAGCAGTCAAATAAAATAAATATATAAATTAAATTTTAAAAATAAAAATATAATATATTACTCAAATTTTAAATTACATGTTAAATTAAAAAAGAAAACTACAAGCTCGTAAAAATGTTAAGTAGTATAAAAAATAATATTTGCATAAGTTAAAATAATTTTTTATTTACTTGAATGAATAAAAATTATAAAGCTATATTAAATAATTAAAAAATAAAATTAATCTAAACTAATATATTTCTATTTAACATTTTCAATTAATCTTTTATATTATATTACATAAATATTTTTAATAAAATAAAATAAAACCTAAAATCCCCTTTCTCTTTCTTTCTTTTTTGCATATCGGAAAGTTTTACTTTTATAAAAAAAAAAACTCCGTTTTATTAGATTTAACAAATATGACTAACATTTGAACCTTATATATATATAATTTTAAAAATTGATATCTATTATTTTCTTTTTAATTATCACAGTAAATAAAGAAATATTTTAAAAATATTTTAAAAAATAAACTAAATACGATGTTAAATGTTATAAAAAAATTGTATAACTTCTCTAAATATATTTAAGAAATATCAAATGTTTTAAAAAATAAATATTTAAAAAATTAAAATAATTAAATATGAAAAATAAAACTAAAAAAATAAATATTGCACACATATATTAAAATAAAGAATAAAAACTGTAATTAAATCAAATAAAAAATAAAAGAACAGTAAATTTTTCTTATGGGAGGACATGCAAGTAAAGTTACATTATAAATGCAGGTTCACCTCTAACAAAACAAAAGAGAAATAAAAAAATAGTGATTATTACTATACTTGTTCGTAAATTTGAGAAAACATTAAAAAAATAAATATTTTTTAAATAAATTACTAATTCTATAATTGTTTCGCATCTAAACAAGAATAAAATACCTTATTAATTTTCAAGGTATCAGCAAAAATTACCATAAAACATTTATGTTCTTCCTAACTTCTCTTTCGATCCATTCAACGTAGAGCTAATTGTGTGTATAATAATTTCATGCCACAAAAATGATTGCATGGGCACAGATGCGCCATTAAGATGACAGGGTAACGAGTTAATAATCTCTTTACAATGATATCTCGTTTTTTTAAAGCCATTGCAACACAGATAGAAGCTGCTTATCAACTGTCAAATAAAATTAGCTTTCCAAAAAACATTTGCCTTTGGCATAAATGCTTTTATGATTTGAACCACTTTTTCCCCTTCTAAACTTGATACTCGACTCAAAGGCTAAAAAAAATTCACCTAATATAACGGTGCAACTAAAAGCCCAAGCTGCACCACAAACTTGGCTTTCATATTATTCCTTTAGGAAAACTCAAAAATATTATTCAACTCATTTATAATACAAAAGTTAATGATGTGAAATGTAAATGTAATTTAGAATCACACCCTGATGGGACAATGATATTTTCATAATTAATATTGGCCCTTTATTAAGTGCTTATAAACTAGATGGAGTGTATTCACTTCTCAGTAACTGTACCAATAGTACATGAAAGAAGCTAACAAAGAGACTAAGCAACCTTAATAAACTTCTTCATTAGGACACATATAGCTTAATTAACGAGTTATATGTATGATACAGATAATCTGTTGACTTAAATATATGACGATATCACAACCCTTAAGATTATATATTAAGTAAGAGAGTTTTTATATTTGAGTATTACATTAAACTTCTTATTTATTCAACATGCGACTCTTTAACATTGTTTATGCAAGCTTAATCAAGTTTGGTATTTGAGATTGTCCACACCATCAATATTTCTGAACCAGTGAGTCTGACTTAAATGAGCTGCATCCTCTGGAACATCATCCATCACCCATTCGTGGCCTTTTGGGAAGTAAATTCCTGTGCGTGGATGTGGGACCCACCATGTTGAATCCTCTATCTTCCCACTATTCTTTGAAACTCCTCCAGAGGTATCTGTAGCAGGAGGTTGAGCAGTGCTTGAGAGCTTGGTGAGTCCACCACTCTTTGCTCTCTTAGGTACCCTACGTGACCTTGACATTGCATTTATTATATGTTAGACTTAGATTTTAATCTTTGAAGTTTGAAACCCAATAATGAAAATCCTGAAAAGAAATAATGATTCAATACAACTAGACTGCTATCATGAAATAAAATATTTAGTGACAACAACTTTTAATTGAACATTGAAGGACTTAATAAGTATAACTTTACCCGAGAAGCAACATGTTTGCTTTGGTGGTGCCGCCTCTAACCATAAGCTGCAATAAACAGAATTAATCAATAAGGTAGGTGACACAAATATGTGAATTAATAATTCAGTACGGGTCTAGTACAATACAGCAATATCTCAAAACACCAAACGTTTTCGCTTTTCAAAGCCTCAAGACCTTGTTATGAGTATTTATAATAGTGTACTAGTGCAAGTAAAGAAAGGATTCAATAGAGAATAAGTTCTATTGCACGTGTGAAGCACAAAGGCAAAGAGAAAGAGGGAGTGTCTTTTATATGTCTAAGGCTCAAAGCTTTGTGTAATTGTGTCATGGAAATGAATATGTGGTTATAAAACTTTGCTTCCAAATGCGGTAGGCACTCTAAAATTTGTGTGAAGTATTATTATTCACCAAATAGAATGTGATTTTTTTTTTCTTTTAGTATATTGATGTAAGTTAAATAATAGATTCAATTTAAGTATAAAAATAAATATCTTTACATGTTATTAGTGAAGAAATAATTTACTATTAAAAAAATAAAAAAAGTTCATAGAAACTTTTAATGGTCTTTGGTATAAGATTTTTATAAAGTATTGTAAACATTTGCTAATTTTTTTAATATTTTTTTATGTATATTAATTTTGTTCACAATCAAGATGATAATACAATTTGATTTAAAATGAAAATAAATTTGAAAAATTATATATTTTTTAAAAATGATCCCTTAATTAGTTGTAAAATATATTTTTAAAATGTGTGTAATTCTGTTAAAAAAAATCTTATAAATAAATTAGAGGGTGTATACGATGATATCACGTGTCAAATTTTCAATCTTCAAATAATGTATCTTTTGTTATTGTTCCATTCCTCGTGTGGAATCCGTGTCAGAATAAATGCTAGGAGTTTCATGACTGGTGTTTTCTTTTTTCAGCAGAAACAGTCTAACAGCATCTACTAGTTAAGAAAGTACCACATTTGTTTTTTTTTTTTTTAATAAATGTACATTTTAAAATGATATTAATTATTATTTTATTAATACACATTTATCTATATTAAATGATTGTATAGTATATAAAATATTTATATTAATTGAAAATTTTAAAAGTAAAAAACTTAATAAAAAAAGTTAAACAATATTGTAAATAATTACAATAACTTATTTAATATTTTAGTTTATGTAATGAATTGTAAGAGTTAAAAAAGAAGCAAAGTATCAACCCCCCCTCCCCCAGCAAAAAAAAAAAGAGGCTTATTTTAAATAAAAAAAACAGTTTCATTTAATTGTAGCATTTAACTGATATATACATTGAAATATGGAAAATTACCACTCCAAGTCTACCCAGTTTTCAAATTTCACAGATAGTATGAAATTTTAATTCTTAACATTTTATTTTAAAATCTTAAGTTAATTTGAAATTGGCAACTGAAAAGTTAAATTAAAAGATGAAAATGCACACAAATGACATGTGGCCAAAATTAATAGTTTTCTCAGGTGAAGGAAAATAAGATGTTACAAGTGATCAAAGTTTAAGAGTTTTAAGTGTTAACAACTTTACTATTTGAATATTTAGAAATTAATATGGTACATGATATTTATTATATAAAACTTTTTTTTATTTGTTGATATACGAAATTTTTTATTTTAAATTTAAGAAACATCAAAGTTGACAAGAATATATGTACCAAACAAATAAAGTTCAGAATAACATGAAGGCTAGATACAAGATTTGGGTGCATGAATAGGTCATTCAATTTGAAATGATGAGTTTTAAAACTTGTAGGTCAAATGCCTGACTAAAACTGTAAATTATATTCCAGCTATTTTCAATTATTTAAAAGGTTACTTCTTTGAACAAAATTGTTTAGTGGGATCTTTCCACAAAATGCATGTATTATATACAAATGTGTAAAATATTATAAAAGTTAGTGTTTTCCCCTTTCCTTTTAACATAATTGGACGTTAAAAACATACATTTTTTAAGATCAATTTTGTATACATAAGTAAATATCAATTTAAAATAAGTTATATCAATGAAAAGTTTTTAAGAAGACTAGTGAAATAATGAGACAAATGAGGCTTGTCTCTCGAAATATTGTTAAATTTATAGAAACTATTTATATTTTTAATTAATTATTACTTTATAGTTTTTATTTATTTTAAACATTTAATTTTTTTAAATCAGATAATATTTTTATTTTAAAGCATCTGTTATTAAATAATATGAAATAATATAAATAAATTTATATTTTAATTTTGATTATTTATATTATAAAAGGAATGTGATAGAAGAAGTATCCCTCTAAGGGTTCAAAATTAGAAAAGAAAACAAACAACTGTAATAAAACACAGAAGATAAAAGAAAATTAAATTAAGAACATACAAACTTGAATGTTATATAAAATCCCGTTTAAAAAATAGTAAAAATTATTAAAGTGAACTCATTTATTAAATAATCTATTTGATTAAAAAAGCTTTTAAGTTAGTTTAAATAAGTTAAAAAGTAATTAGTTTAATTTTCAAATACATTAGTGATCACCCCAACTTAGATGCTTTTTAAAATAATTTTAAAACAGTACATAAACGACCAATGTAATATTATAAGCATTAAACAATAAAAGGATGGTATGCAATCAAAAAGCTAAAAGAACACGTGGCGTGAGATCCCAAAAATGTTTATAAAAATAAATGAAGGTGTTACTGCAATGTCTGAATACATGGAATAGAAAGAGAAGAAACTCCCGCCATTGTTGCATTTGGTGATACGTTTTGTAGAAACAGGGACCCCCAAACAAAACCCAAAAGCTATAATCTTTTATCTTCACTGTCCAACTCACTTGAGGAGAAAGACAAAACAAACGCACACAACGATGAAATGCAAAGCCAAGAGTTCCAAACTGAAGTTGGGTATACCCATTTTCTTCTTCCTTTGCGCCCTTTTCTTCTTTGTTGGGCTCTTTGTGCCTCCTTTCTTCTTTCAGGTTTCTGATTCAAAGTTGTTTCCATTTTTGGGTTCTTGCGTTTTCATTGATCGAACTTGTTATTCATTAGTAATGATTGCAGGATTTGGGTTACGATAGACCACAGTCCAGAATACTCCAAGAATCGGTGAAGAAAGAATATGACGTTCTTGAGCATGGTAAATCTGGGGAACCCGTTGTTGATCCAATCCCATTTCAGGTGATTTTTCTTATTTTTATTTGCTATGAGGTTGGATTGGTCCCTAATCTGATATTTATTATGTGCTGACGCAAATGTAGTCATACTTTATGGATTAAGGTATTGAATGTTGATGATCCTTCATAGAGCAATGCCTAGTTTGGCATATGAGTAAAAGAATCGTGCTTGACTTTAACCTATGCATGGCATCTCATAATTAATTGTTTTTTTAATAAATAATGGTCATCAATAATTGATAATTCCGTTTAGTTATCAGTTGTCAATTGTCCTGCATTTTTAATATTATTACTAGTAATTCATCAGTTGTTGCAGGAGCGGGATCACATATCATGCACTTCTTCAGGGTTGAGTATCCGTTGCTCTTTTTTTGTTTTTTATCCTCTAATGAAGAAAGGAAGACGTGTTCATTATTTTCCAAACTGGGACTACATGTTTGCAAATGTGAAGAGATATATTAGCTCTGTGTAATCTAGTCTAGATTCCACATTATGGATCAATTTTCATTTGTTCTTGCTCATGATATTGTCAAGAAGGAAAGAAAGGAAGAAAAAAAAGGAAGGAATGAAGAAATAGAAAGCGACAAATTAAAGAAAGGAAGCAATAAAAAAGACAAATAAAGAAAGCAAGAAAGAAAGCAAAGAATGAAGAAAGAGAGGGAGAAAGAAACAAAGAAAGGAAGAAAGAATGGAGAAAGAAGAAGGACGAGGGCAGGCAAGAATGAAAGAAAGAAGGGAAGGAACAAAGAAAGATAGAGATAAATGTGAAGAAAGAGAGCTAGAAAGCAAAGAAAGAAATATAAAGAAAGCAAGGAAGGAAGGAAGGAAGAAAGAAAGGGAGAAAGCAAGCTAGGAAGAAAGAAAGAAAGGAAGGGAGACAGAAATGAGAAGACATTTAACAGACAATTGATTAATCAATTCATGTAGGATTGATTTAAAATCAGGCATCAGTGGTTGAAATGAAGACTCCAAATAAAAATTGTTGTTTTATAGTTTGAACTTATTGCTATTTATTATTGCTCCTTAATTTCTTTCGGTCCTATCCCCATTCTTTTATGTAGATTTTAAGTTGGAGACCACGGGTGGTTTACTATCCAAACTTCACAACTGCGGAAGTATGTCAGCAAATAATTGAAATGGCAAAGCCAAAACTTGAACCGTCAAAACTGGCTTTGCGGAAAGGAGAAACTGCTGAGAGCACAAAAGGCACTAGAACAAGGTAATTTAATGAGCAAAGCCTCTTGTGTAACATAGTGTGCTATTTTATGCAAGGCCTCTTTCATCTCATGTGGACTATTAATACTCTTAATAACGTAACTTTGAACCTCTGACAGTAAGAAAAAGGCTAGATTATGATTAGATTATGATGTCACATGATGGCTTTACCTCATATTTTTACAAATGGAACAGTTCTAATTTTGGAAGAAAATGAATAAAAGATGTTGCATATATTAGAGCAGATAATCAGCGAAGATGATTGAGAGACATTTGTGTTGCTGCTGTATGTAAAGTTCAATGTTAATTTTTAGCTGGGAACAGTTCAGGTACATTCATCAGTGCATCAGAAGATAAATCTGGCATCTTAGACTTCATTGAGAGAAAAATTGCAAAGGTTACGATGATTCCTAGGACCCATGGAGAAGTATGTCTCTTTTTTAATTGTATTTTAGGACCTTCTGCAACCGGCTAAGTGGTCATCTATGTGTAAAGCGGGAATGTTGTCACTATTTTGCAGGACTTCAATGTATTGAGGTATGAGGTTGGCCAGAAATATGATTCTCATTATGATGCATTCAACCCAGCTGAATATGGCACTGTTCAGAGCCAAAGGGTATATTGAATTATTAATAAATACTTGTCAAACATTTTCTTCACACTGTTTTTTTAATCACAGAAATAATTTTTTCCCTTTTTTTTTGGTATTAACTGCAAAATTGGAATGCCAAATTATTAAGCAAGTCTTGATATATGCAACAATTCACAGATCTTGGCTTCTTTTATATTTGCTTAAATTACACACACACACACACACATGCACATAATAACCTAGATGCTTAGCATGGAAAAAGAATGAATCAGAAATGAAGAAATTGTAATGCCAGCAAAGTATAGCACAGTTGTCGGTATCACGCTTCTAGGCTATGATTTTAAGATAGCTTGATCATTGTAGTGTTGCTATAATATTGGTTGTTAGATATTGTTTTCATTGCAAAAGAACTGGGAATAGACAGGAGTAGGCAAGCTTTAAAAAAATAAAAGAGTGAAGAAAAATAGGAATATGCAAGTCGCGCACTAAAGCACCTTTACGCTTTGAGACTTATTTTCCTCTTTTTTTTTTAATGTAGCCTAATGTATGTACCAAAAAAAAAGTGTAATAGTTACTATTATGATTATATTAATCCATTCACTCTCTTCATACCAGTATCATCTTAGTGCATCATTACATTGGCCTCATGTAAGATTAAAATCTTTACAAAATTATGTCTTTTTTATATTTCAAAATTTATTAATGATTTGTATGATAAGTTTTCATTTTATGTGGTTAAATTTGGCACCAATCTTTTCTAAATGTATCTTGCTGGTTTGTTTATGGATCTCTCATGACATCGATTGCATGTGTTCGTACTTAATTGTGCAGATTGCTTCCTATTTGTTATACCTATCAAATGTAGAAGCAGGAGGAGAAACAATGTTCCCTTTTGAGGTAGTTTAGGGAATCTACTTTGTCTGATACTTTACACTGTTATCCTGATGTGTATGTAGTCATTTAAGCATTCCAATATGCAGGATGGTTTGAATATGGATATAGGTTATGACTACCAAAAATGCATTGGTTTGAAGGTGACACCACGGCAAGGTGATGGACTTCTATTTTATTCACTGTTTCCAAATGGGAAAATTGATAAGGTAATATTTCATTTCAGATAACCACCGTATGTGAATCTAATTGTTGTTTCTTTTTTAGTTTGCATGGAAAGGGAAATAAAATAGATGCAAAACTTAGAAATGCATTATTCAGAATTTTGTGGCAAAGGACCTCATTCCTGGAACAAAGTCATGTTATTTTATTTGTTTTCCCATGTTCTGTTTCTGAACATTTCTACAGACATCTCTTCATGGAAGTTGTCCTGTGATTAAGGGGGAGAAATGGGTTGCAACAAAGTGGATTAATGATCAAGAGCAAATTACTAGTTTTCCTTCTAAGGAGTTTGCATTCATGTGATATGTTTGTCCATATCAAATGGTGCTGCCTTTTGTCACCGGTGCTACTAATGTAATTTATATACACACTCAAATGATAAATCTCCTGTAGTTTTTTGATGGAGTGACCCAAAATGGTGAATCATTACATTCAAATAGTTGGTTATGAACTGATTTTTTATACAAATATTCATGAATATAAATACAACTTCTGAATACTCTATATGTTTTCATCCTAATTCACTGAAACTCATTTATGGTAATATATAAATATATTTAAAGTAATATTGAATTAAAAATGAACTCAAAATACTGAAGTTGCAGCTGAATTGGCACTAATTTGAATGTATAAACTGTACAGTCTATTTAGATGTTTAAAGAAAATGAGAAGAAAAAAAGGAGAGAAAATGAGTTAATTTTATATAACGTATAGTTGATTGAAAATTGAAAGAAAGTAAAAAAAAAAAAAAAAAAAAGGTAAAATTTCTCTGATAAGGTTAAATAATTGGATAAAGGAAGAAAATAATTAAAGACACAATTACTGTTACACTTTTACTAAACAGCTAATGATAAAATAAACGAAAATTACATTGGGAACAAGATCTTTTAGCCAAATGTTTTCCTTTTTGTTTGTTTTCCAGTTCTTAGTGGGATGACGGATTTTTAAGGCGGGTCTCGTCATTTTTATTTTTTTCTTGCCATTTACAATTAAAACTAAATAACAAAAATTATCTTTACTTCAAATTTAAGCCGCATAGCTAAGCTCAGTGACAGTAAATGTTCAGTACTGTATGATGGTATGTTGTGGTCTCTGTCTCTACGTTGAATACGTTTTGTTCAAGCCTAAAGCTGAAATTTATTTATAATACTACAAAACAGAATGCGATAAATAAAAGTCCTAATAGTTTTACCAACAAATTTCCAAAACAAATGTTATATGGATAAATCAATTATATTATTTATCTAATAACGCTTCAATAATTCCAATTTTTAGAGTAATTTTTAGAGTTATCATTCTCATTTTATAAATTTTAGTTTAATTTAAATTATTCGTCTTTTATACAAAAGTAAAAATAAAATATCAAATATGAATATATTTTCTTAAAATCAATTAAGAAATACAGTTTTTTTTATGAATATTCATTTACTTTTTAATTTATTTTATTTTCTTCTTAAAAAATGTGGTCACAAAAGAAAATGAACGTAGAGAGGACGGGGGGCAAAAAGGGAGTGAACTAAACGCATTGTCGTGCAGAGTGGGGTACAACTGGCAGGAGAAATTGTAGACAGAGAAATTTGGAGAACATCGATCACGCGCTACGGCGTCGTACGGAGACAAAGGGAGAGTGAGGGACGCGTGTGGGCAGTGAAGATTGAAGACATAAATAAATTTTAAAATAAAAAAGAAAAGAAAAAGAAAAAGTAATAATAAGACGCGCCGTGAATGCAGAGGCAGAGCCAAGCGAGTGAGCCAAGCGAGTTGAGTTCCTCTCCGATCCCATTCATAATTGAATTGTTTCCCCCAAATTTCAAAACCCTAGCTTTCCCACTCGCGCTTTTCCCCACTCGCGGCTCGTGATCTCGCGCCCTTTAAGGTTTTTCCTTTCTCCCTCTTCCCTTCTGTTTCTTCCCTCCCTTTTTTATTTTTCTGTAATTTTTCTTGTAGCAGAGAAATATTTATTGTGCTCATTTCATGCTTTGTGAGAATGCTTGGGATGCTGAGAAAGTGAAGCTACTTGCTAAAACTCGACGTGGGTTTTGTAATTCCACCCACCTCTCATACATTTCTCACGTGAAGGTTTTCAATTTTCTGCAAACAAAATAAAATTAAATACTTGTAGTCTAAGAAAAGGAGCATCGGTAATCACAAATGAAAATAAGCTAAAACACAAGTTTAGTAGTTTGGATCCAAAACAAAGAAGCCTCAGTAAAATGTGATTTCTGATACCTGAATGAAAAACGCTTTTTGGTTTATCAGTGCTCACTGCTCACTGCCAAACTCTACATACCTAAAATTTCTTTTCTTTTCCGTTGAATGATCATCTTGTGTTCACTAATCAACAAGTTTTTTAAGTTTAGCTTCAGCTGTATTGTAGCTACTTCTTTGAGCCGATTTCAAGAGGTAGTAGCATCTTTGATATGACTGAATTTAGAAATGTTGGTTGGAAATGGTTTCTTTGGATTTCATGTTACGGTGGCTTTTTGCATAATTGACTTGTTTCAACTTTCAACATCTTGTTCACTGATATAGTACTCTTCTTGATTGGCTTGCTCAGATATGGAAACATTGAGAACCATTGCATTGCTTTTTTTTTCAGTTTTTGGTGTTTCTTGATTGTCTGAAGTCATTCGTTATTGCATTAATAACATTGGTCCTTGAATTGGGGCATGACTAACTTAATAACAATAATTGAAAGGTACAGCACACTTTTACGGTTGCATATTTAAAATCCAATCCAAGGTGTGCATTTATTTTCTCTCTCCCCCCCCCCCCCACCTCTTTTTCTCACATATCACTGAAAGTTTAATTTTTGGATAACTACATTTGGCTGTCGCACTTACTAGAAAGTTTCTTTTGCTGTATTTTTCAGTAACAGGCAGCAACTGAAGTGCGATTTATATTGTAGCAGGTATTCAGAACAGAGTGCATGGTACTATAGTGAGTGAAAATATGGGTGACACATTAAATGAGGTGCAATGCAGGGTTGATGTGCCTGTTGTTTCTCCTAAGAGGGACATTGCATTGTTTGAAGGGGACAAAGATATTGAGCCACACAACGGCATTGAATTTGAATCTCATGAAGCAGCATATTCATTTTATCAGGAATATGCCAAATCTATGGGATTCACTACTTCAATAAAAAACAGCAGACGCTCAAAGAAAACAAAAGAGTTTATTGATGCTAAATTTGCGTGCTCTAGGTATGGAGTTACACCTGAGTCTGACAGTGGGAGCAGTCGAAGACCAAGTGTAAAGAAAACAGATTGCAAAGCTTGCATGCATGTGAAGAGAAGGCCAGATGGAAAGTGGATCATTCATGAATTTATAAAGGAACATAATCATGAACTTTTACCAGCTTTGGCGTATCATTTTCGAATTCATAGAAATGTGAAATTAGCTGAAAAGAATAATGTTGATATCTTGCATGCTGTTAGTGAACGCACCAGAAAGATGTATGTTGAAATGTCTAGGCAATCGGGTGGCTGTCAAAACATTGGGTCTGTCTTGGGTGATATAAACTACCAGTTTGACAGAGGCCAGTATTTGGCTTTGGATGAGGGAGATGCCCAAGTTATGCTTGAGTATTTTAAGCATGTTCAAAAGGAGAGTCCTAACTTTTTCTATTCTATAGATTTAAATGAAGAGCAGCGCTTAAGAAATCTATTTTGGATTGATGCAAAAAGCATCGATGATTATCTCAGCTTTAGTGATGTAGTCTCATTTGATACCACTTACATAAAAAGCAATGACAAATTGCCATTTGCACCTTTTGTTGGAGTGAACCATCACTCTCAACCTATATTGCTTGGATGTGCATTGATTTCGGATGAGACTAAACCAACATTTGTTTGGTTAATGAAGACATGGCTTAGAGCAATGGGCGGGCAAGCTCCAAAAGTTATTATCACTGACCAAGACAAAGCCTTGAAGTCAGCAATTGAGGAAGTCTTCCCAAATGTACGGCATTGCTTTTCTCTTTGGCACATATTGGAAAGGATACCTGAAAATTTGTCTTTTGTGATCAAACAGTATAAGAACTTCTTGCCAAAATTTAACAAGTGCATTTTTAAGTCATGGACAGATGAACAGTTTGACATGAGATGGTGGAAAATGGTCACTACATTTGAACTCCATGATGATATATGGTTTCAGTCATTGTATGAAGACCGGAAAAAGTGGGTGCCAACTTACATGGAGGATACCTTTTTAGCTGGAATGTCTACACCTCAGCGCTCTGAAAGTATGAACTATTTCTTTGACAAGTATATTCATAAAAAAATTACCCTAAAAGAGTTTGTGAAACAATATGGAATAATTCTTCAGACAAGGTATGATGAGGAAGCCATTGCAGATTTTGATACATTGCACAAACAGCCAGCACTTAAATCTCCTTCACCTTGGGAAAAACAAATGTCAACAGTTTATACACATGCAATCTTTAAGAAATTCCAAGTTGAAGTTTTGGGTGTAGCTGGTTGTCAATCTAGGATAGAGGCTGGAGATGGAACTATTAAATTCATTGTTCAAGATTATGAGAAGGATGAAGAGTTTTTGGTTACTTGGAATGAGTTGAACTCAGAGGTCTCTTGCTTCTGTCGATTGTTTGAATATAAAGGTTTCCTTTGCAGGCATGCATTGAGTGTTCTCCAACGTTGTGGTTGTTCTAGTGTTCCATCTCGTTATATCTTGAAGAGGTGGACCAAAGATGCCAAGATTAAGGAATCCATGGCAGATAGGACAAGAAGGGTGCAGACTAGGGTGCAACGCTATAATGACTTATGTAAACGAGCTATTGATTTGAGTGAAGAAGGATCGTTATCTGAAGAGAATTACAATGTTGTTTTTCGTGCACTTGTGGATGCCCTGAAGAACTGTGTCCTTGTGAATAATTCTAATAACAATGGAGCAGAAACTAGCAACAATGCCTATAGCCTTCGTGAAGCACAAGAAAATCAGGGTACCCTTGCTTTGAAGCCAAGTAAGAAGAGGATATCAAGGAAAAGAAAGGTCAGTTCTAGGTTTTGCAGTTGAGCTGCTTATTTGTTAATTAGGTTGTTTTGACTTTCGAGAATTTGGAAGGTCAGAATATTGATTTGTGAATCACTTTTATAGGTACAATTAGAGCAGGATGTTATGCTTGTTGATGCTCAAGATAGCCTGCAGCAAATGGTTTGTGCTACCTCTATTTCAATCATGATCTATTTTAGTTTTCACAAATAAGCAGAATGCATTTAATCGCTTAAGAATTGAATCACTATTTTCATGAATATCTACTCCTTATATCAAGACTGGAAATAGGTCTAAAGCCTATGCTTCTTGTAACTTGTGCTTTCATTCTTTTAGGATAATCTTAGCTCGGATGCAATAACCCTTAATGGATATTATGGTACCCAGCAGAATGTGCAAGGACTGGTATTTGATACTTGTTGACTGATAAATGATTGCATATATCCTGCATTTTAAGAATCAATGTAATGCTTAATTATTTTGGTTTTTGTAGCAGGTACAGTTGAACTTAATGGAGCCGCCTCATGATGGTTACTATGTTAATCAACAGAGCATGCAAGGCCTGGTAATTAATTTGCAGATATGATTGTGTGGTATAATTGTACTGGAATAGGATTATACATTTATATCGGCATCTTTGTAGGGTCCATTGAATTCTATGGCTCCAAGCCATGATGGGTTTTTTGGAACACAGCAAAGCATTCATGGGCTGGTAGAGTAATTTTTACTTTTTTTCCCCTATGAAATTATTGAGAAGTTAGATCAATTTACTTACTTCAACATGATGAAACGTTGCTAACTCTATCGGATCATATAGGGAGGGCAATTGGAATTTCGACCAGCAACTACTTTTGGATATAGCCTTCAGGTTTGTGCATGAAATGGGCCATATACTTGCATCTGAGCTTGGAATAAAATAATTTAGGCCTGATTAGTTTTCACTGTCTTTACTCTAGCACATAACAACCTTGATTGCAGGATGAACCTGAACCTCAGTTTCATGGTAACAGTTCAAGAAATACTTAGAAATCACCTCTTCTCTAATATGGTAGTTTCCTCAGAGGCTGTCATGTTTCTATGTGGTGATCGAAAAGATAATTGAAGGAACACGGGCACTTCGTTGTCTCAACGACAGTTCATACTTCAGAGTTTCTGTAAATAGATTCACCATTGAAGTTAACCTCATATGTCAACAACATTCACCTTCCTATACGGGCTCCAAAGTCATTCCCACTTGTCTTCCCCACATTGTGATGGCCACCTCAGAATGATATAAAAACCATCTTGCTTTCTGCGATGTAGTCTCTACAAATTGGAGTGAGAATGCCACGAAAACACTAGCTAGTATGCTGAGAAAAGTCTCACATGTGACATGGATGTTGACATCCTATCATTGGAACGAAGAAGCATGTCAATTTTCATGTAATTATACGATGTGTCCATTGGACCGATTTGTATAATATGTTATACGTTTCTCTCATCATCACGCTCCTTTTATGAAGATCATTTTAACAGTTGTAGAACGAATATGCTATTGTATGTAGCTATATGGCATGTTAGTGTTACATGTTTCTGTCAAGTTCCACTGTCGTATGTTGTAGAACGAATATGCTTTTTGTTCATCCAAATTGGAACTTGCGAACTAATTACAGTTAATTATCAATTCATGCTTCTCTATAGGGAAAACAGATTCATATAGTGTATACCTGCAACTACAATTGAGTGGTGCAGTGCATTTTTCAGCTTAAATAAATAAAAACTGGCCCAATTATTGACTTAAAATCATAATTGTGAAATCAGCAACAGAAGTAGACGGACTTGTGGCGCTTCGGGTCATTGATTCGATGGTCAATTTGATAACATTGGTCAGAAAAATAGCTGGATAAAAAAATAGTTAAAACTACCTAAGCTTATCCATAAGTACAAGTAAAATGGGGAAAAAATAAATAAATTTAGAATATATCTAAGGAATGGAAGATTATTTTTGTAATGATTTGTTAATGTTTCATTATATTTAACGTTGAGTGAAGAAATTCAAGTATTTATTCAAATAAATTTTAAAAAATAATGGATACTTAAATAAAGAAAAAAATTAATTTGATATAATAGTTTATAAAATGTGTCACAAAATGAAACAGAGATGTTATTTATTTTTTAGAACAAAGGGTTAAAAACAAATAGTGCAAGAGTGAATTAAATACAACAAAACAAAGATATGACAACACAAAAAATGAGTAATAATACATACATTTTCTGTAGGGTTCTATTAATTAGTGTTTTAAAAATATCAGTTAAAGAAATAATAAATAAAAATGTTAAATGTGATTAAAATATGCAAGAAAAGTGCATTTATATTTTTTAATTAAAAAATTCAATTTTGATTCTTCGAGCGTAAAAATACTTGTCAGCATTGTTTTTTTTTTTAAATGTTGACCATTTAACAAGTTGCCATGAATTTATTTGTAATAATTATATCACAAATCCAGTTCAATTGTTCAAATTGGTTTTTTAAATTTGTGCTCATTTCAGTCATTTGCCTTTCTTTTAAAACTAAAATCAAATAAATGCAATATTTTGTTCTTTTTCAAGTTTCATGCATCAGTCCGCTTTTCCGTTTTATCTGAACCAACAAAAATCGGTTGCAAAATTCAAAATAATATCTAAAAAAAATATAATTTGTATAGAAGAAATAAAACATATCATAATATAAGAATGCTGTCACCGAATTAATTTAAATTTAAAGAAATTGAAATAGTTTCTAAAGGAGAAAAAAGAAAAATAGTTAATAATTTAAATGGCCGTTACGTAACGTAACGGCTAGTTTTCGATGTTCCATTTTCGTAACTAAAAAGACGGTTCCACTCTGCTAAACTAAAACGTAGTGATCTTCGAGTTAACAAGTATTGTTGAATTGAAGAGTTGGGTAACGATGGATGTTGGTTGTATCACTGCGTCAGAGAATCGCTCCTCCGATGCTTATTCTCCTTCCGCCACCGTCAATTCTAAGATTGGAAAGGCAAGCCTTCCACGTTTAATTTCTTTTATTTTTCAATTTTCTTTTTTATTTTAGATTTTCTGCAATCCCCATTTCGTGTTGAATGTTTACTGATACAAAACCCTAAATGAGGCACGGATCTGCTAGTTCATCTGTACTCGAAACCGTAATTGTTGACAAGAACTAGTGAATGGTTAATATTAGAGAAGATATTGTAGATAGTGAGTGCTGTTTTAGAAGAAGTCTTGATCAGGTGTTTCTCTTATTTAGTTTGGAACCATGTTTTAGAATTGGAGTAGTTACGATGTGATAGGGATGTGAAAGAACGAATCTCAGGGTCTGATAATATATGGTGACTTCATGTAACAATTAAATTAACTAGGACATTGAAGTAGTTGGGTGAAATCAGAGTTAAAGAGAAGCAACTCCACTGTGAAAACTTTCCCTTTACATAGAAGCCTTGCAGTGAACTTGAAGAAGTACTTAGCAATCATCAAATAATTTGAGAGTTCGGGCTGATTATAATATTATTGTCTCTTCCAGAATTTGCACAACAATTTTCGATGCTTTGCAGCTTTGGTTATTTATATTTATCTGTGCTGTAAATAAATTTGTTGGATGAGTCTATAATAATTCTGCATTTGTTTGATTCAATGGTGCAGAATAAATTAGCCAAGGATGTTGGCCAAGCTACCCCAATTGCTCTTAACAGGTTCACATCACAAATTAGGAAACCTCCTCGTCGTAAAACTTCTCCTATCAACTGGTTCCCGCGCAAAAAAGTGGACTCCTACTTGAATAGGAAAATTAAGATGCTTCAGGTTATGTCATAAACATATGTATTCACTACTTGTATTTAGAAAATTACTTTCTGAATTCCAATGCTAACACATTTGACCTGTTCAGGAAGTAGATGGTATGAATTTGACTCTTGATCAGACTTTAGGCAGTTCTAACCCACATTATTCAAGAGTACTGAGAGAGAAAATGGCAGCCAGAGAAGCGGCACACAGGGCAATGGAGGCCCGAAGAGCTGCATTGGTGGAAGCCTCTTGGTGTCGAATTTTACGTGCGGCCAGGTAAAGTTTTCTGCCAACAACATACGCTTGACATTGTTGGTTTATCATCTGTCTAATGGATTTTATTTCCACCTTTTACTCTTTGGTGTTTTCAGGATTCCTAGTGATGATGCAGAAGCTCAACTCTTGAAAGCAGAAAAAAGTGCAGTGGAAGCTTTTGAGACTGCTCAGGCTATGGGCGTTATTATGTTTGACTTGCCAAATTGCCCTAAAAAGCATTGTCAAATAGAGACATCCTCTGTTAATGGAGAAGGATCATCTACTCATACTGTTACTGCATCATTTGAAACTGCCTTTGAGGTGGACAGAGAAGTAGCTGTAGCTGTCAAAACTGCATTTATTAGACTTGCAAACTGCCCTTCATTTAGTAAAGATGAATTCAGAGAACTACTAAGAAAAATTAGTGAAAATCCTGATACAGATGAAAGTAATCAGGATCTGTCTGAGTTCTCGTCAGAGTATGAATCTGAGTCTTGGTCAGAGCTTGATTCAATCTCTCAAAAGAGTGACTTCAACTCCCAATATTTGGATTCTAAAATGCCATTTCTTGGTGTAAATCAGAGGAAAAGCAGGAAGAGACAGTCACTTGACAACAGAAAAAAACTTGTGGATATGATGATTGGGAGGTTAAAATGTTTGCAAGAAGATGAACTTTCTTCTCTTGCCACTATAGTTGCAACTTATGGTTTGAATGCTGCCTTGGCTGAAGTACAGAATATCAAACTGCACAATCCAGACTCTGCTACATCCTCTTCAGCAATTAATTTTCCAGCAAGAAGAATGTCATCATTGGGATTGGGAAAGTCAGCCTTGGATGCGATGGAAAAAAAGCAAGTTGAGCCAGAATTACCAAGCCTTGATAAATTTTTAGTAAAACACATGACAAAACTGGAAAGAGAAGTTTGGGAAGCCAAGAAAAACAGAAAGAATGAGACAGAGTTGGGTAGGAATAGCCCTTGTAAATCTGTTGATGGAACTCTACCAGAGGTGGTACCTGACTTGGGAAGTATTCTAGTGAAGAATTATTCAAAACTAGAGAAAGACATCAAGGAAGCAAAAAATAAGTCCGGTAAGGAAATGCCAGCAGTTCCAAGTGGCATTCCAAACAGTAAAAAGGATCACACAGAAGTACCAGGCTTAGATAAGGTCCTAGTGAAACATGTCTCAAGACTAGAAAAGGAAGTCCAAGAAGCGAAAAACAGAAGAATCAATGAGAATAGATGTTTGAAGAAAAAAGTCGACCTAGACACCTCAGGTGGACTAGATTCAACTTGCTATTCTGATGAAGCATTGGACAGGAAAGAAAACATAAATTCAAATACAGAGATCAATTCAGGGGAAAACAAAGATGCCCCGTTGGAGAAAGTACTGATAAAACCCGTGCACAGATTGGAAAGAGAGAGGCTGCAGGCCTTGTCACTGGGAAGCAATGTTGAAGACTACAAACAAAGAGTGAACAATTTAGCAACCAATGTTATGGATTGTGAGAGCTTGGACAAAATTTTAGTTAAGCATGTCTCTAGACTTGAGAAGGAGAAGATGAGGATCAATTCAGGGGAGGAATGGGGTGAAGTTAAGAGAATTCACAGAAACATCCATTTGAAAACAAATGAAGAAGGTGGCCTGGACCAAGTATTGGTTAAACGTAAATCCAGACTTGAGCAAGAAAAGATGGCTGCTCAGCAGCCAGAGAATTCAGTTAGTATTTCCCTTGCTCGTCGTGAAGCAAGGGAGAGAGAGTTGCATGAAGCATGGGGAGGAATGAGCTTAGGAAACTCCATTAAGCCTAGTCTCTCTAAGCTTGAACGCGAAAAGGTTAGTCTCTACTTCCGTATTTGTGTTATAGTTTTTTTATTTTAAAATGACAGTTGCACGGAGTTACTGACTCTGCCCAATCTGCTTGGTTTTTCTTTTATCTAGGCTGCTTGGATTAAAGCTGAAGAGGAGGAAAGGAAGCAAGCAATGAAAGCAATTTGATTGTAATTTTCCGACAATTCTTTTATTCATCTTTGTTCATAAAAAATATGTGCTTCGATGTCGATAGTGTGTAATATTGGCTTTTTGAGAGTTCTTCAATCCCTGACGAAATTCATAAGGGGGGAATTTGTTTGATAAATATGTGTTATGCCTTTTTAGTTTGATTTTGTCCTCTGGATTGACATTACTTGATCGAGCAATATCAACAAATGTTATTAGAAAAATCAGCAACCTAGGATTATAGAATATCGCAATGATACAACAAGTCTTCACCTTTGAGTGTAAATATAATTATTGTTTGATATTTATATTATATTTATGTACATATATAAATATTATAATAACAACAATTATTATTACTAACTTAATTGAGCTTGAATAAGATAAAATTATTAAAAATACTAATTTTATTATTATTCAATTTTATGTTAGTTATTAATCTTTTTAATAATAGTCATAACTTTTAGTTTATTTTTAAAGTAAGTTTTGCGCTAAAGGTGAGTTAAATGTAGAAAATTATTACATTGTCATAAGTTCACATTGATGATATTCTTTTTTATTTTATATATGTAAAAACTAAGAGTAAAGTTAAATATGCACAGCAATTTACGTACATTTTATTATTGACTGATGTATTTAAAAATAATAAATTTTAATTATAAACAATTTATTACATTAAAAAGTATCATAATTATTTAAAATCAATATGTTTTGCTTTTATATTTTTTAATAATTCATTCATTCTCCTACAAAGTATACATGTCAGTGCATGTAACAAAAAATAAAAAAATCGTTACATAATTTCCCAAAATTAAATTGTGTGCATCGTAACAAGTTTTAGACGTAAAATACATCCGGTGAAACTTTAGCAGTCAAATATTAGGCATAAATGTATATAAGACAAATTAAAAAGAGTTATAAGATTAAAAAAGAAAATTCCAATCTAGGCAATGCAGAGGGTCATTGCAGCATCCTATTTTGACCCTGTTGCTCGTAACTCCTCATTCACGGTAGAAAAAAAAAAAGGTTCACAACATTAATTTCAATTTAATGGAAATGTTTGGTAAGAAAGCGACATTAATCATCATCGTGTTTGAGTTGATGTGCATTATTCTGAATTCTGAGTGACCAAGGTTGTCTTATTCAGGATTGCAGTCAACACTGTTTGGGTAACAAAAAAAGAAATGATAAGTAACCAAGTAACCGAGTTCCCATGATGCCCCACAAAACGCGCCAAGAAGACTCTTATCTCACCACTTTCAGTAGTTACAGGTAAATTACAGTACTCTCAACTCACAAGTCACAACCAATGCGTGACTTTTCAATTCATCTACAATTTGAATTTTAGCACTATTTGTATATAATAATTTGACCAGGACTCACTCTTCCTTTCCAACCGCACTATCACTGCCAACTTGGTCCACTTTTCTTCTCTTCTCTCTTCTTATTTAGTCCTCACTTTTTCCCTGCCCTTTCTGAAGTCAGTCTTACTTTCTCTCACAAAAATTTGCGCTCCAAGGAAAAAAAATGGCACCTTTCATGTCCCTCTCTGTGTTATTTCTCTTTCTCCACTACCCCTTTTTATCCCTTTCAACCAACTCTGAAGGTATGTCCTACTGCTTCATTTCTCAGCCTTTTCCTTTGCTTTTGAACTTGTGTCCTTGTATGGTCACTTTGGTTTCTGAAAAATTAATGGGATCTGGGAACTTGTATGCACAATTCTTATGTCTAGGTCATTTGTTGTTTTGTTTCAGTTGTTTGGTTTTCTTTTTTTCTTTTAATCTTGTTTTTTTTGGAACGCAAATAATACATATTGTGTCTCAAAAATTGCCAATTTTCTTAGCTAGCAAAAAGACTTTGGCTTCCATAATTTGATTGAATCCAAACACGTTTTGACAAGGTGTGACTCTTGCTTGTGTAGGGAATGCTTTGCATGCTTTGAGAAGCAGGCTTTCTGACCCCAACAACGTGCTGCAGAGTTGGGACCCAACTCTGGTTAATCCTTGTACTTGGTTCCATGTTACCTGTAACTCCAACAATCATGTGATTCGCTTGTGAGACTCCCTGTATTCCAAACTTCTATTTCTTTTTTCTATGTTTTTTATTTTTATTTTTCTGGAGCCCTCTTACTACAGTAGTTGGGGTTTGAGCTTTCTAATCAGTTGTCTAATATTTTAATTTCAGAGACTTGGGTAATTCTAACGTTTCTGGAACTCTGGGCCCAGAACTTGGCCAGCTAAATCATCTGCAGTATCTGTATGGTCTTCCCTTGCCTTTTACAGCTGAGAACTTCAGATAGGGGCTTATTTGTTTGATCTGTTCATGTGCTATCTGACATTATTCAAACTACGAAATTGAACAGGCTATTAAATAGGTTTTTATTTTGTACTAGAACCCATTATTTTTGTCCCAGAATAGAGTCAGGAGAGACTATTTGTGCCTAATCAAATGTGCATTTAGTTTGCTTATTAAATAAGATTGTTTTTTTGTGGGGTAGTTTTGCAAAATCAAATGAGAGATTCTGAATGCTTAATTACAGGGAGCTCTATAAGAATGACTTGAGAGGACAGATTCCTGAGGAACTCAGTAACTTGAAATCGCTTATTAGCATGGATTTCTATGATAACAATTTTGAGGGGAAGATCCCAAAGTCATTTGGCAAGTTGAAGTCACTTAAATTCATGTAAGCATGTTTATGTTGATTAGCTGCAAACTTTTGAGATTATATTCTTGATTTTTATTTATGAGTGATGTATAAATTACTGTTCTAATTGATGTATTAGGCGGCTAAGCAGCAACAAGTTGACAGGATCAATCCCAAGAGAACTCACTGTTCTCACTAATCTCAAAGTCTTGTGAGTTTCTTTTCATGTCATGTTCTTCCAGTTCAATTTTTGTGATTTTGGTTTATCAGCTAATTTAAAACCTCAAATTTGCAGTGATGTTTCTAATAATGACCTATGTGGAACAATACCAGTAGATGGCAATTTTGAATCTTTCCCAGTGGAAAGGTATAGCAACTTTGTTGTGCTTGTGATTGTGATTGTTGAGTTCTCTCGTAGCATATACTTAACAACCAACAATGATTTGCCAATCCAAACATGTCTTGATAAATAGGCAATTTTTAAGTCACTTAGAATTCAGAACACAATATCTTGTACCAAACATGTGAAAATGCCACTCAGCAGGTTGAGTGAAACCAAGATCCATTATTGTGGCCGTTGTTCTGTTTGATTCCAACATGGAAAGCATTAAACATCAAGGGCTTTCTCGCACTTCATCTGTATAACTAACTTTCATGAAGCTTTACCTGATTATGCATCCTAACAAGTATCATTCATTAGGTATAGTGCCTAACTTATTCCTCTAAAGGATTAGATAACCACATTTGACATGCATCGTGAGAGATAATTGATTTGAATGAAATATCCAAAAGATAAAATACAGAAATATATTTGCCAACTATCTTGCTTGTTAGAATAGCCAGTAAGAAACTTGATTCAATACCAATATATGATGGCACAAAATCTTCACATTTTCAATTTGAAATGTAGTAATTTAAATTTCTTGCTATTTGCTACTGTTATATTTACAATATATTTTTCCTACTCTTGTTTCAGTTTTGAAAACAACAGGTTTAGTGGTCCCGAGCTAAAAGGACTTGTTCCATATGATTTTGGATGCTGAAGATAAAAGTCGCATATTATCTAAAGTAAGACTGCGATGCAGAGGCTTAGTTTACGTAGGGAGTATCAAAAAGAAAAAGGGTGTACTTATTTGCACATCAATATTTCCTCACCATTTTTACACTTTTCTTCATCGGAAAAAAAATAGGGAGAGCGAGTTGGAATCTATGTTTTTCTTGTTTATAAAAATTTTCTAGAAACAATTGTACGTAAAGAACATTATTGGTGTCTGCTTGACCCAAAAATGAATCTAAAAATGTCAGACTTGCAGGTCGATTTATCTAATTACATGATTACGGTGATTAGAAAGGTTTGTTGCTTGCGCAGAATCACAGGGAAAATGGGTTTTGACAATCCCAGAAATGAAAATGGTGAGGGAAAGCTAGAATCATTCTCACAGTTAGTACTAGAATACACAACTGTGCTTAATCTGAATTTTATATATAGACAGAGAGAGTGGGTTCTTAAGTATGATTAATCTTTGAAAATTGTGGGATTCAGTTTAGAAAAAATTAAAAAAATGATAATTAATTAGAAATTAACGATTAAAATTAAGTTGAAATACATGTGTGCATATGAATTTTATATTTCGTGGTAGGTAAATCTTTTCTTGTTCGAATAACATCGGAACTAGTTGAGGTAATGGTTGGTCTGAGATTACTGCATGACTAAAGTGAAAATAGATCTGTGTGTTTGGGTGAATGCTGGAAAATTAATTTTAAATAATATTTAATTTGTAAGTTGAATATTTTGTTAAAAGTGACTTTAAAGTCAAATAATTTATATTTTAAAAAGTAAATTATAATAAGATTTTGTATAAAATTTCGAATTCATCAGACAAGTTGACCAAGATTTGCTTTAATCGTTGATTTTAGAGCTAAATTTCCGTTTGAGACAAAGTGCAAATGTAAAACCAAACATTAAAAGACGGTCAAACATATGAAGGGGATGCTACGTAATCTACATGATCAATTCCGCCGTCAGAACAGAGTTGAAAGTCACGTTCTCTTTTATTCAATACTCAAAATTGTTTTTGTTCATAGCCATAATCTTGAAAAGTTTCTAATTATAATAAAAATATTTTCAGTAAAAAAAATATAATTATTGTGTTTTGCACATGATTTAAATCATATAAAAAGGATCTCGATAGCCAGTTAAGGGAAAAATATATTTTTTATAAAAATTATATTAAAAGTACAAATAAAATTAGTATTTGCCAATAAAAAATATTTGAATTTGAATAATGGGTTGATGGTTATTATAGCTTCCGCGGTAGATGTAAGGGTTATTTAGATTCCAATAGGCTAAATGAAACTCATTTTGCGTAAAAATATTTACTACTCAAAACCGAATCATGCAGCTTTTATGAGGAAAAGCTGATTGAAGAGAATAATTTTCGATTTCGGAAATTGAGTTAGAGAACAAGAGTGAATAGAAATGGACCCTTAATGACTTTTTCTTGATGGATTTTATCTAATATAAAAAAAATGAAAGACTTTAATAAATATTTTAATTTTTTTTGTTTGAGTTGAGAAGTACACAATTTTAAAGAGTATTTTAAGTTTATTCAAAGATATATTCCGCGTAAAAAAAAATCTTCAAAATTATGGTCTTACGTCATGTAGATTGAAAGAGTATATTACAAAATATATGAATTTGATGACTCAATTGAAATAAGATAGCGAGTTAATAATAATTTTCTTGGGAAACATTAATTTTAGATGAAAATAATATGTATTTCTCACCATAATTCTTTTTGGTGATATTATGATAAATTTTAAAAAATTTGTGTAATGAAAAATGTTTTGTGCACACACAACGGCCAAAGGGCAAAATGCAAAGTCTAATTTCAACTTTGGCGACCGTTGAACGCTTTGTGGACAGCGTGTTGGTTTAAAATACACGTGGCACTAAACGAAAGGGCATGTAAGGACGTGGCATAAAACTAGCGAAGCAGCGTGGGCCCCATTTAGCTAAAGTAAGGTTCGAGATTAACTAATACAATTTCATTAAATATGCGATTATGTATCTCTCTTATACTTTATAGCCTCTTAGAAACACAGTTTTCTCGAGAAGAAAAGGAGCCTCTAGACTTTGCATGCACATGAAAATCTTGGACCAACACATAAAAACATATATTACTTTTTGTATATATGAATATAATATTGTTTTTAACTTTTTGAAAAGGATAAATTTATGTTTTAAAAATATAGTTTATGTTTTTATTATTGATATTTATGTAAATTTGAGAGAAAACATTTTTAAATTGATGATTGTAATTTTTTTAATATATTTGTGTATATTTTTAATAAATTATTAATTTTTACTATTTATTATATATTTAATATAAAATTAATAATGATAATTATTTCATTTGTGAAAAGATATAAAAATATATATTTTAATTTATAAGGTACTGTATAAATTATTTTTATTAAAAATAAAAGTATTACTTTAAGTCATTAAATCCAATATTTTTGTTGAAAAAAGGTACAATAGGTTTTACCAAAATTATAAGAAGAGAAAGAGAGGCACGAGGTTGAAGAAGCGAGTACGTTTGTATTGGCAAATTTGCATTGATTTCAAGAAGTGGGGTTTAAAGCCGCAATGACCCCTTTCGTTTTCTGAACTCTCTGTTGGCACCACCCATTCCCATGAACCGGGAATTTTGACACTTAAATAAAGCTTCAAACTTTGGTTGCTGAAGCCTACACCAAAAACCAAAACCTCAAACCCCAGAGGGAGAAAAGAGAAAAAGAAAATTGGAGAGTCGTTTTCTAATGAAACCCACCAAGATTTCCCATGTGATGATGCAGAGGAAGTTGATGTTGATGAACCGTGTCATCATTGATCCAATCAAAGCTCCTTCGTTTCTCTGCAACAAAGTGCACTCTAGACCTTATTTTCGATTACCTGATTTTTTGAGGAAACCCAGAGAATATGAAATTTCACCATCTTTGTTTTCTTCATCTTTTTGTTCTTCTTCTTCTTCATCATCATCATCTGCTACTGCAACCTCTCTCTCCAAGGTTGGCTTTGTGGGATGGTATTTGGGGATGATAAAGTCATGGCCCATTCTCACAAAGAGTGTTACTTCTGCACTTATTTACACCGCTGCTGATTTATCCTCTCAGGAAAGGCTATTTCTTTTGTTTGGTTATTAATCTTGTGCTTGTGAACTTTTGTTATGTGAAGGTTGGTAAATGAGAAAAAGAAAGAGAAAATGCATTACTTTATGTTGAAAAGGAACGGTTTTCAGCTGAGGGCTTGAGGCCTTATATTTCTTGAAAAACCCCTAGGGTTTAATACGCTATTTATAATGTCGTTGAGTTGTAGTAAATTCCAATTGACTAAGCGGTAGTGTTAGGTCATCTTTATAATATGGGAACTTTACAATTCCTTAGCTGGGAAGCTATGATGCTGAGAGCTCTTGGTTCTTCTTGATTTTTCTTCCTCTGCTTACTGTTTTGAATGTTTCAGTAGTTGGGAATGGTGCATGGAATGAAAGTTAAGGGAATTAGGAAAGTGAAAAACTGTAGTCACCTGGTATTAAGTAGTAGCATCGATTGTGGAGATCGAATGAAAGAGACCCAGCAAGAAATTTTAGAGGGGATGCAATGGGGGAACTCTTTTTTTTTTTTTTTTTAATTCTTCTGGGGGAGGGGTTATGCAATTCTTAATTTCTTATTCTATTTGGTCTTGTGCATTAATCTTCCATTCTGTGATTTTAATAGTTGCTCTAATACGGTGGGTGTCACTTTGTCAGGGGATGTATGCTAATTTTTAGTAATACATTTTTTTTTTCTTGAAAAATTATAACAGTTGTTTGGAATTTCCTAGCATCTTTGTGCATCCTATAATAAATATTTTTTTGTTTTGCTATTCAATATTCAATTTGTAGTTTTTATTACTAATTCGGGTGGGGGTCTAGCGGAAGGGGTAGTAGCAAGCTGTGGTTCAAATCTCTATTGGAAGAGATGCTCATATTTAGTACTTGACCATGTCTTGTGCAGGATTGTCTCATGTGGAGAAGTACCTCTCTAATTTGTCTAGTTGATATTTTTTGACATGTAGATGGTTAACTTTTTTCCCTACTGAGATGCCAGTGTGCACCTTTTAATATTTGGAGAATACTAGAAGTGAATAAGTTCTTTCAGATTGGATGCAGAGAACCTTGCCATTTATTTTGTATTACTATCGCATCATTCACTTTCATGTAAATTTTGTTGACTTTCCACATTTGCTCTAGCTTGGGCCTTTCGGTGTAATGCACAATCACTAAAGCTCATATCTACATATTTTGCTACCTAGGCATTTTACTATGAGCTAGAATTTATAAGTAGGAACGTAAGCTTTAAAGGAATAGATTATGTTTTGAAATTGCTCCTGTTGTTGTGTGTTTTGTACGTGCTGATGACATGTGATCTTGAAAGTGCGTGCACACATCTTGTATGATGGTGAAAGTTTTTGCTGCGCTCTTAACCTTCCAAAAGTTATATGGGTAACCTTTTTGAGGAGCCTCAAGGATGACTGTCGTGAATTCTTCCACTACCTATATTGGTTCACATTCTTGTGCAAATTTGAGGCCTTTGTAGTCTATTAAATAGATATTGTCAACTCATTATGTGGCTTCACATGATTTATATTGGATAGTTAATACTCATCTTGTCAGTCATACTCACATGGTATTTAATACATAATTCCTTCAGATTATTGTGCGGGGATCTTCAGAACCTTTTGATTTTATAAGAACTTCACGCATGGCAGGATATGGAATGATCGTTTTAGGGCCATCACTGCATTTCTGGTTCAATTTTGTGTCAAAGCTTTTCCCTAGGAGGGATCTTTTCTCTACGTTGAAGAAAATGGTCATGGGTCAGACACTTTATGGGCCTGCCATGACCGTTATTTTCTTCTCCTTGAATGCACGTCTGCAGGGTATGTTCAATTCTCTTAGCGTAATGTGTATCATGCAATTTCTTTTTGTATATGTTATTCCTTTCCTTACCTTTTCTTGATGTGGGAGGAGGGTTTTCTTAATATTCTTATGCTTATATTTGCCTGGCCTTGTATTTCAAATTATAGTGCCAACTAGTGTACAACACAAAAGGACAAAGATTAGGGATGTTAAAAATGTAATGACACAATTGATGAAGCGTGGAACAATAAGCAATGATGCCATTTTAAAACTAAAAAGATTGAACCAGGCAATTAGAGTAGTCATTAGGCTAATTAGTTTGTTTTTGAATCCTCGAGTATTTACTGCCATTCTAAAACAGTATAAAATACCCTTATTCTTGCAAGTTTACAATGCGACACGGCATTGTTGTAGATCCTGTGGTTTATTTCTTTTTTAAATATTCAATATTATTAAATTTTGGTTTTCCTTCAAAATTATAATCTGGCTTTCGAGATACATGGAATATGCCTTGTACATGCATCTTGACTAATGTTGTGTTGGAAAGGGTCCATGTGGTGTTACTGAAATGCACTTTACCTTGCATATGTTTTTTAATATTTATTTTTTGTTTATTGTCTATGTGTCCAATTTCATGCATTGATTCTTTGTCTTTGGAGGGGGAGTTATTCCCCTTATTCGGACATGTTGGTGAAGTAAGTATGGGAATAAGATTTATTCTCTCTATTTTACCCCTTAATTTGACAAGGAAGGACACTTCTCCCTCGTACTCCATCCCTTAGCTTCATTAAATAAACTTCTAAACTAGGGTTTGAATCTCTTTTCCCTTTCTTTTCCTTATCCATCTCTCTGATCATTTGCGCATAATAATTGAAGAAGGTAAGAGAAGTTTGACAACCATGGTGAGAGTGAAGTGATTGTAGATTATTGAGTCTACAACTTTTTTTTCTGTCTATATGTAGTGTAGTAACCTTTAGGTTGTACATATGTAGTATTTGGTTTGAGGGAAATGGAGAAGAGAGGAGGGAAGGGATTTTTATAAAAATAGCTTGTGAGATAACGGGCTAAAATCTCTCTTCTCCCATTTTCATCTCTCTTCCAATATTTAGGGGTTTGGAGGGAAAATACTTAAAAGCTTTTAAATCGTGTTGACTAAATTATTCTTAACTCGAATGCTTGAATTGAATGGCTTTATTTGTCTACAATAAAGATATAGTAATAAATTATTTATTTACCCTCCCCTGCCCTTGTAAAGCAAAGGTGTCCCTTTCCTCGCCTCTACTTTAAACCAAACCGTGTGCATGAGTCCAAAAATTATGAACAAAATTAGAGGGTGTATTAAGACCATTTCATATTTTATTTCATGCTTAATTCTTTATGATATTCTAAACAGTTTCTCTTGTTTGCCAGGTGAAACCGGCTCAGAGATCATTGCACGCTTAAAGCGTGATTTGCTTCCGACAATGTTAAATGGAATTATGTACTGGCCCGTGTGCGATTTTATAACTTTTAGGTTCACTCCTGTCTATTTACAGGTACGTGCTTATTTCTTGCCATTCTTGTCTTACTGCAATACAGCATGCCATGAAAATCATGATTTTGTAACTCATGATTCTTTACATTGTTTCATTTTGACAGCCATTAGTCAGCAATTCATTTTCGTACCTGTGGACTGTTTACATGACCTATATGGCAAGCCTAGAGAAAGCAAGCTGATAGCAGTGTCAATTCTTGTTTCACAATTCAGATTTGAGTTTATGTTGAAACGGCAGGATACTGGGATGTCTGCAGAGAATTCTGATCTCACATTGTCCATGGCTATGCTACTAACGAGGACGCTCAGTTTTATCCATTTTTTTAACCTATATTCCTCTTATTTGCTTTGGTAGTGTATCCTTTTTGCTTATGAGTGAACTGATTTGTGGAAGCTCTACATTGAGTTTTGTTATGGCAGACATCTTTCTTATTTCCTAAGACATTTAAATCATTCTTTCGAGAAGAATATAAGTCACTGTATAATTTGATATTTGTTTTTCCTACTCAATATAGAGAAGGAAGTCTGCTTATCAAAGTTGAACAGTTCTTACAAATAACATCCTCGTAATTACTTAAAGTCGTGAATCAGAAAGTGCTACATGAAAAAGAAAAAAAAAAAAAAAAACAGAAGCATTTAATACTTAAGAAACTCAGAAATGTTTGATACTTTGTCGGAGTAATTTTTGGAGCATTCTTTTTTCTCTTCTAAGAATAATTAGAGTATAGAATCATAACTTTCAGCTAAAAGGTAATGCCTGAAACACCCGTGTGTTTAAAGTAGTTCTATCATCTGGATATAACCAGACAAGTATTAATGATAAGTGAAATTCAATATTAGCGGTTAGTCTCAAAACATTAGTACATGATAATTGCAAAGATTATTCATCAAAAAGAATTCCAAGACCAAAATGTTGCATACAGCGTAATATAGTCTCAAAGGACTTTTGTTCAGAAGCGGCTGGAAGCATTTTGAAACAGGCAAATATGTTAACACTAGTTGAAGTTATCCCTGAATAAGAAATAGAATTACTCGGCATGGAGTGTAGGCACCATAATGCGAACATCAATCAACAAAGAAGTCCAGAAAATCATCTGGTATGGCTTAGCTCATGGGAAATAACGATGAAGTACTACCATTGTAGCAGCACAGCGCCATGTCAAGACTTAAGGTGCAAAACATAAGAGTAGCAAAAAAGATGTCAAATCAAATAATATAATATTTTAAACGTGCTCAAACCTTCAGCTCTTAAATGCATTGTCTTATTTATTTGAAATTAACCACGAGAATTAAGAGTAAGAACAGTTGTACTAGTAATTCAAGATCAAGTCCTAAACCTGTTGTATAATATAGTTGCCGGCCATATTTGAGATTTAGCACTGAGTATGCAACAGAGTTTTATTTCAATGAAATTAGTTGATCTAAAACAAGTACAGAAGAAAAAAAATGAAGATCTAAAACAAGTACAGAAGAAAAAATGAAGATAGTAACAAGAATAAGAGCTGGATATCATTGAAAAATGGCGTTACCCTCATGGAAAAATGAACTTCTTATCCTATCTAGAGAGCTTCACATATTTTGTATTAACATGACTCACTCCCTAGCAATCATCAATCTTTATATCTAAAATGCTAGAGCTTATTTGGTTTTTGCAAATTGTAAAGCTTCAGAATATGACCAAAATCCATATTTATGTCAGCTGAAGTAATAAACGGGTGAACGTTCCAAAGTTTCAACAAATGCGGGCCCCTAACGACTGCCTTTCGATTTCATCTACTACTAAATTTCTGATCTACAAATAACAAAGGTGCTTCACTCTTCAGAAGCACGTATGCAAATATTCTCAAGTTGTATGGGCCAATCTGGGCCAAGAACTTGTGGATTTAATTCCATTGCCAGACGAAAATCTAAAACAGATGCACTAGCAGATCTTGTTGGTGTTTGTATATATCTTCCAGGTAGCAATACATTTGAACCGGTTACTGACTGTCTGTATTGTCTTTGGTGCTCATTTCCAAATCTTGACCCAGCTAAACCCATAGATGATTCAATCAACCTCTTCAGATACAGATCCAGGGCATTATTCAATAGATTTACACAATCCACTGTCACAGTTAAACCCTCCTTCTCCAACTTTTGCTCCAAACGACTCCTTAAAGATCTTGTGTCAGGGAGATCTCCGTTGCTGTGACAAGTCTCTGGATAATATTTGCTACATAATGATACATTAGAATGAAGTTTACGACTGCAACCAAAGTTCATGGATATACCAAGTGGAGCTGTAACTGGGCTCCTACTCTGAATGCTGGGGCTTCCAGCCACCTGTTCAACCTCTTCTCCTTCTTCAACAGAAATAGGAGGTCTACTGCCAAGGGAATTCAGTTCTGTTGCACTCTGCTGCTCCAGTGTCTTATCGATCAACTCTTCAGACGCGAGACCAATTTGGGGTTTGCCCAGTGGCCCCAAAGCATTTTGGCGGCCCTTGAACCTTCGGTCTCGAGCAGCCAAAGAGCCACTCCTTGGAATCAAAGGAGGATATGTGTCCCCAAACATAGGGCTACTCCGCTGCCCATTTGAATCTTTTACACTTAAGGCACTCCCTATTCTTGCAGAGCCTCTCAGAGGTGGGACTTTAGACAGACAAGCATTCTTGAGAATAGCTCTAATGAGTTGATTGTGAAGAGGAACATTTTCCTTCCCAATTGTCTTGATGCAAATCTTGTCAAACTCTGACTTGCTTATCTTTATGCTCAACAATCTTCCAAGCTGATAAAAGTACTTATCAGCCCTCTGATGACCAAGCTTCCGAACAATCCGAGCTTTCAGGCCCAAAGTGTCAATTCGAGTATAGCTTCGCTTGGGTACCGTCATTTTGCCTAATAATCTTCTCGCAATCACTGAGCCAACAGATAAATCATAACCTCGGATTCTTCAACAAAACACAAGCTCGCTTAAACCCTAGTTCCCCAACAATGCCCCAATCTGCAATCATCAAGTTCTCAATCAGAAACCATCATCAAATAAGCCATTCATTGATTTAGAATTACAATTCAGATGACAATTGCAGAGAAAGACAGAGCACGCGTTTGGGAGATCGAACAATTAACAAAATTGAGAAATACAAGCATTAAGCAGCGATCATCAAAGAAGAAAGAATACCCACGCAAAAAAATGATTAAAGTACGGAAATTTAATGAAGTTAAGGGGAGAGCGAAATTCCTACCAAAATGGGTCGCCGCCAATATGGAATTGAGTGTGCACGAAGTTTTGAAATTGCTATTTTGGCGTGGTTTCGCTTCTTATGATTGCAAATGCGAATTGAGAAGAGAGCAAACCCTAACAGTGATGGATTAATGTGCTTTCCAACATCGCGTCCTCTTTGTTGTTAACTTCGTCTTTGCCCCTCCAAAATCCAAAATTGAGCTAAGCTAAAGGAACCGGAATGCCATTTTCTCACTATATAGATCCATTTTTTTATTGGAAAAATAAAAACGATTTTCTTTTTATACGATTTCCTTATGTATATATATTTTATGGCTTTATTTTTTTATGTTTTTAATAACAAATTACTAATATATAATATAAAAATAAAATAATTTCCTTAAGACTCTTTTTATGCACCAGCATCAATTTTTTCTTAAACTGGAACAAAACTTGTTTCTTTTTTACATATTTCGTTTTACGTGAAAACAAAATAACTAACAATATAATAATATTTCATACAACTAAAAATTGAATAAAAAATTAATATATAGTTTTATTTAAAATTTTATTTTACAAATTTTTATATTATTTAATTAAAAAATTTTGTTAACTTCAGCTATTAAGGTTGAATTTAAGTATTTATAAATAAATTTTTTTTATAAAAAAATTATTATATTAAAATTATAAAAGTACAATAAATATTTTTTTAATAAAATATTATTATTATTATTTATTTATCTTCAGCCTTTAAAATTAAAATTAACAAAATCTTAATTAAAAAGTACATTTTATTTTAACATATATGATGCATATAACAATATTTATTTAAATAAAATAAATTAAAACACAATATCAAATTTTTTACTTGAAAATTTATTCTGAATCTTTTACAAATTATCTCATATTTTATATAGTAGAGTAGAACAACATCATTTTAACCAAAGAGTAATACAAGTATTAACAACAGTTTTATTTATGTTAACGATGAAATTAATATGTGTCAACATTTTACTAATTTCATTTATTTCTTAAACACAACTGGTGTTATTTTGACGTGGAGCATTGTTTTTACAATTTCATTTATTTTACAGACGAAACAATTGACACATGTTTTGCAGATTTCTTCATTATTGCAGATAAAACAAACTCTAGCTGTGATAGATGTTCTTTGTTTCGAGTTTCGTCTTCATCTGAAACAAAATATACATAAAAAATAAAATAAAATTTGCCTCCGTTTAAATGAACCTGTTGCTGATGTGGCTAAAAAAGTTTCAATCAAGTAAATTATTTTATTTTTATATTGTATTAGGATTTATTATTTAAAAATTAAAATTTTTACACCATATTTTATACACAATCGATAAGATAAAACGCTTGTCCTTCGGTTATACATGCGGATATTTTGAAAGAAGCGGAAAACTTCTAAATTTGAATTGAAAAAAAAAACAAAGAGCAGTTTTTGTTTTGATTTTCAATTTTAAAACAATTTTAAAAAATTGTTTAAAAAAAACTTGTTTAATCGTTTATTTTTAAAACAAATGAGTTAGTGGAAAACTCACATTATATTAAAAAATAATAAGTTATTTTTAAAAACTCATAGTAACAAATAAATTTTATTTTTTTATTTTTAAAAAGAAAAAATTGATTTTAAGAATAGAAAAAAAATTAACCTTAACTATTTTACATATTTTTTTTGAAATTAATAGTCTACATTTTTAAAAATATTTTATTGAAATTAAATTTTTTAATTTTCAAAATTTAATTAAAAAAATATAGAATTTTAATTCAAAATTTTGTTTTTAAAGTTAGAAATCATAACTTTTAATTTTAAAAATTTATTATTGAGAATATAAATATCAATTTTTTAATGATAAATTAAATATTATACAATATATTAAAAAATAACATATTTAAAGAATAATATATTTGAAATACACTTGAACAATATAGTAATAGAAAAGAAAAACAAATTACAGGAGAAAGAATGAAATGTCAACAGAGACAAATAATAATATTTTTAAAAAAGTGTATCCAATAGAAATAAAAAAATATAAAATAAATTATTGTTAAGGACATTTAAGAAAAAATTATAAAAAAAATTTGAGTGAAATTTCGAAGCCCTAATGCTGTTACTGAGTACCCACACCAAAACAACAAGAGTTGGGCCAAAATTTTAGCCCAATTTATATTTGACTCAAAGACAACCCTAGTTTGAGTTCTAGTGTATAAATTGATATCTGCAGGTGCGAAGAGGGTCTCATTTTCGTTCACATTCTTCAGCGACTGCGCCTTTGGATCTTCCTTCTTCGATCTCCAAGACAGAGCAATGGGTCACTCCAACGTTTGGAACTCTCACCCCAAAAACTACGGTCCCGGTTCTCGCGCTTGGTACGTCACTGCTTCGCTCTCGCCCCATTATATCTTTTTGCATTTTAATCTCAAGTTTTTTCCCTGATCCCAAATACAAGAAGACCCTTGAATCCTTCGTCGTGCTGGTTAGGTTTGAGGAGTAGTGTTATGCATCGTTTTAGGTTTTGGGAATTTTTTTTTAACATTTATTTCAATTAAGATTTTTCTTTGCTACCTTTGCTTTCACATCAAATTGTTTTGTTACTTAGTATGTATCATATCATTGCAGTGATCTTTTTATAGTTTATGGGTAGGTTGATTAGGCTTACTATCTAATGTTACCTTTTGTTTTTATATGGGATCTTTCCAATTGGTGTTGTTTTATTTTGCATTTTTATTGAATGAAAGGATGCATTGGTTTGATCGATGTTGCCAATCCCAGGTAGTGTGGAAAAAAGGGTTTTAGATGTTGTATTGGAAATCACAAATATACAAGATTTTGACCTGTTTTTAGTTCAATTGTTTTTTAAGAATTTTGCTGATTGTGTTTGTTGTTACATGTTTTCCCCTTCTTGCAGCCGTGTGTGTGGGAACCCGCATGGATTAATAAGGAAGTATGGCCTTATGTGCTGCAGGCAATGCTTCCGTAGCAATGCCAAGGAAATTGGCTTCATTAAGGTAAACATGTGGGAGTTCTATTCCCAGTTGTAGTCTTCTATAGCTAATTCAATCTGAATATGAGTACCCCACTCTTTTTGTGCTTGGGAGTAGGGTTTGTTTGGTTTGTGCTATTATCTATTGTCATGCCATGAGTCCTTATTACACCTTTTTCTTGTTGCAGTATCGCTGAAGTGCTGTTGATACCTGCCCCACCAAGCGTATGTTATGGCATTAGGATGTTTTGTTTCAAGCTGAGACTTTTTTTTTTTTTTGCATCTAGTTAATTATCAGACTTAATTTGTGGAATTAAGAATACTTTTATTTATAAATTGTTTTAGACAATTGAGCTCACATGGCCTTCACATTCTGCAGTCTGTGCATGCGTGTTAGTTGTATCATATTAGAATTATGCCATTTTAGTTGAACTGTTGCTTAAATGCCTACCACTTCTCAAAACAATTTTCGGATTGATCACGGAAGCTTTGCCGACATTATTATTGCGAGATACGCATCTAAAATTATAGACACGACATGAAGTTTATAACTGATTCCATGGTTTAAAATAAATGAAAAAGCTACAGTATTTACAATTAGTTATGCCGTTGCAATCAATCTTTTGTTCGATCTCTGTTATCCGATTTTCGACATATCGCAATTTATTGTCTGAACTCATGACGTCGTCTTTTTCTTCGGATACATTAGGAGGAAAACTTTAAAAAAGGAATGAGAAGATTGATTAATTTTTTTTTATTTTATAGTAAAATCCTTTGTTAATTTTGCTTACAATCGAAATTGAAAAAAGAAATGACGTAGTTTATTAAGTTTTAATCTTGCCGATCTATGAACATCAAATAATGTTAGTTTAGAAGTGAAATACCATCTGTCTGTTTACTATTCCGTGCCCTTTTGCATATCTTTGTAAGAAGCTTTTTTTGAAGCGCATATTGAAATGGTGAAGTTTTGTAATTTAATAAACGGGGTGGGGGAAATTTCATTTTCCCTTAAAAATTGTCGTCTTTAAATCAACCCTGTTTTTTTAATCAATTTCCGTTGAATAAACTTTGCAAGTACCAAATTATATATAAAAGGGGCATGTATCCCAAGCTGAGAGGAAAGAAAAATGAAAAGAAGCTGAGATGGCGGCAGTTGGATAAGGGCAGAGAAATTAGCCATTCTTGATAGTATCGTAGTGACACCAATGTAGGTGTCGCCTCTAGAGGTTGCAACCTATAGACAGCCACGGATAATCTAAGCACAGAAACACTTCCGTTATCGGCTTTATAAGTTGTACCAACTACTGAATGCTGAGCTCGAAATTCCTTCCTCTTGAAGGCAACTCAGCATCTTACTTTTTCCTCTAATTCTTTTCATGCATGAATCTCTCACCTGCCATTCTCCAATATTTTATTGTTTTTGGTTTTGGGCCTTTTCCAATCGCCATCATAACTTTTACTAAACATCCATCCAAGATCATGATCTATGCATAACAAGGTTTCAGCAAACGAGCCTGCTTTCTTAATATTACCTAGCATTACTTCATTTTAGACTAAAAAGATAAATAAATACAATAGATGCTTCGGTTTAATGAAACTTTATTTAGAGGTGTTGGTGTAGGGAAATCAATACTTATCAGTTTTGATAGAATGCATGAAATCTTAAATATGGAAGTTGGAATTGTGCTATTACATTATTAAATTTTAATAAGAAGTTTATGTTAACAACTTCAGATTTGGATGGAAAATTGCAACTTAAAAAAATTGCAAAAGGTTGTGATCCGTTAGATTAGATTGATCCAATTAAAAAATGGAATACAATTTTAAAAATAATAATAATTGCATTGTTTATGTTGTTCTCCACTCTGCGAATCACCTAATTTTGAAGCATGAAAAGTTAGTTCTAAAGCTGTCCAAAGGGTCCCCTCTTAACTAACTTACTGTACCACCCAAAAATCTTTTAAACGAGCTTATCTCCAAAATTATCCTACTATACCATTCCGTATCAGTTTGTATTGCGGCATTCAAGCATTGATTAAGGGTATTCGAATTAGAGTGATGACCACAATTTCTAGTGCTTGACTAAAAGGGAAAAGGAATTAGATCCAAATTCGTTATTTTAGGTCTCAAGGTACCTTATTGCTTGAGTTCTTTGAAATGCGTTCTCACTAGGTTGAAGAAATTAAAATAGAAGGAATGCTTCAATATATTTTGTTTTGTTACATTATAAGCAACAGTACAAGAGGTGGCCTCTTAAATCGTAATGCATGATCCTGAAAAGAATATTTCGTTATACAAGTAAGCTGTCATTTTCGGGATCTCTTTCCCCTAAACGAAAAAATTACACTGTTTTACAGATTATGATAATTGAACTTTTTACTGAAGTTTATTCTTAGCTGATATATTTGGCCCAGTAATTTTTTCTGCACAAAACAGAGAGAAGAGGAAGGTAAGACTCCTTGCATTGATTGGTTATTTTGAGAGGTGATTAACATTATTATTACTATAAATGGCATCAGCAATGGGGTGCCAAAAAAAGTCCATTTTTTATTTAAATAAATTCTAAAAAAAATCCAGAATATAACTAGAATTTAATTTAAATATTTTTTTTATACTGTCATCTAATTTTTATTGCCATATCAATTAGAATAATTGATTTTTTGATAAGTCACATCTATGAAGTATTTTGATTAGTTAATAACATAAAAAAATTTATATTGACAATACAACAAACTTAACTCATATAAGCAGATAAAATAGAATATTTAAAAAGTAAACGGATGTGGTTTCATTTTTAACCATTTTTTTTTTATTTTAACATTAGATAAGACATATAATAAAAAATGTTTATTTCATAGTACCACAGACTCTAAGAGTATTTAATGTGTTTATCTATCTATTAGAGCTGTACAAAGTGCCAAAAAGAAAAAAACCTCTTCTTTTAATTTTGATTGTCATGTCAAATACGGTCATCCTCCAAAGTAAGAATGAATACCAAATGTTAAGCCATAAAATAAGAAATAGCATAGAATGGGGTTCTTTGAGTACTCAAAGACTTAGCTCAACAAATCAAATATCAGGAATCTTGAATCTTTGGCTTGAAGGATTATTAACCCCCAACGTAATATAATAATAACCACATTTTGGAGGAATAAGCATGCATAACAGCCGCCAATACGGACACCAATTTTGAGCCCCAAAGTTGTTTATCACATTTTTTCCTCTGTTGATAAATAATCACACACTTTCCTTTGTGGGGTTGAGGTGGAAAGGAGAAGCAAAGTTGGAAAGCTATGGGACAGAGGCAAAATTATTTCCTTAAGCCCATAATCACTTTGGAAGCAAAGTTAATTAATACCCTATCAACGGACATCTTTGAGTGGGTGTTTACTTTTTAACCAATTATTCCATGGAGTGTACCTTAAGTTACAACCTTCAAAGAATTATGCTTTTCTCATCATTCTGGTTCATTTTTCCATGGATACGTTTATCACTATAACCATATCTTCTAATGCTGAATGGGAATTTACAATCAGAAAATCGGTGGATATAAAGTGAAGTAGAGGTTCATCATAGATTATTTATAATTATGAACTCAGGACTGAGCAATCAGGGAGTGCCCTTCACTGTTGAAGTAAACTAGTTGTGGTGGATAATCATGTTGCCCTAATAAATTATTAGTTAACTGCAACAAAAATTCGAATTCAACCAACCCCAAGTCCTAAGTTTGTTGTAAGTTCTATTGCTTATAAGATCACCTGGAAACTATTTTGGATAATGATGTCTCTAGGCATGGGAAGATTCTAAAGTAATAATTAGTGTGATATCATACTATCACAATACAACACACATTTTTCACATATGATAATTTGTGAGTAAAATTAGACTCTAGAAGAAAGGGTTGCTTCAATACGGATCAAGATTTGGAATTATATGCAATTACTCGGATCAATCTTTTGTTGTCAAACCATTAACAAAGAAGTTTCACAATCTTAAATATTCTACTTTAGTTGCTTTGCTCCTGAGTTCAACCTCGTTCCACCTTTGTTTTTAAACTACTTCATAAAGATATTAATTCCAGGTTGAGTTACTGTGAACCCGTGACAACAGCAAAGAATCATTTTAATCAAGTCCTTTAATTAAATAACAAGAGAACTACACACTCAGCCTAGGAAATAATCACTTTAAATATTTATAAAAGACACAAGATGCTTTCAGATCAAACAAGAAGCAAGCACAAAAGAAAAAAAAGTTTCAAATATTTGGAAAATTTTATATTCTCTCTCTCTCTTTTTTTATTGAAGATATTATTGGCAAAATTAATGAAAGCCAGTAGAAGATGCAGAGGGACACGTACATGAAGAGGAGAGGTAGAGGAGAACCAAAGGTTGGAGAAAACAAAGAACAAGCTGGAGGATGTTGATATTAAGAAATAAGATGCGTTCAATGCCTGCAATGAGTGGCGTAGATAGAGAGGGACAGAAAGGGATGTGGCATCTTAATCTAGTTATAATAATAAATTGATTATAGCTTAGCTTGCAAAAATCACAATTAGGCAACATTGCCTTTCTGGTTGATAATGCCTAAGCTTTTTGGGCATTTTCATTGATAGCATCAACCACTGTATTTGATTTAGAGCTCTTTTCATAATGGTTAGCTCATTCATCTCTTTCCCAATGAAGTAATCTATCTATCTCACGTCACTCTTAATGCCAAATCATGTATATCTACACATTATTTTATACATACAATTTATACACGTGAAAGCTGGAACCATCACACTGTCTTGTATGGTGGTGAAGCACTTTTTGTATTCTTGTATACGAAATCAAACATTATATACTGATTATACGGCTGAATTAATATTTCACACCAACATGAAAAAGACAACCATCTAGTCCTCATGGCAGAAATGGTTAAACTAACACAATATATGTAGTCGTGGTTTGAATCCTGTGACTGACTAATTTTGCAAGCTACCTCTACAATCAATGCTCAAATCATAAAAACGAAAAAAAAAAAAAGCTAAGAAGGAAATAATGCACATAACCAAATGAATCTTCAGAATAATCTGTGTGTACATATATATATGTAACTGTTGTTTTTTCTTTATCCATGTATTGTGGAAAAGCATCATTCATGGCAATTGCTTGGTTGAATACTCGAAGGGAACAACATTAATGTCATGTTTGGTAAGAAGGAAATATAAGAAGGAAAAAAAAAATGAAATATCTATTGTATTTAAATTTAATTTCAGTCTATATATTGGCCAACTTGCTTTCTTTCTTTTTAAATCTCTCCTACCAAATATTATGAAATGCCTAGCTACTAACTGAACTGAGAACTCTGAAAATATCAAAATAAGATCGGTTTTGAATCTCTGAACGAAAGCATAAATTGATGCCATATCGGTTTATGAAAGGGATGGGCGCTAACCCCTGTGTAGCTAACTGGTGAAAGACTCCATTAATGGTCAGAATTTATGAAATCTATATTTAGTTACCGAAAGTAAGGTTTGTTTTTTCAATTACTATTTAATTTTGTGTTGGTATAAAGTAACGTAATCATAATATTACTATTAAATTCTTTTAATAATTTGACAACATGGAATTAAATGATGGGATTAACACCATTCAACTATTACACATTACATTAATAGGTATTTTTCATACGCACAACTAAAAATTAAACTTCTGATTGATATAATATATGAATCAACTAGTATTTTTCAACTTGGTATACTGAACTTTGTCAATAGAATAACTTTTGACTAGAAAGTAAACAATCAAATTTTTATGTAAAAGAAAATCTAAAAGAATTAGATTCGAGAGTAGAGGTGTGTAATTTTTTATTTTTATTTTTTTTTGGGGGGGGGGGGCATAACAAAAAGAAAAACAGATATTTAAAATACATAATTTAAATGAATAAATATCTGAAATTCAAGAAAAAGGAAATTTCAGTGTTTTTTTTTATATAGTAATATGGCATATTTTTAAATATAAAGAGCGTTCAATAACAGTTAAATTGCATCCCAAAGTGAAAGAGTACTATGTGATATTTTATCATTCTCAAAAGTAATAATTCAGTTTTATTATATATAAAAGTGAATGAATTACATATCTTTTCTTTATTTTAAAATATTTTTCTCTTGCAATAAAAATTTCTAAAATTATGATTTTAATTTATATTTTTCATTTTATTTAAATTAAAAAATACTTATTAGTACTAAATTTAAATTAAATCCTAAAAAAGTATAACATCTTGAAGAGTTTATTCTTGTAAAGAACTATGCTTGAACCTGTCTTGACATGAATTTATAGTCATTAACTTCTTATTATGAAACTTTTTACTCTATTCTATTATTTTCTTTTTATGGCCGAATGGTGGCAGTATATATAATTTTAAAAGTTTCCCTTCCTTACGAGTATATGATAGTGTTTTTTTTCCCAATAGTTTTCTTCAGCTTTTCCCTTCCTTCCAAGTAAACGACAATGCGAAATTTACACCTTACAACAACGCAGCGCATTATTAGGTTACAGACTCAGAATAAAATTGCATTTTGAGTGATAAAAAGAAAAGGAAGAATAACAGTGATCAAAAAAGGAAAGGAATAGTAAGAAGCTTAGAAAAACAATAAAGCGTCATTAACAATAACATAACATAACGTTCTTCCAAAGATTCACAAACACCAAAACCCAAACCCAAAGGCTCACGCACCTGCGAAACACTCCACTCTACAGAACACACACTATATTTCGTGTATTTTTATTTTATTTTCACCTACTTCGCTTTTTCTCTCCAAAATCCCACACCCAGCAACGCTATTTCTCTCACTGTTGCTCCCAAATGCTGAATCTGAAGCGCACCCATTGATCTGCGCTTTGGAACAGAAAGCTGAGATTTTGGCGTTCTGGGAGGGCCAAAACCCTCATGAGAGAGGCAATGTGAGGGAAAGTTTGCACCTTTGGAAGGTCCTATAATGGTGGCTGCCATTTCCGAAGACCCATTGACCTCTACAGAGAAAGACAACAATGGCAGCATACCCAGAAGACCAAAGGGTAGACAAGTTTCTTCCAGGTACATGTCTCACTCACCTTCACCTTCACCTTCACCTTCTTCAACAACAACAACGACAACATCGACTTCATCATCAACAACAACAACAACAACTTCGTCCTCTCGTCGATTCCCTTCTCCTCTGTTGTCACATTCCACCAATTCTTCAACCCCTTTGGTCCCAAAACGTTCCCAATCGGTGGACCGCCGGCGACCGCGACCCATGACACCACTTCCTGACGCGGCGAAGCTTCTGGTAACTTCTACGCGGAGCTTGTCCGTGTCCTTCCAAGGAGAAGCCTTTTCGCTACCCATTAGCAAGACCAAAGCCGCCGCCGCCACCCCACCTTCCCGAAAAGCCCCCACGCCGGAGCGTCGGAGGCCCACTCCGGTCACCGTCAGAGGGGAAAATTCCCGACCGGCGGATCAACACCGGTGGCCGGCGAGGACCCGGCAACCCGATCATCTTTCCAAGAGTATGGATTGCAGTGACAAGAAAAAGGTGGTGGGAAATGGGTTTGGTAAAGTGGTTCGTGCTCTGCAGCAATCAATGGAGGGTGATAGGAGTAGAAGGGCTTCTTTTGGTGGTTTGAGTTTGGATTTGGGTAAAGCTGAGTTGTTGAAAGCTTCTTCTAAGCTTCATTCTGATGGAAGTTTGGTGACTCAATCTTCATTGCCTTGTGATCTCACTGCTTCTGATACTGATAGTGTTTCTTCTGGTAGCACTTCAGGGGCACATGATTCTGCTGGGGCTAATAAGGCTTCTAAGGAGCCTCGTGGCATTGTTGTGTCTGCCAGGTTCTGGCAGGAAACTAATAGCCGCCTGCGGCGGTTGCAGGACCCCGGTTCTCCTTTGTCAACTAGTCCTGCTTCTAGAAACTCTGTGTCAAACAAGAATTCTCAATTGAAAAGGTATAATAGTGATGGCCCTGTGTTGTCGCCAAGAACAATGGCTTCTCCTGTCAGGGGAAATGCTCGCCCTGCTTCACCGAGTAAACTTTGGGCATCTACAGGTGCTGGATCCTCGCCGTCGAGGGGCATTCCTAGTCCTGCTAGGGTGAGAATTGCAGTTACCAGCTCGATCAATAGTAATTCGAGTAACACACCTTCGATTCTTAGCTTCTCTGCTGACGTGAGGAGAGGGAAGATTGGGGAGGATCGGATATTTGATGCGCATTCGTTGAGGCTTCTGTATAACCGATATGTGCAGTGGCGGTTTGTTAATGCGAGGGCAGATGCTACCTTTATGGTGCAGAAGCTGAATGCTGAGGTATGGGTTATGTATTTAAGTCATATCATATTTAATGGTTTTTGTTACTTCTAAGTTGTAATTGATACGAGTGTCTTTAATTGTTTTCTTTTTTTTCAGTAATTACTGAATGCTTGTGCACTTTAGTTTGTTTTAGTGGAGTGATTTACATTAATGGGATCTTCATCACACTTGTAACATTCAACAGAATGTGCTTAGTAATGCATTTTCAAATTACATTTGAGAAACACACTGCTAGAAGTTTAGGATGCTAAGGTCTTGAGGTGCATGATGAATGGCAAAGCCTCATTTTTAAGGAAATATGCTAGGAATGCAGATTGAATACAATGGTGATGCTCATTATCATTGTGCAGTTCTTGGATTTACCATCTAAACCTGGAAAATGTAGATAGTATTTCTCATCCATGTCCCTTGCGCATAAGTGCTTGGAGATACCTAAGTGCATTGTATCATTCTAATTGTGGATATGATAATGTCAGGCTTATTATAGGAAAGATTAGACTGTAAATAAAGTTTAGTAAGGAGTTCTCTGAAAATTCTATCCCAATGTTCTATTTAAAATGTCTTCAGAAAACTTATTTTGGCCTTGTTATGACTAAGAAATTATCTTTTTTAGTAGTAGTGACATGATGATTGATGAGGATGTTGTATCGTGAAAACTTGTCATGCTGAAATATACTATTGTTGTTGTGTATTTGGCTCTAGTTTACAATTAGTTACAAATAGAAGTTTATGAGGGTTGAGGAGTGATTCAAATGGAATGTAAACATGTGAACCTTCTGTCTATGTGGAGAAAAAAAATAAAAAAGACATTATATACAGAGATAAGGAATTTGTTGAATGCCCATACCCATAAGTATATCTACAGAAAGTATAAGTAATTGGTGGAAGTGTATCCTGAGTATAAGTTTTGGTAGCATAGCTTGACCAAATATTATGTTAACTTTGAGTCAGGGGTATAATGATGTTGACACCATCCAATATTTCTTACATCACTTTATAGGCTCCAAGAATCTATTGGTCTATAACGTTCAACAATTTTCATTTTTGCATTTCTAGTTTTTTATTTCTGAGAGGCAGTAACACACTTCCAGAAGTGCTTTCTTCACTTAGGTTTGTATTTGCACATGTAGTTTTGTGTGTTGTGAAATAATTTTCTCCTACTATGTTTAAGGTGACAATGGTTATGCTGTGAAATTATTTACTCCTACTATTGGGGGATAACAATATTATGCTGTAGTGCTAACCTACATGTTTTTCATTGTGCCAGAGACATTTGTGGAATGCATGGGTAACAATCTCAGAACTCCGGCATTCAGTCATACTTAAAAGAATCAAGCTTGTATTGCTGAGGCAAAAGTTGAAGTTAACTTCCATTCTAAAAGGACAGGTTTGATTCAGGAGCTTTCAATTTTAAAACAATACCTTTTATGCAATGAATGTCATGCTGTTGATGTGCCTGATCTGTTTATAAATTGATGCAAAGTTGACCATTCAATAATATTTTAGCAGCTTAGTTTTGTTACATCCAAGCATTCCTTATAAGAATTTATTTTTTTGTTTAATTGAGAGTTGTAGTCAGCACTTAGCAATTCCTTTGATCAGTATGACAATTACTTTATTTCTATTATTATGCAGTCATCAGGGCTGATTTTAAGCATCTAAAATTATTAAGTTTTTATTGAAAAAGAAAGTATTTATTATATTGAAAATACAAAATTATAATAAATATCTTCATTTGCAATAAAAATTTTAGCATTTTTAAATGCTTAAAATCATTCTTAACCTAAGAGTTGATGTTGACATTTTCAATACTATTACTATTATTATTATTTGTCATAATTGAAGTTTATTGTGCTTGGTCATAGATTTCTTATTTGGAAGAATGGGCCCTTTTAGATAGAGATCATTCCAGTTCTTTGCTCGGAGCAACTGAAGCTTTGAGGGCCAGTACCCTCCGTCTTCCAGTTGTTGAAAAAGCAATAGTATGTACTGCTTTTCTTTTTTGTTTTTTGAGATACTTTGCACTTTTTTTAAAAATAGATGGTCAAATATTGAACTGTTATTCTTTATCAGGCTGATGTACCAAATCTAAAGGATGCTTTGGGGTCAGCAGTTGATGTGATGCAGGCAATGGCATCCTCAATATACACTCTTTCTTCGAAGGTGATTAATTATATCTTCCATACATTTTTTCTATTTTATAAGGTGCATGGGTTCTTTTAATTGTCATCTTAGCTGTGCAATGTTTGCGGGAAACCTAGATGTCTGTAATTTATTTCTTGGACTTTTGTTTGATATTTGGTATTTGCATTTGAAGTAATTCTTCTATTGATTGTTTCAGTCACTGGTCCACATTTTGTCAAGCCACTTGAAGCCATTCTACCTTAAATTGATTAAGTTTTTTGAAAGAAAGAAAGGTCCTTGGATTTTAAGTTCTTCAGAGAACCAAAATTAGTCATGCAGTTTAGAAGCCAATGGTTTCTCTATTCTCCATTCGCCAAATAATCATCTTGCAATATAAATTATGTAACATTTTTTTTAAATATAATCAAGAATGAACTGAAGAGTTTTGATTCAACTTGTTTAAGCAGAAACTTGGAATCTTTTGCAAATGCAGAAAATAGTAAAAGCTTAAGGGTCAATAGTTTGTCTGATGAACACAAAATACTGTAAACAATATTTAATGTCATTATGATTAGATATCAAGTTAATTATCATTTTAAAAATATAAAAGATATCCTTGGCTAATATGCATAAGTGCATGATATTATTTCACAATCACAAGTATGGACGCTTAGGCTTAATCTAATTCTGTGAAGCATGGACATGTCGAAAGAAAATCTTGTCCTTGTCTGGCTTGTACACCTGACACTGTAAGTTGTGATATTCATTTCATCAAAAATATAAAATTTAACATTTGATGTAAAACTTTTTGATACATTCTAGCTACTTCCTTCCTCATTCTTGTTATTTTAGTATTTGATGTGCTGATGTGTTATATGTAAATCTCCTCCTTATTTGCTATAAGCTCTACTTCCATTGGTGTAGTGCCAATTGAATGTTCAGAAGTGTGATTCTGAAAAAAGCATAATGTTTCAGAATTCTTTTGTGGCTGAGTTGACAGCTGTATTTTTTAACCTGTGTTGAATTTTCAAATTCTTTTTTGATGTTGATGTAAGATTTCTCAAACTATTGCTTGGATCAGAATATAGATGCACCCATACTTTGTTGCATGGGTTCATTTCTGCAACCATCAAGGATATTACTTTTCTTTCTGTGATCAGCTCTTTAACTAATATGATAAAAATGAGTAGATTATATGTAACAACTAAGTTCACTTGGTGGGGTCTATTACATGGACCAATCAGCTCTATTCAATAAGCAAAGCATAGCAAAAACACTGATTAAAATCCCATTGAAACCTTTACTTAATTCTGAAAAGAGTTGCTCAGGGCCAATTGCTAATTTGCTCATTTAGCTTTCCGTACTAGGGCACTCATGTTGTGGTTCATGTATAGTGAGGAAGTGGGAATTGGCCTATCGGGGTAGAGATAAGCACATGTTTGCACCTTTTAGTAGTATATCATAAAACATAATGTTTCTAGCAGGTGGAAGAAACTAACTGCTTGGTGGCGGAAATCCTAAAGGTGACCTCAAAAGAAAGGTTTTTACTTGAACAATGCAAGGATTTTTTGTCCTCATTAGCAGCCATGCAGGTAATCGTGTTTGCTTGAACCTTTCTCAATCTAATTTCTACATCAATATTCTTATTGCTGTTATGCATCTAAAAATTCTGGCAGGTCAAGGATTGTAGCTTAAGAACACATATGTTACAACTTTCTCACGTGCCAACCTCCAGCTGCCTGACAACACATGTGTAGAACTGATCTTATTTGACAACTCACTCTTAATGCTAACACTACTACTCCCAGCCTTTTATTTTCCACAGGGTGGAGATATAACACACAAGGTAATAAGAATGGAATGGGGTTAATTGCTGGTTTTTGGTGTTCATTTGACATTTTTGAAACCTGTTGTGGTCTGTCTTGTATGTGTCGTGTGTAGTATATCTTTGTGTCTGAATATTACAGTTTACAAAGGAAAGAAAAGGTGGCTTTTCTCTCACTAGTTAGCTAGCTGTATACAATTACCTTGTCATTTGAGGAAAGCGAGTGTCTGTGTATATATCTATATGTAATCAACTAATCATTGTTTATTAGGTAGTTTGTTGCTTAGATCTTCATTTGAATCCCTGGTATATGCTTTTGCAGCTCTGGTGGTTTTATCATTTTTGTACTTTTTTAGTTATCACTGGCATGACTTTGCATGTAAATCATCAGAACAATTATTATTGTGGACTCTAATTGCTAGCTGCTGGGAGAACAGATGTTTGAAGATGTGTTTATGCTCCTCCTTGTTGTAAATAAGTGAAACGTGATTATCATAGCATAGCAAATGCAGCTCAGAATCGCCCCATCCGTCCGTTTAAGTGAGAAAATGCAATATATCTTAGTTTCAAAATGATCAAATTAGTCCTTCTGGGACAATTGTGTCACTCGTGTAAGAAATATTCTGTCTATTATGAAACATCCAACCAAACATGAGCAATTAACTTAGTTTGCAAGCAATATCATCCAATGAATTAAAAGTCTTCGTAGATAAATATCGTTTTCACCAAAATCGAACAGGCGACTCTTATACAATTCTAAGCAGTAAGCATGACTTGAGAGTGAAAAAGAACAACGCCACGAACGCCCTCCAAATAAAGGGGCACGATGCCCATTTCCTGCCGCTATTGCAGTCTCACTATATTGTCGTATGCATATCTTCTATAGATAAACAAATTCTCTCCATACATGCATAAAATCTTTTAAGATGGCGTCCTTGAAATTTTGTTATAACACTTCAAGATTAGAATGTACTCGTTCCTGCTGGGGTAAGTATCATGATGCTATTAGTTTTGCAATTAATTAATTGGATACATCTCGCCTATATATTTATCTTGAGCTTTAAAGAATTAAATGAATTCCGATTAGTTGGTCAACCACACATTTGTTGGCCCTAATAGGACACGTTTCATTTTAATGCTGAGTTGAAAATAGAGAGAAGCAAACATTTATGGTTAGCCTTGGCTAATCAGTTTCAATTTACTTCGAAGGGAATTGGAACAAACAAAATGCGTAAGCCATTTTCTAACTGCAGCCTGTATTCAGGAAATAGCCAGTACTTCACAACAATAGTTTACATTTAGTGTTTGGTGTTCACAAGAGGGAAGTGAAACAGTAGAAAGAAGAAATTCCTATTTTCAAAATGGCCATCAGAAATCATGCTGGAGGATTGGGATAGACTTTGGGTTTCGGCTTGACCTCAATCTCGTTTACACCACGAACGTAGATAGCATCTTGTTCGTGACTGTAAGAAAAATTGAACAAGTTATTATTAAATAGCACGTGTAAGAGAGACAAAAATTAAATAGAATGAGAGGGCTTACGGTTTAGGCCCCTCCTCGAATGTGTAACTCGATGCAACAGCCAAGAGGCGTCCATCTCTGCTAAAAGAAAGTGCTGCCACGCTAGTAGGATATTTTGAATACTGGGAGAGAGAACGGCAATTTAGTAATTGAATTTATTGCTACGATAAAATTGTGGTCACTTAAATTTTAATTATTCAAAGCAAAAGGAAATCGAAACCTGGTACAGCCTCTTCTTGTTGTTTCCGTCCCATACGTTAACATAACCGTCACAACCTCCTGTGGCAAACGTACCATATCTGTAGACAGATTTTTCATAAAGCATTTTGTTAATCACGATTAAGACAAAGGTATGACTGAAAGCAACATCTATTTTCAAATTCCATTTAAAGGGTAATCGCAAAATTTCATCTTTGGAGTTCTTAACATTTTAGGGTTTAGAGAAGAGGAAAAGAGAGGGAACACAATTAAGTATAATATCCTAAGGAGTCTGGATAGCCGTAATACAGAACACTCATCTTCCATTTCTATGTATTTATCTACATCTGTGAACTAATATTTAACACCTACTTTGGACAAAGAATAACTACTTAACCAATAAAATTTTCTTAATATAATAAGGGCACTCCCACCTAGTGGACCCCTGGGGATAGTAGATGTACGCAACCATACCCACATAAGTGCAGAGGCCGTTTCTAAGATTTGAATGAGACTTCCAAGTCACAAGTTAGCTATTAAGAAAATTTTCTCAATATAATTTATATTTACATTTCAGGTGACAGGTCACTCTAAAACACTTACATTGGGTGGAATGCAATTGCATTTACAGGATAGACAATGTCCCTTCCAGCTTCTGATTTTCTGTGACACTTAAAAGCATACCTGCACAAAGGTCGGACGGAGGTCATTAACAGGTAAAAGTGAACATACACTGTTTTCATATGCACTGAAATGCTATCATCTGTATGGAGTTGGATAAAAAAATGTATACTTTTTTGCTTGGCTAGCCTCAGAGAGGTCAAAGAATTCCATTGCAACCCGACCTTCAACAGAACTAAGTGCATATCCTGCAAAAAGTAGTTATACATTATGAAGAGTAACAAATATCTTGGCTAAGAAACACAACAGAAGTCTGTGGAATCTTTGGAAAATCAATGATTGAGTTATAACCATCAGTTAAGGTTCACCTGTTCCATTAGGATAACAGCGCACGCATCTGGTTTGATATTTCAGTGAAGATTCTCTTCGTTGCTCAGGTTGAGACATGTTCCTCAAATCATAAATATTAACATGTCTTCCAGCCGTTGCTACAACCAGACGATGTCCAACCAGTGAGAGAGAGTAAACACGCTCAGGTTGTGGATATGTCCCAACTAGCGTACGCTCTTGGCCACTTGCACCTCTAGGGTCCCAACATTTCAGGGTTTTGTCCCAACTACCAGTGATCAGCTGCCCTATAGTCACATACACAGACAAGATAGAATTGAATATCCTTTTAAGAGTAATTCCTTTTTAGTTAAGGAATTAAATGACATATGTGAGCATGATAGAGATAGGGAAGAGACCTGCAGCATAGGAATACTCAACACAACGAACAGGTGCATCATGCCTTCCCAGAATATCCTCTTTATTGGAGCTGAATACAAGCCTGGTCCATAATAATATTAAAGGGTAAATTACTCTCCCCGCCAGTCAGAGATGAATGCCCTCTCTTCCACTCAGAGATACTTAAATTACACACTCAGGATTCAAGAAAGATGAAATGTGGTTACATTTTAAAACATTCTAAATATAAACTAACGACTAAGTGGTAAACAGCAACTATAAACAAACCTCTCGTAGGGAAATTTTTTCTTGCCGTAAATTCTAGTGTGACTGACAATTAACTTCAAGCGTCATATCATCCAACTTTGGACTTAAGAAGATAAAACGATGTTTAAGATGTACACAATATCAGCTTACGAACATTACTCATAATCTTGGTTTCGTTTATTGAAGTCCCAAAACCGATAATAGGGGTTGAAAACTACCCAACGGTATTAAGATTCACCTTAAAATGACGCAATGTATAAAGTAGATTAATATCTAAGTATAATTTGAAAACAATAAAGGAGGAGAGAGCATGATTTAAACATGAATGGAAGAGAGGAGTACGTGGAATTGATCGTGGACAAGCATGACTAGGTTAGTTTTATATTGATATGAATTAGAAGAGGAAGTAACAACTAAATAACTAACCGTCTAACAGTATTGTCGGCGGCGACACTAAAGCCGGAGGAATCGTCGTGGAAGCAGCAATCGAGGACGGGGCCAGAGTGCATGAACTCTCCTCTCAGCACATTGGCGCTCGCATCATACAACCGGACGCTCTTATCCCATGAAGACACCAGCAAGTGATCACTGTGGTTCGAAAACCGGAGGTTCGAGATTCCGTCCGAAGGAGGATTTGACAACTCTCGCCCCGCCGCCGGCACCGCAGATGCCATCTCTGAGATTTGAAAATTTAGGGTTACGGAGAAGAGTGTGGAAGGTTTTACTCTCTCGTTCAAAATTTGAAACGGGGAGAGAACGTTTCCGGTGGGAGCATTCAAAAACCGGATCGAACTAATGCCGCGGTAACCTTTTTAATTTTTAAAAGAAAATCCCTCCTTACACCTTTTCATCTTTCATATTCAAATTAATTAATTTCTTTATCATTTTCCAAGCTTATATTATTTAATTTGTAATTTTTTTCTTCTGTCAAATAGTTTTTACCTTAATTTCAAAAAAGAAATAGGATCCACATCCTTTGCTAATTTTTTAACTGTATTAAAATAAATAATTTAAGACTATGATATTAAACAAAAAATTATAGGCCTATTGTTGAAGACAACAGCCCATCTATCTAACCCGGCCCGTGAATGGTTTTGTTTTTTCGGCTTTACGTGCTTTTGCATTTTGCGTTATTTTATTTCATGTTTTGATGTAAATGCGTGATGCAGGGTGCTTGAAACTGGTACACTAGTCATTGTCTTGATTATGTTGGTGTTGGTCGGTTTGGTCCTAATAACTTCTTAAGTTGATTTGATGAAATCCAAAAACCCCTTATTTAAGCACCCAATTCTGGAAAAGTTGCAAAAATGTGACAGGCTCAACACCCTGAAGCAAGTCCATGCCCAAATGGTAACAACTGGTCTTGCACTTGAGACATACTATCTGAGTTACCTCCTTAACACATCCTCCAACCTTGCCTCTACCTATGCTTTCACCATCTTTAACCATATCCCAAACCCAACGGTTTTCCTCTACAATACACTCATTTCTTCTTTCACGCGTCACAATCGCCAATTTCATTTAGCCTTCTCACTTTACAACCGCATTCTCACCCATAGGACCCTCCAACCCAACACCTTCACTTTTCCCTCCCTCTTCAAGGCCTGTGGCTATGACCCTTGGCTCCAATATGGTCCACCCCTCCATGCTCATGTTTTGAAATTCCTTCAACTCCCCTATGACCATTTTGTCCAAGCCTCGTTGCTCAATTTCTATGCTAAATATGGAAAATTGTGTGTGTCCAGATATCTGTTCAATCAAATTAGTCAACCTGACCTTGCCACGTGGAATACCATGTTGGCTGCCTATGCACAAAGTGTATGTCATGTTTACTCAACCAGTTTTGAAGATGCTGATGTGTCCTTAGAGGCATTGTATTTGTTCAGTGACATGCAATTGTCTCAGATAAAGCCAAATGAAGTTACACTTGTGGCATTGATTAGTGCATGTTCTAATTTAGGGGCTCTTAGTCAGGGTCTTTGGGCACATGGTTATGTGTTGAGGAACAAACTTAAGCTGAATCGTTTTGTGGGAACTGCACTGGTGAATATGTATTCCAAATGTGGCTGTCTGAATCTTGCATGTCAATTATTTGATAAATTGTCTGACAGGGACACGTTTTGCTATAATGCCATGATTGGAGGGTTTGCAGTTCATGGTCATGGGAATCAGGCCCTTGAACTGTACAGAAAGATGAAATTCGAGGGCCCAGTTCCTGATGATGCTACTATTGTAGTTACTATGTTTGCCTGCTCTCATGGTGGATTGGTAGAGGATGGTCTTGAGGTTTTTGAGACAATGAAAGGGGTTCATGGAATGGAGCCAAAACTTGAACATTATGGTTGCCTGATTGATCTTCTGGGTCGAGTTGGGAGATTAAAGGAAGCAGAGGAAAGGTTACAAGATATGCCCATGAAACCGAATGCAGTTTTGTGGAGGTCTTTACTTGGGGCAGCGAGACTTCATGGCAGCTTCGAGATGGGGGAAGTTGCTCTCAAACACTTGATAGAGTTAGAACCAGAAACAAGTGGAAACTATGTGCTTTTGTCGAATATGTATGCTGGCATTGCTAGGTGGAGTGATGTGAAGAGAGTGAGGATGCTCATGAAAGATCATAGGGTTAACAAGTTGCCTGGATTTAGCTTAGTGGAGATTAATGGTGCCATGCATGAGTTTCTCACTGGTGACAAAACTCATCCATTTTCAAAAGAAATATATTTGAAGATTGGGGAGATAAATAGAAGACTACAAGAATATGGTTACAAACCAAGAACATCAGAAGTTTTGTTTGATGTAGAAGAAGAAGATAAGGAAGGTGTCCTCTCTTACCATAGCGAAAGGCTAGCTATAGCATTTGCTCTCATCGCATCTCCTTCAAGTTTGCCTATAAGAATTATAAAAAACCTTAGAGTGTGTGGGGATTGCCACGCTTTTACCAAATTAATATCAGCATCATATCAAAGAGATATTATAGTTAGAGATCGAAATCGGTTTCACCATTTTAAGGATGGGAGTTGTTCTTGTCTAGATTATTGGTGATACCTTGTTCACCTTAAAACAAAATCAATACCTGAAAGAAAAGTGTAGTTTGCTAGATTTATGTGAAAGTTATTTTGATTTAGTTTTAGCTGAAATGAAAGCAGTTTTTTATTTAGCAGATGACATGAGACGAGCTTCATATTATTTGAAAATATATTCAAAGACTTAATTTTTCAGTAATTGAATTATGATTTAAAAAAAATATAGGGAAAGTATATGTCCATCTCATTTTTGTTGAACAAATTCATAGTCACCAACCGTTGAAGGGATGATGTAACGGGCTATGATATACCATTTAGAAAACTCATTCAAGGCATGGTGTCCAATTTTATTAATTGTAGAGTGCAGAATGAGTCAACATATTGTGCTGTACCACCGATCAGTGATTATGGTGCTAAATTGTTGGTTTTTGCTGTGGAAAAGCTGCTTCGTTGTCAGTGACAGAATCACGAAATCACGGTAGATTATGGCATGATGCTAATACCGCAGGACATTGAAAGCTTTTATCTTCTTGGTGTGAGGGGACTTTTTAAAGCGCACTTTTTCTCTGTTTCCATGCTTCTCCTTTTAAGTTTCAGTAACTAGGCCAGAATTTTATCTTGTTTTATTCAATCATCAAGGTTAGGTGTATCTTCTATCATGCATTTGGCATTTTATCTTATATAAAGTTGTTCTTGTAGCCTAGTGCCAGCACAAGGAAGGGATCAGGCTCACTCCATGTTGAGCCACAGAACTCTGAAATCTCGTACTGTGCTGATGATGACGGGTACTGTAAAAATTATTCAAAAAGGGGTGATTAAGTCTTTTTAAGTGAATTTTTAATATTTGAAAATGGTGCGATTAACGGTTGGCATGTCTTCCTCTATTCATGTAAGCTTTCTCTGCTCTTGCATGCAGAACGTTGTTGAGTTCAATTTATTAATTCCGACTTCCATCTTTGAAAGTGTAGGCCGTCCCACCACAAGTTTCTGAGAGCATTGATTCCTTTCTGGTGTAGTGCATATTAGCTACTCTATCAGTGATTGCACCTTCAAGGAAAGATCCACAGCAACAAATATCATCAAGAATGGACCCGAGAATCATTTTGATTGCTATCATGCATAGCATTTGCTTCTCATCCACAACCTTGAATTGGACCACCACTCAAATTCTAATAGTCTAGTTTTAAAGTGGTTTTTGCACACTCCTAGACCTGAAGTAAATGGTAATATCATGTTTAAGTTCATCATAATCACTAATCACCCATGTAGTGAATTTTTATCGTTGTTTTTATAGCTATCACTAACTAAAAATATTAAATTGCACAAATGGTGATATTTCAGTATTAATATCACAGTCACATTTCATCTCATACTTTGTTGATCTAGTACTCAGGTATTGACATGCTATAATTAAAAAACTAATTTTTCCATCAATTATTATCCTCAAGTAAAGACAAGTAATAACGGATTAACTAGTTCATGGCTGGGAAAGGGTAAGAAAAAAGAAAGATTCTGCCTATGTCATTACTTCTCCCTTAAAGATTGCAAATTGGTAAATAAGAAAGTAAAAACAAAATTTCAGGGAAAAAAAGGCAATTCAAAGGGGGAAACACCGATACGCTAGGTAGATAGAAAAGAAATAATGAAAAAGGTAATATTTAATAGGTACCCATCTAATAATAATAAGATAATATAAACAAGAACGTGTCAGAAGAATAGTGTTAGGAGCTTTCTTTCACTTTGAGGAGCACAATCCTCTGTTCTACTTTCCAACGTGGACATCTCAGATTCCTCGGACGGGGTCCTCGCACGTTGCTTCTTTGGTTGGGGACACCTTCCACCTCCAACCACCACTCTCTCCGAAGCAGTTACTTGCTGAGCATCTACATCTACACCCGAGAACTGAGGCAGTGGGGTCAACGCAGCACCACCTCGAAGCACTTTCTCCACACCCATTTGGCAAAGATGCCAATTACCAGTCCACAACAGCCCCACTGCTCCATTCACTGGATTTATAGTACGTCCCACTGCTTCATACAGCAGTGACTGAAACAAAGCTGTTAATGCCATAATGCCACAAAGTCACAACTTCGCCAATCTTCGTACACACACAATGTTTTAACAATTCAAAAATATAGTTAATTTTATTAATGACATTAATTTAATAAATCAGAAATTTAAAATTTTTTCTAAAATTATTAGGACCCATTATCTGATTCTCTTTTTACCTTATTAATTATTTAATCTTCAGTAAAAAAAATTATAAAAATATAAATTAATGCAAGAAAAAATTTACTAGAAACCTTATAGAAGGACCATAAAAAATTTCCTTAAAAAGTCTTATATTTAGGATTAAAGGTAATAATTAAAGGTAATAATTAATTCAATAATATGTCAATAGTATATATATTGACCAGAGTGCACCGACTTTCCAGATAAATTTCTCCCCATCGCATCTTATAAAAATATATTGCATTTACAGTCACGTATTGTGCATAAGAAATTATTAATTCTTGCATGCTAAAAATTGAAATATAAACAAAAATAACAGTTCTTGTATATAATAGTACATACAGTATCTTCATCCAAATTTTAACTGTGACAAGGTTTAATGGATCAAAATACTTGTAATTCAAATGCAACGCCACATGCGTCTTTGTATAAAATAGTTGATGCAAAAACATCGTATAAATATCATTACTACAACATGGGGACCTATGGTTTATTCTAGAATATTATTGATTATCACCTCTACCTACCGATTTGAAATAATCGTGATATATAAGAAAAATTAAAAGCACATAATTCGTGTATCCCCATGTATAATATATTGTATTTGTTGTTCTTGTTTTCCATGCATCATATAATATATGTATAGGCATGCATACCAGATCTTTGGTTGGCGGGTACGGAGGAAAGGAAAGACATGAGGGCGGCACGGCCGAAGAACTTGGCAACAAAGACGGTGGCGTGAGCCTGAGCTTGAGGATTCTCTATCCATAGTAGGCAATGTCGTAGCATGCAGTCATCACTGCAACCCTTTCTAAGGACACGACAACCATTGCAACTCATCTTTTTCTTCTTTTGATCCACCCACCTTAATAAGTTAACTCACTTCCCCACAAAATAATCTTAATTCACATGAATCAACTAGAATGGGACAGTGTATATAGAATATATATTAATTAAAATGGGCATAGTTACCTAGTCGTAGAAACACAAAGGAAGCAGGTTTTTTATATATGAAGGAAGGAAAGTGAGTTAGGCATATGTAGTATATATAAAGTGAGAGTGGGATCCTGCATCATCAATTAATCAACCCTTGTTCACTTTGGTTTAATAATATCATATATTATATTATATAAGTTCAACCATGGTTGAGTTAATAATTAGTAGGGTCATGTGGAAGGAACTGTGGGGCTAGGCAGGATTCCAAAGAAATGGGTGCTCGGGGCTGCTCAGGTTCTCCGCAGATGTTGGAATTTCTCCCTAGTTTGATTCCCTTCAACGTATCTATTTCCAATCACAAGTTCTCTTTTGATTCCCATTCATATCAAAGTAAATATGGAAGCTATATGATGCTGTCATGAATACAGTGATTCATTGTAATTTATTTTATACATATACTTCTTGTTGCAAGAGTTAATAATTTCTTATATGAAAAACTTTCCCATATGCTTTTCATAGCTAGCTAGTAAGAGAATATATATATATATATATATATATATATATATATATATATATATATATATATATATATATATATATAAAGTACTTAAAGATGAGACGAGTTCTAAAAGAATAGACAATGATAACTTCAAAGTGGTGATATTAAGGTAACAATTGATTAAAAATGTAACGTGAGGTTGGGTGATATGTGGCACAAGGAGGATGATGATTAAGCTGGCTACATATAGGCATGGATGTTACAGTCAGAAATTGGATACGTGGCAGTTGGCATCTTTATCCAAAATGGACCACATCGATCTGCTTTCCCATGAAAAGTATTCAGCGTATTTCCCAACAAAATTAATGTCTGTGGAGAATGGGATTCCGATTAGGTTAACCTTTCGTTTCGTAGTTAAGCCTTATGTACATGCATCCTATGGGGTTAAAGGTGACTCTACCATGGTATCAAATTGGTTTTATATTTAAATTGGGGGGCAGGACCCAATATATCCCCAGCTTATTATTAATACTATTAATTAATTTTTATTAGGCCCTACCCATTTCAAAACTAATTTGTGAAAGAGGGGCTATTATTGGTGTATCTTCATTTTAAACAACGAAGTATATGTGTCCCTTCGATGCATCAGGAAGACAAATGGAATTTGGGCATTATTATGATTACATGCTTGCAGGCGTCTTTCAACAAATTTGACCCTTTTTTTGTTGAATCTAATCTCAGTTATTGTTGGAAGATGCCCTCCTCTACCCTTCAATTTAGCACATCGAGATTTGTGTATAAATATTAATTAACAATTTTTATGACAATGATTTCAGTTTTAATATATATTTTTATCTTGACCAATGTTGTGTGTGTAATAAATAACCATTCCTACGGCTTTGATTTTAACCTTTGTCACTCCTTTGTAATTAACGAATCTCGCTTTTAGATTTTGGAGTAGCTCCAATGACAGAAACGAAGTGGAGAAAAGTACAATATACACAAAATTAACTAACTTAAGTTAACAAGTAGATTATTAAATGCTACCTTAGGATAGTTATATTTATTCGGGTTTGCATAAACTTTCTGCCGCGGTACAATTAACTGGCCTAAGGAGAAATAGTAACCTTGAATTTATTAATATATTATATCATCAATCCACCCTAGAAAGATTGATATGCGGTTATGCCGGATTACAATTATTTTTCAATGTTCGTGACGTGCGTTTTAAAGCATGTTTCTGTGGATTTTGGGGAGCAAGTTTGTTTCTTTTGACGTCTACTAGATAAACAAATGGGATAATTAAATTACAATTTCAGAGCACTCACCTGCCTCATGTCACCGTGGTATTTGTACAGCAGCATTGGGTTGGTTTTTACCCCTTTTTTCTCGTGCTTTTTTGGTCTCTGATGTACGTTGGAAGTGTCACGTTGGATTACACTTCCACTAATGCCACAGTACCATTGTGAAAATAAGAAAAAAAATCTTTAAAGAATCTAAAAGTGACCATTATTTTATGTGCAAAACAATTGGTTTGACTTCGAAAACTAGAATAATGGAGCACAAGCTTGCAGTTCACTAAATGTTGATGCATGTGTTGTGAAGCAGACCCTTAGATCCCACCCTAAAAAAAAGCTTTATTTTATATGCTAGACGAATCTACTTCTACTTGCACAACTTTTAAAGCACACTCTTTGGTTATTTGGACATCAAGTGCCAATAGTAGAACAGGAGCTTTGAAACACTTGGCAGTAGCTGATGTTATGATTACAATGGTAATTAAGCTCCCTCTATACATTCAAAAAAACTAACATCAGTCATTAAGATTAATTTTAAACATTCAGAAATACTAAAATTTTATGAAGTAAAACATTTGTTACATAAAAATATAACTTTTTTAATAAAATTTTACTGCTCCTAAATGTTTAAAATAACCTAAAAACTGATATTAACAAAACTGACTAAAATAAATAAATAGATGGTGTGCCATTTCAATTTCAATGAAGGGCAAAGGACCGTTTTAACAACTATTGATAGCATAGATGTCATGGATTACATGATTTCCATTCTACTATTTTGAACTATATGTACTATATTACTCAATTTAGAAGAGATAAACCACTAGTATTGGGAACCTTGTGATCATAGAGTAGAAAACTAAGAAACGAGAAGAAAAAGAAAAGAAAAGCCAATAAATTGAACCAAACTACTTTCAGGAAACTGAATGCCTCCTATTTCTGGAAGGAGTAGATTTGGCTTCTTCTGGATTAGCAGAACTAATACTCTCTGACGAGTCTGAGCCACTATTTTCCCCTTGTCCCCCTTTGCTGGCCCAAAGCTTTATGAAAGATTTCTTAGACTTCAGCAACCCTTTCACCTTGCCAATGACAGCCTTGTCCATGCTGGGTTTGGTATCTCCATCTTTGTCATTGTTTCCAACTCCATTGCTCAGCCTCAATGATGCAAGTTCTTTTCTCAATGCCTTCAGCTCCTCAGCTGTGGCTACACCATCCATGTCATCTTCTGGGTTAGTTGTCCCTGACCTTGAGCTACCATTGGATTCATTGTTCAAATCTTTTATTCCTTTAGGTATGTCAGGAGTGCTTGTACCTGATGATGCAGCAGTTCTTACCTGCTCAAAATATAGTACCTGCACAACCACACGCAATGGTAGCCTCTCATTTTGCACTGCATGCAAACATGCATCAACTGATAGCTTTCTACAATCCATCAGCTTGCATATCCTCTTCTTTTCACTCTTACTGATTCCAGGGTGCTCCTGTAGTGTTTCAAAGCAAGGAAAAAATTAGACGGAATGAATTAATTACCTTCACAAATAACTTTCTAAAAGGGTGTCACTATCAGACTGCAAATGCTAGTGGTGAAGCTAAAATATGACAGGATATTTAGAAACAGAATTATTCTATATTAATGCCAAGATGAAATATGCAAATTGAGTCAGAATTTCTTTACAAGAACAGTTACCTTCAGATATGTGTCAATAGCCCTGTAAAGGCTATCATGAGCAGGTCGAGAGATTGTAGACATTAAATCAGCAAGATTAACAAAATCTGACAAAGGCAAGTTGGCATCCTTTGCAATTTCGGCCAGGTATCCATCTATGAGTTTTGCAACCATTAGCTTGGATGCATCTGATAATATTCCTGGCTTTCTTATTCCCTCCAGTTCACCACCCCCAACTGATTCAATCTCGGCATTGTGATCTATCATAAAAAACTCTCTTAAAATTTTCTGTACTATACTAACATCATAGATTGTAGTATCCCCATCTGGTGCGCGAATCAAAATGTCACTTACAGAAGCTTCCTCCAGTTGCTGCCCAATTCTCTTGACCAGCTCTTCTTTAATCCTATCGCCTGATTCTACAAAAATGGCAGCTTTCAATAATTTGAGTAAGAATCTACAAGAAACACTGCCTTTCTCAGCAGGCAACAACCACACAATAGTTTCAACTATCATGCGATGCTTTGACACATCCCCACATTGGATCATACCCTTACTGAAATTTGGCAATCTTCTGTAAACATAAGCTTTCAAAGCTTCACCAATTACTTCGTTAGATTGAAGTGCCTTGGATTTAATATTTGCAATTACAGACTTGTACAAATCAACTTCAAGTTCACATAAATCTTCAACCCACCAGTCTTTTGGCACCAGTCGAGTTCTGATTCCATTCTGGTTTGACTCAATCCCATTTTCCTCAGGAAGCTTTTTCCGGTTATAGGTGTAGGACCAGTCAACTTTGGATACATCAGCACATGCCTTATTTGCTATAGATTCAATGCAATGATTAACCACCTTTAGGTCCTCAGCAAAGGTTAACATAGACTTTGAAGTCTGAAGAAGGATGATTGAATCTTTCCAACTACGGAAAATGCTAGAGCTGAGGAAAACATCAATCTTGTAAATGAGGTTTCCTTTTTCAATAGCCTCATGCATTCCAAGATACTCTGCTGCACATCGAGTTGCTATTACATTGTAAGGATTAAGGGTAACAATCATGCCATAGCAAAACTTAGCACATGTCTCAAAGGCACTTGCACCACCAGGAATGTCAGAAATCTGAACTTCATCTAAATTTTCTTCATTGGTGAGGGAGATCAACTTCTGTAAGTGAGAACTCTTTGATAGAAGAGGAAACTACACATCAAAGGATTTGTTATATCAGTAACATAAAATGAAAACTTGTAACCAAAATGATTTAGCTGTTATTTGTAACGTTGTGACTAAATGAGCCATGTTTCCCAAACCACACAATGATTTTTCAAGTAATGGTGGCCGAGCCAGATTCTTTGTAAATATAACTGAATTTTAAACTCCCAACAGATGAAACTTAAACATGTTCAATTCAGCCTTTAATAATTTAGTTAATATAGGTCAATAACAGCACTTAAAAGTTTTGCTCCCTATTAAGGTCAAGCATGAATGACTTGCTTTTATCAAGAGAAATGTGAATTTAGACAAATAGTTTACCTATTTGAGTTTTTTATCACGAGTTTTGTTACTGTGTGCCCCTTGGGCATAAGTTAAGGAATAAAAAATAAAACCTATTACATGAAAAAAATAATTAAATATCTTGAAAATCCAAAAACAAGAAATAACAAAATGCTTTTTTTTTTCTTGAATGCGTGTCCTATGGGAAAAGAACATCAAAGAACAAATCATCCTCATCCTTCATACATTAATACATTGGGAAAATATTAACAAAGTATGAACTTCTGACAGTAATTGTCCAGAAATTGCCGTAAATATATAAGAGTTGTAGACATCATTAAGCCAATATGGAAACTCGCAGTTGGAGACTAGATAAGTTTAATGGGTTAAAGCATACCTTATGTAAATAAAACTTTATATCTCCTATGCTAACAATGATGTCTGATGCCAACTCACTTGCCACATACCTGCACAAAAATGCATCATGAAAACAACTCATTTATTTTATATCACGCATGACAATGCCAGTAGCCACCACAGAAGTTGGAACCATTCAGCGATAAGAAGAGAAAGAGATTGAAGTTGTTGTCCCCAACTAAAAAGAGGAAGAATAAGCAGGATAAAAATGGAATACCTCCTCTTAGTCACCTGATGAATGCAGGACACATGCTTTCATTACCAATCAAAAAAAGAAACTAAAGAAAGAATCTGTTGGGAAAATGTATATCATGCTTACCAGCATATGTAAATTCATTTATTTTTGGACAAAAGATTATCAACAAATGAAACTCGCATTGCAGCTAAAACAATGTGTGTATTAAAGAGAATATATAATCTCACCTAACATTGTTCCCATCACTCTGAAAAGTATCTGGCTTGGAACCAAGTTTCATGAACTTCATCTTGACAATATAAGATCTGCTTCCTCTCAAGTGATGACTCAACCAAAAAGAAAAAACTCCACTTCTACTTAATAGCCAATTTCTAAACCCAGTAAATCATAGTTATAGCCCCACCAAACATACCTACATAAATAGCATCCGAAAAAGTTTCCCAGAAAAGGAAGGAGAAGACAACCACAGCTCACACTGAAATGAATCCAAGTTTGTTGGCTTTAAGAGAGAAAAGAAAGGTTTATAGAGAAGGAAGGTTAAATAGTGCAAAGTGTGAGCGAATCTTGACAGCAAACAAGGCAGAAGGTGTATGAATAAGAGAGATGAAATAGTCCAATTTTTTAAGCAAAGGTTCTCTTCTCTTAAATGGTAAGAGACCCTAACAAGAGATTGTTTCCTTGGTCGCCGGCAAAGCCCACGGAGCCCGGGCTCACCAAGTCAGCTAAGGGGACATAGCCAACACACTATTAACACTAAACAATTCTCAAACCAGAGACACAAATCTGACTCCACCTCACTTTCCCATATTTCTTTATCATTCACTTTCTGATTCTTTGTTTTTTTAAAGCCAATAAAGATCCATACCACCAACACCCTCTGCCTCCACTGCCTTTAAAGCTCCAACTTCCAAATCCAGCATGTATATATTTCTAATGCTTTTCCTTTCTTTTCTTTTTTCTTTACCGTTGAAGTTTGAAAAACTGCAACTGAAAACAGCATCTCGGTATCAGTTGGAAAAACCACCAAAACTGTAGACAGCAAGAATCTTTTGCCAAGTATGGAATAAATGAAGAAGATCACGAATATGGAGTTATTATAGTAATGAGCAATCATACATCAGCTACTTGCAAGAATATATCATAAACAAACTTGGGCTGAAATCTGAGGAATCCACCAGAATGTGTCACATAAATCTAGTAAAATAATGAAGGCAAGATCATAACTTTATACAGCGTTGTGGTGTGAAACTCTCAACCACACATGAAGAAACATGCCTTAGATCATCCACTTGCAAATCACAATGACAAGCTCCAATCTTCACTCTCCGTGTAGTTCCCAACATCACCCAAGACCCATTTTTTAAAACCGAAAATATAGAGATAAACAACTACACGCATTGCAAAAATAAAAAAATGCCCTCCAATGTACATTAAATTAAGAGGGGAAAAAGAATCATTATTCAAGTGAAAAACAATGAAAGAATATCACAACACAACACAACCATGAAGCTGGAGGTAATAAAATAAAGCCACTGAAAAAGTAAAATGACCAAATGCTAAAAGGTCTTACACCAGAGTCACAGTGAAGAGAATCGCACACAGTGGGAGTTCAATAGAACATAGACAAGACAAATGGTGCACTGCAATAGCTGTTGTTGCTGTGCATGACAGAGTGTGTGAATGGAGTCAGGAGAAGCAAAGTGAGTTTCAACTTTCAACAGAAGCTGAAGAAGAAAAACACAGAAGAATCCATCAGAGAATGAGCTGAGTTTCTCATGTTCATGCATCTAACTCCAAGTACACAAAATGCCAAGCTGTTAGGAAATGTTATATGAGGGATGGAACCTTGAAGATTGCCACTTTGTTACACTTTTCCTAAAGCATTTTGGTCTTAAATTTTAGGAGAGAAAGTTAGTACCACACAATTCAATTTCTGGGCACGTAGCTGACTTATGCACGCCAAAACTGACACTTCAGCTTTCTTTTATGGTTCCCTTCAATAACGCGGTGTCCTATAGGCTTATATTAAATGGACCTCTCATTAAATGCCTCTGTTCTGATCGAAGGCCACAGTATGTATGTGTTTGTGTGTAGCCAACTCAGTCCTAATCCTCCACCGCTTCATTTCCATCATCACTCAACGCTTTTTCCTTAGTGGACAGTTGTCAAAAGCATTTTTTACTTTCTACGTCTACAAAATCACATCAAATTCTGATTATATTTATTCATTTATACACATCAAATCCATTTAATGCCATTTTTATTAGACAAGTTAAGTTTTAACTTAGGGCATTCTTGTTATTGAACAAAGCAATTTTATTTTTATAGGAGAAAGCTTTTTTAAATAAAGAAAAAATTATACTTACATGGCTAATCTTAACCCTTTTTTATATAAAATACAAGACAAAATTATAAGATTGTCTTAAATATTAGGAAAAATAGTGTGTGTATAACTGAGTAAGGAACCAATAGCCTAATTTTAAATGAATTTTAGAATGAAAGTGACTTGAAAAGGAACTTTGAGACTAATAACACGTCCTTTCTTTTTTTAAAAAAAATATATATTACTTCTTTCATCACATTCATTTAAAGTAAATAAGTGAGAGAATCGAATTTTAAGGTAAATGTGGAGATTTGGTATTACTTAAAGCAAGGCTCATTGGCAAAACTCAACTTTTTTTATTGTGTGTCAAAATTAATATCCTTAATTCCTTGTTGAAGATCGCAAGGAAGATTACAAGATGGTTGCTTGAAAAGCTATTATAAAAATAAAATTAGTGATCAACATTTTATCTGGGAATATAAATTGTGCTGCTTGGTTTCAACCTCAACTTGCAGGGTATATTTTTCTTCAAATGATGTAGTGTAAAAGCATTTCCAATACTTGAAGGGAAAAAAAATCCAATACTTGCTGTAATCACAACTTAACAATGGATAGACATCCAAACCTGAAGTAAAATGTTTAACTATGATGCACTTCACAAGATTGATCGAGTACTATAGCAGCTTTATTGTGATCATGTTACTAGTGATTTGTATCACTTGAACAGTGTGATAAGTCCCGAAGTTACACGTAAATGAAATTATCCAGGCGAATGCAAGGAGGGTCAAAAAGGCCTTTAATTCCAAGCCTCGTACTTGGCTAAAATTTCACATATTGATCCAGACATGATACAACATGTAACTTATATTTCACATATTCATCCCGACATGATATAACATGTAACTTATAAACGAAGATATAATGTTGAAAAGTTAAGTTAAAAAAAAAAACAAGCGAAGTCAATCTACTGGTATACATATATTAAACTAAGAAAACTATTGATTAGTAATTGATTATTTGTTAACTCATTTTTAAGTTCAATGTATTTATTTACCTAACTCTTATAGAATGGTTAAGTTTATAAAAAACGATATAAAAAAATCATATCGTTTTTTATAAACTTTAGTAAAAATAACCTCTTCATATCCATGAAATACGTTTAGAAATCACATTGTACTGGAAAACCATTCAATAATATATTGGATTTCCACTTAAACACATCTTCTTAATAGTGGTAGTCTACTATATTTATTTAAACAAGAACTTGCCTCACTATGCACATGTTTAGGTCTGTCATTCTTTTTTCTTTTTTTTAAGTTTTGAGAAGGTGATTAAACTAAGCTTTTACACATGGTGCTGACTGTATGACCACAAATACTAAATATTCCACCTTGAAATATTTATTTAGTATATTCCTTCACTGTCACTTGATTCCTTCAACTTTGAGATTGAGCTAGCTGGTTCAAATTCAAAGACTGTGCTAAGTGCATAGGTGAACTTGTCCAAACTCATGGTATATTGGTGAGATTCCCAACAAGGATTAGTCAACGGCTCATGGTCACGCCGAGTGCCAAAAAGTGGCCAACATTGCCTAATTTTAACCATTTGGATCTCAAAAGAATATAACCCTCTTATCATAGTTGTGGAAAAAGGGTCCCCCCCTATGTGTTCATCTCTATCAATGCTGACCCACAGCTTGTTCCTTTGCCTCAACCATCCAAATTCTGTTTGTTTGGGACAGTAATGTTTAGGCAAAATAAACAAAGAAAACAAGCTTAAATTGGGACAGTGAGGACTACCATTTTATATAGAAATTGTCAATTTTATATATCAAACTTAGCTAATATTGTTTCTGTGGGGTGGGAGACAGTGTAATCATAATAGAGTGTGAGAATCCTTTATCCGTTTAATGCTGCAGATTTTGTGCATAAACTCTGAGATCTTAGCTAGCAATGGTACTACTTGATTTCCTTTCAGACTAATTAAAACAGCCATTGCATGCAGAACTCATAACGTACAAATTAGCTAGTTAAAGAAGTTTGTACGGAAATTTAATTGATCCCTGCGTTCCAGAATTCACATGGCATGTAATAACATTTGCTGCAACTGTACCATTTGATCAAATAAAAAAGAATAATCATACGGTTAGGTAGAACACATAATTATAAATGTTAAAAATACATTATCACTCTAGCTAAAAGAAAATATCTTGGGATTTAAATCCCACATATTGGAACAGATTTTGCGCATATATAAAATAGCTAGCATGTTTTCTTTTTTAGTTAAAATATTTGCATTGATCAATGTTTTAGCACACTAAATAGCAATATCTTTTTTAAGTTTAAGGATTTTATTAATCACTGTTAAGAATTACTAATTTTTTATTTAAAATATGTTAAAATATATTAAAAAATCATAAAAATGAATATTTGAATTTTGTTAATCAATATATTTCCTAAATTTAAACAGTATATCAGGTTGTAACAAAATATTTGATGACACAAACTTGAGACTTGAAATGATACTCTAATTACGCTATCATCTTCCAAGTTAATATATTGGCAAATAATGGAATAGCGTCTCATGACTTTATATGCATCTGACGTTGGTTGTGACTGGTTTTTACTTTTTACACGGAACGTGTTGGCATAAAGTAAAATTTGAATGTGTGAAGTGTTCAGCAGAAAAAATAAATTGGTATGTGTAACGTGATGGGTGTGTGTGGTGATATGAAACAAATATATTAATCTTTGCTTTAGCATCACATCCACTATTTGTGTTTGTGACAGCAATAAGAAAATGAAAGTAATGGTACGACATCAAATGCAGCAAATGCATATGATTCTATGACTAAGTACTAACCATATTTCTCGTGGCATTGAGGTCCAATATAAGATCATTAAAGAGCATGCAACCTATCTACAAGTTTGAATAAATTAAAAGTTATACAGAATTTAATGCATCCT